TGAGGCACTCACTGTCTCCGGAGATAACTACTCAAATGGGCCCTGACACAGATCTACCTCAACTCAAAAAGTCTGGGTGAATGCATCATAGATCCCAACACCGCGACTCAAACAGAACGGTACTCGGCGATATTTACTATCCCCCATCACCTCGCTGAGTCTCTCAAGCAACAATACCTCACTCTTGAGGATCCACTCGAACTTTGGGTGGCACTGAAAAAGCGATATGACCATCAGAAAACGGTCATACTGCCCCAGCCAAGTTCGACTGGAAGAACCTACGGTTCGAAGATTTCAAATCCGTCGAAGAATTCAATTCCGAACTCTTTCGGATAGTTGCACTCATAAAACTATGTGGCGAGGAGGTCACTAATAAGGATATGCTAGAGAAAACATTCTCTACTTTTGGCACTCCCAATGTTGTTCTCCAACAACAATACCGTGCCATGAATCATAGCACCTATGAGGATTTGATATCTTGCTTACTGCTTGCTGAGAAGAACAATCAGCTTCTGTTGAGGAACAGTGCCATGCGGCCTCCAGGATCAGCCCCATTGCCAGAAGGAACCAGAAAAGAGTCCAACTTCGTCCAACGTAACAGATCCTCAGATCGTGGACGTGGACGTGGAAATGGACATGGACTGCGCGGCAGAGGACGTGGTAAACCGAACCAAGAAAACCGACCTAACCTCAGTTTTGGTCGGGGTAAGGGTCGTGGTATCAACAAACCGACCCAAAGAGGCAGTTCATCTAGACCAACTCCTTGCTCAAGATGCGGAATGACTAATCATTGGGTCAAGATCTGCCGTACTCCCAAATATCTTGCTGAGCTCTACCAGAAGTATGGGAAAGATAATCATGAGGCTAACCTGGTTCATCAAGTCAATGAAGATGACTCAAAGGATGATAAGATTGATGGCATGGATTATGAGCTCTCCGACCTCCTTGATTGATCTCAAAAATCTGAATTTGTTTTTCATTACTCCTTAAACTTTTATCTTTTGTTTTTGGGATTTATTGTCTTTACTTTGGATTTTTAAGACCTTTTGCTTTTACATTTTAATTTATGGAGTAATGTTTTATTTACATCTCATTTTTGCATGTTATTGAATTATAATTCTTGTTTAATGAAGATATGCAAGACAATATGGATATCATTGTGGATAGTGGATCGAGCCACACCATTCTAAAAGACAAGAATTATTTCTTAAATTTAGTAATCAAAACCGTAAACATTAGCACTATAGCGGGTAGTTCGAGCCTAATAGAGGGCCATGGCCAAGCTAATGTGTTGTTATCAAATGACACATATCTAGACATCTCTGATGTCTTATACTCACCCAGTTCTAAAAGAAACCTATTGAGTTTCAAAGACATAAGATTGAATGGTTTCCATATCGAAACTCAGGATGAAGGGAACAAAGAGTTTTTAATTATCACTAAAATGATAAATGGCCATAAACAAGTTTTTGAAACTATACCCGCCGTATCTACTGGCATTTACCATGATAAAGTCAGTATGATTGAGGCTAATGCTGCTATCAAAGCACGGTTTTTAGATTACACTATTTGGCATGATCGCCTGGGTCATCCCGGTGCGAACATGATGAGTAAATTAGTCTAAAATTCTAAAGGGCACAGCCTTAAACCAAATGGTATTTTCCCTCAGCACCTCAAGTGCACAGCTTGCTCACAAAGGAAACTGATTACCCGACCTTCACCAGTCAAAGTGTCTAAAGAGACCTTGAACTTTCTGGAAAGAATCCAAGGAGACATATGTGGACCAATTCACCCACCTTGTGGGACATTCAGATATTTCATGGTCCTCATTGACGCATCGACCCGCTGGTCGCATGTCTGTCTGCTCTCTTCTAGGAACCAGGCTTTTGCTAGGTTATTGGCCCAAATCATCAGATTACGAGCCCATTTTCCAGACTTCCCATTAAAGACTATACATCTTGATAATGCTGGTGAATTCACTTCCCAAGCGTTTAATGAATATTGTATGTCCATGGGGGTAAGTGTTGAACATCCCGTTCCACATGTCCATACACAAAATGGATTAGCTGAATCCTTCATTAAACGAATTCAATGGGTTGCTAGACCATTACTCATGAGGTCACAACTCCCGGTCTCAGCTTGAGGACACGCAGTCTTACATGCCGCTGAACTAATACGCATACGACCATCTAGTGAGCACAAATATTCACCATCCCAATTGCTAACGGGTCATGAGCCAGACGTCTCCCATATTAAAACATTTGGGTTCAGTCTATGTACCCATTGCACCACCACAGAGGACTAAAATGGGACCTCAAAGGAGTATGAGAATATATGTTGGTTTTGATTCTCCCACCATCATAAAATATCTCGAGCCAACTACAAGAGATCTGTTTAAAGCCAGATATGCAGATTGCCGATTTGATGAATCGGTATATCCTAGATTAGGTGGTGAGACAGACAAACTGGTAAAAGAACTTTCATGGAATCAAACATCCATACAATGGCAAGATCCTCGGACTCTAGAATGTGATTCAGAGGTCCAAAGAATTATACATTTACAAAAGCTAGCTAATCAATTGCCAGATTCCTTTGCTGACCCGAACAAAGTTACCAAATCGTACATACCAGCTTGTAATGCACCAGTACGAATAGATGTCCCCTCAGGGAAAAGTCAAGTTGCTACAGAGTCTGACGCACGTAAGAAACGTGGCAGACCACCAGGTTCCAAAGATAAGAATCCCCGGAAATCAAAGAAATGTGCAATGATTGAAACCGGGATTCAAGAGAACACGGATACAGCCTCAGCTGATACTTACCCTATCGAACCATCTCAAGAGGTTTGGGATGCCAAAACTCAATGTTCTGAAGGGATTGATAATAATGAGATCTCAATCAATTATATCATATTCGGTTCTCTATGGAACAGAAATGATGTCGACATAAATGAAACTTTTGCATACAAGGTAGCACTTGAGATTGCGCACACGCAAGAGGATCTAGAACCCACGTCTATAATTGAGTGCACTCGTAGATCAGATTGGCTGAAATGAAAAGAAGCCATAAACGTGGAGTTGAATAGTTTAAAGAAACGGAATGTGTTTGGTCCGATCTTAAGGACACCATTCGATGTTAAACCAGTGGGAAACAAATGGGTCTTTGTGCGTAAAAGAAACGAACTCGGCAAAGTCGTTAGATACAAGGCACGCCTTGTAGCACAAGGATTCTCACAGAGACCGGGAATCGATTATGAGGAGACTTATTCTCCAGTGGTGGATGCAACTACATTTCGATTCCTCATAAGTCTGGCCATAAGAGAAAACTTAGATTTGCGGTTAATGGATGTTGTAACCGCATATCTTTATGGACCACTGGACAGTGAAATCTATATGAGATTACCAGATGGTATTGAGCTCAAAGATAAGCATGCATCTCGTGATAAACACTGCATTAGGCTGAACAAATCCTTATATGGATTGAAACAAAGCGGACGTATGTGGTATAACCGGTTAAGCGAATATCTCATCAGAGAAGGCTACGAAAACGATCCGATCAGTCCATGCATCTTCATCAGAAAATATCAAAACAAAGGATTTGTAATCATAGCAGTATACGTGGATGACTTGAACATCCTCGGAACATCTGGTGAAATCGCCCAAACAGTTGAATGCTTAAAAGCAGAGTTTGAAATGAAAGACCTAGGCAAAACTAAATTCTGTTTGGGATTACAACTTGAGTACGTCAATGACGGAATCCTTGTGCATCAATTGGCATACACTGAAAAGGTACTCAAAAGATTCAATATGGACTAGGCCTACCCATTGACCAGCCCAATGGTTGTGAGGAGCCTTGGATTGGATAGTGATCTATTCGGTCCAAAGAAGGACGATGAAGAAATCCTTGGTCCTGAAATGCCATACCTCAGTGCCATAGGAGCATTAATGTACTTGGCTAGTCACACTAGACCAGACATTTGCTTTGCCGTGAGCCTCTTAGCTCGCTTTAGTTCGTGTCCAACTCAAAGGCACTGGAACGGTATTAAGCACATCCTTAGATACCTTCAAGGTACTAAGAACTTGGGATTATTTTATTCTAACCATAACAAGGATGGTCTAGTTGGTTTTGCTGATGCAGGATATTTGTCAGATCCACACTGTGCCCGGTTTCAAACCGGTTATGTTTTCACGCATGGAGGAACAGCCATATCTTGGAGATCCATGAAGCAGACTATTGCCGCTACCTCATCCAACCATGCGGAAATCTTGGCCATTCATGGAGCTAGTAGAGAGTGTGTTTGGGTCCGGTCCATGATTCAGCATATCCGATCAGATTGCGGTATGGATGAAGATAAGGAGTATACGGTGATGTATGAAGACAATGCAGCTCGTAAATTTAAAAAAACGATTTTCAGCAAAAAATTAAAAAACGAAACCGGAGGACATCGTAGGTGGATCCGTCAATTACACGATTCCCATAATCTTTACATTATTATAAAAAATCAAACTTTTTAATTTAAATCTTGTCGTCATTGATTTTGATTAGTTTACGATGAACCCTTAAATTAAAATAATACAATATAATCATCTCGTTACAGAGATAAAGTTCGTGTTTAAATTTATGTTGAGGATGCAGAGATCGAGGAGGAGAGAGCAATAGAGCCTTCGTCAGTCAAAGACACACTCACACAGAGCTGCATTTTTCTTTTTCTCAGAAAAGATTTTTTCCCCGGAGAAAATATAATTTCCTCAAGAATCCAATCTACGAAAAAGGGCTCATTAATGTGATGGGATTCAAGCACGAGAAAACCCAGAGAGATTAAAAGAGAGCGAGGCTCCTTCGAGCGTCTGATTTCACGTCTTCGAGCAAGCTTTAAGAAATCCAAAATCTGTGTAGAAGAGACCGGCGTAGTAATGGGTGCTTCGCCGGAAAAGTTGAGAGTCGACATGCGAGAAGTGGAAGAGAAGTGTAGAGAAAGCAGTTGCTGCAGCTCCGATTTTCTGATCTCGGAAACAACAAGACAAGAAGAGGAACATAGCCCTAGCAGTACGGAGGATTTCACAGGTTCTCCGATTTCATCTCGGTGGTCGGAGAAGAATATGGACGGAGATAAGAAGATTCGTTCGGATTGTGCGAAACATCCAAGAGCTTCAGGTCCGTCATCTTCGTCCAAATGCACCCGCCAAGTGTTTGCTTTTATTTCTCACTGACAATTTCGTCTTTTTATTAAGCTTAAAGTTCGTAGCTTTGGATTTCTTTTTTCCCCCTGGAGTTTAATTTAAGGTTTTTTTTTCTTCTGGTGTGGCTGTGTAGAGATTGAGATGATGAAGGAGAGATTTTCGAAGCTGCTACTTGGAGAAGATATGTCAGGTTCTGGAAATGGTGTCTGCACAGCTTTAGCCATCTCAAACGCAATCACTAATCTTTGTGGTATGTGGAATTACTCTCATGGCTTGTTGGATTTGACTCTTTGAACAGATCTTGATGATTTTGTGTTGTGTTTAAATTGTTAAAAAAAAAAAAGCTACCTTGTTCGGGCAACTATGGAGGTTAGAACCGCTGCCTACGGAGAAGAAAGAGATGTGGAGAAGAGAAATGGAATGGCTTCTCTGTGTGAGTGATCACATTGTAGAGATGACTCCTACTTGGCAAACATTTCCCGATGGAAGCAAACTTGAGGTACAGATTACGCATAGCTTTTTTGCAGAACTGGAAATGTTAGGTTGCTTTTTGTGGTTTTCAGCTCTCGGTTTGGTTTCCATTGTTGTAGATAATGACTTGCAGACCAAGATCAGATCTTTATGTTAACCTCCCAGCTCTCAGGAAACTAGATAATATGCTTCTCGTAAGAACCCGTGACCTCTTTCATATTGATCGAGTTTCTCTTAAGCTATTTTGAGCAGCACAAAGGTCTCATATATCTTCTTCATCTTTTTCCGTTCGCAGGAGATTTTAGATAGTTTTGAGGAGACAGAGTTTTGGTATGTTGACCAAGGAATCATGGCACACGAATCAGCAGCCGATGGATCAACTTCGTTTCGAAAATCTTTTCAGAGACAAGAGGACAAATGGTGGCTTCCGGTTCCACGGGTTTCACCTGGAGGATTACAAGAAAACTCAAGGAAACAGTTGCAGCATAAACGGGACTGCACTAATCAGATACTAAAAGCTGCTATGGCCATCAACAGTATCACACTCAACGACATGGAAATCCCTGAATCATACCTTGAATCTCTTCCACGGGTAAAAACAAACAAACAATACATATATTCCGCTAAATATAGTCTGATATTAAACCCAAAGCTGCATTTTTGTTTTATGTTTCAGAAAGGAAGATCCTGCCTTGGTGATTTAATCTACAGATACATTTCGTCAGATCAATTCTCACCAGAATATCTTCTTGATTGCCTTGACTTATCCTCTGAACATCAAGCCATAGAGATAGCTAACCGAGTCGAGTCATCGATCTACCTATGGCACAAAAGAAGTAATTCCAAACCAGCTACGAATACCAAAACGTCGTGGGAAATGGTGAAAGAACTAATGGTTGATGGAGAGAAGCTAGAGTTAATGGCGGATCGTGCTGAAAGTTTGTTGCTTTCTTTAAAACAACGGTTCCCGGGTCTCCCTCAAACCGCTCTAGACATGAGCAAAATCCAATACAACAAGGTTTCTCTACAAAACAGAAATCAAATCTCCCCGATCTTTCTGCTTTCTTTTAGTTCCCCACTAAACGGTTATCTTTCTTTTCTTTTTTCCTGTTTTAGGACATCGGGAAATCGATTCTGGAGAGCTACTCGAGAGTTCTAGAGAGCTTAGCGTTCAATATCGTTGCACGTATCGATGATTTGCTCTTTGTTGATGATCTGACAAGACATTCATCGGATCAGATTCCGACAACATTAGGCAACAACGGTAATGACGCTCTTAAGAACATTGAATTGCCGGTTACAACCTACACAACTCCAAGCTACTCCCCCGCAAAACCGGAACTCCGATCATCAATCACAGTGCCGCCGTCACCTTCCCGGTTTAAGATTCCTCACAGTAGCAGCGTTAAAAGGGTTTTGACGGCTTATGTAGCAAAGAACGAACCAAGATTGAAAGATGTTTCAGGTGAGAGATCGGGCCGTTCTTCGTCGAGTGAGAGATTGTCCCTTGAGAAATGCATGAAGGAGTCGTTGAATGTATCGAACCTTGATCCTGGGATTTGAATTACTCTCCTCGGAAAAGTCTCGGTTTTGAATCCGGTCTTTTCGTTTTATTTGAATATCATCTTTAAATGTTTATTTCTTCTTGTGTGTATAATATAACTGGAAAGATGGACTTTGAGAATTGAGAGATTAACAAAAAAAAGTCAATGGTTCGTTTATAGTTTTCCTGTTAAATAAATAACCGATATCGAACCGAACATTTTTCCAAGTCGAATCAAACTGAACAAATAAAAAGATTGGTAATCATATATATTATATATTATAAGTAAAGTAAAATTTTGAATTAAAGTTCACTCATTTAATTTCAGAGTGGTTAATTACTATTTACCCCTCTTTATATTTTTAAAAATAAAATTTAATAAAAAATTATTAAAAATAAAAAATTAATAAAAAATTATTAAAAATCGTAAACTAACAAAAAATATTAAAAATCAGAATTTAATAAAAAAAATTTAAATAAAAAACATTATTAAAAATTGTAAATTAATAAAAAAAATTATGATAAATCAGAGTTTAATAAAAAAACATTTAAATTTTCAAATCTTATTAAAAATTGGAATATAATAAAAAAACATTAAAATCATATTATATATACTATATGCAAAGTAAATTTTTTTGATATAAGCTCTTTTATTCAATTTAGGTGACTAATCATCATAGTAGTATATATTAAAAGCAAAGTGAATTTTAGCTTTAACGACCTCTCATTCAATCTCAGCGTGGTCAATTATTTTTGTGTTCCTTACTAAAAGATCACTAATATCTTTTAAATGGTTAAATTAAGTTTTATTTATAATTAACTATACCAAATTTTGTTACCATTAAGTTAATATTGGATATTTTAATGCTATAAAATTATATGGTTTTGTATATGAAAGTCCCAAGGCTCTCACTTTAGCCCTAATCTCGATTAATAAGAACTTCTTCTTCAACCGGTGGTTTCTGTGTTTTGACGTTTGAGTTGTATTGTTTTATTAAAATTTTCGAATTAGGGTTTTTTTGTTTCAAAACTTTGGGTCTGTGTTCATGATGTATGAGGAGGATTGAGTATTTAAGCTTTGCGATTAATTTCCATCGATATTGCTCTATAAGTCTATGACCGATCGGATCCCATACTATTTATGCTCCTCTATCTCAACTTTGTTTCTGTTTTTGGAATGTGTCTGGTTTATCCAAAAATAATTTTGTACTTGAGATTCTGTTTGGATTTCATGTTTAGGGTTTATTCATCTCAGTTAAATTTTGAGGAATCAAAGTGATGCTAATCATACTGATTTATCGTTGTAAATTGTGATGTCCAGTTATAGTGAAGAATATATTCACAAGCATAAAATCGTAGCAAAACAAAACAAAATATTCACAAGCATAAAAGAGACCATATTGAACGAGTTTCTACTGATCTCTCTATAAGCCAAGTCAAACTGATCGCTCTGCTTCTTCACTCTAATTATAGTAAAAGCTGAAGAAATCGTTGGAATAAAGATTTCGATGAGCCCATGACTCTTGCTCCAACCAGACTTTCTTGGTCGTGCGAAATACATGGTTATTCAAGGTGAACCAGGATCATGCATAATATGCATGGAATATAAATGCGAAATTATTGATTAAATTTAAACAAAATTAGACCAATCAGGGTTTTAAAATTATATTGTTCATGTTAAATCTTATGGAATCGTTGAACAGAAAGTGTGATTTCACTAAAGACTGTTATTGGTAAAATCTTGCAATCATGCTAATTTAGGAATATTAGTAATGAGACTTTCAGTGAGACTTTTGTTACAACATTTTTTTTAAACGGATTAAGGTATTTATGTGGTTGATTTTAGGATTAGATAATGGAATGTAGGAGGGTCTTGAAATGGACATTTGCATATGGATACTACCTTGCTCATCATGAACATGCAAAGACACAACTTTTTCGAGTATTTGCAAGGGGAAGCTCGAGCTGGTTTGGAGAGGCTTCATCATTGTGCAGAGATGTAGTTGGAACAGTTTGTCTCCGGAACTAATGAACCATCCAAAAGTTTCAATGATTTCATTTGACTAATGTAACCAAACCTACTTCGAAAAACACGTGAAAGCTTTGGAGAATGGTCTTGCTGATGTGGAACACAATGAGAGCACAAATCAACAACAGACTCTAGATCTTCTTTCAAATGACAAAGGTTGACAAGGGTCTAAGAAAGATCCAAGTAGTAAGTGAGAGATCTTTCAGCTTCAGATTTATATTATTGGTGCAAAAAACCGTATGGTTTATTGAAAGTGGTATTTTCCAAATTAAAAATCATACCAAGTATTCGGTTTACAATTCAGAGGGACATGTGCAAAATTGTAAGGTTATAGTATTGAGAAGCTATTGGTTAAGATAAATAAAGAATATAATTTTTCCCTTAAAAAAACCTATAGCATCACTCCACTAATTAAAAGATTTTTACTTCTTTTAACGCCTTATAGAAAAAATAATCTCATTATGTAAATATCAATAACAGAGTACATTGGTAAAGTTTTAAAAACCAGAAAATAGTCAAGATAATACCAGTAAGTACTTTACATAACGATCAAAGAGAAAGTGAGTAACTCCTATGAGAGAGTCATCTCATTAAGTATAATTATTTAAGAATCTAATATGTTTTAAGAAAATAATTGGAAGAATATATGTATCAAATAATAAATACTTTATTATGAGAAGATTATTTTTTCAATGAAATATAAGAAGTGAATACAGTTCTAATTTTTATGATTAAAAATTAAAACATGTTTTAATTGTTTGATTTATATATAATTTTGGGATTATTTTTAAGCAATAAAGAATAACAACTTTAAGAGTGACTTTGTTTCAGCTTCCAAACTATATTTCATCTTTGTTTTAAGAGGAGAATTCATATTAGAATACTCGGATAATATGTGTCTATGTTATTTTTGTGCTTCACTCCGCAAGATTTTTTGAAACTTTTCGTTTATACAAAGATAGTCAAGCCTATAAAAGATGTGAAAATATATAAAACTTCCAAACTTCCAAAAATAAATAGTAAAAAAAATACGAAGAAGTAATAAAATTAAAATAAGAAGAAAAACATAAAGAAAAAATCTGTTTATTTAATATTTTATGTAGAAGAATAAGAAATTGGAAAATACAGACTATATAAAGAATAATAGGAAGAAAAAAAAAATTGAAAGAACAAGACGAAAAGAAATTGAAAGAAAAGATGATGTTCCCGCCTGCGCAACGCGATTTTAAGCAAGACTTTAACTATTTTAAGTAAGTATTGTTAATGAAACATTTCCGCCCGCACAAGGTACGGGCTAAACACCTAGTAAATTCTTAAAACCTAATAAATCGAATGCCTACGGCATCAAATTTGAAGTGGGTCACCATTTTACTTTTGAAAAAATGAGAGGATAAAACTTTTAAAAGGATCAAGAAGACAGGAACTACGACAAATGTATAAAGAATCCCCGTGGAATCTTTCGAGGACACAGTTTATGACGAAAGGGCAGAATCTCAACATTGTCCTGCTCAAAAGTAGATTCCCATCTAAACCGGACAAGAGTCACATTCACAGTTCACCGCAATTCAAACCGACGATAACCAGACCGATAATACACCATTCAAATATGACAGATCAAAAATCTGTTTCATTCAATAAAAAGAAGAACAAAAAAAAAGTTCACTTATTTATTTATATGCGTGGAAACTGGAAATCTATAGAGTTTTGTACAAAACCATCAACGGCTTATCTAAATTATAATTGAGGGAAAAAAAACCTCCCCTGTTTCTTAGCACCTAACTTCAAACTTCTTCCATACTTTTTGTAATAATAAGATGAGAAGTTACTAAACAGATCCACCAGTACTACTCTCTGTTTTTTTCTTTGGTTCCTATGTACCTGTAAATTCAAAAACAGAATCAAACCAAGATCAATTTTTAGAACCAGACCAGAATCAGTTCTAATGGAAACCCGGGTTTACTATACCTTGTTTTCGTATTTTATAACATTAGCTAAGTATCAAGATCTCTACTTAGTAATACAGAGATCCTGCAAGTTACAAAGTTTTCAAGAACGGTTAGAGAAGAGAAGGAAACAAGATTTCTCCGGAATGGAAACAAAACAATAAAAAAGATGGGAATCAGAGACCTTGCCACCAATTTCCTCTTGAGGCACTTCCGGAATCATCTTCGCCTCCGTCTTTCTTGTTCTGCAAAACAAGAAAACACACCCGAAAAGATTCTTAAGAAACAGCCTTTAATACTCATCAAAAAGCTCCAAAAAAACTAACTCTAATCAAAAAGTTTCTAGCTTTTAGTTCTGAAAACACACATAAAGCTCAGAGAAAGTTTCTTTGGCCAGATTCTTTTGATGAACAATAAATAATTCCGGTTCTAAACCCTTTAAAGCTCATCAAAAAGTGTCATAAGACAAGCGCTACAAAACAGCTGAATATATAAAGTTTATAGCTTTTTCTCCGGAGAATACCGTAGAGTTGACGCTCGAATTCTGAGGCTGGTAATAGACATCTGGGCCACCGTAATAGATGGAAGAACTAAGATGACAAGGTTGTACACTCTGGTCCTGATAAATTTGGCCAAGATTCTCTTGTTGTTCCCTGTTTCTACCAACATCACCTGCAACAATAAATTCATTGGTAACAGAACAAAAACCTGGACTTTCAATCAACAAGAACATGCAAAATCTCGATTAAAATTACCAGTCTTTGAGCTTTTGTCGTTCCAGACACCAGTCACAGCCTCCTGTTGTCGCATAGATTCTCTTCCCAGAACCTGAAACAAGAACAAACCCCTTAAATTAGGTTGGAGAACCCTGTGTCCCAAGCCACTAATCATTAAAAAAAACTTTTCTTTCTTTTCTGTGTTCTTATTCTTAATTAGGGGCTGTGGGGTCTTCCGTTATTTGTTTTTTGATTCGAACAAATAAAAACGCTCACAATTTAAAAAATCTGAATACGAAATTAAGAAAAAAGGATAAAAAATCAATCAAAATCCGCTACGATCGAATCAGAGTAATCATCCTTTCCATATCGAAAGCCCTAATTCCTAAAATCCCAATTCCATTCCCTACGAAATTGGAATCGTAAATCTATTAAAGGAGATCGAAACCGAGACAACGATTAGTTTTTAAAAAAACATCTTTCAAGAGATTAAACACCGACAAAAATTGAATTCACAGAAGCAAAGAAAAAATCGTCGGTCTCTGGAGGAGGGTGAAAATTACCTTGGAAGGAGGAGCGAAAATCGATTCGAAAATCCGGGAAGAGGAAGAAGAAGGAGAAGAAGAAGGATTTTCTCTTGAACCAAATAGCTCAGAGGTTAACGAGGAAGAAGAAGAAGAAGAAGCAGCAGCCTTCTTCTTTCTTCCTTCCATTGTCTCTAAAAAAAAACCACTCTTTCAGCTAAACCCACGAATTTGTATAATATACGTATATATATATATATATATATATAGAGAGAGAGAGAGAGAGAGAGAGAGAGATCTGTGTGTGTATGTATGGATTTATACGAAGGTGAAGATAATTGGGAGAATTAGAGGAATGAGAAATTTGGGAGAGGAGAGGGGAAGTAAATTGGTGGGTTGGTCTCGAGTATTTATAGATGGATGGATACGAGTTTGTTGAATATTTATCGTATTTTATTTTTCAATGTAATACTTTTACATTAAATAATTTCATTTAGATAAATTAAAACTTAAAACTTGTCACCGTAAAAATTCCGAACCAATATCATGCATCTAGTGAAAAATTAGCCTTACTTTTGCTACGTTGAAGCATTATATCAACGGAGATACTAAATGATACACACACCCACACAAAAAATCATATATTATACGACTATTATGAGAAATCTGGTTTCTAGATTATAGCTTTAATATATATAATAACGTATAACGTATGTGTTCAAAAAATACATTTAATCGCCTAATTAAGCAGCTGAATATTTACAATAACAATTTTCAACAAGTATAGTCATAATATATATATATATATATGCCGAGAGTCAACTATAGTTTTTTTTTTTGTCGTGAGTCAACTATAGTAAGTTATGTCTTTTGGAGGTTTTCTCTAAAATAAAATAAATGAAATGAACGTTTGTAGTTGGAATATTAATATATGATGTGAAAAAAATGTATAAAAAACAATCGTATAAAAAGTTTTATGGAATAATGTTAACACTATAAATTACCGTTATCTGGTTACTTACGTACAACTCCCACTTGAGGTGTCTGATAAAAACAATCGACACCTGGCAAGTGAATAGAAAGTGGGACCAGATCTAATCTTATTTTTTTGGTGTGAAGGACCAGATCTAATCTTAGGTCGGTAGTTGCCACGAGTAAAAGTGTAAAACAAAATCCAAAATGGATAATTAACTAACTTTACCTCTTTGAAAGATGAGTCAAAGTTCGTTGCATTTTTAATCTTTGACTCTTCTTCTTCGCTCATTCGCTCTCTCTGTGGATATCAGTTTCACGTGACAGTTAACAAAAAACAAAAAAAAAAACCTTATCTCTTTTATCTTGTCGGTTGCAGCATTGAACTTGACCTCTCTATAATATCTCATCGCAATGAATGAGACGTTTTATTAAATGCCAAACACTTTCTTTTTCTTTTCTTTTTTACCCCAACTTCATTTTGCTTTTTGTAACTTTTGATATTAAGGTTTCGAGATGTGAATAAAGTTTGAAAATTCGTGATGGACTAGTGTGGGACAATAGTCTCCACTTTTATTTGCATTTCCATCAAATTCAGGTTTCGAATTTGGTTGTTGACTCTCATGTCTCATGTTAAAGTGTCTAAAAAATCAGAAAGCTAGAAAAGGTGAGATCACGGATAATATGGATTTGACGATAAGAAGGAAAAGGTAAAGGTTAAATTGCGTATTGGATTTTGTGATTTCTTGAATTAAAGTCTAGGAAAACTAGGATTGGAAACTGTATTCTTATGCTTACTCAATCAAACAGTACTTATATTACGATGAAATACATAAGAAAACAAAAGAAAATAAACTATAAAACCAGAACAATAAAAAACTAGTACATATTATTCTTTTAAGCTAAGACTTTAAGTCTAATTTTTTTTTCTTAAGCGTAGAAATTATATATAAATCTTAACAGTTCTGATACAGAATAACTTTCAAAATTGTATAAATTAAAAAATGTTAGTTTTTTATTTTATTATTTATGTTTTGGAACTCGGTTTCATGCGGAAGATACGTCGTGAAAACTGCTTACTGAAACACGTATTCTTGTTCTCTTCCCGAGATTATAATGGAAGGATCTTTCTTTGGTCCTAAAATTCGTAATGTTGCTTAATTTACTAACCCAGTTTTTATTAACAGCATCTATCAAGATTTTAATTTTTAAAAGTAGATATGATTTCTAGATGCAAATATATAGATAGACTCAAACCAACTAGAGATTCCGAGTTTTGAACCTTTTTAATTTTTTTTATATATCTTTTTTCTTTTTTGAAAACTAAATCTTATATATAAATCGATTTAGACATGTTTGATTTTTGTTAGGACTCAGGTTTTAGTCAAAAAAAAAATCTATGGAGTTTTTCCAGAGCGTACCAATAAGAGAGCAAACTACACGGAGATAATATACATAAAAGAGGAAAGAAAAGGAAGAAGTGAAAGAGGGTTCGTTCTTATCCTTGGAAAGAGTCGAACATATATAATAGAAGGAATCTAATCTATAAGTTACGAAAACGGAAATGTCGTTGTGATCATAATAAGACAAATCAAAACTCACATGCTCTAAAGATTCCACTTCAAAATAAAACCAAGGTCACATGGTCTACAGTTTTTTACATTTTTTCCCCCGTTTTTTTCGATTTGGTTTAAGATACTAAAAATTGCTTCATTTTGAAATTAGTATAAGTTGATTTTTCACAATCTTTTTGTATCTACATACATATCTCCTTCTTTCTTTTTTGTTACTTCAGTAGATATTTGGTTTGATTTGAATTAAAACCTTGCTAAAGTATTCAGATCGGATTAGCCATACATATATATATGTATATGTATATGTAAGACACTAAAAATAGATTCCATGTTCATAGGATTAGGGGAAAACCAGTGACGTGCCATGTTCATAGGAACCAACCCAAAAAATACAAGAGAGAGAGATCAATCTCGGTTAAGGATTTTATTTTATTTGTTGCACAACATAAAAATGGGAAAACATGCAAGTCGAGAGAGAGTATAAACATATTTTCCACCTTCCAACTTGACTAAGCAGATACCAATGTGAGAACTGAAGTAGGTAAACTGAAGTCGACACACATTCTCTCTGCTGGCTCTTCAGAGTTTCCCACATCTTTATCAAGCAAAGCTACAACATATTTGTATTCACCCTTCACAAGTTTTAAACAAAAAAAAATCGTCAGTGGCAAACTAAAGTGGAAATGTAAAAATGTGAGGATTTATGATTTTTTTTGTTTTTCTGGGTTTTGTAAAAAAGAGTGAAACCAAAAAAATATCCGGTTCTCAGCAAATACCGAGACTTAGTCTAGGCTTCGACCTCGGATTCCCGGTTAAATGTATATGCAAAGAGTGTATGGATAATGGACCATTACCTCCAGTACATCCTTAGGAACTTCGGAAAGAGGTAACACAAAGTTGGTGCCAGCTTCAATAACGCATGCCTGACGTCTTAGAAGGTCGGTAACTTTTTCTGATTTAGCGTACACCTCTATGGATCCAGAGTCGATGCTTTTCTCTGTATAGGTCAAATATTTTATATATCAAGAACATATTAAGAAATGGAAAAAACAAAAAAGAGGGTTGAAATTTGCGAAGATCACAACAAATTATAACGTACTTGCATAACCGAATACCGTAATGCTTAGCTCGAAGTCTTCAGGCCCAATCGGGTTTGGAGATATCTCCACATGAGTGACGTTACCGAAATCGTATCCACTTTCTACAACAGTCGCAGAGATTAATTTTGAGACTTATGAGTCAAGCAAAAGTCAAAAACTTGGTTCTATACATCTTTCTTACAAAAATAAATCCAAAAATCGAGGCCTGTTTATTATTATTATTGACTTAAAAAAAAGAAGAATATGAGTTCTATACTTCTACTAACACACACAAAACATATTAACATATACATATATAGAAAATAAGAATACCAAATCCACACGGACCACACCACACTTACTGTTGCAGTATTCGAAATCGACGGCACGTAATGCAGGTAAGGAGAAGAGGGATACGAGTAGAATAAGCATAGGCTGGACGTGAGATACCGCCATGATTCAGTTCGTTGAACTTCAAAGAGGAAAGAGTTTTTTCTGTTTGTGTTATGTTATTACTTCCACGCGGACCACGCCTATGATTTTATAGTCTATAGATTATATTAATACTGAATTTTCTAAATCAGTGATATATCCCTGCATCTTGCGATATTTAATCTCCCACGTTATACACGAGAACGTAAATTAAACTATCATTGGTATTGTTAATGCCTTATCACCTACTTTTTCATTTACAAGCACGTGGATTCATCTCGGAGAAATTAAAGCTTTAGCTATTCACTGAATCTGTCTTAAAAAAAGGAGTTTTTGTTGTTTTTTTCTAAATTGTAAATATCAATAGATAAAAAAAGATTTACATAGCAAACCTAAAGTCTGCGCTACTTTGATAAAAAAGAATTAAAAAACAAGGCAGAGCAAAGTGGTTACAAGTCTAACAAGTTATCCTGACGTGAAAATTTATCTGAGCCAAAGAAGCATAAGATTCCAGAAATGCTTTTTGTGTCTTCTTGCAAATATTAAGTTGCGCAATTCCCTGTCGATACTCTTGAAGATCACATGAGCAGGGATGGCAGTTTGGTTGTGGAGAACATTGTTTCTCTGCTTCCACAAGTGAAATATCGTTGTTTGCACGACGAGCTTCCTAAAGAGAGACGGAGACGAAGCGGAGCTATCTCTGATCCATGATAAAAGCTCAGGCCAATTTTTAAATAGCGGCTGCGGTGAATTTAGATGAGAGATCGCAAGATGCCAAACATCCACACTGAAGTCACAGGTCAAAAGAAGATGGTCCCTAGTTTCGGTGGAGGAAGAACAGAGACAGCAAGTAGGTTGGATCTGCATTCCCCAAGCTGCTAAACGAGCTCTGGTAGGTAGACGGTTTAAATTGGCAATCCACCTGGTGAATGAGTGCTTGGGGATACAACCCTTGAACCAAATTAGATCCGACCAAGGTTTCTTCGCTGCTCGAGGTCTCATTACCGACCAAGTATCAAAAGCGGTATAGGAAGCACAGACGTTACCATGGAAAGATGAGCATGAAGGTTTAAGGCCTCATCAGTTCTGGGGCAGCGAGAGTCCAACGAGTGGCATTTGCAGCAGAAGCGACGACAACATGTAGAGGAACTTGCAAACTCCTCGGACCACCATCCCCAACATAATTAATAAGTTGCCTGAATGGAGTCCAAATATCATACCAAAACCGAATAACCTTTCCATCACCCAGAACACCCTTGATGAACTTCAGGGCATCTGGCCGGAGCTTGAGAAGCTGATTCCAAGTCATTGATTCTTTCAAAGCCCAAAAACTTATATTTCTTAAATGGTGGATGTTCTGCTACTGAACCCACAGAGATGCGCCATTGGAGAAGAGAAGCCAGATGAACCGAAAGCAGAGAGCTCTGTTCCAAGTTGAGAGGCGGCGAAGACCGAGACCCCCTTCATCACGAGGTAGGCATACAGTGCTCCATGCCACCTGAGTTTTTGTTGTTGTTAGTTAAAATGTTAAGATTATAAAATAAAGGGGTTTGTTTTTTTTTTTTTTAATGAAGAAATTTAATCTCAAATATGATCCATATACTTTGGGGAATTGATTGTTTGATTTTCGGAATCTTTAAAACAAGCAAATGACAAAACATTAATACATATACAGTATATTTTTTTTACAAGTCGGATTAATTACTGGAGCATTGGAAATAATTAAGTGGGACATTCTTTTAAGAAAGGGCCCTTTTTAAAATTGCCAGACTCTAAAGTCCATAGAGTGAATAGACAAAGTGGGCTATGCGGACCTTAAATTGGGCTCCTTAGTTTGGGTCTACTGGATCAAAGAGTAAAATGGAGTTACTTATAAACAAAAAAAAAAGTAAATGTTGCACCAGCCGGGAATCGAACCCGGGTCTGTACCGTGGCAGGGTACTATTCTACCACTAGACCACTGGTGCTATTGTTAACGTATTTGCTTAATACTTTTAATATATCATATCTGTTTATTTTGAAAATGGAGCAAAATCCACCGTTCGTTGAAGCTGATACTCTTCTCTGATTCGTCCAAAAATAATAATCAAACAAGTGTCGCCTAAATAAATGTTTTAAAATCGCATACCAAATCCGATCAACAAAATAAATTGTAATCAATTTCTCAAGTGAAAAGAAAAAAGAGAGATCTGAGTATGGAAGATAGCGTAATACAGATACAGCGCCCAGGAGTCACGCAACCTAACAGGTGACGTCATCACAGTGATTCTTTCTGTACTACTACCCCCATGGGCCCATTCTCTGTATATGGTTCGGGAGAATAATAAATAATCAAATACCATCTTATCAAAAAATATTATGACATGACTTAAATTACTTCCACATATTTAAAATATTTATAAGAAAAAGAAATAAATTCATGGCATTTCTTAAAATATTGTTTATCATCAAAATTATTAGAGAAGTTAAGTTACTATGCACAGATAGCTTTAAATAATGCTCAGAAAAAATTTTATATAACTTATGCATTATCATATTCATGGTTAAGAGATATTTATCCTCTAACTTGTGTGCTCAATCATGCATTTTGTAGCTACATTTATTCATTGTGCACTATGTTATGGTTTGACATTCTTTAGTCGTATATCTTAATTTTATCAGAACAGTTGTTAAAATTGTACATAAACCATAAAATCACAAAGCTTTTCACATAGATACTTAGTTGGATTTGATGGAACATAACATAATATAGTCGTCAACAAGTGGTGTGGATTTGTCGTTTTTTTTTGTTGTGATATGACCATTTATTAATCTAATTTAAAGCTCCTATCTAATTTGATTAAAGAGCAATAATTATACATATATATCGGTTCAACTTAAAAGAAAAAAGCATCGAATGACTGATGTGATTTATACTTTAAGAAGTGAGTTGTATTATTTTTCCATGTGCCAAAATATGGTATTGGTACCATGATATATGGTTTCTATTTTCATAATTCTCCTTTTTTACATTTCGTATCAAATTCTTTTTTAGGTCGTGTAAAACTTTAATTAGTAGTTCTTCTACATAAATCATGATGTTTCGTACCTGTAAGTGTAAAAATTAATCTAATGACTCTAATTAATTCACGGGAGAGTAAAACTGATTACTACGATTTTATTTGGGGCGCGTGGAGTGTACACGCGAGTGGATGGAGAATGAGTAGATAGAGTATTACTTTCTGAAGACGTACGGAGTTTTGTGAAGAACGAGAAACGCCGTTACATCAACTGACGGCAAACTCGGTGGATTCTCGCTAAGCAAAAGATTTGTGCAGAGACAATCAAACGTAATAATGTTTTATTTTCTTTTAAAAAAGAAAAGTCTAAACGACGTTAGCATGACGACGTCACCTGAAAATCCCAATGGACATTTATCAGAACTTGAGTACTTGTAAGCTACTTTAATTAACTCATACTAAATTTTGTACTGTCTCTATAGGTTCACACTAAAATAGTTTTTTTTTTTCTTTCTATTCCCCTTGCTGTATATATAATATACTATCCAAGAAAATAAAAATGATTAAAAATCCATGGAATGAACCTATTTATTTGATTTTGCTTATTGTGGTTTCAATGAGCTCCTACCAAAATCACAAATTCAAAATTATGCAGAGTTGGGTAAGTAATCAAATCATGCACATCTAGGTTCTGCTTTAATTATTCTAATTAAAAAACATATATAGTATCGATTTGCGAAAAAAATTGCTCTAATTGTTAAAGAGAAAACAAATATTTCGAACAGATAGTCATATTTCTATGTCACGGCATATTGTAATTTATAATAACCCTATCGGAAGAACTTTTACCAAAGTCAACTATACAAGTTACATCAACTTAGTTTATAGAAAGAACGATTATTTCTTAATCAAATCATCTTCGATTGCTTTAAATCCTCTTTAGTTATCAAATAAAGAAATTTCAGGTCGCCTATCATTGCTATAAAATGCCGAATAGAAGCAACGATTGAAGTATGACTTCTTATCTCAGACATTAGGGTTCGAGTCCTTCCTTTACCATAGTGGGATCAAATGTATATGCCAGTGGCTCCCACCAGAAAAAAGATTATATCTATTTATTTACAGTTTTTGTCAAAAAGATTACCTTAAGTTAAATTCCAATAGTTCTTGTGGTTGGGATGTTACCAAGCCATTAATATTTTGTGCATTATTATGTTTTCACTTTCTGAACTTTTATACGAAAGAGGTTTAAAATGTTCATACATTCTTAGGCCGGGAACGAATAGTTTAATAATTATGGACACTACAACAAGAGTCGCAAAACACCAATAGTATATACAGAGAGTGCAAAACACCAATAGTATATACAGAGAGTTTTTCAAAAAAAAAAATAATGGAAAGAACGATTGCTTGGAAAAATATTCATATAATGTGGGTAAACCCGTGATGTAATGTAAAAAGAATAAGAGAAGAACTAATAATTACGTGCACTTTAATTTACTGTAATACTTTATTGGAGTGCATTGGTTCTTTTTCAATTTTGTGGTCCATCTTAGCCAAAAGAGGAAATACTTTATTTATAAATAAATACAACAGGAAATTTTGTTTCTGCTTAATGTTCGAAACACATTTTCAAATGATTTACGTCGCATTATTCCCATGCAAACGAAAATCCTCTAATGATTATTTCAAACACGATTATTACAGTACAGTGGAATTTACTTTTCCGTTTTTGATCATTGTCTAGCAGATCTTAGATTGCAAATTTATTCGTTACGTTGTTGAACATAAAATCTAACTCACTGAGAATAATTGCAATTTTGCCATTCTTAAGAATTTTTTTTTATCAACTGTAAATGCATGGCTGATCGCACTAATTTTTATTAAAATATTTACTGTATATGTTGATATATATTGAGTAACGATATGTTACTATGGTTTACCTTAGCAATTTGTTAAAAATAAACAAAAACCATTGTTATTGCTCTTCAACTCTATACAAACAAAAACAAAAGGCTATATACCAAAAAAGAATTGAATTGCACAATGCATTCTCGTTAAATTGTTGCGGGAACATACCATCCACGCGTACTAGAGCGATCAGTATGATTAAAATTTCAAGAGTAAAAAGGTATTTAGTCTTTTATTTTTGTGTGCAAAAAATGAAATTTAGTCCAGCAAAATAAAAGAAGAAAAACGACAAAAAGAAGACTTAAAAAGTAGTAGAAATGTCAGTAAGTATGTGAAAGACTGAGACACAGAACAGTTTGTACAAAGAACCTGTTCGATTGTCACCGGTTACAGCCGGTCACCTTCTCCCGATTTCCCATATAGCCTCTCCCACCAAACCCGGGACTTTTCACTTTTTCAGTTCATAACTTTAAATCATTTTTATACAGACCTCTAATTTGCATTTAGCATAATAAAATATCCGCAGCAATTACCAAATTCCAAAGTTGACGATAGTTAAAACGATTTTTTTTTTCACTAAAAAAGATATGGAATATCATGTATCTCTTTTTAAAATTAAGTTTTAGGACATAAGTAAATATAAACTACTATTCACTAAAAAATTGTTATTTTTTAACATATTTTCAAGAATTTTGTAGATGCGATCAAATAAATGAAGTTAATGTGTATTGGTATGACGCAGAATATTATGCAACCAATTGCTACAACAGAAGAATATAATGCAACCCAATTGGTACCAAGGTCGAATAATTTGTATTTGTTAATTGTTATTTTGTGTTCAAGGTTTACACGCATCCTGATTAATTATGATTCATAATCGTGAGAAAATAACAAAGAAATCACCCGAATCGTTTAACTTCACTAAAAATGATATGGAATATTGAATTGAAAGAATATCAATGACAGGCCCGAGATGTAGCATGTATGTCCTTTTTTTTTTGTCACGTATGTCTTTTTTAAATTAAGTTTTAGGACATAATTAGTAAATATAAACTACTGTTCAGGAAATCAAGTAAATAAGTAGTAAAATTCTACGGAATCATGAAACATTTTCATCATTCTATGATTACCTATGAGAGCATTAACGAGCTAGTAAACAAACACCAAAAGATGATCCTTGACCAAAATTGTAATGCTCAATAAATTCTTCCGCCTAAACGTTACACATCTACAAAACAAAGATATTTTAGATATTTTAGTTTTCGAACTAAATAATACTAGCTATGAGAAAAATGATGATATACATATTCTTGATCGTGCTTCAAAAAGAAAGCAAAAGAAGCCTCTTTCTCTCTCTCTCTTAACCTCTCGTTTCACCGTCACCATTATCTCTTACACTGTTACTCTCTCTCTCTCTCTCTCTCATTCTGCATCTCGGAATCATCCTTTCTCCATGGCCGATGCTTACGAGCCATACCATGTTCTTCAACAAAGCCGGCGAGATAAGCTTCGGATTCCTTCTATCGATTCTCACTTCCACTTTCACCCTCCTCCTCCTTCTTCCGGCAGCGGCAGCGTATTTCCTCTCGCCGACTCCGATTTCCTCGCCGCCGGTTTATTTCACTCCAACAACAACAACAACAACAATAATCCCATATCCAACCCTAGCTACAGTAATTTCATGGGATTTCTCGGTGGCCCATCTTCCTCTTCATCCTCCGCAGTCGCCGTCGCCGGAGATCATTCCTTTAACGCCGGTCTTTCTTCCGGCGACGTCCTCGTCTTCAAACCCGAGCCGTTATCTCTGTCTTTGTCTTCTCACCCTAGACTCGCTTACGATCTAGTTGGTCCCGGCGTTGTTAACTCCGGATTCTGTAGATCCGCCGCTGAAGGCGCCGCCGCCGCTGTCACCATCGCGTCGAGAAGCTCCGGTCCTCTCGGACCGTTCACGGGCTACGCATCGATTCTGAAAGGATCGAGGTTCTTGAAACCAGCACAGATGCTTCTTGATGAGTTTTGTAATGTGGGTCGTGGGATTTACACCGACAAAGTCATCGACGACGACGATTCTTCTCTGCTTTTTGATCCGACGGTTGAGAATTTCTGCGGCGTTTCTGACGCCGGCGGAGGAGAAAATGGGAAGAACAAATCAAAACTCATCTCCATGCTCGACGAGGTATGATATTGATACTTGATAGACAGTTATTAATTTATAAATTTATTAAATACCTATAAATTCTGATTTAAAGTATAGTCTTTTCTTGTAGCTATGTGTATTATTGTGTTGAATATTCATAGTTTATGGTCGTCGTCCTTTGAATTTGGAGACAAAATGTGATAAATGATATGTTTCTTAAAAAGATCTTCCTTGGAAAATGAAACTCCTTCAAAGCCTTTTTAAAATTATGTCGTTTTTATTATATTTTATCTCCCTCATAATAAGAGGATGGGTTATTTTAATTAAACGTTCCCTACGTTTTGCATGAATAGAAGATGTTATTGAGTCCACATTAATACACGATAGGTCTACAAGGCTTGCCCTCCTCTTACTTCTTAGCTTACTTTTTTTTAATAGAAATTTAAGGTTATACTATATAAATGATATTATCTTCGGGACGTAACTTTAGCCCTATAGAGCTTCCTTGTCTTGATCTAAATTTGTGAATTGGATTCTTTATTAGGGATATGAACTTAAAGTGATAAAAAGAGAATTTTCTTCTTTATGAAAGGGAATATATTCACAAGATTAATATTTGATCCTAAAGTCGGGGACTTGAAGATTTTAATTAGTTTATTCCGAGGTATATAACATACTTTTTGAGCGAGGAAGCCATTGGAGTTTATAATTACACGTTTCTATTATATATTTGGTTCGAATCTAAAAACACTTTCATGTGACTTTTTACAAGGTTTACAAGAGGTATAAGCAATACTATGAGCAGCTTCAAACTGTGATGGGCTCATTCGAATGCGTCGCTGGTCTAGGGCACGCAGCTCCTTATGCGAGCTTAGCCTTGAAGGCATTGTCTAAGCATTTCAAATGTTTGAAGAATGCTATAACGGACCAGCTTCAAGTTAGCGCCAATAACAAGATACAACAACAATGTGGTCATGCGATGAACTCTGAGAATAAGACTGATTCTTTGAGATTTGGAGGAAGTGATAGTAGTAGAGGCTTGTGTTCTGCTGGTCAAAGACATGGATTTCCTGATCACCATGCTCCTGTCTGGAGACCGCACCGTGGCCTACCCGAACGTGCTGTTACCGTTCTGAGGGCTTGGCTCTTCGACCATTTCTTGCATCCGTAAGTTACCTTTTTTGGCCATATATATGCTTTTGAAAGCATTTGATTTGAGTTTGAGCTTACTTCTAACTATGCTACGCGTTAACCATGTCAATTTGATCAGACCATCAATAAATTTCACTGAAGTTACACTTGCAACTTGACATAAGCAAAGTCCAATATCCGTATAACTATATGTCTATATCATATCTTAATTTGATATTCATGTGTCAGGAAGACATGAACCACATTATATATATGCTTGTGAACAAATATCTATAGATGGAAAAGCATATATATATATATGTATGTATAGAAGTGTATGATAACTTCGAAGTATGTTTTAGATGGGACATGTCGAAAGCTTGTTTGTTTCTCAGACTTGGATATGTCGCTTTATAAGTGTAATTATGTGTGTGCATATGTAAGTATATATTTGTGAGATATTAAATTATTGTTGTGTGTCTTTTGTTGCAGTTATCCGACTGATACAGACAAGCTCATGTTGGCTAAACAGACAGGTCTCTCCAGAAATCAGGTTTTCACTTCTGATATCTTCAGCTTTTTTTTTTCTTTTTCTTATTGTTTTCTTTCTTCTTCTTCTTCTTCTTCACAGATAAATTTCTTGCTATATAATTAACCGCATAGGCTTATAAAATGAGGTTATAAAATGACATTTTCAATATAACAAATAAAAATATATTTAATATTCAAATGTTTTTAACAAAATACTACACGATCATGCGGTAAAACATACGAAGAAAACAGTTGCCAAGTGTATTTAGATCACTGTAAGGGATTCAATTTCTTATTATTATTATTATTATTATTTTTAACTCATCGGAAATTAACTCCTTAGGTTATTGATGGTTAATTGATAATTAATGCTTATTCAGGGATTTAGTTTCCTGAAGGTCACGTATTGTTGGGGGATTATTATTTTCAGGTGTCGAATTGGTTTATAAACGCACGAGTTCGGGTTTGGAAACCAATGGTGGAAGAGATTCACATGCTGGAGACTCGACAATCTCAGAGATCATCTTCTTCTTCTTGGAGAGACGACCGTAGCACCACCACCGTCTTCCCCGACAACAACAACAACAACCCATCTTCCTCGGCCGCGCAACAACGAGCTAACAACAACTCATCTCCTAGACGAGCTCGAAACGATGAAGACGTCCATGGGACCACCAACAACAGCAACAATAACAACAGCTTTCTTAACGCTGGGAACGGTGGAAGCGGTGCGGTTAGCTTCCCATACGGTATTGCGTCGTCCAATGTCCCGGGGATGAGTAGCAGCACTAATGGTGGAGTGTCGTTGACGTTAGGGCTTCATCATCAGATTGGGTTGCCTGAGCCTTTTCCGATGACAACTGCTCAGAGGTTTGGGCTTCACGGTGGCAGTAGTGGTGGCGGTGGAGGAGGTGAGTCCTACGGTGGTGGCGGTGGCTATGAAGGGCAAAATCGTCAGTTCGGGAGAGATTTTATTGGAGGTAGTAATCATCAGTTTCTACATGATTTTGTAGGATGAGATCAATTGTGTGGGAAGAAAAAAATTTGTTTGACGTTTGGATAATGTATTGAGATATGGGAAATTGTATTGCATATGATGTGTATATTGAGAATGTTTTTCATTTTTTTTTTCCTTTCGAAAAGTGAAATCTTTCTAAGGAATGAAATTGAAGTGAAACTGATAATCCATTTCGAATAAACCGAGTTATGTTGTTGTTAATTAATTGTTAAAAGGATGTTCACTTTTCCAACGTTTAAGAGCCTGAAGTAACTGAACCACTGAGTAGCTCAACTATTTGTTTTGAAACCCTAAAATTTGTCAGAGTAATTGACCTATTTGTTTAGACTTTTAAGTAATTGAAATGAATACAGTTTTGAACCTTTCTTGATATTTGTTTAACTCGACTAAAAACAAAACAAATTCAAACCGGATTTAACACACAATTCCAAATAGTTTGGTTTAAGTTTTTATTCGGTTTGTATCCCTTCCAATAATGATACAAGGGTATCAGGCTTGGCTTTTGAAGAGCCCATGATATCAAAAGAAGAAAAATTGTGCTGTTGTTGCTTCAAATAACTTTGCATTTGCTTTTGGAAAACAAGGAAAGATGTATAACCTTTCCCTCTCATTAGAAAAGAAGAAATAAGACAAAATCTTTTGTTGTTACAGAATTTATTCTCCTAACCATTTTCACCCTTTTTTATACACCTTTATGCTTTATTTTCCAATATAAGCATTCATTCATGAATTACATGTCTATATAAAATTAAATTAGAAATGATTAGTTTTTTTCTTTTTTGAGCAAATGATATAGTGTTCTTATGTTGTTCAAGCTCATATATATAAGAAACTGCATTCATTTGTTTTTAGTTGCACGAGGATTGCTCGAATTAATAGAATCAAACTAGTTGTTTTGGTTCTCAACGTAAATTTCTACTTTAATAAGAAGATGTGAACATATGTTAGCTGACTGTCTTTTCCTTTATTTGAAATTCAATAATTGGAAAAGAATCGGTTCATGTGATGAGTCGAGATAAGAAATAAATTCAGTCAAACAAAATTTCAAAGAATATTTGTATATTAAAAAGCAAAAGAAATTTTTTTTCCATCATTGGCTCGTAAGAACAAAGAATCAATTTCTCATGATTTGATCACTCACAATCATTCTCCTTTATGTGGATGCGGAAAAACACCCTCCACACGTTTTATGTAAAAGAATTAATTTAAAATTCAAATCTAATACATATTATTATTCGATTTATTCTTCAATATTTTCAACAAAATTATCTTCAATTTTCAAAAGATTATTAGGATTTGACCAGCTTGTTGGAGAAAAGTTTAGAAGTAGGGTAGAAATATACTGTATATGGAACCGGGTGATTTTTTAGAAGTACGCACTTTCCGAAAAGAATGATTTCGATTCGACTATTACCAACGCATAACACGGACTATATAAGTTTTAAGATACCAAGAAAAACAAACATTTTTACGCTTGGTCGACATAACAGTCACAAAAAATGTTTTTGGTGAAAAATAAAGATAACACATAGGACCTAATTGTTACCCAAAATAATTAAAAAACATATAGGACCTAATCCTAATGTGTGCATTTCTTCTACGAGGTGTCAATCAAAACTTCTGAACCTTGTCATATGGAACTTCTAATTAACTTTCATGCAATTCAACTAACCTTATATTATTAAGTTCAAAATATGGAGTTTATTTCAACACATAGACCCTAATGCACCTTCCGTATAATATACGTCTAAGTGCATACAGATTGCTAAGTCCATAAAACACCATATTAATTAATTTCCTAGTCGGTACAAAGTTGGCATAAATAGAATTCATAGGATGTTTAATGAACCGACTGGTTACTTAAAACCTTCCAACAAAACTATGAAGACTACAACATATCGACATGGAATTTCGCATAAATGCATTTCTTTTAGTTCATCATATTAAGAAACTTTTAGTCATAGTTTTCAAGATCTCATATATAATTCGTCCACTACTTCCGATAAAATCAATCTAAACAAAACACGTTTATGCAAGCAAAGCTATGTACATGCAACCTTAGACAATATTAGACACGTCACGTGTACTGTGTACATATTATATAATATAATTAAGTAGTATTAATATTGATCTATGTATATATGCTGAACTCAAGATAAATGTAGGAATACATAAGAAACCATGGACAAGACAAGATATTGTCTTTCTGTATGAGTATTTGTTCCAGAAGCATTAAACCATTGGAATAAGTATTATTCTTTTGAACCATTACTATTTTTAAGCTTCACCGCCTCTATATATATATTCTCACCATCAACGACAACAAAAACAAGGAGAAATAAGAAGAAGAAGAAAAAGGTCTTTGGTGATGAACGGGTAATCTGCATCCTGAGGTTTAAAACTCTCTAAGCATATACATATGCGAATGTCTAGTTTTGATCCTCGGGATACAGATTACCTCTTCCTTACTCGTACTGCAATATACAACACCTACTCAAGAAAAGACTTAATTAGCTTTCATTTGTTTGGAGAAAGAGGAAGCATCACATTATCACATCTTCTCCGTTGAAATTGGTTTGCAATTGCTCAAAGATAATCCTTTTTTTTTAACACATCTCAAAGATAATCCTTACTTCCTTAATTTTACTCTTTTCGTCCTTTATAACAGGAATTTCCGAGTTGAAGGTTAGCAAACATGATATACAAAGGATATATGAATTACGTTATGCCTAACTTTAATCACTTAATATAAATACGAATTGCATTGTAAAGCTTCAAAGTTCTGGATATTTCGAGATATTAAGAGAATTATTACAGAATAAGTGAAAGTTTTTATTTGGCGGATTTTTTTTTTGTTTAAAAGTTTTGTACCTTCTAATTTTACAAATGCAAGCCTGATGTTTTTTTATAAAATATTGTTTTTCATACTTCGTTATAACTTCTCTAACTTGATTTCTGAATAATAATTACATGCAAAATCAAATGTATTAACAACGATGTCAAATCGTCAAATGATGCCAAATATAAAATTTGATTATGCACAAACCATATTCACTTATCAATTGATTGATGGATGTGAATGAAAGATACATGAAAACGTAGATTGGTATGGTAGATGTATATAAGGGAACCGGCCGGGTATATACGTACGAAAACATGTGCTATATGTATACGTACATTTTAGCTAGGTTTATGGTTTTTTTTTTCTACTTCATTTGTTATCCACAGGTGATGTACTTATGCAAGTGAAGAATATATTCATTAATCATTTGGTCTAGTCACAAGAAGTGGAATATGATTTTAATATTTGTAAAAGTCCAGAATATTATTATTTGATCCTATCTAGTCCTTTCAAAATATTGAACGTGAAGGTTTGAACCTTTTCCATTTTATCCGATGTAACTATTTTACAACAATAGATTCTGAGATTTTATATATGTTAATTCAAAACTTTAAATAGTTGAATACTCAGATGTTTATAAAATTTTGTTTTTTTGAAACGGCGACTCGTAACTTAAAAACTTGAATGAGCAATAATAAACGTGAATGCGTAAATCACCTCTATCCATGTCAGTGTAATTACCGCAATTTATCTGTTATCAACGAGTTATGACTGCCGGTTCTAGTGAAAAACCGAGGTTTTGGTTCGTGTTTAGAATCTATTTTTGGTTTATGGATATAGAAAACATATACTATAAAACCGTTTTCGTCAAACTAGACTATAAATTCAGATCAGTTTTTAGTTCGTAAAGAATCGAATCAGTGCTGGTTATCCACATTTAAATATTTCTAGTGGAGAATATGGATAACTTAATTTTTATATAATTTCTAAAAATTATTTTACGTAATTGAACCGGGTAAGCCTCGGCTCACACAAAATGTGGTCTACGCATAAGGAAAACCAGGACTAAAGGGCGTAAATGTCATTTGACAAAAGAGACGCGTGGCGTGCTCTTTAACATTTCCCACAATGCAATGCATTGAAAAAGCGATAAAGACTTTTCATTTCGATTATAATACAATCCCTGCACGAAATCGGTTTTTCTTCATCTTCCCAGATTTCTCTCGCGATCTCTCTTCGAGGAAGCTTTGATTTGATCATAATCGGTCGACTCTGTGAAGATTATTCTTATTGTTTGCTAGGGTTTAACACTGATCGGATTCTGGGATTTGGAGAGTTGAGTTTGTGATCGGAGATTTTCACGAGGTCATGGATTGGGGAAATGTGACGGTTGAGGATCTCGTCGATGCTCTCCGAGAGGTTGACTGGTCGTCTCCGCCGCGTCCGCTCTCTGAGTTCTTCTCTAGGTTCACCGTTCCTAAATCTCTCGCGAAATGGGATAGCCGCCTCAAGTGCAATCTCTACTAGTACGATCACTCTCTCTCTCTCGTCTCTCTACTTGTCTCTCTTGTTCGCTAGCTAGGTCTATCATTTGGCAGATTGATTGTTTAATTGTTCAATTTGGTGGCTGGTGAGAGTCATGTTTCACAATATTTATTCGGATCTGTATCTGTTGGTGCGATTAATCTCTAAACAATCCCGTTGAGAATTTACCGATCTTATTCGTCCCGATTGCTATATTATTTTACCTTATTGCATCATAAGATAGTAATTTGAGCGTAATATTGACCTGTGATGATGTATTTTTGCAGCTACCGTACAAACTATTTCATCATGATCGTCTTTATACTTGGTAAGTGATGTGAGAAAGTGGCAAGTCACATATCTGTATTTGATACTCCTACTTGAAAATGTCGAAATTTTACTTTGCAGGATTGGGATTTCTGACAAGGCCTCTCGCGATTCTCTCTTCCCTTTTGACAGCACTAAGTGTGGCATTTCTAAATGACAGGTTTTTGGTTTTTCTTCCTTCTATTGTTTTCAAGCTGATTAGATCTCACACCTTTGAACTTCTGGATATATTTCTATGTAAGTTAGGATCCTTATTGGAACAGAATCCATAATGACGATTATTATCTACAGCTTTGCAGGTTCCTTTAGTGAGAAGGCGACACGAACCATCAGAAGATTCTCTCCACCGTTAGCTGCTAAAATGAGACCTCCATTGACGTATGTTTATTGTTTGCCTCCCCTTATTACGTTTCTTACTCTTTGTTACTTGTTTATAATCTATATTATGTGTGCTTTATAGACCTGTCATTCGTGGACGACCATCAGCAAAGAGAGCAATCTATATATGTGGTCAACCTCGTTGGGTCTTCGTCTTGATATTCTCACTTGGTATGTGGATGCATATATTTTTCATTTGATGAGAAACTTTATTGGAATATATTCTGAAACCATTTGGAATTATGTTTTCAATATTTTTGTTTCGCAGTGAGTTTTGCCCTTTGGTATATTTCCTGTGGTTTGTTCACCGTCTCTTTGGCACTACTCATTGGACTTCTTGGTATGCCATCTACACAAATTGTCGTAACTTAGTTTCTCTTACATCCCTTATAACCTTTTTGTTATTTGTGGTACAGCTACAGTTCTTCATGCAAGCTTAAGAACACCAAATTTGAAGGCACGTCTTAATACATTCAGGGAGGAATTTCGAGCAGTGTGGCGTAACTACAGTGAGATTTAGAGTAATGTAAGTTGAAAAAACCTTGTTCTTGTTCAACTTAAACCTTTTCATCTCAACCACCAGAGTTTATGGAACTATATGATGCTATAGTGAACTTCCAGAATCCGTTTTGTTCTTGAATTTAATATTGAAAAAAACCTAAACTGCACATTGGTGCTTAATTGGACGGTTATTTATTTGAAATGTTTAACATATTCCTCAGCTTGTGGTTTTGTCCCGGGAACCTAACGCGGTGAAGATCAACCTTACAGCATTTCTTGAAGATAGAACCAGTCTCTGTTCTCTGGTTTTTGGCTCTGGATTGGTCCTCCATGACTCGGTTTATCTGTTTCTTGATCTGGTTTTGCTTTTTGTAGCAAAGTCGTCTTTTTTCTTTGTTAGAAAGACTTGTAAAGCCAGCTTTTTTGCTGTTCTTGTTTTTCCGAACATCTTTATGAATTATGATGCATTACTGTACAAATCCTAGAGTCGTTAACTTTACAGGTTGTATTTTTATTTTTCTTTCCTTAGAATTCGAGTTCTAGATGAGTTGAATGGAATCTAAACAATAGCTAAAATGTAATCTAAATAATAACTAAAATGAAAAAAATACAAAGCCTAACGAAGAGTGTTTTGCTCAAATTTTTTTTTTTTTTTGCAAAATAATTGGAAAAAAAATGTTGCCAGTAGTGCTTATAGGGGAAAACGTATTATTATTTCCATTTTCTAAACCGAAAACTCGAAAGGAAAATCGTACACGTGGCAATATTGTCAACAAGCAACAACTCTTTCCAATAAATTTCTGAATCATCATGGATCATGGTGATATCAAGTTCATCTACGATAAACTCAAAAGTTTTGAAGTAAAAACCTCACCTAAAAGTTTCACTCTTATTCTACTGAACAAAGTTCTGTTTTACTTCTCAACAAAAGACTTAAGATCCTTGAGCCATTGAAGATACTCTCTGCTATCTTTGTTGGCCACGTAATCTGCCAGAAAGTCAGTGAAGCTCGGTTTGATCCCCCTGATCTCCAAGAACCTGTGGAAAGCCTTCTGCAAGTTCTCATCCAAGTCACTGCACAAAACCCAAAATTCAATCACACAACAATATCCAATCTCATATATTGCAACAACGCGCTATGATTGAACAGAGCTTACTCAAAGTCAGGTCCTTCGTAAGCAAGCTCATTGTCAGATCCTTCAGGATGTTTGATCGATAAACTATCAATCACAATCTCATCAGCGTAGGCGCTGACTCCAAACTCAAGACAGACACCATCACCTTTCGACACACTCACAACCATTGGAATCCGGATCTTGACCGAGTTTTCTTGCTCTTCTTCATCATCGTTTTGTTCCGCTTCTTCTTCATCATCATCATAAGGTGCGCTAGAGTCAACTTCCACTTGGATGGTTTCATCCTCAAATTTCCTTTGTAGCAACACAGTTCTCTCCCCTGGAGTATCAATGATTTCAAAAGGAAACCCTTCTGGCTTATCTTCCAACTGTTTTTCCACAATTTTTAGTAAACGAGAATTCAAAATTCAGATTGCTGTGCGAATCATAAAGAAATCGACATTGTTACTCAAATTCAGATGCAATTGTCACACATCTTGACTTCGATTTAAATCAAGAAATGATTCAACACAGAACACAATAAAAATCATGAAATAATTTAACACAGATCACAGAGAGAATCTAGCAGATACCTACAATGGGAGTATCATAAAAACTCGATATTGTTACTCAAATTCAGATAAAGTTGTTCTAAAATCAAACAACTCTGCAACCTAAGAAATGTAAACTTCATGTAAGTTAATAGAATGCATCTGCACTTTAACCGAAATCAAATCATTTAGCGCATATACATATATCGAAACATAAAACTTACGACGTTTTCATCAGGTGCCTCCTCGTTCACGGCGCATTCAATTTCAGATTCGAGAACGCTAACCAGATTCTCGTCGGCGGTTTTTTTAGTGACGACACTTTCCGACGAAAATCTCGAGAAAGAGATAATCGATCCACGGCTGAGCTGCTGGCTACCAAGAATCAGTCTCTCGGCGGAGACGGCGCCAGTGCGGAGGCTCACCGGAGATCTAACTGCACGAAAGGCAAGAGTGGCCACTGTCGACGAGGCTCGACGAAACACGGTGCTTAGCGACATTTTCGGTGGATTCTAGGGTTTAGCTGAATCGAGGAGGAATGGGGCTACACGAGACGATCGAAATGAGGGTTTTACTGAGAGAGATTGAGGTTTAAGGTGTCTAGTTTATACATATTGAAATCTCTAGCATATAATAAAATCCGAAGAGGCCCAATATTTTACTGGGCCACTAGAAGCCCACCTTTTGGCGGCTGTATGATTCTTGTTTGGAACGGAAAACCTATTGACCAAATCCGGGAGGGAGATTTTAACAAATTTGTGCTGAGATTGTATGAATCAATCCTGACGTTTTCAAATTATTATTATTTTTTTTTTATCGTTAATGAAATTTAAAACAACAAAAAATTGGTGGTTTTTTTATGGACGACAATCAGGCACTGGAATAAGATAATATAAAAATATATTGTTAGAATTGAGTTAAGAACAATCACCATATTGGCGAAAATGTTCTTAAAAATAAAATATTCAAAGAGAGAAATTGGGATATTCGTAGAGTGAGGAGGGATGTCACTGTGCAGACACGTGCCAAAAGGCAAAAGAGAAAACAATAGCTCTCGTGCGTCAGAATTGCGTCACTTTCCGTCACTGTTTCTTCAATTTCGTTGGCTTGAAGTTTAGGGGAACATAATTGTTCCTCCAAAAACAGAAACAATTATGGTAGATACATCTTTTAATAATCAAAGCTCAAAAAGTTGTCTTTTTTTTTAGTGTTGGTTTTCTGGTGGATAGGCTCATAATTGATTGACCCACAATTTGGTTTCCTTAGGGTTTATGATCTTAAGTGAAAATTTCTTGAAGTATAGTGAGAGATTTCGGAATCTGAGGTTTTGGGTATGTGAATTTCTCAGATAAGATGTTGAGTTTAGGGTTTCTTATATCGATTTTGTGGCAAGTAGCGATTTTTTCTTAGCAGGGATTTTGGTGAGGAGCAGAGATTGAAAGTCTAGATTTTTTATTATATTCTTCTAGTTTCTGATTTGCTCGTGGTCGATGAAGAAGATGATCGGGAGTCCTGGAACGATGAGTGGATTGATATTGAGAATAGGGCAATGTGCAACCGCTGCTGCTTCGATCGGTGTTATGGTTTCTGCTCCGGGCTTCTCTAGTTACACTGCTTTCTGGTAACTTTCGATAGTGAGATGGAGTTGCTAATTTCTTGTTGATTACGATTGGTATGTCTGTTTTTATTGGAATCGATCTCATAGGTCGTGTCGTGCCTATTTGAAGACAGAATCAACATAACTAGTAATTGTGTCTGATTGTATCAGTTGAAATTTGCCTGAATCTTTAACAAAGTTTATTTTGTTTCTCTGTTATAGTGAAATGGGATTGTTCTATACTTTGGTTGCTGCATAATTATAATACATTTTGCTTATGATTTCAGCTTCTTAGTTGCATCTATGGGTCTTCAATTGATTTGGAGCTTTGGACTTGCGTGTCTCGATGTATATGCGATAAGGCGGAAAAGTGATCTACAAACCCCCATCTTATTGAGCCTATTCACTGTTGGTGATTGGGTACTGATTTTATTTTCCATTTCATTATAGCAAACACAGTTTCATTCGAAATGGTTTCTTATTACGCATTTTGGATGTTTCTGTTATAAAGGCTGAGTTTTTGATAGATTTCTGTTTGAACTCTGCAGGTCACTGCACTTCTCTCTCTTGCAGCCGCGTGTTCATCTGCAGGAGTTACGGTTTTATTCACAAAAGACACTGAATTTTGCAGGCAGACCTCTCTCTCTTGTGATAGGTTTCAGATTTCGGTCGGTTTAGCTTTCTTCAACTGGGTTTTGGCTGCTATATCTTCTCATGCGATGTTTTGGATCTTGACATGACATTTCAGCAAACCCATCTCCTTGATTTTACAAAAATCCATTTCTGCAAATCGTTTCTCTAATTCATAACCGCAAAAAAGGGCAAGGGTACAAGGTGAATCCTAAGACAACTGTGTCTCAGTAACCTCTTGCGCTAAAATATTGATAATGTATTCGATCTCATCAGCAACCTCTTTCATGGAAGGCCGGTTCTGTCTCCGCTCGTTAAGGCATGCCGATGCTAAATTCCCGAGCTGCTGCATCGTCTCCAGGTCAAGCTTACTAGCCGTCTTCTTCAGCAGCGGATCGATGCATTCAATCAGTCTCTCTTCATCCATCATCTTGTTTATATACATCACTAGGTTCACATCTTCCTCTTCCCTACTGAAATCTAGGGCCTTTTGCGATGTAACTATCTCCAGAAGCACAACTCCGAAGCTATACACGTCGCTCTTATCGGTGAGCTGGAAATTCCTGTAGTATTCTGGATCGAGATAACCCAATGTACCTTGCGCACCCGTGAAGATATGGCTCTCGTTATTAGCAGTTTCCGTCAAATCCACGAGCCTGGATAACCCAAAGTCTGAAACTTTGGCGTTTAACTTGTCGTCGAGCAAAATATTGCTGGATTTTACATCGCGGTGGTAAATGGGCGGCATTGCTGCGGAGTGAAGATACGCTAAGCCTTCAGCTGTTTGGTATGCGATCTGCAGTCTTCGTCGCCAAGTCAGCGGTTTCCATTGGCGATCTGGATCGCCATGGAGATGTTCGAATAGCGTTCCGTTGGGAATGAATTCGTAGATCAAGAGAGGCAGCTCGAGATCGACGCAGCAACCAAGAAGCCTAACTAAGCTTCTGTGATTGACTTGGCAGAGTATCCGAACTTCGTTTAGGATTTGATCGGTGCCTTTGGTGTTGTTAAGCGTTGCTCGTTTGATCGCAGTTATGGTTCCATCATCAAGAACAGCTTTGAACACTTCGCCAAAGCCTCCGGTGCCTATGAGATTGTCTTTTGAGAAATTGCTGGTTGCTTTTGTGATTTCTCTGCCGGTGAAGATTCTTGATGATTTTCCCGTGGATTTTGCGCTAAGCATCTCTTCTCGCTCCTTAACGATGTTCTTATGGATCTCTTTTTTAACCTTTTTGTGGCTATGTTTGTTTGCAAGAACCGCTACCGCAATCGCCAATGTAACTCCCACAACCGCAGCCGCCGCACCTTCAAGAGAAAGAATTTGATTTTTGTTTTTTTGGGTTTAGTTCATTTGTGAAAAAGTGAGTTTATATGTTCATCATCCTTAATACCTGCGAAAACAAAGGTCTTCTTCTTTTTCTTGCAGTGTTTCCCATGGCGACATTTACCACCTAAAACAGTTATGTTAAGAACCAATCAAAACACATTTATATATGATTCAAGAAATTTGATTTAGTGGTTCATTGGTAATGCGGTGTGCTTACATATGGCGTTAACCGGATCCCATTCCAGACCCTTTTTGCAGAAGCATCGTTTCAGACCGAGACTCGTTGGGTCAGGCAAGCACTTTGATTTACTCAACAAGAGGTTACAGTCTACATCCGTCTTGCAGACTGGTTCCTTAGGCAATGCCCATTGCAACTCGAGCCCCGGTTCAGGCCACTTCCCGGGAGGGGGTATCTCTTTGTTCGGATTCAACCCGACAAAGCTCTGGTACGCGAGACATCCTCCACCGTTGATCCTGATCGTGTAAGCGGTTTGAGACCCGTCGGTTCTAAAGGTGCAACAAAAGGGAGCCTTGGAACAAGCTGATGCGTTGTTCTTGACGTAGCTGTGGCATAAGCTAGTCCCGGTACAATCTATTGGCGCCTGCAGACCCCAAAATCTCTTGGTCAGGCCTGAAAACCGGGTTTCAGCACATTTTTTACCAAATTATCTATCTAGTTTCATTCAAGAGCCCTTGGACATTTGAACCTTACTGATTTAACGAATTATCTCAGAATACCAAATCAAACCGAACTGAATTATGTGAATGCTACACCTAATGAAACAATCCAAAAACCGGTTAAGACCAGCTAAAAAAGCTATTTGAATCAGAAAAGAACCAAAAAAAAGTAAACTGCTTTACCTGTAGCATAGCTTCAGGGCAACTAAGCAGCAAGATAGTGTTACTGCTAGTGATGCTGAAAGGGAGATTGGGGTTGAGCTCAAGGCCCGCTTTAGAGACATCAGCCGAGAGACAAGACTCGGAGCTAGCTAAACCGGGAGGACGTAGAACGATCCGCTGGGTCACCGGGTTAATGGACTTGATGACATACGATGACCCGTGAAGAGCGCCAAGATAAAGCTTACCCGCGACACAGTATATCTTGTAGGCTTGATCGCCACAACTTGGACCCGTGCTTAGCGGGTAAGGCACAACCGCAGGTCCACAATTCGGACACCGTGGTGGTCCGGCCATGGGATGGTTTGTCTTAGCATGGCGGGCACAAGAATTGCCTACGCATGATATCCATACGATCAAGAGAGTTGGTACCATCAATACGGCGTCGTATGATCGCTTCTTCTCCATCTTGGTAAGTAAGTTGATTAGTGTGTGGAGAATTAATGATACGAAAGATGTGAAGAAAGGTTTAGGCTTATGTACTAATGAAATGTCATTTATTATTAATGTTATTATTGTGGTTATACAATTGTTACGTATTTCATAGTGATAAGTAGAAGAAGCAATTCCCGATTTGTTGTAAAACGAGAAAATGTTAGGATTGATTTGGGTTTGCTCAAAATCATGTTTGTATTTTCTAAGGAAGATTGTGCAGATTCAGTGTCTGTCACGATCATCCCGACATTTTTCATGTTTCCTAAGTTTTATACTGTGCTTACGTTCTTTGGGATCCTACGCGATTACAAAAAAAAAAAAAAGACTAATTAAATAGGCTCTTCGATTTGATTTTCCTCAAAATTTAAATGGCAGAGCCGTTGGCGCGCGAATGTTTCTTAATTAGCACGACACTGTCCACCACACCTCTCAGCCATTTTTGTTAGGATGATTTATCATTATAATTACTTCTTTGAACCACTAGATATTTTAAATTAATCAAAGTATATGTATATATATATATATATCTTTTTTGTTAAAGAAAATTATTACAATATACAATTTTTAAAAAACTGTATTTACGCAATCTATTATAATTAAGTAGGTCTTGTCCATATATCTTATGTGGATCTTCGATATATTTTGTGTGTGTGTATGTATATACTTCTTATATGTATAACTAAACCTAGAGAAAATAAAACAGAATATACAAGATCCAAAGCTTTGCACATGCAAAGATTTTACGTTTTTCACGTATTTATATTTCATTATTTTGGTGTTTGTTGTTTAAACCCTTAACATGATCTAGAGTGTCCGGTTTCAATACGGAGTTATGTATCCAAGTTTGCGATACCGTTCCCATTTCCCACATCACTGGAAGCCACTCGGATCAAACAACTCCATATAATTTACGTTAAAACCAAAATAAAAATAAAAATAAAAATAATTACCCGGCCCCTATGATACTAATATAAAAAAACCATGATTACATATATGTTAAATTGTTTCATCAATATTGTGGACATCCTTACAACACTTAGATTTGCAGTTTACCATGATTATGATGGAATTACCACAATATACAATTACCACAATCACATGCAGACCATTAGATATGCATAATATATCATCATATTCATCACTGTCCTTTTGGCAGAAACTTGGGGTATCCCTAGTGGGAAGAAGTACGAGACGACGACGTTGTCTCGAACAATCCAAGACGGTCCGATCTGAATCGCCTGAGATCCGACGGTCGAAACTCATCTAAGGAATCGTCGGGAAGTCGCATGTAATAACCGGCGGTAGAAGGAGAGTGATGATCGCTGAACAAAACCAACGATAAGTTTCTTTCTCTTCTATACATAACAATGGCTTTGTATAAAAATGGAATCAAGCCTTCCATTTATTTTTCTTACAAAATCAAATTCTTTTAAACCTTTTTTTTCTTGGAACCTGCAAAGAGATTTTAGTTTTTATGGTTTTGTGACCAATGTGAGGGGAATGTTATAATTTATAGTACAAGAGAGAAAATGATATAATGACGTGGCGTGATGGTTATTATGCCACGTCTTGTTAATCGTGACGGTAAATAATGTTTGTTAGTGGCTTAGAGGATATGTTTGCACTTTGCATTGAGGAGAAACCAAAAAAGAATTATGAGAACGAAAGAAAAGATGTGAAAGGAAAGTCTCGACTTCCATGAAGCAAACCTTGAGGTTGAACTTCGCAAGCAATCTAAAGCTAAATCAATATATCATTAGTTTATTAATTTCCTTTAATGACTACATATCCTCAAAACCTATACAATTAACTTAACTTAATGAATACTGTCCCAAAAAAAATTAACATAATGAACGAAACATATTAATTATCGATCGGAATACATCGTAAGCTGCCAAAATGGAAGAAGCCAACCGAATACTTGTTACTCATCGTTTAGAAAAAGAAGTTACGAAGAAATTTTGACATTCCTAACCAATAAACTAATTTTGAAAAAAAAAAACATAATTTGTTTCTGAAAAGCATGCTCTAGCTTGTTTAATGAATAACATAAGTTCATTTTTAGACGAGAGAGACTTTTCGATCGTCTCCACCAAAATTTACAAATGTAATATGAACCCATTAGTTCAGGTCAAACTCCATAACATGTTTATACGATTGGATCAGATATTTGTTTGGTTAGATTTTTTGAATTTCTTTCATTGCCACAAAAAGACTTGGACGCAACCAGGCAAAGCAAATAATCAAATCCAAACCCCCTGGGGACTTTCTTGTAAAAATAAAACTGAAAGCGCAGATATATGAACTTCTTAAAAAAAGATGTCCCTATTTGAAAATATTCGCGTGTAATTCTATTCGCCGTTTCTAAGGCCCAATGTGTAGCTAACTGAGCCTTATAACCAAAAACCCAATATGTTGTAGCTCAAAAGTCTACCTTGCTCTCTCACTCCACCTTCGATCTCCCTCATCTGGTTTCGTTTCTAAAAGCAATTCTGTTGAAGGTTTAATTCAAGCTATATAAATCCACGAGGAAGAAAAAAAACAAAATCTGATTTTAGTTACACTGTTTGCGTAGAGAATCGAAATGAGTTCGATCCCTGGGTTGGTGGAAGATGAAATTAGTTCGTTTTTCGAATCGTCTCCACCTCTGAAGAACATGGAAGAGATTGTCGAGAAGCTTAATGGGTTCATCGATTCATCTTCGCAAGGCGAGATCAGAATCATTATCTATAAACGTGACATTTCGATTGTATATGTTGTTTTCTCGATGTGTGAAAATTGATTTTGGAGGATTTTTCAAAATTTTCAGGAGGAGGGAGGAGGATCGTATGTGTGACTTCAGGCGGAACAACGGTTCCATTGGAGCAACGATGCGTAAGATATATCGATAATTTCAGCTCAGGAAATAGAGGCGCTGCATCTACTGAGTAAGTTTAGGTTTTGTCTTTTCAATGACTCTTAAATAATCATTCTTTGGTCTAAAATTGTTTGGTTTGATTGCAAAGGAACTTCGTGAAAGCTGGATATGCTGTGATATTTCTCTATAGGAGGTACATTAATCTCGTTCTGTGTTTCTGAATTGTGTAAAAATTGAACCTTTTTGCTTTGGTGATTGTTTATAATCGGTTCTATGTGATGTTTAGGGGAACTTGCCAGCCATATTGCCGGTCTCTTCCCGATGATCCATTCCTTGAATGTTTTGAGTTTCCAGATAAGACAAATATTCAAGGTTTTTTTTTATTAGGACCCTTTTTCGCAATCTATATACATATTTAGGTGTAATGTGCGGTTGATGGATAATAAGTGCGTGTTTCAGTCTGGGTACGGTAACAGCCATATTGTTTGTTAACTTTGCAGTTCATGCATCACATTTAGAAGCTGTGAAAATGGCTGTCATGGACCAGCAAGCTGTATGTATTTAGACCACTTGTTTCTTTCTTCCTGCGTTTGTTTTACAGAAAGATGATCACTTTCTGTTAACCAACATTGCAGGCAGTAGCAGAAGCTCGCTTACTGAAACTCCCATTCTCAACCATATATGAGTATCTCCAGGTTCTTGAATCCTCTTACACATCCTATTTTCAGTGATGTTTATTGTTTTTTTCTTGATCACCACTGTATAATCGAACCCACCATAAAATAGACTTTTGTGAGAATTCTTCAACTGAAATCACTTTCTCTTTGTGAATGTTTCTGGTTACAGATGTTGCGGTTGATTGCAATGGCATTGAAAGATGTCGGTCCATGTTCAATGTTTTATCTTGCTGCTGCTGTATCCGACTTTTATGTCCCATGGAATAGCATGGTAAGAGTCTCATGTCCCTATGACCGATCATAGCTACACGATTCTTATATTTTGTCTGAATAAATTGTTTTTTTTTTCCCCATATATTTGGTTAAACCAGACAGAGCACAAAATAGAATCAGGATCTGGTCCTTTGGACATAAGACTAGCTCAAGTCCCTAAAATGCTTTCAATCCTGAGAACGAATTGGGCTCCAAAGGCTTTCTGCATCTCATTCAAGGTCAAATCTCTCTTTCACTCTTTACGGTCTCTCTGGTACCAATTATCGAAAACTCAGTAAACTCATATGGATTTTTTTTGATCCAGCTTGAGACAGACTCAAAGATTCTGATAGAGAAGGCTACAAAGGCTCTACGAAAATACAAAGTGCACGCGGTTGTAGCCAATGAGCTCTCAACACGTAAGGAGGAAGTTGTGGTTGTTTCAAGCAACGGTAATGTTGTGGTGCGATGCGATCCCGATAAGCCTGAATCTATTGTCGAAGATAATCTCATTCGTCTCATCGTAGATCGACATTCCACATACATCAAAGAATCTCACACTTAGATTCTCCAAATTGCTTCCAATTCAAGAAAAGTTTAAATGTTTCCTCCACGCAATAGATATCTATAGATGATTTGTATGTGTTCCGTGCGATTGTGTATTTATGAGTGATGATATATTTAAATACATATGATAATTCACTAAATAAAAGAAAGAACCATATGATAACACACTTGACTTTATAATTCCACAATCAACAACCCATTAAACAAATTATACATACATGATCCACCAAAAGTCCAGTAAAATTACAGCTTTGTTAAGTTTCATCATCAAGATTATGGACATCCTTACAACACTTATATTTACAGTTTTACCAAAATCTTGACGATTTAACAGAGCTTTGTTTCACAACTATAACAATTCACGAAGTGAACCAGAGCTTTGTTTTGCTCACAACTATAACAATTTACGAAGTGAACCATAACAACGTATTATATAAATATAAAATAGTTAATATACAATTACCACAGCACATTGTCTGTCCCTACGTACGTTTGGCGATGTTCCTAGTGGGAACACGTACGAGATGATGAGGACGTCGTCGTTTCGAGCAATCCAAGACGGTCTGAACCAAATCGCCGAAGATCCGACCTTCGAAATCTACCGGAGGAATCCCCGGGAAGTCTCATGTAGTAACCGGAGGTAGAAGAAGAGTGATGATCGCTGAGCAAAACCGACGAAAAGCTTCCTTCTCTTTTATATACAACAAAGGCTTTGTACAAAAAGGGAATCAAACCTTCCATTTTGTTTCCTTCTAAACCCTTCACAGCTTTTCTTATAGTTTTGAAGGGACTTTTTTTTAATGGGTTGTGTGTGATCAAATGCGAGGGCCTTTGGTGTATAATATAGGAGGGAGGAGGGAAGAGATAGTGACGTGACGTGACGTGTATGATGCCACGTATGCTTAGGCGTCACGGTAAATAATGTTTTTAAGGATATGCATTGAAGAGAATTAAAAAAGGAACAAGTATAAATTTTGTGAGACGAAAAATAATATGTGAAAGGAAAGTCTCAACTTACATCAAGAAACCTTGAGCTTCCCAATCAATCTTAAAATTACCACCTTTAGATAAATGAAAGCTTCATCATAGTTTGTTAATAAACTTAATGATAAACACACGGCCAACAATATATTAACAAAAGAAATTAGATACATGTATTAGTTCCTTAATAAAACAAGTATATGATGTCAAAATCACATCGAAGAAGTACATAAACCGTGTTTTGCTACGTTACATTTGTTACTCTGAGTTTCGAAAGAGAAGATAAGAAAAACATCTGTTATTCTTACTTAAATCTTTTTTTTTTCTGAAAAACCATATTTTATTTTTAAATTTTAAGAACAAATCTACAATTACGAATTGAACTTTGTTTTTGATCAAAAAACATGCAAGCTAGCTAAACTATTAAAAACTCAATTTCTATTGTCAGCAATCGATTTGGATTAATTAATTTCTCGTATCAAATTACCCACCCCACTAGCCTCACAATCTTGAATGAAGTCATAGTTTGCATCATATATCGGGAAAGATTAATCCCATTGTCATTTTATTCTTTATTATTTAATTAAATGGTTTTCTTATATACGTTTTCCTTCAAACCAGATATGATTGCTTCTTTCACTCAAAAAGTGATGACTATACTTTCTTACTTTTCAGTATTGTTAATCGGGTTAGGTGAGTAGAATTACAACGAACACATCACCATTAAAAAAAAACAATTAAGCCAATTATATTGGGCTGTTTTTGTGGGCAAAAGAACATAAGCATTTAAAACATTTATCCAAGTGTCCTGTGAGCTAAAACCTGAATCGTAGAGAGTAGAAAACTTTACCGTGTTCAGATCGTTGAAATTCAATAACATGACGATGAGTGCACAAGAGAGCAGTTACAGTAAAAAAAACAGTTTAATCATAATTGCACAACCAGTGCACAAGAAGATAACAGCTAGATATTTTAGAAAATGTTGAAGGAGTGAATTGAAAGACAGCTTGCTTGCGGATTAAAGTAAAGAAGAAGAAACTGAGAGAGTTGCTTACCGATTTTGGTGGAAAAGAGTCAGCCGATCGTGGGGAATGCTGTTAAATTTTCAGTGCACCAAAAAACTTAGGGTAACAAAACAAAAAAACATATAACTATAAATAAGAAATTGATCCATCAAATCAATCAAGAAAAAAAAGAATAAAATTCACATACCATCATCGGATTCTCTAAAAGAGAGTTCTGTTCAATCCTATGAAATTAGGGTTTACATCAGATGTGAACACTTTCACCATGAATATGATTAGAGATTAGCGGAAGTTACAATGGCTTTTGCAGAAGGATAAATTTGGGCGGAGATGACAGACTTTTTTCGACTAGAATTTTGAAACAGATCCCAAAGTGTTTGTGGTGAGACCTGTGGGTTAACACCTGAGAGGTAGAGTGTAGTGACGCTTAGTGCTTTAGTTGGAAAAGAGATATTAGATATTTGATATTTGAAATCCAGCAACTTCAGGATCAAGCGTGCACAAGAGAGCAACTATTAAATATATATATATATATATATATAATCAATCAGATAGATACAATCAAGACTTACTTGTAAGAAAACGAAGAAAGGTAGAAGAAATATTGTACCAGTTGTCTTTGAAACAAAGCACCGCCCCGGTGAATATAGGGTTTACAAGGGATTTGTATATTTTCACTTTGACGAGTGATGTAAGACCAAATTCATATCTAACTACCCTGAAAAGTTGATGTGCCAAAAATTTGAGATCAAAATCCCAGATAAACACTGGAGTCGTGAACCCTTCATTAACCAAGTCAGGAAAAGAGACATCGAGTATGAGAGTAGGATGATTATTCATCTTCTGAAATTTTAATTTGACAAAGGTTTCAGAAAGTTCAAGGTTTGAGAAAGGCTTAAGGGTTATTAGGTTGATAAAGGAGCGTATAGAAGGGCAACGGCTAGATTTTGCTTGCGATCAAAGTTTTTAAAAAGGGTTTTAGGCGGTGATCATAAAAATGTCGAAGTTTTTAGAGCTGTAATGTAACGGCTATTTTTGTTTTATATATGCTCATCATATAACACCTTCAGTTTTAACAAACATTAGCTTATGCATTTTATCTTATTTTTACATCCCCTTTTTTTTTATTAATGATATTCCTAGATAACCGCTGCATTAAAACAACTCATATTTCATCATAATATACCTTTTACAATCAATGTTGCAATGATCAGCAGTGTTTTTTTTTTTTCCGGTTAACGTCAAGACTAATTTTATATATATAATATAAATTAATTCATGTAACGCCACGGTTTTTGGGAAAAAATTAACAAGAGACTACCAGATTTATAAATAAATAAACAAACAGTAGACATCGTTATACTAAAAACCAGTTCAACATATAATAAAACCAATGCTTTACCCTGATGTCTTAGTCATCCGAATCTAAATAATTCCACACGGTTTCTAATTCTGCCTAACAATCTCATACGTTGGGTTGATAAGAATCCGAATAAAAATACATCTTTTTCTAAAGTCGATTCCATCAGCTAAAAAAAAAAAAAAATAACAGGAACAGAGGCTTGACTGAAAATTATAAGTAAAATATTAAAGCAGTTGGTTAAAAACATAGTCTCAAGTGAAATTACAATGAAACAGTAGTATCAGTGTGGTTTGCGAAAAGAAATAAAGAACCTTCTGATCCACGGTCAGAGGGGAGTTCAAAATGGACTTTCCTTGTAGTGTTTTTCTCTAAGCTAAGATGCCAAGTAAATCCAACTCTAGCTGGTGGTGCGAAAACGATTTCGCCGTCACAAATGCCCAAGATGGAGCGAGAGATTATGCAATAACTGTCCGAGTATAGTTGACCTCGAGCCCAAGGTAAGTGAAAATATTTTGACGACCATTCCTTGCCTTGCAAGAAAGACAACTCGATAATGCAGTCTTTGAGACGAGAAATAAAACCTAGCGTCCCTTGAAAGTCAATCAGCTTTGAAAACCACGAAAGATGAGGATTGGGCTCAACAAGACTGAATTTTTCAGAGTTGAGGTCAAAACTCACTACATGCGTAGTAGCTGTATCAGACGACTGACTAGAACCTGGGCCGGTATGGCAGACAGCTATCAAGTATATAGTTCCATTAATGCATATACCACTTTGGCCAAACTTTTCTGCACACCTGGAGGCTTGAAGATGATCAGGCATGGCTTGTACCTTTCTCCACAAGTTACCACCGCCTTGTCCCATTGTGAAAACCCAAAACTGATACTGACCTGGGGATCCAGATATGCACAACACTTTTGAACTGATCAAATATTGGGTCGTATCCGAAAATCAAAAACTCCATCAAGTCAACACTTTGGATGATCCTTGGAAACAAGAGACGTGGCCGATTCAAAGACAAGCATGAGTCCACAAAGTTTCGACTTTGGATGATCCTTGGAAACTCTTTCGATAAGCACTTCAACTTCAAGAGATTTTTTACGGGCATCCTTGAGAGTATCTCTATCACGAGATCCACATGAATCGAGATTATACCCTCGTCTTCCTTCTTCTTCATCATCTTCTTCTATTCTAAAAACCTGATGAGTCTCTTTCGATTGTTTTTGTATGATTTCGAGAGGATTCTTCGTGATGCTTTCTTAATTGATGGATATGACTTTTTTCCAACCCTTATACTAATGTCCATTTATTTCCCTAATCCTTTCCCACAATATATATTCTTATTATTCCTAATCACTATATGAAATTTAACTTAATTTAATTTGTATTGTTACTAGAAAACTTAGACATCATTTCCTTATTATTATTTTTTTTAATGATATTGATTTGAGATGAGGTGATTTTGAAATCACAAGAATATCGAAAATATATAATATCTTGGTTGGTAACAAAAAAAAAGGAAATTGTTGCAAAAAAAAAAAGAAACAAATTTAAAATATAGTGTATTTGCTGTCATGGGAGAGAAGTAATTACTCACGAGGTTGGTTAAAATTAAAAACACTGTGCCAATATATATATTCTCTGAAATTAAACATTTATTTTTTTACACGTTTTTGTAACATGAAATCTCTATGAAGATAATCAGTTAACCAATTGGGTAGAAAGCATTTACCGCGTTTCATGTGGGAAGACGTCTTCGTATTATATCCTCGCAACTATCTCCAGTCAATAACTTTTTTTTGTAAAATGATATTTTATTCTTCCAACTCTGAGATAAAATAATATAAAAATATATATACAAACACTTCTCTAGTAGGAATTGGGAAACATGTAAAGTTTAAAACAAAAAAAAAATTATAGATATTAAACATAAAGAAAAAATGGTAGATTATTGAAAAAAAAAATCTCTAGTCTCCAACTCCCAAGTTATCTATAAAAGTAAAACCATGGTTTTCTATAGATTATAATATATTATACGTGATTCTTAAAGCTCCATTGAATTTCATAATTGAGCAGAATTATGGTCAAAAACTTATTCTCCACCCCTGGTCGTCAGTCTTCAACATTGTTTAGTTTCCCTTTTGACTTAACTCTTTTTATGGGTACTAATTTATTTGCTGACTTGTGATAATATTTCTCAAAGTAGTATGGAACCTTCGCAATTTTCTAATATATAATGATGTTAGTTATTCAACATGTATTTGCTGCTTCCATTTTTACTTTTTTACGTACTGATTTCTGATACCATACAATGACTTTTTCTAAATACATTGAATAACCCAAGAATTTTCTATAAAATAAAAAAATAATCCAGAAATTCTCACGCATTGTTGTTTTTTTTTTATTAATTGTTTATTTTTCTTAGCTAAAAACGAGGGTGGGTAATTACTTAATTCATTATCAGCATCCGGTTCAACCCGGTTTGAACAAAAGGCGTGGCTCGTGTTATGCAATCTCTTACTTAGACACTAATAAACCGACGCATCTTCTTCTGATTGAACCGACGTGTCTTTATTTGTAACTTTCAACCGTCTTCATAACTTCCCATTTTCTTCTCCACGACTCTCTCTTTTTCTCCCTCCATATATATTTACGTCACTTTCTCTCTCTGATCGCAAAACACTGTTCCCAGAGTGAAACTGTATATCTTTAAACCGGTTTGACTAAAACCGGTTCCAATGGATAATCTACTCTGCGACGAGTCATGGCTCTCGTGTCCACTAACTCCGGAGCCCATACCAAACTTCCGCTTAAATATTCACGACGATGACGTGGAGATGTCTCCTGCGATGGACGCAGCGACGGTGGAGGAATCCATTTCTATGGATTTAGAGAAAGAATCATGTTTCAGTAATCACGGAGACAAATTTATTCAGTTTCTTGTTTCTAAGAAGTTAACCGATGCTAGGTTTCGATCGGTTCAATGGCTAATCCAGGTATCTTAATTCCTATACAAATTTCGGTTCTTCCTTTGGTTTTTTTTCGGAAGAAATAGTTCGCATCCTCTGAATTTTGTTTTTAATCAAAAATTAATTTATTCATATTAGCTAGTGTGCCAAAATGCCAAAATGCAATTCTTTTCGTGTATTCAAATTTGGTTTTAGTTGTTTATTTTGCACATTCGAAACTATTTAAAACTATCACTGAGAACGCTATCTTGTGTTTCAAAAGGTTAAATCGCTTTGAGTTTCTTGGTCACTAAGTCAATTTTTACAAATACGTAGTATTTATGATATGCATGTTTGTGGAAAATATTTATTGCATATCTATCCATTCTAAAGAGTAATCTGACTTTACGTTAGTTGGAGTTTTTTTTTCTTTTCAAAAGTTACCTTTTATATATCTAGAAATGGGAATCTAATTTTTGTTTTTTTCTCTCAGACTCGGAATCGGCTTAATCTTTCATATGAAACTGTTTTTTCCGCCGCAAATTGTTTTGACCGGTTCGTCTATGTGACCAGCTGCAACGTAAGTATATGGAATTTTTACATATGTTAAGAATTTTACTATATGATGGTGTAAAGTGAATGATCATTACAAATACATGCAGGAATGGACTAATTGGATGGTGGAATTAGTCGCAGTAACTTCACTATCGATTGCATCAAAATTCAACGAAGTTACGTCCCCTTCACTTCAAGAACTTCAGATGGAAGGGTTAAACCATTTGTTTCACCACAAGACCGTCCTTGAGATGGAACTCATACTGTTGAATGCTCTGGACTGGCGTGTTAACTCGGTCACGAGTTACTCTTTTTCGCAACTTGTCGTGACAAAAGTCGGGTTGGTAGGAGGAGAAGCGATGATGAATCTAATCACTGATCATCTGCTAGATGATTTATGCGGTGAGAAGATCTCATATATGGATTTCTGTTATGAAAATGTTTCTTGTTGCAGAAGAAAGTATAATTAATATAACAGGTTGATCGAATTTTGAATCTTGAAATTTTGATGCAGATTTGAAGATGCTTGAATATGCACCAAGTGTCGTGGCGGTTGCGGCTGTGTGGGATGTAGCTATAGAAGAGAACCTTGTTGGAAAAATCATGAATCTTTTTGGACAAGGACACAAGGTAAATAAAGTGTTATGATTTTTTTTTTGTAATATAGTTTTCACAAATTGAAAATGTTTTGATTATTATCAATTCGGATTATCGCAGGAGGATATTGTGAAATGTGTTGATGTTATGAAATCTCGAAACAACGTTGAAAAGGGTTGGAGAAGAAAAGCTTGTGAAGTGAATAGTCTTGCGAGTAGTGTGTCGCAAAGAGGGGAAGTGATGAACATCAACGGTGATAACTGCGTTGGAGATCTTTCTGCCATTTTCCAGATTTTACGATCCGAAGGATTCAATAAGAAGAGAGATAGAGATAACTATGAAGACAACTTTCGTCCTGCAAAAAGAGTGACATTTGTTATGTCAAATTAATTTTTGCTTTTATGAATGCAAAGCGAATTACATTTTAGCTTTTTCGAATTACAAGTAATAACCTATTATTTTTTTTCTCTTACACAAATTACTGACCAAACTGTTTGACAATATGAAATGAAATGATTTTTTTTTGTTATTTTTTTTTGTCATTTTTTTTTGTCTGACTGTAAAGGAACAATATAATTTCAAGATGAGATGAACAATTTTGACGTTATTCTCATGGACTAAAACAACTGAAATTAATATAAATTTATTATTGGAAAAATCACATTATTTATGTTGAGAAAAGCTGATAATATTTTGTAGAGGTTACAAGTGCCAAGTGGCAGAAAATGAATGGATGCGAGAAACAGATCGGTATATCCACAAGCTCTGTTCTCTGACTTGTGAAGATAAAAGGGTGGTCGAGTGATACAGATTTTTCGGAAAATAAAAATAAAAAATGAGTTCGTCGCCATTATCGTCATCTCTCTTTCTTCCTCTTTCGAATTTGTCGGCTCATGTCCATGGTCGAAGCCGGAACCTCTGTTTCGGTCGGAAGCATCAGTGTCTCCGCGTTCGAGCCGCTAAACTGCCAGAGGGGGTAAAATTCGATCTTTTTTTTTTTTCCATAATCAATTTAAAACGAAAATATCCTCCTCTAGGGTGGTAAAATCAAAATCCTTTTGTAGGTGATAGTGCCAAAAGTAGAACCCAAATCGCAACCTGCGTTTCTAGGATTCACATATACAGCTGAGATATGGAACTCAAGAGCTTGCATGATTGGTCTCATCGGAACTTTCATCGTCGAACTGGTGAGTTTTTCCATAAGTGGGCTTTTGCAAAAATGATTATTTTAAGATATACAGGGAATCAAAACTGAAACTTCATTATCGTTTCCAGATTCTGAACAAAGGAATACTTGAGGTGATTGGTGTAGAGATCGGAAAAGGGCTTGATCTTCCTCTGTAATATGTTCTTTGTTGCCAACTCTGGACGCAAAAATATCTTGTGAAATGTAAAATTCCGAGTTAATTTTTACACATCAAACTCGTAAAATTTGTTATGAAAGTTTACATCTTTCGAGACTCTTCACACCATTGTTATAGCTGTGTATTGTTGACTTGAGAACTTTAAAGGACACGAGTGGTACGAGCATCTATGATCGCTACTTTACCTAATGGCTCCGAAAGAGTCAACGCCTCTGAAAGAGAGATGCGTTTGTTTTTCCACGCAGATTCAGCCCATGATTTCATCTTCTCTCCTTCGCTTTTTCTGTTCTCTTGAATCAGTAATAGCTCTGCATAGCCGCCTGCACAATCAAAGATCCAACATGCTTATTAGCGCATTAAGCAATCCTTTCTGTTTGAAAGAAAACGAGCTAAAGCTTACCTCTTGCTAGAGCCATTACTTCTTGAGTTCCCAGATTTGTCGGCCCTATTGAATACGGAAAAGATGGTAAGGACACTTATGTAATCAGGGTTCAAGAATGCCCTTGAAGTAACTATTTGTGAGTACCTTCTGAATCCAATGGAGGTGCTTTCATGAGCTCCAATGCTCTTCTGAAGAGACCCTGTGATCAAAAAAGAAAAGGAGTAAGATGAGGAAATTCCAATGTTTTTTACTACAAAGAAACTTGTTTCTCACCTCTTGAATCAGGATAGAACTCGAGTGTTCTTGCTTTGCTTTGTTTCGGTACACCAGAGCTACTCCAGTTAAAATTACACCAACCTTAGGATGATTGTGACCTGATCCGAAGAAGCACAGAATCCGTTAGGCTGGTGCTTTAATCACTGAACTGATGGAAAAAACCAACACCACACAGTACCGTAATGTTCCTCAGCGCTTGTCAGTGCACGTGTCAGAGTTTCCTCCGCATCACCAAAGTTTCTAACAAATAGCAAAACAAAAACAGGGACTAATGATATAACCAGAAATTCACGATTGAATTAGCGAGGACCCGTATGCACAAACTCAAAGCCTACCCAATGTGTGACTCGAGTTGCCCGAGAGCAAATGTGGCTGCCAATGAGACTGCCTTCAAATTCATGTTGCAAGAACACATAGATTCTTTGGTGTCCATTTGAATTGCCTTTTGATACATCTCCTTTGCCGTTTCAAAGTTTCCGGTGGCGTGCAAGAATTCACCATAAGAAAGTGCGACGTTACCTGTTTTTATGTAGTTATTAAGAGGTCCCAAATTTCACCATAACAAAAGACAGGGCTAAATCCAGATTAACCAAAAAAGACTAGTGTGTACCTTTGGAGATTTCATGATTTTCAAGTCCGAGAAATAAAGATTGGGCTGTACACACACAAAAAAGACCTTACCATTAGGCTATACAAACAATCTCATGGAATGAAAACACAGAAAGAAAGGTTGAGGCTTTGTTTCTCTACCGGATTCGATACTTCCTTTCACAAGCTCAGCGAGGCCTTTGATCGTTTTGGCTGTAGCAGCTACATCCTGTAAATTCTCATGGCCTCTCCCTTTTACCAATTCCAGAAATTCGTCGGCAACATTCGATGAAACATCATCCTAAACAAGCAAAATCAAATTAAAAAAAAAATCAAATTTCTACACAAGTTCCTAAATGTAGACTGACACACAAAGACAGTAGCACTGTTGGGATTTTAACCTGTCCTGACTGAATCAGCAGACCCACAAGGGCTTCCACAGCAACAACTGGAGAACAAAAGATAGTTTAGTCACAACAACCTTAAAAAGCACATACCCAAAAATCAAGGTTTTGAAAAAACCTCTAATAGCCAACGAAGACAGTGTCAGAGTCATGACTTGCTTGAGGCGTTCAATGGCCTCACTAGAGTTCCCACTGTAAACACAGAAAACCAGACAGTAGACGTTTATAAAAGGAAACAAACTTAAACTTTCGATTGAGAAAAAACAAAAGAAAGAGAGTTAAAAAAATGAAACCTTTCGTATAATAGATCAGACATAGCAAGCAAGACTGTTGCTTTGGAATCTTGAGAAACCTGATCATCGTTCGGTTGATTCCCAAGGCATTGTTCAAGCACTAGCATCCCTTGAGCATAAGATTCATCTGCAATTTTCAAATTTCACGGAGACCCATTTCAAAATTCTTTCACAATCCGGTGAGAAAAATAGGGTTTAAGCAACTGAAAAAACCCCGATGATCGTAAAAACCTGATTTTTGTGCCCTAGCGTGGGAAAGAGCGTAATTAACCATCTGAATAGCAACATGATTCGCGTTTGGAACGCTGATTTCACCGTGAATCAATCTCAACGGCGTCGAGTATCGAACAAGGCTGCTTCTAGCAGAGGTCGTGCGGCCACAAATCGTTGCGGCTGCTTCTCTTGAACATTTTGTAGCCGCGCGAATCATAATCGCTCAGTTTTCTCTTTATCTTTAGTTCTCTAAGAGGAAGAAATGTCCTGCGTCTATGGGATCACTCGAGAAACTTGGGAGCCTATTCCTCGCCGTGAGTGACTAATGATGGTGGCCAATTTTCAATCGGTTTGCCAAATGATTTTGACGGTTTAATAATTCGAGTTTGGTTTGGATTAATTGGGTTGGTCTTGTGATACCAATAAACAATCCAAAACCCGTCTTTAATCATCATGCTTTGTAGAATTCAGTTCAATTTTGTTTTTTTTTGTAGATTTTGTTCCGTAATCTGAATAGTTAGTCTAGTTTATCTGCTTCTATATGTCTCTTGCAAGATACCTATCTAACCAAGAACTTCAACCTCCCAACTTGTTATAAAGATCAAAGTCTAGAGTCTAGTGACATTCTTGGCTTCAATCTCTCTTGTTACCTTTAAAGAACACATTTTTTATATGAAAAACACTAAAGAAATGAATGTAATAATTTGTTTTGTGCAACTTTGTATAAAAGAAAGCAAATCCTCACATTGAAGCAATGTATATATGCTCTCTAGTCCCTGCTGATTTGCTCTACAAAGTGAAAAAGGTCATCGCAATAGTAAGAAATGTCAGGAAATACCACCACCATCGCATAAACATATCACTAAATCTTGAAATTATGTAACATATTTTATTTCTTTTTCTAAAAATTAAAAATATACAAGAACTCTATACTTTTTATTTTTACAATTTAGACATCCACTCAAGACTGAATTTGGGTGATAACACAAGTTAAAGAAAAAGTGAAAACTATTCAGACTACAAAAATATGGTCAATCTACAAGTATAAATTCTTACAAGGGACGGTGAGGTAATTATATAAGTGAGGTGAATATTTGTCGAATAATAAACGTTGAGAGAAATATGTCTCCTCTTTTTCTAGAAATCCTTCTTTAACCCATTCTTAAAATGAAAAAGGTAGAACTTTATAGAAGGCTCACTATCAAGCCTCCCTAGTTTCATCCTCTTTCCCACTAATCCCATCAAAGACTCAGTTTATAAAAGGTTTTAGTACTTGGCAGTTCCCTATACAACAATCCACTTCACCACACCAATTAAATCTTGTCACTCAAGTTTCCACTTCTTCCTCAACCACGTCGTCCTCCAATTCCTTTATTAATATTCTCTTGAAAATTATCTAACCAAAAGGAAGAAAAATAAAACTTTAGAGTGGAAGATCCCCACACACAGAACAAGAATGTCGAATTCTGCAACTCTCTTCCTTCTCTTTCTCGCTATCTCAACCTTCTCATCCTCCTTCATTGGTACGGTATCTCTTCTCATCCCCCGAAAACTTACGAAATGGGTTTATTTCTCTTTTCCTCCTCTCAAGTGGGTTCACTTCAAAATTTCATTTTTTCTAATTTATGAATCCACTTGAGAGGAAAAGAACAGAGATAAAACGGAAACTGTTTTCTTAAGTTTGAATATGCATAACAAATATGGCTTATTTATTTGTCAAATTTCGTAAAAAAATGCGTGTTTTATACATTTGTGCAGATGGAGCTCAGCTTATACTAGTGAATAACTGCCAGGAGAGCATATGGCCGGGAATCCTCGGCGGCGGAGGTCAAATCACGCCGAGAAACGGCGGATTCCACATGGGAAGCGGCGAAGAAACAATCATAGACGTACCGGATAAATGGTCCGGTCGAATCTGGGGTCGACAAGGCTGCATCTTCGACCAAAACGGCAAAGGCTCGTGCCAAACCGGAGATTGCAACGCCGGTTCAATCAACTGCCAAGGAACCGGCGGTGTTCCACCAGCAACCGTCGTGGAAATGACATTGGGGTCATCCTCCTCGCCGCTTCATTTCTACGACGTGAGTCTCGTCGACGGATTCAATCTTCCGGTGTCGATGAAACCCATCGGAGGAGGAGTCGGATGCGGCGTGGCGGCTTGTGAAGTCGATTTGAATGTTTGTTGCCCATCGGCTTTGGAAGTTAAGAGAGATGGCAAAGTCGTTGGGTGTAAAAGCGCTTGCTTGGCTATGCAATCGGCCAAGTATTGTTGCACCGGAGAGTATGCGAATCCCAAGGCTTGCAAGCCGACGCTATTCGCGAACCTGTTCAAAGCGATTTGTCCTAAAGCTTATAGTTATGCGTTTGATGATTCGAGTAGTTTGAACAAGTGTAGAGCTTCTCGTTATGTCATCACTTTCTGTCCTCCAAAGTGAGGATTTTGATTGATCTGTGTTTTTTCTATTGTTGTTTTGTTTATGCAGTTGATTGATTTGATATTGTAAGGTCTGGTTTTAGGTTATTGAATGAAAATTAGATCTTGGAGTTCAAATCATTAAAAGAACCATTTCCTTAACAAGTGTTCTCAAGATACAAAGTTTGATCCACATACCAGTTTTGCGGGTCAAAGTAGTTTTCAGGGATGCATTTGTTTCTAAAGAGAAGAAGGTTCATTATACAATGTGACCCACAGTGAATCCAAGAGCTGTCTCTCCTCTTCAGCCGCTGAGAGATCCTCTTGTGACAGCAAGCTGATTCCTTTAATCTGATCTTCTAGAATCTGTCTCAGTTTCTCATTGTCTTTCCCTAAGCTGGAACCACAAGTACATAATTTTCTATTTTTGGCGAGCTCAAGCAGTCCTCGAAGAGCAGCTTCTCTAATATCAGCATCGAAGCTAGACACGAGGTGTATCATCAGACCGTGAAGCCCAAGCTCTATAGCAATATCATAGTCTGAGTCATTCTCTTGTAGAAGATAATGCAACAAGTTCAGAGCTTTCCTGAAGAATGAGAAAACAATGACAAAAGTTTTGAAAATTACGTAACAGAGGAACAATTCTCCAAGTTCAATGGAATCCGAGTGTCAAGAGAAGTGCAGATTATTTCTTACCTTTGTAATCTCACGCTATCAGATTCCAGAGCATCTCTCAATCCAGTGTAACCATCTGCAATCCGGAAACCTGTGATCCCGGAGTTATTGTGGCGAATCAAAGCTGTTACGCCAAACAAAACAGAGTAGATCATAATACATTCATCAGATACACCATAACCCAAGTAAAAAAGAAGAAGGCATTTGATCATATAAATTTATTAGGACTCAGAGCAGCTTACATGATATTGCACCGAGTGCCTGTGTTCGAGAATGCATATCAGTGTCTGAAGTAAAGTTCAAAAGCAATGACTCTAAACCATTGGCCTCCATAACCGATTGCTGACTTCGAGGATTGTTCTCAACCATTGTGCTTATGACATCTGCAGACTTCGCCCGGATATTAGCATCGGAGTTTTTGAGGTAGCCAAGAAGAGGTACCAAGCCTCCAATGGAATGAAGATCTGCCCACACATGCAAAGAGGTACATGTTAACCCAAGAGATAAAATAAATGCAGATACCGAAAACTAAAAGGTCAAAATATGAAGAGATTCACCATTAGCCATATCGATCGATTCAACATGATCCTTCAACTCATCCAGCAAATCTGCCAAAACATGACAACTCAAATTTTAAGTAACCAACAAGAGAAAAATAGCTAAGAAAAACAATTAAGAAGTGGATTTTAAACCTTGGATATCTTGAGAGGTTACTTCATGAGCCTCCAAAACGTGTTGAGGTGTCAGCATTACCTGCGTAATCTCCTTCATCCGTTTGACTACATCTACGGTCTGAGATTGCATAGCTTCCGTAAACCATTTTCGATCCTCCTCGCTGTCTCACCAAACAATTCAAATCAACAAAAACATCCACCACAAACATAAATTAGGCTCATTTAAGCTAGCCAAATGATTTATCTCATAATGTGGGAACTGAAGGAAATTTTGGACCTTGTATTCCCAGATTTGCAACATTTTCTTAGCAAAAGAATTGAACTTATGGTTACTGGAAAAAAAAGAAAAAAAAAAAGAGAGGCTTTTTTCTTCACTAGCAGAACAATGAACATGCATAATGCTTTAAATCCACCAAATCAGACCTTATAAGCTTGCCCAAAAAACCTAATTTACATGAATCGAAAAATAAAATAAAAAAGAAGCTCAGATTCCATTACATGATTCGTTTCCTCATTAGATACAAGAAAACATTCAATTGAAAATAGAAAGCTCAGACAACAAAACCTGAATTAAAAAAGAAATTCTTCATACCTCAACTGGCGAGTAGGCCGAGTACCATCGGCGTGAGAGAGACTCCATTTAAGCAATCCGTCCCAGTTAGGTCCGTCTTCCGCCATTCAAAGCCGCCAGCGAAAGAGAAGAAAGACTGTGACAATGACGTGTCCCAGAAACAAATAGCTTGGGCCTCGAAAATTACTCAAATGGACTTACGTGGGCCTAAATCGTCAACTCGAAATATCTTGAAGGGGCCCACCTTATCCACAGACACACACACAAAAAAAAAGGAAACTGAGAACTGAAAACGTTATCCACTTCCAGAGAGTGACACGTCGCGAAGCAAATCCAGATTTGAAAGCGCCAATAAAATCAAATCGCAGCTTTACTTTCCCCAAAATCAGAATCACTTAAGTCATGGCGATCGCACCGGCATTGCAGACGACGTTCGTGTCATCTACCAACTTTCTCAAACAATCGAGACCTTCTTCTTCTTCTTCTTCGTGGGGTTCTTCACCGAGCAATGTGATTCTTCCCAGAAACAAGAGATCGTCCTCTTCTTCCTCCGTAGTTGTTGCCGCTGTCGGTGATGTCTCTTCCGACGGAACCATCTACTTGATCGCCGGAGCCGCCGCCGTCGCGCTCGTCGGGACGGCTTTCCCTATCCTCTTCAAACGCACCGACACGTAACCACTCTAGTCTCTCTATCTTTTTGAATCGTAAACCGAGATTGATGCTCGTTAAACCAAATCCACCAAATCAAATTGGATTCAGTTTCTGTGATTACTGTTCCCAGAGTTTACTGTGCGGTTCAACATTTTAGATTACTTTTAACCATACAGAATCTAATTAAATTACTGTGAAGATACAATTGAAACAAATTAAAGCCTGAGTAGATTGGAAACATGCACACATAAAAACACTTAAACCGATGTAGTAAACCGGGAAAACCAACTACATTGTATAATATAAGCTCTGGAATTAAACGGTGTGTGTGGGTTTAGGTGTCCGGAATGTGACGGAGCAGGATTTGTGAGGAAGCAGGGAGCTACTTTGAGGGCGAACGCGGCACGCAAGGATCAAGCTCAGATCGTTTGCTCTAACTGCAATGGTCTCGGAAAGCTTAACCAGATCGATAAATAACTCTCTCTCTTTTTTTCTCTCTTCATAATAATAATATGTAAAAAACAACACTTCACCTTTACTCTTCTTCTTCTTCTTCTTCTTCTTCTTCTCTGCAATATACTCTGCAAGTCTTCTTCCTGAAACCATAAGAGAATATTCTATCCGCGATAGCTTGGAATGATTAGCTGTTTGTGCTTGTCTTTAAGTTTCTTTGCTCTGGCATAAGAGAATATTAAATGTTTTACACGTAATATTAATGACCATCTGGCATTCTCATTTCGCATTGCTAGAAACGTGATATATATATATATGATTATGTTAATATTCTACTATTTTTATCACCAAATACGCCTGCGTCCGTGGAGTATAGAGCTACGAGTTAAATGAAGATAGAAAAATATGGACTGTAATAGGTGTTTGTGGATCAGATTTATGATCAATATTCTAAGTTTCTAACACAAAATAAACGAGGGAGGAAGATTTGGCCATGTAAATTACCATAAATGGCTCATGCCTTAAACGTAGTTAGGAATAAGAAACGTACGAGATGAATGCGAATGCGACATTGTGAGTGAAATATGAGCCACTTAATTTAGTCACATTTATCTCGACGAGTCTTCATGTCGGACACTTGGACCCATTTGGCTATGGCCAATAAATATATCTGACAAAGAAGTTACTACGTCACGGTACCTTTTAAATCAAACCGAACCAGATTTAGATATCAAAATCACAGGTAACAATCTGACCTCCGGTCTGATGAATCTAGTAAATAGAAGAATATTTTGGAAAATGGGACTGTTGATAATAGATACAAATTACAGACTACAGTTTTTGGAAGTTTAATCAACAGAAAAAAAAAAAACAATAAATATTTTTGGAAGTTAGTAGAGCACAAAACAAATCCTAAGAAGAATATCGTCAGGATCAAATCTATACCGCAAGAAAAATCGAAAAAGAAACAAATATTAAAACATTAAATATTTTACTCTCCATTGATATGTTTCCATATATAGAAGAAATCTCTTTGACTCGCCGGAAACTAAAACCCGTCTCTCTCTCTCTCTCTCTCTCTCTCTCTCTCTGCACATTTTTTCTGCATCTCCTTGAGATCGAGAAAACAGAGGAAGATGAAACTCGACGAAGAATTTTTACACGACAGAGACCATTCGTTTCTGACAGATGACGAGGAAAATCAAGCGGAGCTTGCTTGTTCCGACGATGAACACGACGGAGACGATGACGACCGGAGAGGCGGAGCCAATTCCGATTCCTCCTCTCCCTTATCTCGAAACCGTTCCGATAACAATTTCTCCGATGTCTCAAATCCTCCTTGGCCACAGAGTTATCGGTAAAATTAATCAATTTCCTCTGTTTTCTTTTTGATTTTCCCTCAAAATTTTAGACGATTCCAAGATCCATTTTTGTTTTTTTTTTTTCAGACAATCAATGGATTTGTTGACCGGAATGACTCCACCTTTGGTAAGTTTCATGCCTCGAAGCGGTTCTCGAAGATTAGTCTCTTCCTTCCACAAGAAGCAACAATCTTCATTGTTCGATTCGTTTTCTTCTTCCTCAAGCAAACCCCTTCTCTCTAAACCACATCCCAACAATGAAGAAACGATATTACCTCCCCAATTTCCATCTCAGATTAAGCTCTCCGTCACCGATCTTCAATTACCAGAATCTAAACTCTGCTCCTTCTCTCAGTCCGTTCTCAACGGTAAAATAAAAATGATCAGTTTTTAACAGTTCTTATGATTAAGAATCTTTAATGATGACTGTTATATCTCATAAATCAAGGAACGATATAGAAGAGCAGTAACACTAGAGCTAAATAGAGAGATTCTGGAGGATAATTTTGAAACGTTTGGAAGTTGATTTTATTTAATTAATGAACTTTGGTTTGTTAAGTTAGGCTTTTAACTAGCGAAATCATTTGTTCACACTTCAAAAAAAACAGTATATCATTCCATCACCGGGGTTTTGTTTTTTTTTTTTTTTTTAAATGCAGGAACCAATGTTCTGTGTGGATTAGGATTAATAACAATGCCTTATGCAATAAAAGAAAGTGGATGGCTTGGTTTGCTCATACTCTTGTTCTTCGGAGTCATCACTTGCTACACAGGTGTTCTCATGAAGAGATGTCTAGAAAGTTCTCCTGGACTTCAGACTTACCCTGATATTGGTCAAGCCGCCTTTGGAATCACCGGTCGCTTCATCATCTCCGTAAGTTTCCGGTCAATCAAACCCAATACCAAAAAATATCCTTCAAATTTTCTGTCTCTTGAGACTGAATGCTTTGCTTTTTTTTCTTGTTCTGTTTCTTGAATCACAGATCCTTCTGTACGTGGAGTTGTACGTAAGTTTTTCTTTCATCATCGCTATTGTTGAATATTCTTCGAATTCTTCCATTAATTTCTGACATTATTTTTTGCTATTATAAACTTTGGTTGTGAAAAAATTAAATAGGCAGCTTGTGTGGAATACATAATCATGATGAGCGATAACTTATCAGGACTATTCCCAGACATTTCACTGAACATTGCTCCAGGGATATCTCTGGATTCTGCTCAGAGCTTTGCAATCTTAACCACTCTTCTTGTTCTTCCAACAGTCTGGCTTAAAGATCTTAGCCTGCTTTCTTACCTTTCAGGTTTTGATTTTCCCTCTGAAACCTCTCTGTTTTAGCTCGATTCCATTCGCTTTAGTTCATTCTAATGGACCGTTATGAAACTCTCTAATCTAGTTGGAGGAGTCTTGGCGTCAGTCTTGCTTGGTCTCTGCCTCTTTAGGGTCGGTGTGGTCGATGGAATCGGGTTTCATGCAACAGGAAGAGTGTTGGATCTCAGTAACTTACCCGTCACTATAGGGATTTTCGGGTTTGGTTACTCAGGTCATTCTGTTTTTCCCAACATCTACTCTTCCATGAAAGATCCTTCAAAGTTTCCTCTTGTCTTAGTCATCTGGTAAGCCCAGGAAACCTCTCTTCGCTTGTTTTGCAAGAAAACCCTAATAGAAGTAGTAATTTCTCTTCTCTCTCTTCTGCAGCTTTTGTTTTTGTACGGCCTTGTACGTCGCTGTTGCGATCTGCGGTTACACTATGTTTGGTGAAGCTATCGAATCGCAGTTCACATTAAACATGCCTAAACAGTTCATCCCATCTAAAATTGCGGTTTGGACGGCGGTAAGATAAACATTAATTCTCGTATATTCTCTGTATACATAGGCTTAACCAGAAATTGACTTTCTTCAATCTTCTAGGTCGTTACACCGATGACAAAATACGCGTTAACAATCACCCCAATCGTTCTGAGCCTCGAAGAACTGATTCCAAAGGCTAAGATGAGATCACATTGTGTATCGATATGCTTCAGAACAGTCCTAGTTACCTCTACTTTAGTCGTTGCTCTTTCAGTTCCCTTCTTCGGTAATAACGATATGTCCGACGTTGCCCTGTTTTTATTTTATTTTATGTATTTTCCTAAGCAAGTAACTTAATACCAAGCTAATTTATTTAACTTTCTGCGCAAGAAACCCATCTCCTCATACCTTCTCTGATCAATTTCTCTCATTTACAGCGATCGTGGCCGCACTAATCGGATCATTCCTTGCAATGCTTGTGGTGAGTTATTCGACCTCTTAAAAAATAATTTTTTAAAAAAAGTTGATGGAACCCACCAAAAATAAAAACTGTTTATTTTGGTTGCAGGCTCTTATCTTTCCATGTATATGTTATCTCAGTATCTTCAAGGGTAAATTAACTAACACACAAGTAAGAACATATTACTTTACTCTAAATGTTTTTGATTTTTTTTTCCTTTTATGTATATATTTAAATAAAATGGTTTGACCCTCGTGGAGAATTGTGTTAGTCTTTAACCGATCTTCTGTGTGTCTGTGTGTGTTATTTGTTCAGATTGGATTGTGCATGGTCATTATAACCTTCGGGTTGGTGAGTGGTTGTTGTGGTACTTACTCAGCTATCTCAAGATTAGCCGACCAAATGACATGATTAGCCGAGCAATTTTGTTGTTTTCAATTAGGTGTATGTTATTGTAACCAAAAAAAAAAATAGGTGTATGTTATATATTCTCAGATCTTTTGGTTTTATAGAAAACAAGCCGAGAAGAAACCACATCTAGTCCAGTGGGTTCTTTATTAATTGTAACGCAATGTATCGTCGTATATTTTCTAGTTTGGATTTAACAAAAAGGATTTATTTCAACCTGTACACCGTTTAACTTTTTAACCATCTTCGTTGTTAAACAACGCCTTTTGAGTCAACCTTCCTCGTCACTAAACTATGTCGTCGTAGCTATTATAAATCAGAAAATTTCAAAAGATAATCTTGAAAAATTGGAGGATTTTTGTTGCATACTAGAGAAAATAAGCGGAACATGGTGAGAAAATGTTCTCTTCTTTTTCACAGATCCACAATCCAATTGAATTTAAAATTATTAAATCGATTAAAGAAATTTGAAACAGTAAGCTGGTGATAAAAACTAACTAATTAAGGTTTGGATAGTGGAATTTTGACTTCTAAGCTCTTTTCAGTCCCCTCTTTTCAGCGACACTGCAACAAATTTCGGCAAATAAAGACAATACCATTTCTTCAGCAACGTCGTTCAAGTGGAAACTGGAAAGCCAAAAGCATCACGACAAAAGAATCCAAACAATGCCATAAAAAAATCAGCAATAACCATCCCAAAGAGACTACATAGTATGAAAACGAAGTCTTTATTTAGTATATATGTATAATGAAAGAATTTAGAACTAAAAGTATTATGAGTTCAAATTAATGTGTCACACGAGCTTACCTAGTGGGCAAGTGAGAAGATGTAAACAAGACTGATTGGTAAGTGAAGGTGTCCTGATTTGGAGCAGGAATCAAGAAAAACGGACCCAACTCATAAATGATGGGGCTTTGTCCTAAAAACAGCAAGGCAAACAACATGTGCAACCATCCCTCTCTAATTTCAAAAGTCTATTTCCATGTGAACGTCACATCTTTGAACTCTCTTTTTTTTCTTTTCTTATTTTCATCCATTTTTATTCATTCTCCCAAAAGCAAACATTAGTTCATCTTACAGCTTGTTTATTCTTTTTCTTAGTTGATACTAATTGTTTCAATGGTTTTGGGAAAAATGTGTGGAATATTCGTTAGTAGAATGATTAGTTGAAGAAAGTAAAAGTTTTTACATCTGAGTGTGGGATCCAAAACCCCTATCAAAATGCAAAATATTACAAATGGTTGATTTAAAATTTCCCAAATTTTCAAGTGTTGCACTTCGAGTTTTTTTTTTTTTTTCTGCTCTTTACTGAAGTTAGAACTAAAAACTGAGACGTGAATTTTCAAATGTGCAAAAGAAATTGACTGTTGGAGTAAATAATTATGCCTGTCTGTATTCAAATTTGCGCACCGTCCTGACTCCCATGGCCAATAGCCCAATACAGTGAAGAAACCAAGGTAAAAACACATGCTTATAGTGGTTTTTTTAAACAGGTGTATTGTTTAACGAATTTCAGTCTAATGAGGAGATTTAATAATATTAAAATCATTCCCCTAATTATTTGCCTTGCTTTTAGAGCCGTTTGATATGTTCACTGCACACTCTAATTAAAAAAACACCTCACTAAAATTTAAGCTATTCTAGAGTTCTAATGTCTTCATTACTTCATGTCGTATGTGCTTAGTGTCTTACTCTTACAGATTAACTTACTTTTATTTTCTTTTAAATATATACAAGAAAAAATGATTAAAAACAAAAGCATCACAACAATTTTGTAGTTTTTTCTGTCTGCTAACTAACAAAATACATTGGGTTCTATTTAATAAATATTAAATTAAAAATTCGCTAGTCAAAACACTAATTTGATAAAAGAATGACAGTGATATACAATGCAAAACATTATTTCGAACAATTTTTTTCTATAACATTAAATGAGAAAGTCTATATATTACATGGGAGAAAAAGAAAACAAAACAGAGATTTTTCCAGCTGAAAAAAAAAAAGAACAAAGATCTCATTGCTGTTCAGTGAACTTGCACCAAACTCACTTAAACTTCACTTCTTGTATACTTCTTCTTCTTATTCTTCTTCATCTTCACTTACACAAACTCAGCAATTTTTAGCAATTTACACAACCTCTCGTAATCAAAATTTTCTCATCATGTTTTCAAGATTTGATCCTGCGTTTTCTCTTCTTCTTCTTATTCTTTTCATTAGAGCCCATAGATGTTTCTCTTCTTCTTCTTCGCATTCTTCTCAAACTCTTGTTCTTCCTCTAAAGACCCGAATAAACCCAACGGATAACTCGGGTCATCGACCCACCGACAAACTCCATTTCCACCACAACGTTACTCTCACCGTCACACTCACCGTCGGTACTCCTCCCCAAAACATCTCCATGGTCATCGACACTGGCAGCGAACTCTCTTGGCTTCGCTGCAACCGTTCCTCAAACCCAAACCCGATTAATAATTTCGACCCGACCCGTTCCTCCTCATACTCTCCAGTCCCCTGTTCCTCACCCACTTGCCGGACCCGGACCCGAGATTTCCTCATACCCGCTTCCTGCGATTCCGACAAACTCTGCCACGCAACTCTTTCCTACGCCGACGCCTCCTCCTCCGAAGGAAACCTCGCCGCCGAGATTTTCCACATCGGAAACTCCACCAACAACTCGAGTCTGATTTTCGGGTGTATGGGATCCGTATCCGGATCCGACCCGGAAGAAGACAGCAAAACAACCGGGTTATTGGGCATGAACCGTGGGTCCCTCTCCTTCGTCTCTCAGATGGGTTTCCCCAGATTCTCCTATTGCATCTCCGGCACCGACGATTTTCCCGGATTTCTTCTCCTCGGCGACTCCAATTTCACGTGGCTAACGCCGTTAAATTACACTCCGTTAATCCGGATCTCGATGCCGTTACCTTACTTCGACCGTGTCGCTTACACCGTCCAGCTCACGGGGATTAAAGTTAACGGTAAGCTTTTACCCATACCTAAATCGGTTCTCGTACCGGATCATACCGGTGCTGGGCAAACCATGGTTGATTCCGGTACTCAGTTTACTTTCTTGCTCGGACCGGTTTACACCGCCCTTCGAACCGAATTCTTAAACCAGACAAACGGGATTTTGACGGTTTACGAAGAACCGGATTTCATTTTCCAAGGAACCATGGATTTATGTTACCGGATTTTGCCGGCAAGGATTCGGACCGGGATTGTCCACCGATTACCAACGGTTTCTCTGGTTTTCGAAGGAGCTGAGATAGCTGTTTCTGGTCAGCCGCTATTATACCGGGTTCCACATCTCACGGTCGGGAACGATTCGGTTTACTGTTTCACATTTGGAAACTCGGATCTTATGGGAATGGAAGCATACGTGATTGGACACCATCATCAGCAAAACATGTGGATCGAATTTGATTTACAGAGATCGCGAATCGGTTTAGCTCCGGTACAATGTGATGTATCCGGTCAGAGACTCGGAATCGGATCGTAAACCGTAGTTAGCCGACCCGGTAATTCGCTATTACCTGTGTAATTAACTAATTATAGACTTTTTCGCCGTACGTAGAAATGGTTATCTTAGTAGACGGTGCAATGCTTCACGTTGTTACTAGAGTGAGTGATACTCGTCTACCACTACCAACACGTGATTATGGGTAATAACTTCGAGTTGTTAGTAGTTGTCTATTATTTTGTTTGATTTTAACACGCTACTTTAATTTCGTTGCGTAATTAATTTTCCTTTTTAGACTTTATAATTTTATTTTTTCTTTGTACAAGCTTAACCATTTACCACTACTGTTGTTTAATTTGCTGAACGTAAACATAGTTATTAAGCAAACGTCAAACGACCGTTGATAACATGTTGGGGAATAGTAGAAGAGTTTTCGAGGTCGGAATTTGTTGATGAGCCGATTTAGCATAAGCTTATCCGATCGGCCACATGTTTACATTCTTGAGCAACTTATTTGAATTGTATATCTCCAAATTGTTACGCTCGGTGTTGTATGTGTCTAATTATTTAAGTTCTGAATTTAAACTATGCTTTTTTCCGATCGCCTGGTTGTTCTTTTTTTCCTGCCGTATGAAAGCAATATACTCTAACCACTGAGTTAAGTAAGTTGAAGAAGACGAGCTACAAGAAAAATTTCCGCCGCTACCATAGTAGCAGCATGTATAAGAGCCGAAAGCCTGGCTGAGGCAGAGTTACGGGGCTTCAAAAAATATGACGAAGGAGATTCTTATTTATACAAATGGTACTTCGAACTTGGAACGAGCATGAATAAATTCACGGTGTAGAGAGATTAGCGAATGATCTGGAGTCCGATCATATATATATAATGATCCAAAGAAATCAATCAATCATTTTTATCTTGTGAAGAAGATTCAAAAGCCCTCTGGTTCCAGAGTGTTTTTTTTTTTATTGCTCTTTCGAGAGAGTATTGTAATATTTATCTACTCGAATATGTAGAAAGCTATATTTATTCAGCTCGATAATGTTGTGTTGTATTGAGTTACTAATGAAATGTGAACGTCGAAAAACCAGGGAGAAACACAATAACCAAAACATGGCCGAGACAAATAAAAATGAAAAGGCGATAAAAGCCTCCACAACAGTATGATTTTTTTATAGAATCCTAAGATAAATTTATGCAAAATAAAATGAAAAAAAAGTTGTTTCAAATTCTTAGAAATCGTAAATTAACGAATCTGTTTTGACCTTTGTCATTATGATTTATTAAACATAAACAGATTCAAAACTATTATATTGTTTTTTGTTTTTTGCAAGATTTAAGATTGAACCTGCCTCAAAGGCAAAAGCAAAGGAAGGACAAACCCAACCACCTGCCCAAGCTGTCATTTTATAACATAAATTTACCAAATCAATCTATTTTTTTTTTTCAGTTTTTTTATTGTTTTACTCTCAATATTGCAAATTGAGCTCATTCTTGGAATTTGTTCCTACCATATATAAATATATATTTTATTGCTTTCGTTCAAAATTAAATTAATAAAGAGAATACAATCGGTTTTACTTTTTTACAAATTATTTAAAGTCAGAGCACTTTTTCAGTGGTTTTTTTAATTAATTTTTCAATGCTGACGTGTTATAGGGCCCACCGTGAGTTCGCTCCCACGTGGGAACAGCAGGGGGTCTACTGTCTTTTACTGTAAATATTCTTAGCTCACGCGCCGTTACACGTGAGGCCTCACACATGATCCAACGGTCGCTAGCCAACAACTCAGGCCGTGATCTGCAGTCGCTTTTGGTTGAGAACTTGGGTTTGCTCTTCTCCTTCTTCGAATTTTATTATGTAATATTCGGACATAATACATCATAGAACACTTTATCAACATCAAGTATCAACAAAACTCTTTTCTTCTGGGTTTCGTGGAAGAAAATTGTTGGTGGTGTATTCTAAAACTATGGATGCAGATGAGATTAGTATTCCATCGCTGGATGATAATAGGTTTATCTATTTTTCGTCACATCTCATGAACATAGTATATATATATGTGTCTTCTTATTACTTATTTATTTCTCTTGTTCATGTTCCTACTATTGCAATTTGAAAACATCTTATTTGTAATATCTTGAAATTTGAATTCGAAAAACTCGTATCTTGAATCTGAAATATCACTTCAAGTTTCCTTCTTTTTTTTTTGTGGTAAAATCTTCAAGTTTCCTTTTGAAATCGAAACACTCTCTTGTGTTCTGCTTTCGTATGTTTCCGAAAAGTTTTCAATCTTCTGTCAATAGTAACTTCCTGAGCTATAAAGTGTCGTGCCTTAAAGGTGTTCGATGGTTTACCTCATTGCGTTTTAAGGTGAAATGTGTTTAGTGTTTAGAATTTGTATTTCTACTGCGATCTGTGATGAGTTAAGAGATACTGAACACTTTAATCTTAAGCAAAGCTTCTCTTTACTCTTATATAAAAAATTACTTGTGGATTTAGCTCCTGGACTAACCCGTTTCGTGCTATAAAAGATCCCTTCATCTCAGTGTCAAAAGATTTGATATTTGTTTCCACTTGCAATGGGGTTACTTTCTTCTCAAAACTGTAAATTGCATTTATTTTTTATAGGACCCTGAATGGTATGAGTTAAGTATATATAGTCATGTCGCATGGGAATAGAACTTATGATTGCTTTATGTAGTAGAAATTTCCGACCTTACTATCGGATGTTTGCTCTCATCAGTGATATCAACGATGTGATGATTGTTGCTGAGGAATCTCCTGACTCAAGCAAAAAGAGGAAACTGGGAGCTGAAGAATCAGACTTGTTACCATTACCGAAACACTTTTGTCTTGAGCAAGCTGCCCATCCTGATTCTTCATGCCCATCATCAGATATAGAATCTGCAGAATGTTCTTATGCTATGGAATACACAAAAAACAGCGATGAGACCTCTTCTTCTGCATCTGGCACAGTGGCTTCTTCGTACATGTCTAAAGACTCTTCTTATTCAACCGGAAGTTCGAGTTCGGGTTCTGGTCATGCAACATCAAGCATAGACCAATGCTGTTACAAAGACAAAACACAAGAATATGTTGAAGACCTTAGTGACATGGATTTCCTTTGTCCCGAGCTTGCGGTTGAAGATCTTCAAGAGCTTCTCCACTCTCAAGATTCGAATCTAAAAGGGTCTTACACTCTTTCTTCCGCAAAGTGGAGTGTTAGCAACCAAGGTAACTAACAAGAAAAGCTAAAGCAGTTGAGATTTTTAGTGTCACATTTTATGGAGATTCATTGTGATATTACCACCATGTGGTTTACAGATTCCGAAGAAGCTACCACGAAACCAACCATTGATCAAGAGTTCGAGGAGTACTTTTCAACACTTATGATGTAACAGGGAGCTACACACATATGTATCACTTATCACTGCAATGTTTATGTAAATATTTCACCTTGTTTTTTTGACATAAAATCCAAAACACACCTAAGGGCATGGCAATGGTCATCTGCAATTTTTTGGAAGCTTTGAAAGTTGTCATTTTTTATGACACTTTTCTCACCCAAAATGTAACCGAAGAAACACTTAGTTTATTACAAAACAGAAGCATCAGAGATTCAGAGTTAATTTCCTCTAATTTTCAATTTCCAATTTTTAACATCTACAGACTCATTTCTCTCCAATATGAAAACCTCAGATCAACAGCAAATGAGAACAGAAGCCAATAATCAAATCGCAATTCCTTCAGTGGATAAAAGCCGCAACTGATAGAAAGGAAAAGTTTCTGGAAATTTGAATTCGAAATCTAACAGATCTCAATTCTGAGAAACAAAGCAAAAAAAAAAAAAATCTCAATTTTGTTTATAAAGTAAATTTCAATTCCATAGACAACAAAGTCGTTGCGGAGAGGTAAGACACATATGAAATCTAATCACTGAGAAACATGTATCTACAACCCTAGAAAGAAAAAAAAAAAAAAGAAATCTACGCGCAAGCTTCTCGTCGAGGCTGTGCATAGAACAGAGTCTCCAGATCTGGCGGCTGAAAATAACCGTTCATCGGCGGATCTCGTCTCCTCACCACCATCGATTTCTTCCTCGGTGGCGGTGGACAAACAGACGTCACCGGAATCCTACACTTCCTGCTTCTCGGCGTCGTACAGCCTTCCTCCATCTCCGTCGTCCTCTCCACCACATCCATTTTCAAAATTGAATCCTTCCTCTCGATTTCAAAATCGTTCGGCGGAAAAAATTTGAAGTCGGAGAAGAAGCGGGCTAGATGCTTATATTATATATCAATAAATAAATCAATAAAATCACCGAAATTCTTTTGATAAATTTTTTCAGATTTAGTTTCCTTTTAAAATTTTCGAAATTTTGGAGGGAGAAAGAAAAAAAAACGGGAATCTATGATTTTTTTCTCTTTCAAAATTTGGACGGTAAAGATTGTTTCGAACAGCTGAGTATGAGTTGGATTAGCTGATGTGGACAAATATAAGTGGTTGATAGCACCAAATTTATGTTACGTGTGACCCCACTCCACCGTTACAGACGCTCCACCATCATTATTGGTAAACTTTTTAAATATTGATATATTTATTTCCATTTTTAAATATTAATATTTTATTTAATTATTTTCAATTTGTAGTTTTTCCGTTTGTGGCGGCGCCAACTTGCGCAACAAGTCCTTTTGCGCGGGAACATAAACTAAAATAAAGACTCCTTCCTTTTTCCAACAAAGGCCAGAACTTTAGATTCGTACCAATCGGTTAACTACAAAGCCCAATATATCTGAACATAAGGCCCGAAAAACCCACCAAAATGTCTTAACCCAATAACAAGCAAACGTTGAAGAGAAAACCAATCAACAACTCTGAGCAACAGCACAATCAGATCAACAACCTCATACAACCGTTCTAGCCCATGAAATTAGACCGGAATAGCTTTCTGTCCCTTTTGAACTTTGCCGGCGGCAAAGCTCCTATAATATAGCTCCGGCGATGAATAAATTAAATTCCAATTATGGATGCCATTTTTTTCAGCTTCTTTTCTTCGTTGTCGTCGTCTTCTTTTCTTCTCACTTCTTTCCATTTGACTCGGTCTTCTAGGTTCAACACCGGTTGAATTCTTCTTTTGTTTTATGTATGTTTAGCAGCTTCGTTTTAAAAAAAAAAAAAACATTTTGGAGAATATTCAAATAAAAAACAACAAATTTTATGTGGAATTAGACTTGTTTGCAGGTCTTTGTTGTCAGCGAAATTTTTTCACAATCTACTTTCACAGAAATGTCAACATATATGTGAACATGGAGGGAGGAGGACCTATCACAATCTCCGTGATGGTTAAGATTACCAGAAACTTAACTATAGTTATTGGATTTACAATTAAATAAAGAGACACTTGACAAACCAATATTTCTTGCATGTCCCCTTTAGTAATTACATTATCAACCAAAACGTAGTCCTGCACTCCTAGCCCGCTAGGCGACATCAGACAAAAATAAATAAAAAATAAGAAGAAGATATTCAATTATCTATAATTTTCGTGAACAAAATAAAACGAGATTTAACCTTTCTGGTAAACCTAACAATTAGTCTGAAAAGGTCTTTCGAATCACTGTAAAAAAAAAAAAAAAAAAAAATCTCCTATCTGTGATATATATCATGGTGACAAGCATATATTCCGTGAATTGTTTGAAATATTTTTGTTCAGAAGTTCTTATTTTTGTGCAACTTTAGCAGTTCTTAATTATCTAGATGTAACTGCATTTTCTATTTTTCTTCAGATGAAATATATTTTTTTTTTTTTGGTCAAGAACCTCAGATGAAATCTTTTTTTTCTTGCTTTTAGTGTTTGTTCATGCCATGGGAAAATTACGAAAATGATTAAAAAAGGAGAAGAAATTAAAAAGTGTAAGTGGGGTTTGCAAACTTTGCATACATTAGTCATGAACTCATGAGATGTTGTCTTTCTATAATATCGAGGATTCAAGGGTATTTGACAAATAAGGAATAAATATTCCTTGTATTGTTACTTTGTTAGTAGTTTAGGTTTGGTTTTCTCTCTTTAATCTGTTTTCTTACGAGTCCGTAGTTCTACTTAAATTCCCGATTTTTTTTTTGTAAGTATCAGTTCATTAAAATTTAATCGAGTACCCAGAAAAATAATCTAAAAAAATGACATACAAACAAACAAACAATAAAACAGAGACCAAAGATGTCAATATCAATGCCAACTAGCTGCTTTTGATATAAATGCAGGTAATAGTTTGGAGAAAATAAGAGTTAGAATTAGTCCAAATCAGAAAACCAATTATAATTTCATTCCTAATTATCAATGTGATATATTAATATATTGTACACGTAATTCCAGATCTTAGTAAAGTGTTTAAATTAAGGGGAATTTCATACAAATATCTAACATTCATTTTTAAAGGTATACCAAAGTTTCTAATTAGGACACTTGCGTTTATTGTTTCTCGTTCGTATTTCTTCACGACTCACGAGTCCAATAATTTGCCAATTTAATAATATATCAGAAAACAAATATTTATGTTAGAAAAGCTGAATTGCATACAGCTGTTGTTTCCTCCTAAATTTCGACTCTGTCTTTTTCGAAAGTACCAATTATATGGCCACTATGTACTACCCATATTTCTTACAAATTATGACATAAATATACTCAGACGGATTCGCGCTTTAGTATCTTTATATTCACGTCTTAGCTTATTTGGTTAAAACATTATACAGTTATCAAGAAGTTAAAAGTCTTTAGTTTCATACATCTAAAATAAAAAGCAGCATTCATAAGAATATCAGTAGCTAGCAAAACAAAAAATGTATTATAAAATGTAGGAAGTTGTTATAATATATGACAGAGTGAATATAGTAACTATGTTGTAAATATGTATAAAGAAATAACAGTAATTTAATTCATCTGATATATTTTTAAACTATCATAGGTTTAAATATATGAACTAATTTACTAATAAAAAAAAGACGATGACGGTGGTAATAGTTCATCAAATGATCAATTTACAATATTTTAATATATTATGAGTTAATTAGTTTTTAAAAATTGTTTTACTTTTCTTTGGTTTGGTTTTCTTTTCCACATACACGATTAACCCTAATTCTATACAATATATCTTGGAACTTTTTTTTTCACAATCATGCTAAAATGATAGTGATACTCGCATGGTAAATATTATATTAATTTCTCTGGAAGTCATAATAAGCTTGTTTAAAGTTTAAACAACTAACAGTTAATAAGTATATGATTAAATTAATAGGTAGATGTTGTCTGATAAATATGTTTTTATTAACAGATATTCATGTAATTGAATGCCAAAAAAATCCACATAATTTATGAAATATTTCTAGTGTAAAAATATGATAGTGCTGAAATAGTCCCGGAGTGTCAAGCATAAGTGTTCAACTGTAGAATTTTTGAAAGAATCTCGATCCGAAGGTTAATGCACGAACTCCGTAATATTTAAAAGAGTTGTCTACATGAGTTTTTCTCGATGTTTAGTTACATGTGAATCTTTGAGTTCACACCATTAAATGATTCCAGGAAAATATGTTTATGTGTTGGTATTTAATAACTTCAAATAAAGATATGGAGATCTGTGCAATATATATTTTTAAATGGATTATCTGTCTTTAATCGATTATTAATAAAAACCAAACAGGAATTAATTTCGTTCGATTTGCTTTGAGAATAATCGTGCAAGTTGCAACTTGTAAACGAAGACACGAATTAGATAATGAGATGCACTTATGAAACCAAAGCAGCATAAATTGTAATCCAATCAACCGAATCGCTCTCAAACCAAATCCAAATTGTACACTAATTAATTTCAATCAATTCCAACTTAAAACCCATATTATTTATTTTATTTTATAAGTTAATTATACAAATATATGGAAAATCCAATAAAATTATTTCGTCCGTTTTGTCAAAAAAGAAAAAAAAAAATATTTGGTTCGAATGCCAGAACAAAGGCTAACTAGTCTTTTCCCCATCCTCGAACAGTTGAGTATATAAATATTTGTATATATATGGGATGTACTCGTTAACAATAGAAACTGCAGTTTTAACAATAAAAGTAAATAATTTGGTCAAAAAAATAACTATAAACGTAGCTTAAATTACTTAATGTTTACCGGTATGGACGGCAGAAATAAATAAACAGCTTTTAATATGGAAAATGCATGCATGCATGATGCACATGTCATTAAATACTATATCACCATCACATGTTCACATTCAGTTGTCAACGATATATTTCACTTTCTCTATTCGAATATAACCAGTGATGACTGATAGCTATTAAGTATTAACGTAGTAAATATTAAAAAAAAAACTACTAAACAATAGTAACAATATAGCTAATAGACAATACAGAAAAATCTGATCGTGCTCGTGTTTCGCGTGGTCATCATCAAGAAGTTCGTGCTCCAAGCCTCCAAGTGGAGGGCTAAGAAAGAAAAGTGGAAGCTTCAGCCTTCAGGCTTGCATACATGCAACTCCCAGTTCCTCACTTCCAACAGCTAAACCAAGTTTTACGATCTCTTGATACCAATCGATCGATCGAGCTTTAGCTTTGCTAAATTAAATCAATGAATTTAAAAAAAAAAAATTATGAAAATATGAAAATATTTTTAAAATAAGAAATAAATAGACAATTCTTCCACATAGTTCACAAATTACGCTGGGGTTCTTGCCAACATCTCCCGTTTCTAAGAAAAATGTTAGGTAGTAACTTCTTCTTTTTTTTGCTTAATGACTACTTATACGTATCTAGAGCTACAATTTTTATAAGTCCAAACTTTACTACAGAACTTATAGTCTTCAGTTAGTTACCATTCAAAAGATAGTTGCTTCCGAAAAAAAATTCGAAATGCTGGTGAACAAAAATGTCGAACTTGTTAATTTTTTTTTCTTTCTCGACAGCTAATTGAATTGATGGACAATGTATAATATGATATGAGCCAAGAATAGCTAATAATTAATGTCTGGAGGTACGGAAGAAACAGTCAAAACGATATTCCGTTTATTTTGTCACAACTATTGAGAGCCAGAAAAAATTATTTAGATGAGTCCATAAGTTACAAATTTTGAGTCTCCACGCATGTGCTTAAGTTCTAGATTATATGATATCCTTGGGTCTAGGAACTAGACGCACCACAAAGTCATAAAACAAAGTTAAATGTTTTTTAGTTCCTCAATAATTGGAACCAAAGAGATAGGATCGGCTTTTGATCATATCTTCTTGTTTAAATAATTAAACCCAATCAACCAATTATTGATTGAAACCAAACGAAATAAGCTTGAAATTAACTATAGATTTCAACAATATTATCATATTTTAGAGAGACGTATTATCAATTATTATAATTTTATATATTAAATTGCAGAATTTCAACCGAAACAAATAGTAGGTGCATGTTTATATATTTTAAATTCATCGTAGCTGCATGTTTATATATGTACCTTAATGTTTCAACTTTCTGTAAATTTATCTTAGATTAAATGATGTTGATCAACTTGGTGTCTTAAGTTTTTATATTTGGCAACCGATATTGAATTCATACGATCGAATCCAAAGATCCAAAGTTGACAGTATTACTCATGCGCAGCCAAATAAATGGACCATAAAATAAATCAAAAGAAAATTCCAATACTTTCAATCATTTAAAAAAAACTTCTTAAAAAAAAAAAATATATAGGATCTTCAAAAGGAGAGAGAGAGAGAAAGAGAGAATGTTATTATTAGTCCCGATTCTCGATTCATCTAGAGACTATAGACACAAGCTTGGATTTGGCAAATATATATATAGCATAGACCCATAAGTTGCAAAAAAAAGAAAAAAAGAACCCTTAAAATTTTGAATTTTTGCATTTTTTTGCTCATAGATCTATGATTATAATATCATCTCTTGTAGTTCTTTCTTTCTATGAAATAATCATATGATATATGTAATTATTGCAAATTTTCATATGTAACACGTAATAAGAAAGAAGAATGGCGTGGTCATCTTCTTAATTTGACTTGTACGTTAGAACTTAGAAAACACACGGTTTTAATTAAAATTAGTTAGGAGGAGAGTAATAATAAATTAAAAAGAAATATATAACATATATTTATAAAATTAGGAAATAGCTTTTAATGATCGAAAAGAGCCAGAGGAGCTCCCTATTTAAACCCCTTCTCTGCCTCACTCTATCCCTCCCCTTCACCTTTCTCTCTCTTAAAGATACTCTGCTCTCTCTCCCTAACGCTCGCCGTTTTCTTTTTCAAGGCTAAGGTAAAACTACTACTAATATCTCCTTCAACGCCTTCCTATTTCCTTCTTGCGTATATGCACATTTCGTCGGTTCTGTGTTGTGCTTACAAACTCCCTGCCGTTTATCCAAATATAAAACAATATTCGTCCCGTCGAACATATTTTATCGTCGCTAATTAATACCCATTTCCTGTACATTTATCAAAAAAAGATAAATTTTAAGCCAGCATCTGTCGGAAAAAAAATCCAGCATATTATATAACCATACAAAATCATCCGTTTGGGATGTAATTATTTATGGAAAACAACTATTTCTTTTTGTTTGTTAAAGATGTAAAAAGAAAAAGTTTTAGCCGGGTTACTGAACATAAGTTATCAGGCCAAACATTTTAACCGGATCCATTACCGATTTAAACTCCGTTTTCTACTAAATCGGTTTTCTTTTAAGTCAAATGGTCAAACATCGGTTAATACCGGTTCGCTTTGATTAACCCATCGGTCATTTCACTATATACGTACACACATATGCATATATATATTTTTATGTAATACCAAAATTATTTGGAGTCAATTAGTGGTTGTAATTCGCTGAACTTCTCAGTTCACGTTTTAAGAAATCTTATCCCAACTTTCTTGGGACACAAGCAACTTTGTCCATTCATCACATTAAATTATTTCTGTTTTTTTTCTTTCCCCACTATTTCTGTTTTTTCTTTTCTTTTTACAAACCTAATATGGAAAAAAAATCCATTTGGATCATTATTATCCATGAACATTCATTGTGATCCAGATTTAAAACCTTGTATAAAACACCAAATATTCAAGATTTTCGTCTCTGATCCAAGTAATTGTTCCAGAAAATGGAGTTTGAGAACCGGTATGGATTTGCAACGACGCAGAAGTACGACTGTCTCTTGTTCGGTACGTGCTTAACAAGAATAAAATAAACTAATCAGTTTTAATTAATTAATCACGTGAATATATAGTTTACTGACCGGAAATTGATCAAACTTGTATTTAGATTTGGATGATACCCTTTATCCTCTTAGCACCGGAATCGCAAGAGCATGTGGAAAGAACATCAAAGGTATTTATTATTGACTTACACTATCGACTTATATCGATTGATCATCCATTTCTGATTTATTTATTTATTTATTTTTATTTTTTGTCTGATAGATTATATGATCGAGAAACTCGGTATACCAGAGGACAAAATCGTCGAGTTGTCTAATCTTCTATACAAGAATTATGGAACGACAATGGCGGGTCTTAGAGTATGTGATCATTATCATTCGAAAATTTCATTTTTGTTTCCAAAATTTTAGTGTATCTTTCTGTAACATTCCTCTCATTCTTTAGGCAATCGGATATGATTTTGACTATGACGAGTACCACAGCTTCGTCCACGGTCGTTTACCTTACGAAAACATAAAACCCGACCCTGTTCTTCGCAGCCTCTTGCTTAGCCTTCCTCTCCGCAAAGTCGTACGTGTCACAATCGCATTTTTATTTAATTAATACCATACAATAAACAATATATAGCTTTACAATAAGATAACTAATCAACATTTTTTATTTATATCCCGTGATTAGATATTTACCAACGCGGACAGAGTTCACGCGGCCAAGGCGTTGAAGAAGCTGGGATTAGAGGATTGTTTTGAAGGGATCATTTGTTTCGAAACGCTGAACCCCACGCACAAAAACGCTGCGTTTGAAAATTTCGAGATTTTTGATATCGTGGAACATTTTAACCGGTCTGAACCGGTCGATTCACTTCCCAAAACGCCTATTGTGTGTAAACCGTCTGACTCTGCTATTGTGAAAGCGCTAGAAATCGCCGCAATTGATCCTAACCGAACGGTATAGCTAACCAGATTTGTCGTTTTTAATTATTATTTTTTTAAAAACGTGGACAACAAAACTAAATTTAATTTTATCTATCATTGCAGCTGTTCTTTGAGGACAGTGTCCGAAACGTACAAGCTGGAAAACGCGTTGGTCTTCACACAGTTCTGGTACGATTACTTTGGTTTAGCTTAATCTAACCGAAATCAAATTATAATAAATTAAGGGATTTTGGAGTTGACTATTGAGTTTTGTTGTTTTCAGGTTGGTACATCGAACAAAGTCAAAGGAGCAGACTACGCTTTGGAAAGCATTCACAACATGAAAGAGGCGTTACCGGAATTATGGGAATCCGACATGAAATCGTCGGATGTTGGATATTCCGGCAAGGTCGCCGTTGAGACATCTGTTACAGCTTAGGATTGTTTCTCCCTTGTACCTAAATTTCCACCACCCATTTCAGTTCTTTTTTTTTTTCAAATGACGTAATGTCATTTTTGTTTTTTCGACTTGTGTTTATAAATTTAAATAAAAAATGAGGATAATTAATAATTACCATCCGATCGGTAATAATTGAGAAGAGTAAAATGCATGACTCATGAGTCATGACAGATTTGACAGTTCAATTACAGTAGTTTCGGAATATGTACAGAACAAAGAAGTCAATAATTTCATCATGTTTAATTAAAAAAAAAGAGAGAGAGAGAAAATAATGAACCCTTTCACCCCGAAAAAGACTTGTCGTTTGGGAGGCGACGAATCCGTTGAAACAGCACGTAGTTACATAAATTGATCGATTACTATAAAAGAACATATCTGGCCCATAGCACAGATATAGGACTTGGGCCCCAAATGTAATTAAGAAGAGATTAATGAAAGTGCCAGAATCTTCACCACTAATAGAATGACACGTGTCATGCTCACCAACAAACTACCTTTGCATCGGACGGTCATTAATGCTCACTCTTATGGATTCTTCTTCTCTTTTTTAGTGAGTGAATTTGGTTTACAGATATTTCCCGAGTTTTGCAAGCTTCTTCCATGGCGAATCTTCCCACCGTTCTCGTGACCGGAGCCAGTGGCAGAACAGGTTCTTACGTTTCGTTCTCCTCCGTCCTCATAGGCTTACTGAGAAAAACGCGTAGGGTTAGTGATGTTTTTGTTGAATATAATCAAAGGATTACGATCCAAACAGATAACACTTTCATATAGCTGTTCGGTTCGATTTGGACGCCCAAAATTCTCGCTTGAATGTGTATGTGATGATCAACTGGACCAATTTCGAAAATTTAACTGTTCTCGTTTTGGAATGATCTCTGTTTTCACGAGGTTGTTTCGGTCTTTCGATGGTCTTTTTTAGCTTCATTTGATGACAATTGTTGTTGTTTTTTTCGTACATGGCATTGATAGGCCAGATTGTGTACAAGAAGCTGAAGGAGAGGTCAGACAAGTTTGTGGCAAAGGGGTTAGTCAGAACTCCCGAAGGAAAAGAGAAAATTGGAGGAGAAGCTGATGTTTTCATTGGGGATATAACAGATGCTGATAGCATTAAACCTGCAGTTCAAGGGATCGATGCGCTTGTAATTCTCACCAGCGCTGTGCCCAAGATGAAACCTGGTTTTGATCCCACAAAAGGTGGAAGACCCGAGTTCATGTTCGATGAAGGACAATACCCTGAACAGGTACTTACCATTAACATGTAAAAATCTTCCACATTTCATCTTAATCAGTGTTCACTGCATCATTGTGTTTTTTTTGTTTTTTTGGCGTAGGTTGATTGGCTTGGCCAGAAGAACCAAATAGATGCTGGTAGGCTTATATTTTCTTTCCATTTCATCTTGTTTCTCGCATTTGTCTTGTTAACGGTTAAAGTGACTGATTTGATGAGCTTGTATGAATAGCCAAGGTTGCTGGTGTTAAGCATATTGTCGTGGTTGGCTCCATGGGTGGAACAAATCCGGATCATCCTTTGAACAAACTTGGAAATGGGAACATACTGGTTGGTTAAAGTTTATCTTCTTTTTCTTTCTTTCTTTCTTTGCAAAATGAATTTGTTTTCTTATAGACCTAGCAACCTTCGGCTCTCCTTTGGCTCAATTTTTGCTACTTTATGTGGGTACAGGTTTGGAAGAGAAAAGCTGAACAATACCTTGCTGATTCTGGAACTCCTTACACAATAATCAGGTTTAACAAACTCTTTCTAGTGCTTCTATTTTGACTACACGACCCTCCATATCACCAAGTCAAAAATTCACCTCAAACTTCGTAGTTTTAAAAACTCTCAGTTACGTTGTGTCCTCGTAACGGATTAAGCTTTTTATCCCGTGGATCAACGAGCGGTTTTCTCAATCTTCTTGAGCCTGTTCTTACTTGATTATCTCTGTTCTTGATTTCCCAAACTTAGAGCTGGAGGACTTCTAGATAAGGAAGGCGGCGTAAGAGAGCTGTTAGTTGGCAAAGATGATGAGCTTCTTCAAACAGACACAAAAACCGTCCCTAGGGCTGATGTTGCAGAAGTCTGCATTCAGGTTTGTTTGCTCACGAGCTTTTTTTTCTTCTAAATATCATCATCACATGGATTCAATATTTTTTTTCTTTTTTTTTTCAAATCATAATGTATCTTCTTTTTGTTGTAAATACAGGCATTGCTGTTCGAGGAAGCTAAGCTCAAAGCTTTCGATCTCGGCTCAAAAGCAGAAGGAACCAGTGCTCCCACCAAAGACTTTAAGGCTCTCTTCTCTCAAGTCACCTCTCGTTTTTAGTCTCTATCGTTGTTGCGAAATAATTCATCATCTGGGATGTAATGTAATGTACTAAAACTTTATTGAAATAAAATCCCCGTGTTTGTGATGAAAAAGAGTCCATGATGTTAGGCTCTTTCTTTTCAATCTAAGATAAAATTATTTGGGCCAGAATGACTGAAATTTACAATATGGGGAATATTTGTGATTAAAGTAAAAAGACGGGGAAAACCTTAGAATTAATTTCCCGTTTCTATCACCCGCTTCATTTGCCTTCCTATCGCCACATGAACCAGAGAGAGAGAGAGAGGACGATTTTGTTCACTTCCGATATCGTTCGGAATTTTAATTTTTCGTTACTCATCGAACCTTAGCGTTCGGTGGCGTCTTCAACTGAAGCTACGATGATGACGGTGAGGGCAATCAATGGTTGCTCCATCATTCGCACCGCGACTACCGGCGGCGGTCCTCCGGTTTCCCTATTTCGCCACCGTATTCAGCGCCTCAGAGCGACTCATCTCCGGGAATTCTCGAAATTAGCGTTAGGTTATCCACTTCTCCGGTCGAGTAGGCGGTTTCTCGGACAGAATACCGGTGGCGATGCTCCGAGTTGCTCGTATTCCATTCATAATCTGGTCGACAGTGTTTCCGAAGAGCTCGAATCCATTAGGAGGCGCAAGGGAAGCCGAATCAGAGTTCGCGCCAGTGTGAAGTACGTTTCAGTATCCTTCCTTTTCTATGTACACTGATTATTAGCATATAGCAAAATTGCTCGAATTGAACTAGAAATCGGAAATTGAAAGAGAATTAGGTGAACCTGTAGGGTGAAATTAACAAGCTACGGAGAGGTTCTTGAGGATAAGCTAGTAAACCAGGAACTAGAGGCGGGTTTGCTTCTGGAGTTTAAGAAGGACCCAGACAGGGTATTGCTGGCAGTTGCTCACAGACCTGATGGCAAGAAGAACTGGATGGTCTTTGATCAGGTTTCACTTTAAAAAATAGAATCACTCATACATTGCTCTGTCGTAGGTACTGTGCTTGCAGATTTTTAAACTCATGGAAACTTAATTGGTGCAGAATGGTGTTACTTGTTCCATCAAACCGCAGCAAATTACGTACATCGTCCCGGGTGTTTATAATTTCGACCATACAGAACTTACTGGTTTTCTCCACAGGGCTCAGGATAACTTGGTACGTAATGACATTGGAAAAGGTTTAGATGAGGTTGTCGTGTTACCCATGATTGAGCTTTTAGTTATTGTTTCGATGCAGGATCCCCAACTGCTTGAGTTTGCTTGGATCGAGTTACTTGAAAAGAACAAACCTGTGACGCCAGAAGAGTTAGCTGAGGTACCATTTATTGGCGTAAATGCAGCGGTCGAGCCCGTGGTTTGACAATGCTTTTAAATTTGCAGATGATCTATGGTCGCTCAGATCCTCTCGAAAGCTATTGTGCTCATTTTTTGCTATCGAAAGACGAGATATACTTTTCTGTCTTGGAGTCTAAAGGTTCTCGATCAATCTATGCCCCCCGCCGTACTGAACAGGTATTTCTAGTGCATCTTATTTTTTTTTGGTATAAATAGGGTCATCTATGCCACTAGAAGAGTGTTCTCTGTAGCTTTCTGTTCTTGGTAGTGTAAGACTTCCAATCCTTAGATATTTGGATTTCATTTATCTACCAAGCAATGCTGAGCTTCGTTTGCTACATGAATTTGTGAAATCAAGTAAAAGAATTCTATGCGGGTGAAATTTGTAAGTTGTAACAGTATTTGGAGAGCATTGCTGAGCTTTAACCTGACTTGTTGGGTGATGCTATTATCTGGCTTGATGATGATATGTGAGTAATGGAAAGAGAATTTGATTGTGAAGCTCAGACTCTTTTATTAAGTGACGTGATTTTGCCTGAAGACCTTCTATTCTCTGATAATCTCACGTTAATTTTCCTTTGTAGGTGGACGAGCTTTTACGCAGGCAACGTGTGAAGGAGGCAGAAGAGAGAGAGTTTCAGGAGTTTATTTTATTGCTGAAGTCTGCCAAAAAGGCGCCTAGTCACGCCAAGCCCCCCAAATCGTCATGGTTAGCTGATGATCAAGTCCGAGATAAGATTGGCTCACTTGAAGCTTATGCTATTGATGCATGGGCAAGCACTGACCAGCGGAAATTGGCTGGAATGGTGAGTCAGCTACATTTCTTCTTTGATAGCACCTCTTAAGCTATTACTATATGTTTGACCAAAAAATTTTTGTTACTATATGGATGGAAGCAACATTTCCCGAAGAATTTCATTGTTTGCTTGTTGAAGCAAAATATCAAATTTGTAATCAAATGTATTTTTGTGGTCGCTTCACAGATCCTAAAATCCATGGGATTACAGAAAACGGCTGTCTCGGCTCTAAACCTTCTCATAGATATTGGATATTTTCCTGTACATGTCAATCTTGATCTGCTCAAGCTGAATCTTCCCACCCACCACTCAGAAGCAATCGTTGAAGCTGCTGAAGCTCTTCTTTCAGAGTCATCTGATCTTGATGTGGTGAGTACTTTGACCTGCTTTTGGATGTATGTTATACAAAAATATTTATTCTCGCGTTTGTGGTGAATCCTTGTGCTAAAGATGACCGTTTTGGTGATTAGAAAAGTGTTGACAGAATCTTTCTCCAAGATTCAAAATTCTTACTTGCTCAGACCTTTTATAGGTTAGGAGGATTGATCTCACACACTTGAAGGTTTATGCAATTGATGTTGATGAGGCTGATGAGGTAAATGCTTTTAAGTCTCCTATAGTTATTATGCAAAGTCTAGGTTTGAAAAACCGAGTCTTAATGCTATCTCATTTGACTGTCAGTATTCTTTCTGGTTTCATGGAATTTCCGCAGCTTGACGATGCCCTGAGTGCAACAAGATTGCAGGATGGAAGGATAAAGATTTGGATACATGTTGCTGATCCTGCTAGATATGTTACACCTGGGAGCAAAGTGGACAGGTAAACGCGATGCATGTCTCTGATCGCTATAAGAACGATTTTTTGGTCAGTATGATTTATTAGTATGTGCTCTAGAGAGGCAAGGAGAAGGGGAACTTCTGTCTTTCTTCCGACGGCTACTTATCCCATGTTTCCAGAAAAACTTGCCATGGAAGGAATGAGTTTGAGACAAGGAGAAATATGCAACGCTGTCTCTGTGTCTGTTGTCCTGCGTTCTGATGGCAGGTAACTCAATATTTCATTGCTCGTCTCTCGATTTCTTATCTACAGAACTAAAAGAATACCTTGCAACTTCTTGTTAACAGCATTGCAGAATATTCCGTAGAAAATTCAATTATCAGACCGACATATATGTTGACATACGAAAGTGCTGCTGAGCTACTTCACTTAAACCTGGAAGAAGAGGCTGAGCTGAGATTGCTGTCTGAAGCAGCCTTCCTCCGCTCTCAATGGCGCCATGAGCAGGTTGGCGTGAGTTTTGTGTGGTCTATCATGAAAACCTCGAGTTTTGGATGCTGTTTTTGTTTATATGTTTTGTAACACTTGCCCTTTTCTGGGCTAACACAGGGTGCAGTGGACACAACTACACTAGAAACGCGCATCAAAGTGGTGAATCCTGAAGATCCAGAACCGTTGATAAATCTATATGTGGAAAATCAAGCAGAACCGGCAATGAGACTTGTCTTTGAAATGATGATTCTTTGCGGGGAGGTTGTAGCAACGTTCGGGTCTCAGCACAATATTCCATTGCCATACAGAGGACAGCCGCAGTCAAATATTGATGTATCTGCATTTGCGCATCTTCCAGAAGGACCCGTACGGACCTCGTCCATTGTCAAAGTGATGCGTGCTGCAGAAATGAATTTCAGATGTCCTGTTCGACATGGAGTGCTTGGAATCCCTGGTTACGTTCAGTTCACATCTCCCATCCGTCGATACATGGATCTTACCGCACACTACCAGGTAAAACCTGATTCACCAGACATCATGTGGTTTAGAGTTTAACACAATTGTCTTAGTTGATTGATCATCCATGGGACGAACTTGTGACTTCTGCCGTAACCTTAAATTTAGTTTGAACATTAACCAGTTCGTTAATTTGAATAACAGATAAAGGCTTTTCTTCGAGGAGGTGACAATTTTCCTTTCTCAGCTGGTGAGCTAGAAGGCATAGCAGCATCTGTAAACATTCAAAACCGAGTGGTGAGAAAACTCTGCAACAGCGGTCTCCGTTATTGGGTAATAGAGTTTCTCAGGAGACAACCAAAAGGCAAAAAATACACCGCATTGATCCTGAGATTTGTCAAAGACCGGATCGCATCCCTTTTGTTGGTTGAGGTAATTAATTGTTTGTATACAAACCAAGAAAAAAACAATTCTCAGTTCCTTTATATTTATAAAAAAAACCAAAGGCGAATTAAATCACCAGTAAAAAATGTGTACAGGTGGGTTTTCAAGCAACGGCTTGGGTATCAGAAGGAAAACAAGTGGGAGATGAAGTCGAAGTTCGAGTAGAAGAAGCTCATCCCCGCGACGATCTTATTCTTCTCAAAGAAGCTCTCTAGAGAGAATTAACAAACACTTGCTTTTTGACGTATAGGGTTCATACAATTTTTACTTGTTGTTGCTGTAAGTCAGTATAGGAAACTTGCTTTTGTTCTATAGAGCAATGGGAAAATAAGTAATGTGAATATACTATTTTAATCTTGGATTTGAACGATCTAAAAGTCTCAAACAAAGAGCTTGATTGCCTTGATAAATGTATCAACTTGATGATCTTTAGAAACACCATAAGACTGTCTAATCTAGATAAAGCCACTTGAGCCCTTGACCAAATAACATTGATAATAACGATTGATAAGTCAACACATGCAATGATCTACGCTAATACTCTTTCCTTTTACTTATATACTTCCATATGCAAATACTGCTCGGAATCTTATATTGTTGCCAATGATTGAACCAACTTAATGGTTGCTTTTCTTCCTCCACGTCTAATATAGTCAAAGCGGGTTTACATGTAAGATATATACAAATTGTGATATTTATAATATTTCTAGTTATAATTCTAAAACAAAGAAAAATAATTCTTACGTTGTTTACAAAGTCAAAATCGTAACGAGAGTTTAGCTGCGGTGGGAAATGAAAAAGTGTACGTCGTACGTAGTATATAAGCGCGCGCATTGATTAAAATTAAATGTGAAGCAACAAACAGTTAAAAGAATATTTTCATGTTCTTTAACAACAACAAAAAAAAAAGAATATTTTCATGTTACTATATATGCTCCTTCAATTATGTTTTCTAACCATTAAAACCGGTCACCGACTACACTAGTTGATAATTTGATATCTACGTAAGAATTGCTATGGATGCATCAACCTTGTAAACACAATTATCTGCATATAACCTCTTAGTTGAAACTAAATATATTTTTACATAACAAAATTTAAAGTTTCAAACGGTATTTATCATCAAATTAAAATAAATTTGATGTTAAAAAATTTAAAAAAATGTGTTATATAACGTAATATATGCCCAACTAGCATAACTTTGTAATCATATGATTAATGAAATACTGTATATTCTACCAACTAGGATTTAATAAAGCAAGAAAAGTAATGTGACGGTTTCGATTATAAATTGTGAAACACTAAAACTAGTGCCCGATGTCAAGTGGTACGGACAAAGTGAGATTTAAGAATTTGATTGCTTCTAGTCTAAACCTACCCTAACAAAAAGTCAAATATTAATTGCACATGCATTTATCTTCACTGATTTCTCATAAAACTATTGGTAAACGGATTGATAACTAAGTAATTAAATCACATGTAGTTTAATTTTATACATTGTCGTCTAATGCCATAAATGATTAGTTCTAAGTGAACATTCTTGGAAACAATTCACATGTGCTTCTTGGAATTCTACTTGAATAGTTCTCTGACCCTTTTTTCTACTTCTTGTTCAATTACATTTAGTTACGTACGACCTATGTGTAAACCATGTAGTTAGAATACAAATTGTAAATCGACAAAAACCCAGCAAAAGTGTGAAAATATTTATGGTGCTCGTAACGAAGTAAAAATAAGAAATACTTAAATATGGAAGCCCTATGGGTAGTGGCTTACGTATTTTGAGATCAATTATTTATATGTAGAATTAAACAAACCTACAAGGCAATAAATGAAGCCACATGGATATAGTGGTCGAATATTTTAAAGTTTTCAATAAACCATATATGATATATATGCACACGATTATATATAAGATTCGAATTTTCAGGTTCATAAAAATAACTTTAACGTCATATCTAACTCGTTTTGGTATATTGTGATGTTCTGTATTTGCTTTATGCATTTCTGTATCAGAATGAATATACATTGTAAATCACATTTTAAACAAAACATATATATTTTACAATTGATCAACATATTTATTGATGTATTTTCTTTTTAAAAAACGCTTATACTATTACATTAGATGCATAGGTAAGCATGTGGTAAAACGTGAAGATGGGCCCCGCAATCAGTTGAGGCCCAACTGCATCGACGCACGGCCCTGTTAAATGCAATACCGTATTTTCCGTGTACTTATACGGACACTCTCATTTTTAGTCCAAAAATAAAAACCTTATAAGATTATATGATATATAATTAGCTATTGTAAAATGGTTTTGATAGTAAATTGTAATTTGTGTTTACTCTAATGTGAAATAGGTGGGAGAAAGGGAATGCATTTCAATAATGAAATATTTGTAATCATGTTATCTTTGATATATAATTTATTTTATTATTGCAATATAAAATATGAATTGGATGGGATCGCATCAGAGGGTTTAATTCATGTGGGATTTCCAATTGGTCACGACTCAGCAAATTGACCAAAGAAAAATGCATGAGGTGCCCATGTGCGTACCACGTGCGTTTGCTATATTTTTGGCTTATATTAAAAAAACCATTATTAACTGACTTACAGTCTTACACTGAATATAAAAGTTGACCAAAAAAAAATTGTATTTTATTATGAAAAAAATCAACTTTTTTTTTTAATAAAAAATCTGAAGTATGTTATATAAGCTTCTTTCCTACTTGGTTGATGAAGTATTTCTACTATCCTTTTACTGTGTGTAATAATGAGAATCAGATGTTAAAAAAAAAAAAAAAGCATTAAAGAGTGTTTGCCGTTATTTATCGCGCGTGATAGTAACTCGTATGACGTGCGCGCAGTGATTTTTAAATAGCGCGGACTTTAATCAACTAAGCCACGTAAGCCGCCGGAAATGGTTAATTACTGGGCCAAGACAATCCTTTATTTGGGCCGATTATTAATGGCTATCTAATATCGGTCTATAGTTTTTACTTTTGATGAATAAAGTAGTTTAACTAAGGTGAAAAAGGTAACTATAAGAGCCTATTTGCTTTAGGCAGCTGCCTTGCTTGCAAACAACTAAGATATTGCCTGCATATATTTTTTTTTTCTCTGTTCTTTTTAGATATTCACTTTTTGTTGATAGACTTACGTCCAAACCTTTATTTAACATAAACGCGAATAAATAAAGTAATAACAGTACAATACTGAAATTTTTGATGACGAAAAGCTCAGAAGATTTTTTTTATTGCTTTACAGAAAGTCAGAAACAATTTTTCAGTTGCTCTTTTGCTTTTCTTTTCTAAGAATAAGTACCAAAGATTGGATATTTCTCTATTTACATTTAGAACTTTATCATAAAAAACTCAAACATGAACGTAATTGAAAAAAAAAACACAAATTGGCTAAAATCAGTGTAGAGTAATTTACTTTTGGAAATTGAAATTTTTTTTAAAGGACTAAAACCAAACTATATAGTGATTGAGAACACTTTGATATGCATTCTCGTTAGTTCGGTGGAATATAATAAGTATTTTATCAGATCCACGAGGATAGAAATGCGGCATTACGAATTTTGTTTTTTATTTGGGTAAATCACGAAATACTTTTTTTTTTAAATTGACACTTAAATTAGAAAGGGAAAAAATGGAGAAATAATAAAATAAAGCCGATAAATTCTTTTGAAGCCTCCTCCCTCCCTCCATAAGTAGCCTTCATACCTTCCTACTCCCTCACACAATTCCACTCTCTCTTTACTCTCTCTCTTTCTCCTTTCGCAAAACTGAAACTTTTTTTTATTTCCGTACTGAATAAAAAAAATGGCGGCGAAAGTAATAACAGTAATGGCGGTTATGGTGGTTGCTGCTCTAACGGCAACGACAGTGAGCGCCAAAATCCCCGGAGTTTACACTGGAGGTCCCTGGGTCAACGCTCACGCCACTTTCTACGGCGAGGCTGACGCTTCGGGCACTATGGGTAAAACAGACTCTCTCTCTTTCTCACCTCCTCTGTTTTTCTTTTTTACCCCAAAAGTTTTCAAATTATCAATTTAATCCTCTTCCCTACCTTTCACACCACTCTCTCTTCCTCTTACTTTTTTTCATTTTACCCCAAAAGTTTTTTATTTTACAATTATCAGCTGAGATGATTGAAAGTCACGTTCTTTATAGTTTAAACACACACACACACACACACACTAAATGACTAATCACTGAGTACAGAGCTTTTAAGTAATAACTTATAAGGGGTGGTTGTATTGGTGTAGGTGGTGCGTGTGGGTACGGGAATTTGTATAGCCAAGGTTACGGAGTGAACACGGCGGCATTAAGCACGGCCTTGTTCAACAATGGTGTGAGCTGTGGGGCTTGCTTTGAGCTCAAGTGTGTCAATGATCCTGGCTGGTGTCTTCCCGGAAACCCATCAATCCTTATCACCGCCACTAATTTCTGCCCTCCAAACTTCGCTCAGGCTAGCGACAATGGCGGTTGGTGTAATCCTCCTCGTGAACACTTTGATCTCGCCATGCCTATGTTTCTTTCCATCGCTAAGTACAGGGCCGGTATCGTCCCCGTCTCTTACCGCAGGTATTAATCTCTCTCTCTCTCTCTCTCTCTCTCTCTCTCTCTCTCTCTCTCTCTCTCTCTCTTTAAACTCTTTTAAAAAAAAAAAAAACTCTGTTTTTATCTCTCTGTTCTCCCCTGTTTTTATCTCTATACTCTGTTTTTGCATTACTTATGTTGCAACCTTTCTGCAAGCATGAAATTTTTTTAAATTGAGTCTTAGTCCATAGTACTAAGACTCAGGTATTAATCTCTTACCGCAGGTATTAATCTCTCTCCCTCTCTATTTAAACTCTTTTTGAAAAAAAAACTCTGTTTTCCCCTGTTTTTATCTCTGTACTCTGTTTTTTGCATTACTTATGTTGCAACCCTTCTGCAAGCATGAAAATTTATTAAATTTGAGTCTTAGTCGATAGTCTTACTCTGTTTAGCTTGTTTTCGAGATTGATCCGATGAAATCGCCTAGTGTTGCTCAGCCAGTCAAAGATGTAAAGATATTTGTTAGAAGTTACTTTTTTATACTTTTAGAATCTGTTTAATTAGGATCCCGACTCTTAGAATCTGTGAGCTTGAAGATTTTCAGAGCCTTCGCATGTTCACTCTATTCTTTATTCCGTTTCTTGTTTTCCCGAGAAATTTGCTTGCTTTTCTTTATATTTTCTCGGGAACCAAACAGAAAGGTTTTTTCTATTAACCAACTGTTTTAGTTGAGTTTATGCAATCACCTTTTCTGTCTTTTAGTCCCTTTAAAGCCATAGCCTTTATAACCAACGAACCTAACCTTTCCATCTGAGATTACCAGAACACCCCTTTAAAACCCGCGTCAGTTATTTAACCATGGATCCGGGTAAAAATCTCAGAGGGTGATTTAGTCATTTTTCACGCTACTCGATCCCTAAGATTCAGAATTTATTATTTTATTTTTTTGTCTTGAAGTCAGCCAATGGCCCGACACTTCCTCACTCCATCCCATACATCGGTCTCTAATCTTTTGTTTTGCAAATCATAGTGCCTAATCCAATATACTACTATCTTAAAAATATTTTGCATTTTTAAATAGTATTATTTACACGAAACAAACGAATCATCAAAATTTTAATAAATATTGACTAACAATTATATAATTGTTTTTGGGTGTTGCAGAATCCCATGTAGGAAGAAGGGAGGTATGAGATTCACGATCAATGGATCCAAGTACTTCAACTTGGTGCTCGTCACTAACGTAGCCGGAGCCGGAAACGTCGTGTCGGTGAGCGTGAAAGGAAGCAACACACAATGGATGGTTCTTAGCCGGAATTGGGGACAAAATTGGCAGTCCAACGCGATTCTTGTCGGCCAATCTCTTTCTTTCCGAGTCAGAACCTCCGATGGTCGGAGCTCCACCTCCAAAAACATTGTTCCGAGTAACTGGCAATTTGGTCAGACTTTCTCCGGCAAGAATTTCCGCGTCTGATTTCTAGAATAATCAACTGAAATTATCGACAGAAGATATATCGAAGCTTTTTCTTTTCCTTTCAATATATATATTTACGTGTCTTTAAATTTAGTTACGATTTGGAATTGGGGTTTTACCATTTTTCCCTTATTTTCTCAGGGAAAGTATTGGGGTTGCTTGTTACGAAAGTTAGTTTTTTTTTTCTTTTTAAGATTAGGGTTTGTTTTGTTTTTGGTGTGTTTGTGTCTTGTTTGGTCTGTAGGGAGGCTGAAGCGGCTGCAAAGAAAAAAAAGGTTTGGATAAAGATAAATGTAGCCCGCAGCTCTCCTTTACGCCCTATTGTATTAAGTATATACATATATAATATTCAGAAACTTGGTTTCTCGGTTTATATGAATAACGATTGGCTATTTGTCTTTAATAACTAAGTTTTAATATATTAATGTGGTGTGGATTGGTTACTTCTGTTCTTCAAACGGTCACGTTCGAATCTGTTTGTTTTGAACTTCTGATTAACTTTCAAATAGAGTTTGAATTTGTTTTTGAATTTTACTATCATCCATATTATTCGCATTTAAATTAAATCGTTCCTAAAACTCGAGTTTAATGGTATAAAACTAAAAGTTCTAGTTTAATCGATTCACGCTCCATTTATATATAACTTCACTATGCTTTATTTTATTTTTTTATAAAAAGTAAAAAAAACGTCACTATACATACTTTCAGTCAAACCTATACGCACGGAATCTACAGATTCATACGGTCCATAATTCCGGGATATATGGTGTACCATACGTATTTTAGTATGTACTTATGTGAGAGGTGATGCATTAAGGAGAATAAAAATTCATGTGATGTGATGTAAATGCATTACACCATCATCATGTGCAAGCTGCGATCACGATTTATCAGAGCAAAATAACAGAAAGTATGATAAGATATTGAATAAGATTTTAACGAATCTTATCATATATTCTGATGATTTAGTTGATGGACCAACCAATGTATATAATGCTTCTTTTAAAAAAAATCGGTAAAGATTTTGTTACAAGATTATTGATTTTTGTTTTAATATCCCATGACAATGTTTCATATGCCAACATCAAGATGCATTCTGTTTACCCAGAAATTGGTTTTACCAAAAGGCTTTTGCATTTTTTTTACGAATCACAAAATCACAATCGATCGACCTATTATCATCAATGATGATTCATCATTGTCTTTTTCGAATCACAGAAACAAAGAATAGTTTGGGTGGGTGTATGTGCCTGGTCGAGATTGATTATTTTCATATCAATCGAGGCCAACAATATCTATGAATCCGAATAATATTTCGATTCCTGTTTGAGGTTTAATATGCTCAATTTCCTTTAATTAAGCAGCATGCAATACGCAAACCCAAAGTAGCGGTAAAGAAGATAAATTTTTCTCACGGCAATATATACTGGCCTGGGGAAGAATATGTGGTGGGTCTGAATTTTCTAATCTAATTTAGCCGATACCTGAGTGAATGAAAAAAAAACAAAGGGGTTTTCTTGTGCGAAAAGAGAAGAAAAAAATAGATAGAAAGATTTTTGCTCAAAAAAGGAAGATAGAAAGATTAAAGATGGTGGAGAGCATAAATCCTATATTATCTAATCTTTAAAGCATCAATTTTTTTCGGCACAAACGAACAAAAACAATAGACGAACACGAGCGTAAGAAAATTACAGATGACTCTTACTTGCTTGTTGGGTCAATTCCCAAATTTAAACAAAGAAAGATGATGATTTATTTAGTTAAGATAAGAAATGTACTCATGAGCACAAATCCAAACAAAACTAAAAAAATGTAATAACATATTCGGCCAAAAAAGGATGCAATAAATCATCAAGTTATTTAGTTGGCAAAAAAGGAGTAAATTAGTTGGCAAAAAAAAAAAAATAGAGTTCTGAGTCTTCTGACTTCCAAACCATAGAAGTGTTTTGGTTTTGTAATATGGAATTTAAACCGCAATTTATTGTACCTTTTTGTACTATAGAAAAGTGATGTCATCAAATATTAAAAGTGGTATTTCTAAAATTTCCACACAAAAAATACAAATAGACCAATAAAAAGAGATTTTTTTATTTTTTTTATATGTCTATGAATTTATATCTCATCAGAATAGCAAAAAAAGTTACAAACAAATAGAAATATTATTCGTGGTTTAAAAATAAACATAATATTATTAACCGTTTGCTCAAATGGAGTCTCTCCCTCGCTTATCTGAGAACTCTGTTTGAGCTAAAAACGAAATTATCCTCACCGCCTGCAATTGTAGAGTGAAGTCTCCCAGCGGCCCAGCCATTGTTCAGCATCCTCGCTGGATCACCGGTCACACGGCTTTCTTCAGCCCGTGATTCAAACTCGGGAAGCCCATTTGCTTTCCTCTCTTTCCTTGTCTTCCTCTCTTCATCTCTTTCTTTCCTCAGCCAACTCTCAACTGTTCTCATCAATGACTTCTTGCTTGTCTCCTTCACTTTCTCCATTGGCATTGCTAGCTGCAACTTCCCGTTTGCTACATAAACCTACGATGGCAGATGTTGTTCTTTAGTGAAGGAGCAAAAACAGAGAGAAAAGAGTATAGTTTGGTGGTTTATAGTACAATGTGTGTTGGCCAATCTTCTAGGCCATCGAATATATGGGTCGCATAGATTATGGTTGCTCCTCGTTCTTCGCATTCCTTTCTCAGGAATTTCAAAAGGTCGGCTCTAGCGAGAACGTCAAGATCAACAGTTATTTCATCCAATAGTAGAACCTGTAGTTGATGATCCAAGAAAGTTGGATTCAGATAAATGTTTCATAATCACTTATCAAAATCTGATATTCTGAGCTTTGTTATTTGTTTTTAAGTATCAAACAATACATATGAGTTTGTGTTTCACAGGACAAATAGTTAGTTACCTTGAAAGGCTTGAGGAGTCCCATACAAATCTGGACACGTCTTCTTTGACCATCAGATACCTTGTGCAATCTCCAAGAGACATCGATATCCAACACCTGAACCAACCACAATTAGAACAAAACACAATCACATGGATTTGACGTAAAACGCAAGAAGATTCTTTCTGTATATAATGATCCCTCATACGCTTAAATGCTAGTAAGTTTGGTATGCGAGAAAGATCAAAGTAAGACAATATTCTAGCTGATTTCATTTTCAACATTGGGATTCATTATGAACATATGAGTTACGATTATGGCAAATACTAATACTAATGTTGTTGTTGTTTGAATCCATACCCCAAACTTCATAAAGTCACATGTCAGTTACAACTCACCTTGATCAGTTCAGCTCTTCTCTGAGGATCAATACCCGCCACTCCAAATATCATTTTCTCTGCCGAAATGTCCATTTGTATCGGAACTTCAAATCCTGCAAATGCGACATCACGCCTCCACTGTGGAAAGAAGAGGAAAAAACAATGTTTAAAATGAGAAAAAAAATATTGAAAACACAAATTGGATTGAATTCTATATAAAGGTTGGAACTGTACAAACAGAATTCAAATATCTAATACAATTATAATGGTTAGAATTCCAAATCAGAACTCAGTAATCTATTAAGCATTTCTAGTCCGAATGAACATCAGGTTATCATCCAATCACATTCACAGGAAAAAGACCAAAACTGAACTTTGTATTTATCACGAACCTCGCCACCGAGATAACAAAGGTCACCAGAAGATGTCAATCCGGTGTCGTGAAACGCCGATCGACCCAGAACCCTAACCATGTGCGGCTCCACCATGTGTTTCCCTCCCAATATCTTCAGAATCGTCGTTTTCCCTGATTTCAACCACCCATTTTATCAAAATTCGTATCCCTTGCATACAGATTTTGAAGCTAAGCGAGTTTCACAAACCTGCGCCATTAGATCCGACGAGGAGACACCGATCGCTTGCATTGAGCTTCAGAGAGAAATCTTCGATAAGTGGTTTAGATCCTGGAGGTGGATGGCCGTCGATTCCAGGATACGTGAAACGTAATCCGGAGATCTCAACCGTTGAACTCCGCTTCTCCTCTTCCGTCACCGCCATTTTTAGTGCTTGCTTTCTTCTCTTAACTCTCTCTGCCAAACTTATATACTTTTTCTTCAGACGTTTGGTAGTTGGTGGAGAAAGACATAAACCGGCACCGTTTGTGGTGAATAATCGAAAATTAGCTCACGTGGCGCTTTAAGAGACGCTCATTAACAATTAGTAGTTTAATACTTTTCTCCACGACGCCGTTTTATTGGGATCGGTGAAGACAAAGTCGACGTGGTCTGTTTTGAGACGATCGATATGAAAACGACGTCGTTGCAGGGAAATGAAAAAAAATTCATCTGATTGATTGATTTCCTTCATCAAGAGATCTCGAGTGTACTCCCTTTGATCTTCATCGTCTAGCTGATTTCTCGGGTTGGGTATTTGAAAATTTTCGAAAACAATGGCAGCGATTTACAGTCTTTACATTATAAACAAATCTGGTGGTCTGATATTCTACAAGGTACGATCTTTCTCTTGTTCTCGATCTCGCAGCTGTATGACTTTTTCTGCCTGGAGAATGATGACCTAAATAATGTTAATTTCGCCCGTGATTCCTCCATTTGATTTGAGGTAATTACCGAAAACTAGAGTCTTGGAATTGCTCGTGAATAGTTAATTGAATCCTTTTTTCTGTTTTCTCTTTGATTTGGCTTCCGAGAACATTTAAGAACAGAAAGCACTCTAATTTTTCCTTAATTGGAGATTGAAAGATGGTTGTATTTGATACTTCATTTCTGTTTGATCTGTTCTTTTTGCAATATAAGAGATATGTGAGTGTGTGTTTGGATTTGGTAAAAAAATTCAGGATTGTGGAACAAAGGGAAGAATGGATACGAATGATAGCTTGAGAGTAGCGAGTTTATGGCATTCAATGCACGCCATTTCTCAGCAGCTTTCACCTGTCAATGGCTGTTCTGGAATTGAGCTTCTAGAAGCTGACACTTTTGATCTCCACTGTTTCCAGTCTCTCCCTGGTTAATGTTCATCCCCATTTGCGAGATATATCATTTACGTTTCCTTCATTTGATCTTGATTGTTGTTGTTCGCTTATATTCTCAGGAACAAAGTTCTTTGTGGTTTGTGAACCGGGAACTCCCCACATGGAGAGCCTCCTTAGATACATTTATGAACTCTACACTGATTATGTCTTGAAGAATCCTTTCTACGAGATTGAAATGCCTATCCGTTGCGAGCTTTTCGACATCAACCTTACTCAAGCAGTACAGTCAGATCGTGTTGCATTGCTAGGAAGATGAGCGAGAGATTTATTGATTGTCTGCTGGATTGTTTCTTCTTTTGCCTTTTTTTTTTTTTTTTTTTGCGGGTTTCTTGTACCGATAACATTTTGTATGTGATAACAACCGAACATTGCAAGAAAACCTAAGTTTACAACTATTAAGTTTGTTTCTCTCCATTACACTTCCAGGAAAGTGGGAAAAAGAAAAAGAGAGACCCTTTTTTCGTTTCTACCATACAGCATGAGACCTAACCAATATAAAGTAAAAAGAGTCTATACATCTCTAAAACCCAGTAAAAAACCGCTCCTTTTTTTTTTTTAATTTGTTACATAATTGAAGGCCTAGGATAATTCACAGCCTGCGGAGATTTGCTACATGGAGATTTGTTACTGTTGTTGTTGTTGTCACTGTTGTGTTGGACATTCTGCTGCTCTTTTGGTGTTTCCTTTTGGACATGGAGTTGTTCAAGTGTCTTGACGATATCATTCATGGTCGGTCTACTCTTGGCATCTATGGATATGCAATCGAGTGCAAGAATTGCAATTTTCAAAGCTCGGGTTAGTGAGTATTGACCTTGAAGACGAGGATCCATCACTCGTAGAAGCCTTCTTTTGTTTGTTAAGTAAGGTTTTGCCCAATCCACTAGATTGTGTTCTCCAACTGGTTGGTTCTTGTCGATTGCTCGTCTTCCTGATAACAACTCAAGTAACACAACCCCGAAACTGTACACATCGCTCTTCGCCGATAAATGACCTTTCAAATTTGACAGAGACATCATCAGTACACTGGAGTTCTTTGCACTGATCAAAGTACCAGAGAATGCTTATATATATATATATATATATACCTGTAGCTAGATACTCTGGAGCAGCGTATCCCTGAGTCCCCATGACTCTGGTGGAGACATGGCTATTGTCACCCATTGGACCATCTCTGGCCAAACCGAAATCTGAAAGCTTTGCATTGTAGTTCTGCAGATACAGAGTAAGGATATATTTTCATGGCTGCATCCAAATGCCAAACCAAAGCAACACAAAGTATCAATTCTTGTGTCATACCGAATCTAGCAAGATGTTGGATGCTTTGAAGTCTCGGTATATAACTTGCGGTTGAGCATTGTGAAGAAAAGCGAGTCCTCTAGCTGCACCTAGAGTTATTCGAATCCGCGTGTTCCATGGAATTGGCTGAAAGAATGTTCCTCCTGTGTTGAAAACCCAGAAAAAAAATTAATCACTATGTTAAAAAACAGATTCTATCATGAGCTTCTTTCTCTTTGAAGTTCTTACTTCTGAACAAGTGATTCTCGAGACTACCACGAGGCATGAATTCGTATACAAGAAGCCTATGCTCTTCTTCCAAGCAGTATCCAATCAGTTTCACAAGGTTAGGATGATCCAGCTGACCCAAGTAATTGATCTCAGCCTGTTTTCCATAGTTAATAAACCAAAAGAAGATTCAAGAACTCGGGTGTCTTGAGAAATAATAGAAAAAGGTAACTTGAGCAGGATAAAGTTGGAAAGAAATGTGACTAACCAGCCATTCTCGATGACCTTGAAACCCTTCTTGGTTGAGCCTTTTCACTGCAATGACGATACCGGTCCCTGGTTTAGAAGGAGCGAAGGTAGTCTCATCGATCCATCCTTTGAAAACGCAACCAAATCCACCTTCACCAACCACACTATCAGGCCGGAAATTCCTTGTTGAAGATTTTAGTTCACTGAGGCTAAAGTTCTTCAGATTAGCATTTTGCAAGATCTCGCCTTCTGTTCGTGGCATATGAGAGAAGGAAGTATTCGACGAGCCCTTGCTCGTATCTCTACTCAAGAATTTCGAACTTAGCCCTACAAACAATTATTCGAATTATTCTCTCAGAACATTCAAAACGCAAATATTTCACATACAAGTAGTTGCAATTAGATTCTATTTCTAGAATGAATGGTTGGTGAATCTGGTTTTAGCTTTTTAGCGGTCTCCAAATCTAGCTAGAACTAAAAACCACATAATGACAGAAACAAGCTTAAATCTACGGGTTTGGTTCTAAAAAGACAACTTTTTTAGAGATTTAAAAAGTGACAGTCATTTCGTACTTAGCCGACCGACACTATGATTTTCATAGAATCAGCTATTTTTACTAAAAATGGAAACATATTATCTTTTCTACTTTGAACAAGTAACTTCATCAAATCTTTAACTTTCTAATTCAGGACAACGCAAGTATTGAAGAACCACAATCATTGAAATCTCCACAAGTAAAAAGAGAAAGGCTTGAAATTGACCAAGGACTCACATGTACTGGAAGCAATATCTGTTCTGATCTGATTGCTGAAACAAGCTCCCATTAAAACACAAGAAACCAACACCTCACTCAGCTCTATAATCTTCGATTAAAAGCATAAAAGAAAGATAAGAGCTTTACGTATGTGAACACAAACCCAGAAGGCGTACAAAATGGAGCGAAAATAAAAAGACTCGAGAAAACTCCAAAACTGGAGAAAGAAAAACGAAGATTCCCAGAGAAGAAAGAATAGCAAATTGGGCTGGCTAATAATGAAATTCCGAACTATTTGTCAATAATCTCCTAACATTTGTTCTCTCGGAAAAGTCTTTTTGCGATAACAATGAAATTAATTAAAATGAAAAAGAAGTGTGAAAGATGTTTTTTTAGCTATTTCCTCTCTCTTTCTGCTGGGGCCTTTTTTGGGTACGCCCTATTGGACCTTGTCTTCTTCCTCGCTCTCCTTTGTTCATCGTTGACTTGTTGACTATTCTATAAGACTTCTACTCTATACAACCCACGGAGCCAAATAATTAGCTTATATGAGTAGACCTCCTTAATTTTATTTTACCAAAACAAGTATCTGTTTATTTGGCTGTAATTCGTTCAAAGTATAAAAAAATTCTACAAGAAGCAATGGAGAATGGACATAAATGATCCACTGCTTCTAAAAATCACGAGTTTAGGTCTTATTTACACATTATCTACAGCTTTATGTTTTTTAATTGCAAAAATAACAATGAGTAATAAAAAATATAGAGGATGTTCATTTTTTTGATTTTTTTAATAAGAAATTAATCAATCAAACCGAAATGAAATGAAATGAAACTAAATCAAATGTTTATCGTTAATGTGGTTTGTTATTTCATTGTTAGGAATGCCTAGATCGCTATGGTCAGCCCACCCCAGTATATTGAACACAAAAACTTCTGAATATGATATGAACTATTTCAGTATTTTTTTGGGCCAATAGGTATGGGCCATGGAGCTCTAAATGATTATGGGCTCTAGGCTGTGTGTGTGCATGAAGCCCTTAGCCGATTGGTTTATGATTTAAAGGCTTCTACACCAAAATTAGGATTAGATTTCCAAAGAATCTAGTTTGTGCAGATGAATATATGCAAACTTTGGAATACTATAGGTACAGTATAACCAGTGTCGTGCGAAAGTTTATAGGGACTTAATGCAAACTAAAAAAATAGGACATTTTTCATTAAAAAAAAGATTTTCTAACAAAAAAATATAATATAATTTTAAAATCATATAAAATATTCAAAAATAAAATTTTAATCTAAAAAAACTAATTAAGACATAATCTTTCTTCCTTCTTTTTCAATAAACTTTTTCACCAAACTCTCATAATCGAGGTCCTTAACTAGTTTTCTTTCTATAGATATGATAGATAAACCATTCAATCTTTCTTGTGACATAGTTGATCGCAACTAAGACTTTATCAACTTCAACTTTGAAAAATTTCTTTCAGCCAAGGCAACTGAAACTGGAATCGTCAGCAATATCTGATAAGCAATCTATGAATTTTTTTTTTCTCTTGGGCTTTAGGGTTTTGGTCTTATTTTAGGATGTTATAAAGCCGATAATCTAAACAAATCTTAATCAATTTCCTAAAACTATTGGAAGAATGTAATCTTAATCTATTTCCTATATTTATTCCTTTTTTCTCTCTTATAAATAAAAATAAGAAAACATCTTATGTAAAAAAAGATTTCATGCCAACCATAAACCACTTAACCACCTCTTAAGAAAATGGAGGTCTGGAAAATTAATATATTTTGGGGGCTTGAGGCGAAAGCCTTTTTCACTACATGGTAACCACGGTTCGGAGTATAACTTTAATGTGTTGGTATGGATGATGCAGATAGAATTGTCAGCGTTATGAGCGTTGATGAAGTCGTTGTTTGAGTTACATAGTAAGATTAGGACGAATTTAATTATTTTAAATCAATAGAAAGTAGTAATTTATGACTCTGACGAAAAAAGGAAAGTAATTTATATGACTCTGACGAAAAAAGGAAAGTAATTTATGACTAATTGAAAATGTAAACTAATTAATTAAAATCAATAGAAGAGAAAATCAAAAATCTCACCAGTGCCGTAACTTTTTCTTCGTTCGTATCTCAATTGTAAAAGAGACCCGAGCACCGAGAACCACCATCGGCTTCAACCAATTTCTACCTACAAACTCTTTCGAATTGGGGTCTTTTTTCCCGCAATCGGAGAGTTTAGGGTTTTCTCTCAGACGATTGGAGGTATTTCTTCTTCGATTTTGGAACCAGGCCCGATTCGATTGTTGAAGTCAGACATAGAATTTAATTTTGTGCAGCGTTGATGATTATATACTCGTTGGAATTTGCAGTTACGTCGAAGGATTCAGGGTTCGTCTGCCTCGGGTGTGAAGAGGATCACTTGTTGCTTCTATCCGAGTTTCATCGTCTTCGTTTGACTCCGAACTTTTTCCTTCTCGGAGGCACAAACCCTGGAGAGTCACAGTTCCGACTTGGGGTTAAGCAGTTGTTTCTGCAGCGTTGTGTCGGTGGTGGTTTTGTATATCCGCCGCTCGATAATCGGGGAGATGGAGACCGACTCGCCTCTTTTTGGCTCATTTCCTCCCAGCTCGCATGATTTGCTACTCGAGGTATTGTTTTAGTGTTTGGTCCCTGAACTATTTATTGCTGATTCATATCACTTTTTAATAGTAGCAGTGATTGTGTTTCACGACTGTGGAATGTATTATCTTGTATAATCCGTGGTGATGTAGTTGTGGTTGGCTTGTTTTATTGTACTGTGACTGCTTGGATGGAGTTAAAGTTTGGCTTTTGTTTATTTTGTAGAGGCTTGCATGTGTGGGGGTTCCTAAAGAAAGCTGCTCTAAACGTGGTCTATTGGAATTCGTTACAGCTAACAAGTCCAGGATTTCAGAGTTAGTCTCTGCTCTCTTACCTACAGATGAGGATGTTAAACTAGGATTGAAGGAAGCTAGGGAACGGTCTCGAAAGTCTGCTGTGAGTCCTAGCATGAAAAAGAGGTTCAGGGAGAGCATGAATTGGCTGCAGTGGTTGATGTTCCAAGATGAGCCTGGTGTTTCTTTGAGGACTCTAGCAAAATTGAATGTTGATCAGCGAGGTGTTTGTGGCTCTGTTTGGGGACTCAATGATATAGCATATAGGTGTAGGACATGCGAGAACGATCCAACTTGTGCAATCTGTGTGCCTTGTTTCCAGAATGGGAACCACGAAACCCATGATTATTCGATTATTTATACAGGCGGTGGTTGTTGTGATTGTGGGGACGAGACAGCATGGAAACGGGAGGGTTTCTGTTCAAAGCATAAAGGTTCAGAGCAGATTCAACCCCTCTCACAAGATCTAGCAAATTCAGTTGGGCCTGTACTTGATGCCCTTTTTGCTTGTTGGAGTAACAAGCTCTTATCTGCAGAAAGTATTGGTCAGAATAATGCTAGATCCAACGATACTCTTGTAGTAGTCCAAAAGATATCAAACGAACTGACATTTGTAGTGGTTGAAATGCTTCTGGAATTTTGTAACTCCAGTGAGAGTTTGCTCAGTTTTGTTTCTAGAAGGATTATCACTTCAAGTAGTCTATTGGATACTCTCATAAAGGCTGAGAGGTTCTTGGACCAAAATGTTATGAAGAAACTACATGACCTGTTCCTCAAATTAATAGGAGATCCAGTCTTTAAGTCAGAATTCGCAAAAGCATTTGTGAGTTACTATCCGGTTGTCATAAGTGAAGCGGTTAAGCAGGGCACTGATGATGCATTCAAGAAATATCCTCTACTGAACCTATTTTCTGTGCAAATCCTCACGGTGCCAACTTTAACACCATTTCTGGTGAAGGAAATGAATTTGCTAGCTATGCTTTTGGGATGCCTCGGTGATATCTTTCGTTCTTGTTCTGGGGAGGATGGTGTGCTACAGGTAAACAGATAGCTTGTTTTCTCATTTGTTTGGTCCAGTTTTTATCCACTATTGTGCTACTTTAGTTGTAAGAAGTTTATATCCGCTTCATTATGTTCACGGTGTAATGTATTTGACGGTTTTCTTTTGTAGGCTGCAAAGTGGGAACGGTTGTGTGAGACAAGTGAGCGTGTCATTGGGGACTTAAAATTTGTTACGAGCCATGCTGTAGTTTCTAAGTATGCAACACATGAACAACGGGAGTTATCAAGATTATGGTTGATACTTTTGACCTTCGCTCAAGGAATGAATCCTCTAAAAAGAGAGACTGGAATCCATATTGAAGAAGAGAATGAGTACATGCATTTGTTCTTTGTCTTGGGTCATTCAATAGCTGTTATTCACTCCCTGTTGGTTAATGGTACATATTCTGCTGCCAGTGATGAAGAACTAGAAACTGAGAGAACCACCAAGGTAGAACTTGATAAGTGTGATGACGATGGAGAAAGATATGCGAAAGTTGGGAGGTTGTCTCATGAAGATTCGGTATGTACTGCGATGGTAAGTAGCAGTTCCTTTGATAGCTCGATGGCCTCTGAAGTACACAATCCCCACCTTCCTTCTTCTGCCATATGGTTGATACGCGAATGTTTGAAAGTTCTGGAGACTTGCTTAGGAGATGATGAAGGTATATCAAAGTTTCTTTGCAAGTTGTTTTCTCCTAGCGGCAGAAAGATTCCTGGCAGCAAGATGCTGTGGCCAAAGAGAGAATTGTTAAAGGTTGAAACTGGAGGAAGTGTATCTAGTGGTCTTGCCAGTTCTAGTAGAGATCCGAGTACTGGCTTATCCCCTCTATGCGGCGATATACAAACAAATCTTAGCTTGGATAATGTTGGTGGACCGAAAGGAGAGGTTCAGACAGACGTTACGGCTGACTCTAGGAGCGTATCTTGCAACTCTTCCGATTCGACAAAGAATGCATCAGGAGTCCATATACTTGGTCTATGTGATTGGCCGGACATCCACTATGATGTGAGCTCTCAGGCCATATCAGTTCATCTACCGTTACACCGGTTGCTTTCTTTACTCATAGAAAAAGCTTTAAGGATATGTTATGGAGAATCTGCATTGCACCATGGAGTCAATGCTAGTCATGAGATCCCGCATGGAGACTTCTTCAGCTCTGTGATAGGAGATTTTCATCCTTATGGATTTTCTGCGCTTGTTATGGAGCATGTTCTCCGGGTTAGGGTGTTCTGTGCCCAAGTTATCGCTGGTATGTGGAAGAAGAATGGGGACGCTGCATTAGTATCTTGTGAGTGGTATCGGTCGGCTCGTTGGTATGTGAGAATATTATTGTTGTCATGAAATGCTGTAACTCATCATTTACTCGTATGTTTCTCATTCTCGCTGTTTCAATTTACAGGTCAGAACAGGGACTTGAGCTTGATCTATTTCTTCTGCAATGTTGTGGTGCGTTGGCTCCGGCAGATTCTTATGTTAATAAGCTTCTCAGCCGATTTGGGCTCTCGAGCTATCTTTCACTAAACCCGGGTAGAACAAACGAGTATGTACCTATTGTCCTGTTACATGGTTTAATAGTTATGCTTCATTCAAACTGTCAAGTCATCTTTTTCAATATGATTTTCTATTCATTTAATAGATATTGAAGTAGAACAAGCATTATGTATTTTGATTATTGTATTACTCTCTAATATTTTTCAATCTCGCGTTTGTTTATTGTATCTAAAGAATTTACTATAATTGTTCTTTCTTGCCTCATTTTAGACATGATTCTTATTCTTTTCAGGTATGAACCAATTTTGGTCAAGGAAATGCTTGCTCTTCTGATACAGATTCTGCAAGAAAGGCGATTTTGTGGTCTTTCTACTGCTGAAAGTTTGAGAAGAGAGATCATCTTCAAGTTAGCCACTGGAGATTTCACTCATAGTCAATTGGTCAAATCCTTACCCCGTGACCTGTCAAAGTCGGATGAGCTCCAGGAGGTCTTAGACAATGTTTCAATCTATTCTAATCCATCCGGAATGAACCAGGTCTTGATTCTTACCCATATGCTGGGATCACCTCTAAGTTGCACATGCTTTAAATATCTCTTGACATTAGTTCTTTGGCAGGGAAAGTATTCTCTACGGTCATCTTGTTGGAAGGAGTTGGATCTCTACCATCCTCGTTGGCATTCGAGAGAATTGCAATCTGCAGAAGAAAGATTTTCACGCTATTGTGGAGTGTCAGCGTTGACCACTCAGCTTCCTAGGTGGAGGATGATCTATCCGCCTCTAAAGGGGCTTGCTAGAATAGGCACTTGCAAAGCCACATTTCAAATCATTTCCTCTGCTTTATACTATGCACTACAGAGTGGTACATCTGGAGAATCACGTGCTTCATATGACGTTCTCATAACTGCACTGCACTTACTCTCGTTATCATTGGATATATGCACTCAGCAGAGGGAATCTAATATTCAGGCTAGTGTAGAAAATTCAATTCCAATTCTCGAATTAGCTGGTCTGGAAATAATTGGTAAAGATTCGGGGACTGGAAAACAAAGTTTGTTGTCTCTTCTTATGTCGTTAATGAAGACTCGTAAAGATGATGGTCTCCAGCAATTTCCAGAGGCAGGCAGTTGCAATATTTCGTCCTGGATTGGAAATCTGCTGAGGAAGTTCAGTGCAATTGATTCTGTTTGTATGAACCTATTGCAAAGTCTTGCCCCAGAGGTGGTCGATCAATCTGGTTTTGATAAAGTCACGTCGGGCTCTGCTTCTGATGAGAAACGCAAGGCTAAAGCTAGAGAGAGGCAGGCTGCTATTCTGGTAAGATGTTTTCAAATTCAAATCTAGTGCACTGGTTTGACATGAAACCGGTAGCCATTGATTTAGGATCATGCGCGTTGACATATGAGGGCTCTGTTCGCCCCTAGCCTGGTCTGGGTTCTGCATGCACCCTGTTGATGTTTATCGACATGGAGCGTGTAGGACGCATACATACATGCCTCTGTGGTAACAGGAGATTTTTTTGTTTGTTTGTTTAAGACAGTCTAAATTATTTTTATGTTCCAGGATAATATATTTATGGTTATTCTAACTTGCATGCAGGCAAAAATGAAAGCTGAACAATCTAAATTCTTGTCTACCTTGAGTTCGAGCATGGATGATGATGATCCAAAATCTGAAACCGAAACAAGTGATTCTCTGATGGAACATGATTCAGAAATTGCTGTCCGTGAAGTTTGCTCCCTCTGCCGTGACCCAGATTCCAAAGCCCCCGTTTCTTTCTTGATTTTTCTCCAGGTTGGTAACAATTATTTGTGATGCTATTATTTGTGACTAATTTGTTAAATAAAGATGATATACTCCGAGGAAGTTTTGCTTAAAAAATAGTCTTAATAACCTCTTCTTTTTTTTCCCCTGTAGAAATCAAAACTTTTGAGTTTTGTGGATAGAGGCCCTCCATCTTGGGATCATGGTCCACAGTCCGAAAAGAAAATATCTGTGGATGGAACTCCCGATCGTTTAAGAATGAATGATAGTTTAAGAATGAGTCCTCCTCCCCATGTGCTGGAGTTGTCAGAAGATGCAACCTCTGAGCCTGCTACAGACTCTGTGCTTGGATCTTTAAAAGCCCGGCTTATAGGTAATGGTCAGACAGAGAAGAGATCTACCGATGGGAGGGGAAAAGAGGAATTTAACATGGAATCTTTGGAGATAGCTATGTATCAAACTGTCCGTAAAAACGTTGAAAACAAAAACCTTACACGTGTAGATCATCAACAGCTTGATGCTGAAAGTAGCTCCGAGAGAAATTCTGTTGGTGGTCCATCTACTTTGCTTGTCAGTTTTCATGATATTCAATCAAGACAGACCTCTAGACATCTTGATGTTGGTTCTGATGGGTTTCACCCTAACGACTGTGATGGGGTTTATCTTTCATCATGTGGACATGCTGTGCATCAAAGCTGTCTTGAACGATATTTAAAATCGTTAAGGGAAAGGTGAGCCATCTTTTACTTCTTTGTAGTCGTAGTGAGAAACAAATAATTAATCAGCTTGTAGATAGGTGAGGCTTTTTCTTTCAAGTTGATTTCTCCTTCCTAACTTGTGTGAATTGATTATTTTAATTCCTTCATTTACAGCAGTGATATTAACATTGAATTTAACCTTTTTTGGTTTGAATGAAGTAGGTCTGGCAGAAGAAATGTCTTTGAAGGTGCACATATTGTGGATCTAGACCAGGTATTTGCGTTACCAGTTTAGAGATATATTTCTGGGCTTTAATATGCTCTTTCTGAAGCTTCAACTTTATTTCTTCTGTTAGGGGGAATTTCTCTGTCCTGCATGCCGCCGACTAGCTAATTCTGTATTGCCTGCATGTCCTGGAGATTTATGTTCTGTCTCAAAGCTACAAGAAAGTCCGCGTGCTAATTTAGGTACTTCAGATGCACAGAAGCCTTCTTTTAGGCTCTCTGAAGCATTGTGTCTACTACGATCTGCTGCTGAAGAGATCGAATATGGTGATAGCATCAAAACAGTTTCTCTGCAACGAGTTGAATTAAGAAGGAAGGATCTTGAATCTGTATCTAACAAGCTCTGGAATTTCTATTTTTCCAAGCGACAGGAAAAATCTCCGGAAAGTCCATGGCTACCACAATCAATCGTCATGTGGGACACTCTTAAGTACTCTCTTATTTCAATGGAAATTGTTGCTCGTTGTGCGAAGAATTCGATGCTTCCTGTCTATTCTATAGACTCTTTGTATGAAGAGTTTAAAAGCTCTAAGGGAACTGTTTTGTCACTCTTATTACGAGTGGTACAGAGTACCCGAACAAAGAATGGTTTACATGTTCGCCAGAGATTTATGGGTATGAAGAATCTTGCAGAGTCTATATGCTCAGGAATTTCAAGTAGTTCTTCGAGCAGCATATTTGGAAGTGAAGGTACATTTTCTCCAACCCTGAAAGAGAATCGGTTATATGGCCTCTGTGTGCACCCGTAAAACTGACATTAGTTGGGATTTCATGGGGTCAATTATTGTCTATCTACAGTTTCTCAATTATCTATGAATTAGTTGCTAACTGTAGATGATGTTTCTTGATAATATCTGAGACTAGTTGCCATCTTTTCAGGCACAGGAGGTTCATTGAAGAATATAAACCTGCTCTGGAATCGAGCATCTGATCCAGTTCTTGCTCATGACCCATTTTCATCACTGATGTGGGCTCTCTTTTGTCTCCCTTTTCCTTTTATCACATGCGAGGAATCTCTATTATCACTTGTGCATGTTTTCTACAGTGTCTCTCTTGTTCAGGTATTCCACATTGTTTACTTTGTATAGACTAATTTGCCTTTAAAGACTCACTTTTCCTAACTATGTTGTCTTTGGTGCAGACTGCAATTGCCTATTGTGCAGGTCGCCTATGTGACTTGAGCGAGTTAGATTTCGAGGAAAGCCTGCTGAGCGACATCTCCATCGCTGTGAGAGAATCAGGTGGTTGGGGGTATTACAGGTCTAACAAAATGGATTTATCATGTGATATAAAAGAGACAATCCGTAAATGTAGTCTTCCTTTCTTGAGGAGATGTGCATTGTTGTGGAGGCTACTGAAAACTACTCCTGGGAAGTTTCATGAAGAGGTAGATATGTTTGTTGTGCCATCTGACTCCGGCAGCGACAATATGGATTTAATGTATAGTCCCCAATCCGAGCTGAATCATGTGCATGAATTGGAGAAAGTGTTCGAGATTCCGCCTATTGAGACCATTCTCAGTGATGAACTTCTCCGGTCTTCAACCCAAACATGGCTTCGACATTTTCAGAAGGAATACAGAGTTAAAGGGCCCCTTTCGATAACCCCTGGAGTTCCTTTCCAGCTTATGAAACTACCCAATTTATACCAAGAACTACTGCAAAGGTTTGCAGCAGCGTCTCTTTCTGGTTTTTGCACAAATTTTTTTTATCCATTCGAAGAGAACATCTCTAATCAAGAAGCATGTTTTTTGTTTGTTTTTATTAGGTATATCAAAAAACCTTGCAGCAACTGCACAAAAGTGATCGAAGAACCAGCATTATGTCTTCTTTGTGGAAGATTGTGTTCTCCCATATGGAGACCTTGTTGCAGGTATTTGCGTCACTTCCACTAGTCTCCAAATATAGTAAGTTCTTTTTTTCGGAAACCAAATATTGTAACGTACTTTTACAGGGAAAGTGGTTGTCAGACTCATGCAATGACATGTGGCGCTGGTACTGGTGTATATCTTCTGATACGGGTATCGCCTCCCTCTCTGTCTCTCTCTCGTGGCAATATAGAAGTTTCTTTTACTTTCTATATTGCTTGTCTATGTATGGTTTTAATTGGCTTTTAATTGATTATAATTTTTTTGCATCATTAATTGGCTTTTAATTGATTATAATTTTTCAATAGCGGACCACAATTTTGCTACAAAGATTTGCGAGACAATCACCTTGGCCATCTCCTTACTTGGATACGTTTGGAGAAGAGGTAGACCTACAAAAGAATTTCTTGTTAAAATTGAAGTTTGATCGGTGTGGTCTTGTTGATTCGGATGTTTCCGTGCGACGGATGTTTATTTTTATTTTATTTTTGATTGTTACAGGATATCGATATGATGAGAGGAAAACCACTATACCTGAATGAAGAACGTTATGCTGCATTAACTTACATGGTAATTAAATAAATGTTTTGTCTCAACAATCACTGAATCAGAAGGAAAAGCTTTGGTCTGTATGGTAATACCATTGTTCTGCTTCGTTGTCAGGTTGGTTCTCATGGACTCGATCACAGTTCGAAGGTTCTCAATCAAACCACAATTGGAGCCTTCTTAACTTAAAAACGTATTTTTTCTTTCTTTCTATCCTTCTTCCTCAGGGTTTGTTCTCTGTGGTGATCATATAAAAAATGCATATGCCTGCTTTTAAATCATCATCAGCTTTAGATTCTAAAAGTTCGCGAGATTTTGCTGATGATTTTTATTTTATTTTGTTGATTTATTTATTTGTGGATAATATTATCGTGTTTGTAAATATAGTTTCTTTGCGGTTGATTATCTTTAATTATTCAAATGGTCGAGAAATCTCTAAATTTTCCCAATGATGATGATAAATACAAATAAAGTATTTATTGAGCTGGACGGAAGAGTTTCGTTTTAAAATGAAAGAGTAATATTTCAACACCAAAAAAATGAAAGAGTAATATTAAAAATGTAATATGTTGCCGTAATTCAGTCTTCTTTTTCTTGTTTGTATAATTGTTTACATTATAAAGATGCAGTATCTAAAATTTTGTATGCAATTATTACTATAAAGCCCATATATCGAACCTTAATGAGCCAAACGGTAGCCCAATTCAATTGTTAGGCCCGGCAGAATACGAAGATGATGATACTTACAAAAATCGACGAGCGTGATTTGCTTTTTGGTGAAATTTTTTTTTTTTTTTCAAATTTCAAATTAAACCGGCCGAATTCTTTGGCTGTCATTTTCAGGATAAACAAACAAACAAACATCCAGTAAAAATGAAGAAATATAACATTTCTGTATATAAAAAATTATATGATCCAATACGAACACAGCCTTTGATATTTTACTTTTTCTTTTAATTATTTTTATGTTATTTTTTTCACTTGAACAGACACTAAACAATAATATCGAGCCTGCTAAAAACAAATTAAAAAACTAAAGACAAATATGTATGTGTAAATCTTGCAAAAAAATAAGGTTTCTAAGTTTTTCTCAAAAAATTGAGGGGCCTGAGTATATCAATATATGTGTTTCTTATATGTTAACTCTGCGGCTGCTTCTCTTCTGCAGATGCAAACTCAAGCTGTCTTGATTTGATCACAGCTGTTCTGTTAGAACTTAACCGATATGGCGGAGACACATTGAAAGTATTTCCATTTGATCCGAGTTTCTCATCGTCTCCACAACCATCATCTGTCTCTAGCAACAAACCTTCTCTCCGAACTGGAGAGATCTCTGAACTATCTTTGCTCTTTTCTTTTTGATCATCTTCTTTAGTTACACCATTAACAACATCGTCATCATCATCATCTGTTTTCTTCGCCAAAACAACAACCTTTCGCCTTTTCCTAAAGATAGAAGGCGTGTTTGGAAAAGTCCTAGCAGCTTCTCTCAAGAAAGACTCAGGACTTCTTGTTGCAGATAAACCACTGTCCTTATTACACGGTGGAGTCATCAAAGTAACCGGTGATGCAGCACCGGGACTGCAACCACAGTCATATCCGTAGATACGCTGCAGATCTGCTTCTGATGGAAGGTAGAAGTCTAGTGGAGACTTATAGTACAGATTACCATGCTTTGGAGTTCCAAACCCATTTTCTTGTTTCCTTTGGATCGATCTTTCGACATCAGCTTTTGAGTTGATTCCGACTCTCTCTGAAATTGGTCCCGGATTAGGCAACTGAGGCTTGTACTCATCAGAAACTGGAGAACACGTATATCCATTAACACTGATTCTTCGTGAAGAAGCTACTTCTTCAAGCAGAGCTGAAGAAAAGTAGTTTACATGGTCTCTTCCATCTTCATTTTCATCTGAAGAAGTTTCGGAAACCGAATCAGGATCCATTAACGGCTTAATTGCACTGCTAAACTGTTTGGAATCTCTGTTTCCATCAGCAAAATCATTGGGAACGCCGAATTTGGTTGCTGGTGGTGGCAAGTTTCCGGTAGCTAAATAGAACTCTAACTTTTTCTTCAATGAACTATTCCAGTGATTCTTAATCGCGTTATCCGTCCTGCATATTGCCAGAAACACTATTCCATGAAATCAGAGGCATTAACTGAAATGAGATGTCTTCTGTTTTCTTTTTTTTTTAAGATCTTAGCACCATCCAAATTATGTTCAACAAGAAAGTATGTATACCTTCCAGGTAAGACTTTAGCAATTTCAGCCCATTTGTTTCCGTGAATTCGATGAGCATTCATGAGAGCTGTTTCTTCTTCTGGGGTCCAAGCATCTTTTCTAATACCAGGATTTAAATGGTTGTGCCACCTGCAATCATAAATTCATTGAAGCTTCCAAAATCCAAGGAGGCAATACACTTCTATTCTAATCGCTAATTACCTTTCTCTGCATTGCTTCCCGATACGACCTGGTAAAGACCTTGCTATAACAGACCATTTGGCAGGTCCATACTTTTTTACAAGTTCAGCAATTTTATCATCCTCCTACAAAGTCAGAAAAGAAAGAACGAACTTTTTAGCTCGCAAAATTTACATGAAATCAAAAAGCGAACAAAGTTTTAGAACATTAAAAAGAGAAAGGAACCTCTTGAGTCCAAGGTCCTTTAACAAGCTCTGGATTAAGAACTTTCTGCCACCGGTGCAAGCATTGGACTTCCGTTCTATCTGGGAAAAATTCCGCTGCAAAATGAAATAAACTCAGATTCTCGAATACAAATCATATAAATGACCCAAATATGTTCATCACTTGTAGACAAGTAAATCTTGTACAGGAAATAGACTCGAGAAAATAAATTTACCTATTTTCTTCCACCTCTTCCCCTTATACTTTTCAACTGCTTGTCGCAGTGTCTCATCCTGAATATCGATAGAAACTAATTACGGCTAGTCTCATCTTTCAGTCATTGTAAATAGCACTTACTAAATACTAATCCACATACATATAAGACACATAGTCAAATTAGATTGCTGTAAATATATTATGCAACCGAGAATCTGGAAATTAGAAAACAAGACTAATCACTAACCTCCCCTGGAGTCCAACCACCTTTTGCTCGCCTCATAGGGCCACTAGTCCTCCTGAAAGATCAAACATTTAACCATTGCAAAATTCAAGCTTTTGAGAATGAGCTTGCTGCGGGATTAATAGCTATAAGTTAAGTCATCAAAGCATTTCATAAAAGAAAGAAGATGAAATGAAACAGATAGTACTACCGATGAGTAGGAGATGCTGTAGCAGGGGTTGTGATTTCAGGTGATTTAAGGAAGAAGTTGCCACTGCCTTCAGATGCAGAAGAGCAAGAAGCAGGTGTTGGTTGCTTATTCTCCATACACTGAATCTCAACTCTCAATTCCCTTCTTTCCTCCTAATGATCCCACCAAAATCCAGAACTTTCGTAAGCAACAGGAAATATAACACAAAGAAACCAAAGAAGAAGGGTTCTTTTATCAACCAACAAATCAAATATCAGAAAACCAACGGCCGCGAAACAGAAGCCAGATCTCACAAATCCGGGAAAATCCAGTAAAACAACACGATTTCTCAAGAGCATAAACTATTTAGGGTTTATAACAATTCAAATCACATATGACCCTTATGCCGAGACCATAGAACGTGTTCCGATTTAGACCTAACAATCATGAACTTTGCAACCACAGTAGAAGAAGAAAAACTGATCTGATCAAATCCTAATCAGATTGGGGCTAAAATCTGACCTCATCCGGAGAACAATCCGCTGGAATCGAACTGGAGCTCATCGAGATAAGCAGATGGACGAATTCGCGAGCAGAAGACAAAGAAAGGAACGTTAAAAGAAGAAAAAAAAAACCAAAACTTTATTCGAAAAAACTTTGCCCGTTGAACGAGAGAGAAAGAGAGAGGAGGAGGAGACTAATGGAGAAAAAAAAAAGGGTTAAAACTGAGATTGTAACGAATACTTCTTCCGCCGACGTCACCGTTACTCACTGTTATCCTGGACCGGCCGGTTTATTTCAAACCAGCTCAAATGTTCTTATCTCCCCTCTTTTTATTACTTCTACCGGTTCGGTTGGTTTGATAATAAGATTTTAGAGCACATCATATAATACTAACTAGCTGTTTAGTCCGCGCTTTGCGCAGGCCGAAAAGTTTCAAAAACGTTAAAAATATTTTAAAAGTTGTAAACCAAAAAGAATTAGAACAACCCATTTAAGACATATGAAATCAAAAACATAACTAATCATAAAAAGTAAACACCATCCAAAACTAAAAATCCAAAAAATAATAGTAAATAAGTGTATGAAACCTATAACCAACTAAATTAAGATAAATGTGACATCTTCGTTTTCTTTCTTTCCTCATTTTATACCGTTTGATTTTTCTTATTTGTTGTCTTTGTCTTTTTTTCTTGTATTTCTCCTCATTTTTACCTTCTTCTACTTTGTCTTCATTGTCTTTCATGCATTTTCCTTTTTGCGCTTCACCTATCTTTCTCTCCCTCTCTCCATTGCTCCCTCTTTCCCTCTCCCTCACTCATTCCCTCCATCTCTCTCTCTCTCTCACTCATTCCCTATATCCCTCTCTCTCTCACTCATTCCCTCCATCACTCACTTTGTCTATCCAGATCTATGTCTTTAAAAGCTTTTAATTCTCTCTTTACGTCTTTCTCTCTTCCTCCCTCTCACACAAACTTTTAAAACAATTTCCTCAAAAGTTATGTAGTTAAACACAAGACCCACTGTGAAGCTAGGTAACCTTTCCTATCACGTGTACATATAATTCTACTAAATGTAACCTAAAATACCAAAAACAGATTCATGTTACCACATCCAAACCATCTTTGTTGTCCATGAAATTCACTCGATCAAAGTAATATGTCGCAACCGAATCCAATCAGGCTGCCAACGTCTAAGGTTGCTATTTGTGGCAAAATTTGCTAGGTTTTCTTTCTTCTTCGATTTCTTATACTTTATTTTCTTTTTAATGTTTTAGAGATATTTTTTGTAATTCCAAACATATTAATAAAAAAAAAGATAAACCTTCCCTATAGTTTAGCTTGGATTTCATTTTAATTTGGGTATTTTAATAGAAAAAGATGAACCTATATATTAATAGAAAAAGTGCACCACAACACTCTTCTTCCTTCCTTTACATATATCATCATGCAAACTAAAAAACTTTTTATAGAAGACGTATACAATATATCGATCATATAATAGATTAGCCAAAGAATTAGAACTGGACATGTGTTTTTAATCGTTGCACATTGTTAAATATCGGCTACAAAAATCTCTAGCAACCAGGAAGGAAAGTGGAAGCTTTGGCTATTTTCATTTGCCTTGGGAACCAAGTCTCCTTGGTATGATACACTGATCACCTCTGTGTAATTGGCCAGAGAAAAGATTCACCGATTACCTCTAAGTTCTTCATTCTTCTTCCCTCCCATGGAGCTTAAGGCCACGACTTTGTGGCTATAAAACTTCCACTTTTACTTATTTTTTGACCATCTATCTCTCTCCCTCTCTAGTGTCTCCCACTTTTTCTTTGCATTTTCCCAGTTGAAAATACTCCATGAAAACTAATGGTTTTGTCGGTCATCAATAGATAAGACACACAATTTAATATATCACTCTCGCTCTCTCTTGTTTGTCAAAAGACGCCCACCAAGTGGGAAAAAAAATATATTCTCTTAATTTGAATGTTGAACAGTTGAAAGTTTTCTTTTTGTTCAACCAATTTTGTTAACATCTCTATTTGAATTTTTTTTTTAACTCTTTTTCTCTGATGGGTTATTGATCAACTTTGGAAACCGAAGCTAATTTCTGATTCAACCAAAGCTTTTCCTTTTATTCCTCTTGATTTGATCGTATGATTACAGAAGCTTGGTTTCTCGACAAAACCTGAAAAAACTGTCAGATCAACTATGTGGCTAAATATGAAACCCAGAAGATACGCTAGCTTGTCCTCTGTTAGAAGCTTATAAGCTTGCAAAATGATTTAGAGATCATTTGCGTAATTTAACCTATTGACATCTTGTCTCTCGCCTTAGCTTTAAAGAAATCCCAAATCACTTCTTTTTTTCTCCTTTCACAGTTTTCTCGGCAGTCATACTGGTCCAAGACAAGCTTTAAAAAAAAACCTGAATCTTGGCATCGAAAGAAAAAATTGTCTGAAAATTAATTACTTCGGCTGCAACTTGCAACACTTGTATGGCTTTATTTAAAAGAGAACAATACCAGAAGAAATCATGATACAATCGTTGTTGCCTTTCAGGAAAGTTTAGTATTCAGAAGAATCACAGATACTTTACTCTGCAGTCTCTTTAAAAGAAATGTATTTGTTTTTTAAACCCTAAACCATTGTTTTTGGTTTATTTTTTTTAACATACGGTATGATAATGGTTTGTTAACTTAATTTAAACAATTATTTTTTTTAATATATATTTTTATAAAAATTAATTTAAACTAATTTAAGGAGGGGTAAAGGGTAATTAGCCACCAGGTATTTGTTTTTTAAACCCTAAACCATTGTTTTTGTTTTTTTTTTAATATACGGTATGATAATGGTTTGTTAACTTAATTTAAACCATTATTTTCGTAACCATTGTTTTTTGTTTATTTTTTTTTAATATACGGTATGATAATGGTTTGTTAACTTAATTTAAACCATTATTTTCGTTTTTTTAATATATTTTTTATAAAAATTAATTTAAACTAATTTAAGGAGATGTAAAGGATAATTAGCCACCAGATATTTGTTTTTTAAACCCTAAACCATTGTTTTTGGTTTTTTTTTAATATACGGTATGATAATGATTTGTTAACTTAATTTAAACCATTATTTTCGTTTTTTAATATATATTTTTATAAAAATTAATTCAAAATAATTTAAGGAGGAGTAAAAAGTAATTAGCCACTCTGAGATTAAATAAGAGAGCTTTAAACGAAATTTTTACTTTGCTTATAATATATATGATGATGATATTTTTTTTAATATACGGTATGATAATGGTTTGATAACTTAATTTAAACCATTATTTTCGTTTTTTTAATATATTTTTTATAAAAATTAATTTAAACTAATTTAAGGAGGGGTAAAGGGTAATTAGCCACCAGATATTTGTTTTTTAAACCCTAAACCATTGTTTTTGATTTTTTTTTTTTTAACATTCGGTATGGTGATGATTTGTTAACTTAATTTAAACCATTATTTTCGTTTTTTAATATATATTTTTATAAAAATTAATTCAAAATAATTTAAAGAGGGGTAAAAAGTAATTAGCCACCCTGAGATTAAATGAGAGAGCTTTAAACGAAATTTTTACTTTGCTTATAATATATATGATATGAATTCATTCCTAAAATAAAGAACAAATTCATGTGTTGTTAATACTATTTTTTGAATAAAAATTGTAATTGAAAACAAAATCTTCAATCGTGGTATGATAAATCTGTCGGTTATCTTTTTTTTTTGAACATCTAAAAACCAAGCATGGTTATCTAAAAACCAAGCATGGAGTAAAAAAACAATTAGCTGAGAAAACAAACGGATTTAACGGACGTCAAAGGCAAGAAAAATGGTTAACGTCGGGAGTAATGTTTGAACCTCTTAAAATTAGTTTTGGATCCTAATTTAGTTTTACGTTTGAAATTTTCTTATTGTATAGAGCAATATTTTGAAACCCGGACCAATCTGCCCGGTCAGACCGGTAAATCTAGAACCCGATCATTATTCCGGTTTGAATTTAGTATTAAAATCCGCTAGTTATTAAATCGGTAAAATTTAAAAAACTACAATTAATCTGTGATCCTGCGATCTGGATAAACCAGCCAGATACCGGATAATGAAAAATTTTTAAAATAAGAAAGAAATTTAAAGATTTTTGGAATTGAAACATATAATATACAATTTATTCATTTAGTTTAAAAACTTTTTGTTTTTTTTATTCACAAGTTGTGACTAGAGAAAACCTAAACATGTTTATATCTTAATTTTTTTTTCAAATTTTTCTTTGTCTTTATGTATAATTAATTGTTCACTTCAATTGTTTTATATCATTACTTTATATCATATCGTTACATAATTAATTAATTCATATCGTTGATTTTCTTTAATTGATGAGTCATGCTTTTACAAATTTGTTATTGTATAATTTGTAATATTTTTATCATATTTCATTGAAAATATGTATGCATTTTTTATGCAATAAGTTTTTCAAAAAAATGAATATTTTTATTTTTATATTATAAATAAATTTATTAAGTTAATGATCCGCAATTAATCTGGATCTACTCGATCGACCCAAAAATCCGGTAACCCGGAAGGTTAATGATTTGCTTTCTAGATTGAGTTTAAAAACACTGGTATAAAGAGTGTTTAATCTTTTTTTAATGGAATATTATACGAAGGATTGATTACAGAATTCGGAGCTGTCGAGTAAGGATTGGCCGAGGGTTTCTTCTCTCACACAATTTTGGATTATTTAGCTTGTAATTGATCCCATTGAACTTTTTATGACTCGTCCAATCTTATTAGCAATATGATGGGATATGATTATCCCAAATTATCTTTCACCAAAGCAATCTCAATAAGATCTACAATATTTCCATATAAAAAGAAAATAACTGAGCCCAAACAGCCCAAACAAAAAGAGAAATGTAATTGTGGGGCCTATAACAAAGCCCTTTTATATTATTTAAAAAAAAACAAATTGAACCTAACAAATTCAAATAAACCAATAGATCTCTCTACTTACTCAAATTTGAAAACAACACTCTCTCTCTCTCTTTCTCTTCCCCTTTCAAACACACCCAGAAATGGATACGAAAACTCCAATGAAAACCAAATTTTTTGATTCTTCTTCGATCTCCATGGTCAGGGTCGTCCTTAGGGTTCGTCCGTTTCTTCTTCGAGAGAATCTCGACGCCCGATCGTGTGTTTCCCTAAACGGCGACGCCGGCGATGACGGAGTCGCAGTTTACCTCAAAGATCCAGATAGCTGGTAAGCGTCTTCATGTTCTTCTTCGATTTCGTTGCTCATTAGCAGAAATTTGACTACGGATTTGGTGTTATTTTGGAGCAGTCGAAACGAATGCTATCAGCTGGATGCGTTTTACGGGAGAGATGATGATAATGTGAAGCAGATATTTGATAGGGAAGTAAATCCTTTGATTCCTGGAATCTTTCAGGGATTCAATGCTACTGTGCTTGCGTATGGAGCCACCGGAAGCGGAAAGACGTTTACGATGCAGGTCGCTTAGCTATAAATTTTAGAAATTTCGATTTGGGACTGAAATAGTGATTACGAGAGTATTTACTTTGCTTAAATTTCTGTTGGATATTGGAGAGTTACTGTTCAAGTTTGTCAGGAAATGTCTTATTAAGATCATGGAAAATGATAGCTTTTAGTGATATCAGGATTAGTGTTTGTTTGGCTACTTATGCTTGTGATTAGCTTTCGAGAAATTGAGCTTTTATCAAAAAGTTAGTTTTGGTGAGCTCTGAAATGGAACATCTCTTTCTCAGACTTGTTTGGGATTTTCTGCAAGCAACTTCCCCATAAAATTCTTTTTTTTTTTGTGCATTTCGTCTCTCAGGGAACCGATGATCTGCCCGGTCTGATGCCATTGACCATGTCCACCATTCTGTCTATTTGCGAGAAGAGCGGGACTAAAGCAGAGATTTCGTATTATGAAGTTTACATGGACAGATGTTGGGATCTCCTAGAAGTGAAAGCCAATGAGATTGCTGTTTGGGACGATAAGTATGGACAAGTTCATCTTAAGGGACTGTCTAGTATCCCAGTTAACTCCATGTCCGAGTTCAGAGAGGCGTACTCGTGTGGCGTTCAACGGAGGAAAGTTGCACACACAGGTTTAAATGGTGTCTCTAGTAGAAGCCATGGAGTGCTTGTGATCTCAGTAATCTCAGAAGGGGTTGTCACTGGAAAAATCAACTTGATTGATCTGGCAGGTTACTTTTTTACTGTTTTGGATAAATACATGGAGGGAGCCTTCTAGAGTTCTTCTCTAAATACTAACAAAAATTCCATGGCTTAACCAGGTAACGAAGACAATAGAAGGACATGCAATGAAGGAATTCGTCTTCAAGAGAGTGCCAAGATTAATCAGTCATTATTTGCACTGTCCAATGTGGTTTATGCGCTGAATAATAACCTGCCCAGAGTGCCTTACCGGGAAAGCAAATTGACCAGAATATTGCAGGATTCACTTGGAGGAACAAGTAGGGCGCTCATGGTTGCATGTCTGGTACGAAGATGATGGATATATGTTATATAGTGCTTTGATCAGGAAATATTCAAAGTGGCTAATGTGATGTGTCTTTTCCTTTGTTTTTGTTGTTTTAGAATCCTGGAGAATACCATGAGTCGCTTCACACTGTTAGCTTGGCTGCAAGGTCAAGGCACATCTCAAACAAAGTTTCTTCGAATCCTAAGGTAGAAGACACCCCCAAGGTTAAAATCGATATGGAAGCTAAACTTCAAGCTTGGCTTGAATCAAAAGGCAAGACGAAAAGCGTGCATAGAATGATGGCAATACGTTCTCCTCTGATGGTTACAAACCAAACCTCAATTTCACAAACCTCAGTCAAGAAACTCGGATGTCATAGATCAGCCAATGCTAAACTTGCTGGCAAAGGACAGAGGTACCCCTTTGAATGGTTGAGTTCTTAATTATTCTGCAACCTAGAACATCTTCCCTCACAGACTCACAATACATCCATACACAGGGACGCATTTGTGGCCGCAAGAAACTTATTTGGTGGGGAACCTCCTGCTGCTTCACATTTATGGGTATGTTGCTCTGTGTTCAATGTGATAAAGAGCAGATACAATATAACCTTGTATATCAAATTGCACGTTTTGGTCTATTTACTTAAAGCTTAACTTAAGTAATTGAATTCCTTGTATAATCCAGGAACCAATACAGAATCTGCACTTAGCTTCACCAACCAAAGAAAATGAGAGAGACACATCTGCCGAAGAGAATGTGTTGGTATCAGACTCAGGTTTGCTTTCTTCAGCTACTTGTTGATAACTGTGACATTTTATATTTCTACTTACTTTGCTTTGCGTTTATTCTCTCTAGATAACCCATTGGAGCCCGAGAAGAAATACACAGAACTGAGTCCTCTTCGAGAAGCTCTATCTCCAATAGACTCAAATGCAAAACAAAACTCAGTAGATGGATGCTCTCCTATTCTCAAGCCAATGACTCCAAAAACACCTTTACTTTCTGCAAACACTGAGAATATGCATATGGAAGGCACTTGCCAGAAGTTCAATGCTTGGAGCACTAATTTAAAGGTATGAATCAACAACATTTTCAAAAACATGGGCTATTATGTTGACAAGAATTAGAAATCTAATCCTTTTTACGACTTTTTTTTTTCTTTTCACAGACCTCTCTCATAAAAGAATACATTCACTTCTTGAACACAGCCAACAGGTAATAATAATCTTCAGTTTTATCAGGCCGTCTTTTTTACAGAACACTTGGGATCACGAGAACTAACTTTCACCATTTATCTATGATTGAACACAGAGAAGAGCTAATGGAGTTAAAGGTAAATCTACATGTGAACAAGCACAGACTCTCATCTTCCTTGAGTCAAATATTGGTTTCACTACACATAGCTCTGCTTCATTTCTTCTATTTTTTTGTTCTTAGGGAATTGGAGAGAAGATGGCTGAATACATTATTGAACTCAGAGAAACAAGCCCTTTAAAATCGGTATTACATTCATTCTCCTTCCTAACTTTGCGCCTTGAGAGCTACACTCTTTTTCATCTACTAAATCAACTGTCGGTGAATTTCAACAGCTTAGTGACTTGGAGAAGATCGGATTCACCTCAAGACAGGTACATAACTTGTTCAAAAGAGCCACTGAAGGGATTCTCGAGAGGCCAGATTCTACTTCAGCAACAGCAATTTAGTTGTTGTCACTAGCAAACAACAACACTTTCGTTTAGCTTGTGTATTATATGTATCAAGTAGTTTAATTATTTGTCTGTTCTTGTATCTCTAAGCTGGCTTCAAGTTTGATTGTGTACTGAACAAGAAAGGAGCAAACTTTAAAGTTTTCATTGAAACTTCAAGCAGAGACTCAAATACAAACCCCATAATACTTTTGGATTATATAGTCACATAGACAAAACTTAAAGAGATATCTTATGACCAAAGCATTAAAAACACACAGACGAAGAAGAAGAAGAAGAAGAAGAACAAGACTAACGTCGCCGGCAAAACAACAGGCGAAATCAGCCGTTATTAGACATAACATTAGGGTTATTGCAGACACTTAGGGCTTAAAGGGGTTTCTTCATTTGCAGTTGCAAGGGTTGCATTTGCAGTCGGATCCGCATTTGCAGGCATCGTTCTCGGCGACGAAAGTCTCACCGGAAGCCTCGTACTGAGAGTTCATCGCCGGAGCAACGCCGAGGACAAGAGTCTCGGTGGTGGTGGTCTCGCCGGAGAAACCCAAGTCCGGGTACATTTTGCAACTGCAAAAAGCGGAAACATCGAGAATTAAACAATGATAAAACAAGAAAGATTTGATTAAGTGTTGTTAAGATCTGGTCAGAGAAAAAGAAATTATACTGAATTTGATTAAATCAGAGAGATTTGATTAAATATTGATAGAAGAATTAGTTTTCTGGGAAGTCGAAACACACAGAAACAGCTGCATGAAGTAGAATTTTCTAGGGAAGTGAAGATTTTCCGGAGAAAAGTATAAAAACAAGGGAAAAACGTGAGAGAGTCTGAGAAATTTACCCTCCGCATCCAACGCACTTGCAGGCAGATCCGCAACCACAGTTTCCTCCACAGCAAGACATTTTCTCTAGAAAATTCGAAGAAATCTCAAAAGGATGAAGAAAAGATGATATTTGCCTTGCACGAGTTCTAAACAATTTAGTGAATGAAACTGAATTACGGAGGAGCCTCCTTATTTATAGGCTGAGTGAGAAGTTTGAACCGTCCACCTGTCACAATCTTAGTCCACTCTTATCACCTAAATAATCGTTCCTGAAGTCATTTCTAATTTGCTTTTTACACCTCTTGCCCATTTTTCCAATAATGGTGGAAATTATAATTTTGAAAATTGTAGTTGGAAACAAATACATATACATGTACAAAATATTTATCTAGACATGAAAACCAAGGAGAATCCGTTTAATAAACTAAAATCAGTAGTATAATTTTAAGAAAACAACAATTTTATTTGTCAAAAAGGTTAAATGAAAATCTATATTATCCCTTCAATTAGGATTTGAAAAAATTATAGATTATTTCCTTTCAATTTTTTATCTTCAAAAAAGTTTTTTTTTCTAATTGCCCAACGTAACCATATTTCATCATTAATTGTGTGATTATTATGTAGTACAAATGAATTTGTCTTGGTCAGTGATATTTGGAATAGTATTATAGATTTTGTGATTCGTTTAGACTTTAGATACTTTCGTTAATCCGATTTGAACAAAAAAAAAACAAAAAGTTTAAAACAAGATGTTGCAAAAGGTTAGTAGTGTTAAGCTTTTTAGCAAACAAAGAAAAAAGGAAAGTAGTGTTCCAAAGTTTGGCTTCAAAGACTTTTGTCAAATTGAAGTGAAAGTACAGAAAAAAGGATGAGCCAACTTGATTGAGGTGAGCTCCCAAAGAGAAATGTGGGCCCATTATCGATCTTGTCCATTCTATGTGGGTACTCGAATCGAATCTCTCCCTTTTTTAATACATTTCCAGAATTCTTCGATCTATTGAAAAAAAAAAAAAAGTAATGAAAGAATTAGGAGAACCATCCATATGGGAATAATGGAGTAGTGTCGATATGTCTAATCCTATAAAAAGTTAAAGAGTGTTTTTCTTAAATTATATGAAAGAATCGTGTTTTCTTTTACTCGTGATAAAGAAATTACGTGAAGAAAACAAACAAAAATTGTAGTCTTGGGGGGTTAACGTTTGGGGCAGGAGGTTAACCTAATTTCTAATTTGAGTTTTTATCGTGAAAGATGACTTAATTTTCGCAAAGATGACTTAATTTTCGCAAAGATGACTTTTATCCATTTGTTTTTGGCCCCCGAAAAGCTTCAAACAAATAAAATGAATAATTGCATAGCACACTGTTGTTTTTATCTCTGTTTCTGTTTTGTATATGTTCTCAGGAAAGAGTTCAAGAAAGGAAATAGTAAATTCTTTTTAATAATACTAAAAAAATACCAAAACTGTAAAATCAGATCTTTACGCCCACCGTGGGACTCGAACCCACGACCACAAGGTTAAGAGCCTTGCGCTCTACCAACTGAGCTAGACGGGCTTTTAATATCACCTGTGGCGTTAAATATATTTTTACACCATATATTTTTGCTGTCTCATGTCTGTCGTCACACCATATGTTTTACCACCACGACTGAAATTGATTTTTTTTTTTCTATTCGGAAATTAAATTACACTTTTTTTCTCCTCACTCATACACATTATTCCATCTACAATATCCTTTACACTCAATTCCATCACAAACCAAAAAAAAAAAAACTCATACAAAAAGTCAAAAATCATCCTTTTCTCTTTTATGTACCTTAAACTCCAAGCAAAACGACAACAAAATTTTTTAAAAAAATGAAGAAACGATTCGAGTTCTTGAATGCCCCCTTATCCCGATACAAGCAATTCTTCTAGAAGCTCCTCAAAGATCAAATCCTCAACTTCAATCCCAACACATTCACTCTCAAACTGCAGATCCATCCATCCATCGTCTCTCGACAAATCCCTACTCATTATCTTATCAAACGATTGCTCGTCATGTGGCTTGTAACGCAAGTAACAGCTTATTCTAACCCAAACCTCCTTCAAAACACTATACCCCACTGACATTGGATGGATTCTACATAGTGATGATAAAGGTTTGGGACAATAGTGGTAAGACCTTTCGTAGATTTCGATTAGTACCTCGTTGATTAGATCAAAGAGAAGTAAGTGGTTGCAATTACCGCCGCCTTCTTGGTTTGTTGAACATTCTGGATCTTGGATCATACAACCTTTTGTTGTTGTGGCTTCTTCGTATACTAATGGATCTAGCGGCTGGTAATCTGATTGCCACATGGAGAGCGATTCGGGTGCGTTGAAACCTGAGATCTCGAGAATGTCTCTTACATAGTTGAATTTCACTTTATCTTGTGCTTCTATCTGGAGGACTTCGTCCATGGCTTCTGCTGCTGCTATGATTTCTAAATGTTTGCTTCTTGAGACAGTCTCTGTGTCTGGATCCTGTTGCGTCTCCGATTCTGCAAAAAAAAGAAGTTCATCAGTTTAAAAAGAAGAGAGATAAGAGAAGGTATTTTGATCAAAAGCTCGATATGGGGAAAGTGACTTTAAGATTGAAATTACCTCGTGGGATGGGAGCTTCAGAAGCATTTTCATCAAAAGTAGGACTGTCGCCTAATGATTCGTTCAAAGATTTTGTTTCCGGTTCCACATCAAGCGTAGAGATTTCTCTGTCATGTTCTACCTCGATCATCAAAGTAGGATTTTTCGCATTAGAAGACAGAGGATCCTCTACGGTCTCTAGTATTTCATGTTCTGAAGACTGAGAGTGCTCTTCTGAGATCTCTAAAATGTCTTCCAAACCACCTTTCTCTTGCTCGATTGATCTACTTGAAGTTGCGAACTGGCCAGGAAGGTCCTCAATCTTAAAAGCATACGGAGATTTCATTTCAGGTAATGAAAGAATCCTCCCCAAGATTTTAGGAACTCTCTTAGAAGGCAACACCGATTCTTCAGACTCCACCTTTGATTTCTCTGAGGTATTGATACTCTTCGCTTCTCTTTGGAGGCTACTTTCATACAGCTGAAGATATCTATCAAGCGATCCACACAACGACGATGTTCTTCTTATTTGCTTCAGTTTTGTGCCTTCTGCTATGTTGTTCTTAGAAGCAGACTTTCCTTTTAAGTGAGTGAAAATGTCGTCCCCCAAATCTTTCGAAAATCCATACTTTCGGGGTACTTTGTCCAAAACAGCATCCATGGTGATACGGTGTTTCTCGTTCTTGTTCTCGTTAATCACATGCTTTATCTTCTGTCTTAGATCCTTGAAACGTTTGATCACCACTTGGTTCTTTCCTCGCTTCCTCGCGTAACCAAAACCAGATAAATCTTCATCAGAAAAATTCACCATTGATTCATTTAACTTCTGAATCCCATCTGCTCTGTGTTCTGCAGCTATGGAAGGAGATGCTGGTTTTTTTTCGATATCTCCCACCGATTCAAAACCATTATTATGATCCTCTCTATTGCTGCCATGAGTAGGAAAGGATCCGGCTTTTGTAATTGTTTTGGAGCTAAAAGATTGTTGGCTCTGGAAATGCCGGGCTAACGGAGAACCCGGATCCTGCAAAACTTTTAACAAGAAGTTTCTATTCATGTGTATCAAATTGAGAGCATCAAGACATGCTTTTGACCGTCTAGGTGATGTATCATCCTCATTCTCCGAGAATTCTTTAGTATTTCTCAACTTTGGATCGAACCAAGCTTCCTCCTCATCGTTCTTCTCATTCTTCTTGGAATCACTTTCTTCAAAATCTGATTTGTTTTCATCAGTATCAATAGCTGGAGTGTTCTCTAACCTAAATTCTTCGCTGTCACTGTTGCTTGATTCCTCGGACATGAGATAGAGCGGGTTCAGCGAACCAATCGCGGGTGAAATGCCAATTGTCTTGTTAAAGACTCTGTTACGCTCATCACCGTTTGAGGAATTCTTATCAGAAGATTCGACCTCACTCAATGACTCCTTCTCTTTTGGGTTTGACTGGACAGGGTAAGTAGAGCTTCTGTGATGACGACCTTTCTTCTTTGACTTTGACTTGTCCTCTATTACAAGTGCCTTAATCAAAGCTTTCACAGACCTTTTGATCTCTGAATGTGTTTTTCTCGACTTCTCTTCTGAATTGAGTTTCTTGGACTTCTCCTCTGAATTATGTTGCTTTTTTGTTTTCCCCCCTGACTTAGACTCTTTGGATTTTACTGCAGAACTAGGCTTCTTTGGTCTTTGCCCAGAGTCCTGAAGCAATCAAGCCGATGGGTGAGAGATTTGAAAAGAATCTGCCTTTATGATTTTATTAAGTAACCATTAACTAAACTAATGGATATTCACTTAGCATCAACTTACTACATTTATTGTATCTTCCACCTTGCTTTTGGGTACGGGAATGCCGTTTGGTGATGGACATGTGTTATTTACTTCGTTTTCTGTTCCTAGAAGCATAAGATAGAAGATAGGGTAAATGTTGCAAATATAAACAGTTGTAGAATCCTTAGTATGCTCACAAACAATGATAAAAACAATATAGGAACTGAGAACATCAAACAGAGAAGATGGCATCGGTTGTTACTTATCTAATAGTAACATCGCTTCAAGAAAATCAACCAAAACATATGAAGATTTTGAAATTTAAAATAATCTAAAACTAAGACTGATTCTAAGACACCTCAAAGACATCAAAAACTAAGGCACGAGAAAGAAGAAGAAATCAAGAAGGGACAAGTTCCCTTACCAGCACTTCTTCTACAAATGGGTCTTTTGTGAGGAAGTCGTTTCTTGATGTAACGCCAATGGTTGTGCTTAAGAATGTCAAACAGTCCCCACATGAATCCAGGATGGTTCTGGATTGGGGAGCAAGTAACTTTGTGACGCAAGTTCTTCCCCATTGGTGAGCTGTGATAATACTCACACTCCAGCTACGAATTTATCAAACCTGAAAGCAAGTTCGAAACATAAAACGATGATATAATACATGCAAAAAAGTCAGGGGTAAGGGTATGAAGAAGAAGAAGAATGATAAATTGTAAGGTAAACAGAACATTAACTTCCAAAATGATGAGCGATTTTGTTTTTGAGGTAAGACCTCTGAATCAACAGTTAAGCATAAATTACCCAGATTGTGGATGTTGGCGAGCATGAATGGATTAGGGATACATATAATTTCAAATACAAAAACATTTTTTGATCTTGATGCATTCCGAATCCGAACATATACAAGACGCATGTTGTACCTAATCGAGAATCAATTCGCGATTCTGGCAATTTACATAAAACTCAAATGTAATCCCAAACGGCCAAAATCAGACATAAAATGGCGTTAACCTCTTCTGAATCAAAATCCGAATCGACATATTTTCTCATCAGACTATGTCATTATCGCACACTATCCGAAAAAACAACCAAAATCTAAATTTCCAAGGCGTTACGAAGAACCAAACTATAATTCAATCATGTCAGCACATGAAACGAGGAAACAGAGTGAATGTCTTACCTTGTGGATATGAAATGTTTCTGGATTGGTGTAAAGCATCTTCTCGGTCGCCATAGCTATGGCGGGAGAGACAGAGAAGGGAGAGAGAGAGAGAGAGAGAGAGAAAGAGAAAGAGAGAGAGAGAGAGAGAGGGGAAGCGTGCGTAACATGAACTTGGAGAAAATTGCCGTTTTCGCGAATTTCGGATTATTTATTTTATATATTAAAAGAAAAAGCCCCCATTAGAAAATTATTTTTTTCGGCCCATTATCATTCGTAGCCCATTTAAGTTTTATGGCCTTTTATACAGCAACTAAGGTTTAAGAAGCCTTTGGTATACCAGAGAGAATTTCAGAGCTGAAAAGACAAGTCGAATCTCACCACTATTCATACCTGTCTAAAGACTGACCCAAAATAGCATTCGCACGATCTTCTTTTGTTCTCTGTAGGCAAATCTTTTTTCTTTATACAACTCTACAACCAAATCTTGATTGAGTAATAAAGTAATACTACTATCCGTAATTTAATTTATAATATTGATACACATTTTATGTATGTTACGTTCTTGTGCTTTAAATAACTTTATCCAGTAACTCTACAGAAATAAAATTGCTTGTGTGTTACTTTTTTTTTTTTGAACGTCTGCTTGTATGTGTTACTTGTATAATTTTTTTGTTTGGAATTGTGTAGCTATATATGTATACTATATATCAACTACAACTCATATTAATTTAGTAACCGAAAACGTTCAATAGTTTTTTAAAAAAATGTCGCAGTTGACGTAATATATTTCTTATAACCAAAATTTGTGGCTATATTGTATAGTTTTTTGTTATGCGCAACTCGTTCTGCAGTGTTCTTAACGATCGACAATTTTGAAATTACTCAAAAGCTTAAGTTTCAAACTTTCGGAGTTTTTATATTATTTTCTCAGTAACGTAATGGTTAAAAACGGGCATGTAATGCATATAGTAATTTATATGGTATTTTTAATATGCTTCAACCATTAATTTACTCATTTGACTTTTTTTCATTATACTTTAATGACTCTTACAAAACCACCACACACTCTTCATCAAAAAGTCAACTCCTTGTTCGTTGGTTTACTTAAACCAAATCGTATAAAACATTCCTAATTTCCTAATTCAGAATGTTGACAGGAACTGTACCATACCATCAACTGTTTTTCAAAAGCCAAAGTTAGCAAATTATGCACCCCCTGGCTCTAACCTTTATAAAATAATTATGCTATCCTCATCAGTATAAAAATAATAGAAAGCTTTTCATCAAAAGTATTTTGTAGTATAATCTTTTACTAATTCCACTAACCATTAGAATAAACGAATTCCTAAAGAATAAACTTCTCAATGTCAACTCTTTCTTTGTTGTCTCTCTCTCACACATCCCTGTGACTCTGTCTCTTCTTCTTTATTTGGTTCCACCATAAATTAACCAAACTCATTGATAGAATCTCGAGAGACCAATCTCCTTTTATGAGAGACACCAATTCAGGTGACTAGAGTCCACATCGTTGAGATTGTATAATTTCTCGATTCTCTTCCCTTTCTTTTATTTTGACAAATGGGAAATGGAGTCACGACTTTGAGCGCCTGTTGTACCGGAACCGTCGCCGGAGAAATTTCCCGCCGATACGATGTTTCTCTGGTTCACGACGGGCTTGGCCACTCGTTCTGCTATATTCGACCGAATCTCACCGGAATAGCATTACCTTCTTCTACGCCGGAGATTCCTCTCCGACCAGAACCCATCTCAGAAACCACCACCACTACTTTCCGTTCAATCTCCGGCGCATCGGTCAGCGCAAATCCTTCAACCGCTCTCTCCGGAGCTCTGCCGTTGGAGACCGAATGCCCGTACAGCTCCGCCGTCTCCGCCTCCGCATTCGAGAGCTCCGGTAATTTCGCCTCTCTTCCTCTCCAGCCTGTACCGCGTGGCGCCACGTGGCAATCAGGTCCGATTGCTAACGAGTCGGGTCACGGGTCGGCTCCGTTTGAGCGGCGATTCTTATCGGGTCCGATTGAAAGCGGGTTGTATTCGGGTCCTATCGAGTCGACAACGAAGAAGACGGAGAAAGAGAAACCGAAGAGGAAGAAGGGCAGAAGAAAATCCTCACCGGAAAAATCTAAATCAAAGAAGAATTTTCTCACATTCAAAACATTATTCGCGAATCTACTCTCCAACAATAAACCGCACTTGAAGAAGAGTGTGATCGAGCCGATTAACGGTTCTGATTCATCAGGTTCCGATCATCATCATCAACCTGAGATCAATTCCTTAAGAAGCGAAGAAAACCCTAAACCTAACGAACGAAAAGCAAAAACAGAGGAAGACGAAGAGAGCATCGACTCTGTTTTGGATGTTCAGTGGGCTCAGGGAAAAGCAGGGGAAGATCGTGTACACGTGGTCGTCTCTGAAGAAAACGGATGGGTTTTTGTCGGAATCTACGACGGATTCAGCGGTCCAGATGCGCCGGACTATCTCCTCAACAATCTATACACCGCCGTGCACAAGGAGCTCAATGGGTTACTCTGGAACGACGAAAAGCTCCGATCTTTTGGAGAAAACGGAGACACCCAAATCGAAAATTCTTCAGATGAGGAAGATTCCGATTCGGGGAAAGAGAATTTCCCTGTGACGAACAATGATGCAGTTGCTTCTGGTGCAAGAAATCAAGAGAAAAGTGTGAAATGGAGATGCGAATGGGAGAACAAGTCAAACAGCAAGACCAAATCTGACAACATTTGCGATCAGAAAGGATCAAATTCGACGACAAGAAACCATAAAGATGTTCTTAAAGCTCTTTTACAAGCGCTGAGAAAAACGGAAGAGGCCTATCTGGAGTTAGCTGATACGATGGTTAAGGAGAATCCAGAACTGGCATTGATGGGATCTTGCGTTCTCGTGACGTTGATGAAAGGAGAAGATGTTTATGTGATGAATGTCGGGGATAGTCGAGCGGTTTTAGCCCGGAAACCTAATTCTGCGATCGGGAGAAAGAGGGAAAAGGAGTTGGAGAGGATCAGAGAAGATAGTTCATTAGAAGATAAAGAAATGTTGATGAATGGAGCAATGCGTTATAGTTTGGTTCCTCTACAGCTTAACATGGAACATAGCACAAGAATTGAAGAGGTAAATTGAGTAGTAAAACAAAGAATCAAGAGTATTATGCGTTGTTGTATATATGTTAAGTAGATATTGGAAAATTGATGGGATTTTTGTTTTAATGATGAGGACAGGAAGTGAGAAGAATCAAGAAGGAACATCCTGAAGATGATTGTGCAGTAGAGAATGATAGAGTAAAAGGTTATCTTAAGGTCACTCGTGCATTTGGAGCCGGATTTCTCAAACAGGTCTTAAGATTATAACGTTTTATGGTTTCCTACTAAAAAAAAAATGACAGAGATTTCTAACGTGTGAAACTAACAACAAATTTCAAGTTTCAATTGCATTATCATTCCCAATATCTCATCACTCTTACAAAAACTTTTGTCTTTGAAATCAATAGAAACCCATTCTTTTTCTTCTTTTTTATGATTATCTCTACTAAAACCCTAATTATCATCCGTAAACAAAATTTCATATATTAAAAAGAAACTATAGTCTATTAGTATTAGAAATTCCCCATTGAAAGAAAAAAAAAACATAAACCAAATATTTTTTTTCGAAACTCTACCGTGTCAACAACTATCAATTGAATTTTGAATGTATCGGTTCAGTAACAAAACTTAAAAGAGTAAATCTTATATGGCACTTATGAAACTTTGGGTATTTATGATTCTTTCAGCCTAAATGGAACGATGCACTATTAGAAATGTTCAGGATCGACTACATCGGGACATCACCATACATCACATGCTCTCCATCTTTATGTCATCACAAGCTAACATCACGTGACAAATTCCTAATCCTCTCTTCGGATGGATTGTATGAATATTTCTCTAACCAAGAGGCCATTTTCGAGGTTGAATCTTTCATCTCTACTTTTCCCGAAGGCGATCCAGCTCAACACTTAATCCAAGAAGTCCTCCTTCGTGCTGCCAACAAATTTGGTAAGCAAAAGAAAAATTTATAAAATAAGTCAAAATTATATCTGATCAATATATATATATATATATATATATATACACTATTGTTACTCTGATTTTTCTTTTATTTCAGGTATGGATTTTCATGAATTGTTGGAGATACCACAAGGAGATCGTCGGAGGTATCATGATGATATCTCTGTCATTGTTATCTCACTTGAAGGAAGAATATGGAGATCGTCGATGTGAATATATATTGTTTTTTTTTTCCGTGAACCTGAAAAATCTTTTCAAGAACTAATTAACATAACTCGGGTTTTTTTTCTTTCCGATTTAAAAGTTCTTTATTCGATTTGAATCTTTTTTTTTCTCACATAATGTATTTATTTTAACCTAAAGAGTTTAGAGAACAACACACCAAAATGGGCATATATAGGATGCTCCTTGTATGTATATCCAATTCACATTTATTTTCTATTTACTTGATGATTTGTCGTCTATGTCATATTCTAACCATATATTTATGAAGTCTTAAGACTTTGCAATTATACAAACAGCTGACCGAATCCGCAACCCATCTAGACGATTCAATATGTACTTAGTGGAAACAATGAGTTTCTATTACGTTTAGAAGATCCAAAAGTCAAAAGTCAAGACTGTTTTAAGAAAATGATTGCATACGCAAACTTAAAAGCCTGTAAATCCTAACTTCTATGAGAATTTCTTTGAATCTGAAAAGGTTGAAAGACGCGTTTGGGACACTTTGTCAAATAGTTAGATAAAAAATCTCATTTGACATAAGTTCTAGGAAGGTATCCATTTTACGCACACGTTTGAAAGCAAAAAGTCTTGTTCCCTCCGTCTCTCAATCCAATCTTCTTTTACTTTCACAAACGACAATATTGATAAAATATTGTTAGATGCACATTTTTTAATCAGTATATAGGGATAATCGTAAGATAAACCTTATTAAATAATTTTTTATGTACAATGTCATCTGAATGGGGTAATTAAACTTACTTGATTTCAAAATAGCTTCTGTTTTTCTAAGTTTGGTAAAGCTACTCAAACCTTAGACCGATTAGAAGAAAAAAAACGTTCCTAACATTCCGCCGCGCGTATCTGTTTCTGACAGATCTCAAAGTTCTCCCATGGCTTTGGAAAATTTCTTCCACATTGATTCACCTAACATTCTCACATAAAACCCAACCACTTTCCAAATTACATTTCCTTATTAATTAGTTGACTATTACATACTTTTCAGTATTTTAAATATACGTTTGTGACTAGAGTATTTGAACGTATAACCGTATTACATTTTCCTTTATTTCTCCGTAGTTTTTATAACATCAGTAAATATTATGAACTCACCAGTTTATAAGGAATCTAACAGTAATTGTATATTACTAACATCAAAAGAGCATAAACCCTTTGTCCCTACCAGATAAACCTCTGGACACCATCCTCATGACTCCACCTGAACGGTCTAAACAAAAACATTCCCATCGTAAACACATTAATACAGAGAAAAATCATTCCTATGATAAGCCAAGTGGCGAAGCCGCTTCTTCTGACACTTGAGTGAAGCATGAAGATGTAAAACGGTATGGTGTAATATCTGAACTCGATCAATGGCGTAGGAACAAGAACACCGCATGTAGCTAAGGCATAGGCCAATACCCAAATCTCCCTTCGAGCTTTCGCTATTGGATTGAGCAAGAACCAAGTCAAATTCACAATACAAAAAAAAAAATGCGGAAAGAAAGAATCATATAGTACAGAAAATGGTTTCAAACATACCTAATAAACTTAGGATTGAGAACCAGGAATAGACGTATAGCGGGACTAACAGGTACTTCACCGACCAATGAGCGTTAATGACTTTCCTCCATAGATAGAAGGGATAATGTCGATTATCGGCGAGAAGATAAGGATGAGCCAAGCTACAAAAAAATTTCAAAAGGCAAAGAGAATGAGAGTTTGAAGTAAAAGAACTTAAGGTATCTTGAGACTAATTAGAAATCGAACCTGAAGAAGTGTACAGAGACGAATCCGGCTATCAGAGCCATAAGAGTTAGTAGAAGGCGTAATGGCCAATTTTTATGGAGCTTTTGGAACAGATGTCTTAGCTGATCTACTGAGAAGTGTAAGGGAGCAGTGAAAAGAGCAGAGACGAGGCTAAAATACATTATCTGCGCAAAATGCGGTGAAACCACATGAGCCTCTTTTGCACCTGTGAATATGGATTGATAGATTAGTCAAAAAAATGATAGACACCCAAATTTCCATTTCAAGGAAATACAGAGAAAACCAATACTTAGTTGAAGAGAAACTAAGAAGTAAGTGAATGGACATACCGAGGACTATACCCCCGTTCCAGAGAATAAAAATGCCAAACGCTACCACCACGACGATAAAAGGGCTAAACTTGACCAAAAGCATCCACTTCATATTCCAACATGCTGAGATTACAGCATAAACATCATAGACTAAGCCTGCGTGTTTTTGTACATCAAAAGATTAAAAACCTTGGATATTGTTAGAGAACAGAAACTTTAAACAAAGCATGTAAAGAAGCCTACCCGAAGTATCCTTTGTTGAAGAATTAATTTTAATGCGGTCAAAACGGTTTGTAGTATCCAAGCTGCTGTCAGATTTTCTTTTTCTGAGATTTGATCTCAGAGTTGCTCCTTTCCTATCAACGGACTGATGCAAATCTTGATTTAGTTGTTCTTTTTGCCTCGGGGATTCAAGAGTGAAGTCTATAACACCTGAGCAAGCAACGAAAAGCATCCAGACTACATTTGTTTGTCGGATAAAAATTGCTAAAGTACCAAACTGCAAGGGAAAAAAAACAAAAATAAATTTGCCAACGTAATTGTGATTCTAACTATACAAAAACAACAAATTTGATTCAAATGACTTACCACTGCACTGAGCATATATCTTCTTTTCAAACATGCGAGGTACATGGCAAGAACTGCGGTTAGAGACGCAACATCTGTATAGTAGAGGAAAGTAAAGAACCAATGGAGAGGGTAAAGGGACATGACTAACGCCATCAATGTTGCTTTTCTGTCACTGAGATTTGGCCCCAAGAATCTGATAATCTCATACACTAGAACTCCACACAATATTGCAAAAACAGCATTTGTAGACCGTAGAACAGATGTAGAACAAGCTTCTGAAAAGGACTGAGTAGTAGTTTTCATCAACAACATTCCGGGAAACAAAGAAGCAACATGTGCAAGTGAAAGATAGTACCTGCAAAACAAAGTTTTTCAATTGCATATATGCATCAACATTTCAGTTACTAAACATTTCAATAGTAACATGAACAAGTAACAACACATATTAACATTAAAAAAAAAAAACACACTGAAAAATCCAGACTCTTAAAGGTAACTACTTCAGAATCAACATAAGAAGCTATGATTTCAAGAGAGTATTACAAGCCAGGTGGGGTGGTGATCATTGGATCCCAGCTCCTAAGATTCCCATTGCAGTATTGCTGAGCTTGGGGCACATGGAATATCTCGTCCTGCAATATTCATAGATGCAGTAATCAAAACAATCGGAGAGATAAGAACGTTTCTGCAGATTTTGTTTAGAACCCGAGTTCTATAAGGGGGCTTATACCATGTAGGGTTCGGGAACAATGTGGTTGACAATTATCGACATGGGAACCACCCACAAGCTCGTGATAGCTGCAACGGCTAATTTCCCCATTTTGTTTCCTCCAATTTCCGCGGAAAAGGAATCAATCAGATCCAAAATACCCGATCTGAGTGATTACGCTCGCGGATCAACCATGGGTTTTCGTTCCCGGAAGATTTAAACAAAACAATGAAGTCGAATTTTCCCGGAAAATTGAGTGAGCTGAAGACGGTGAGATTTCGATTGACGAGAGAGACGAGTCAAATCGAAATCAACGTTTCATGATTGAAATTGGGCTTTTCTTATTCTATGTCTAAAGCCCAAATAAGTTGTAAGGACAAAGCCTTTAAGAAGTAAGATATTTCGTTAAGACCTCAATATTTTCATAAAAACCTCGTGAGGGAAAAAAAAAGGAGTGGCATTTTATTGCTTTTGGTAATTTGTACGTTTTTCTTTTTCTTTAAGGGTATATATTTGTTGCATTTTATTGCTTCTGCAATTTCGTCACGTTAAGTTACTTAAGTAGATCATCTGTCACTTCATAAGTTTGATATTAATCTTTCTTTTTTTAGTAATAAAACAGAGCTAATATCTTGATTCCGAAGGGGTTTGTTGATTTTTTTTATAAGGAAAAAGATATGATATTCTAAAAATTCTCACCATATTTTTCACAAATTCCATTATTTATAATGTTATTTAAACATATCACGTTTGTATTTAAGAAGTGTGAATTTGATGACTTAGTTTTGCTTTTGATAGTCAACAATTTAATATGGTATTGAGTTGTTAACTGTTTTGGTTTGGATAGTTAACCGTAACTAAGACATGGATCTGTACTTCAAATTCGAAAGTCCATAATTCAAGTAAACAATGTAACTTTAATATTAAAATGGATGGCCATTATTAATAATTATTGGAGGAATGAGAGTAAGCATGCCCTACACAACACAAAGCTGTCTCGTGTCCTTAAGAATATACACTGCAAAGCGATTTTATCAAAAGATGTGGGAATCACAAGTAAGCTTTTAAGAATGAAAACATTTAATTAGGGTCTCTGGACCCAGATCCCAATCTTTATCTAATTTACTACTATCTGTTTTGACTTTAATTTATATCTATTGTATATTTTTGTGGAAAACTCCATAAATATAGCTGTTTTCTGTTTTGTTTACACATGAATAAGTAAACAACACTAAATCTACATAAGTTAGCATGAAAAACAGAAACATTACATCGAAACGCAGTTTGTTTTTGAGAAAATTTCAGTTTGAACATTTACAGTTTATTTTGCTTAGTTTAAAGGTTGTTTTCTCTCTTTTTATATAGCAAAGGTCGCGGGCTTTTTACACATAGAGTGATTAAAATACGAGATACTTTATGATATCACCCGATGCTGCTTACACATATTTGAATCAAATACCACATGCAAATTTTGGGACCATTTCTTTTTCTTGGTTTTACCCACGCTATCTAATGATCATCATCAGTAACAACTATTATTCACCTCTTCTAGCCAAAAAAAAAAAAAAAAAACTATTCTCTAAACTGATCAATTAGGTAATATTTTAGCAGGCGTATAAATAAGGTAATTAAAACCTTATTATAAACCCCCCTCTAGTTAATCAATTTAACTAGGATGTTGAGTTCCTCTTTTTAACAACGTTACTATTCAGGTTTATGCAATTCAATTTTTGTAATATATCAGTTGAAGTTGGTATCATTTTCATCAGTTTTTCGTCTTGGTATGTATATTTACATTCGCCTGATCGAGGACTCTAGCTATATTCTCTTCGTTTTTCTTTTTTTCGTCTTTGTTTAACTACTCATATTTTTATATGATTTAAAATATAACCCAACATAAACAAGTACGACTACTTGTCCTATGTGCTATATTATACTCATTCCATTTGCTTTATACGACTACAAGATTTTCTAGTTAAAAAGCATGCAGAATAAAAAAATATTTTATGCATTATAAAAAGCTACCATTTATTATGCAACTTAAAAAACAATCCAAAAACGAAAATGAAAAATAGAATGAGAATGCCAGCTTAAAAACAATCCAAAAAAAAAAACAATATAATCCAAATTTCTTATTTTAACTTGTTAATGTTTTGTAGATGTCAACAAAAAAACTTGTTAGCGTCTTGCTTTATTATAGTTTGTGTTCGACTTGTACGATCTTGTGATTATTTTTCAAATTATGAAAATCGGTCAATAGGAAAACATGTTATTTAGATCATGTTTGCAACTTTCTATCATGACCTTTTATAGTAAAATAATTAAAATAAAAAATTAATTTGTACTTCAAATTGAGAACCTTTGTCCGCTGTGTTTTGACCCATTAATATTTTCAATCTTATTAAGCTAGGAAAAAAAGGCAAATGACAAAACGTGAAAGATGGAGGACATGATGATCAACCATGTGCGTAGGCATGTCCACCACATGTCTGTTAGCCAATCTTTCGTATGATCCCTCATTAATCCTTTTATAATTAAATTAGTTACTTAATCCATACTTAATCTGCTAATTTAATATTATTATACTTGCATAATTTATCAATTTGGAGGGTGGTGCTGTTGGTCGTCGTTTAGAGAGGTATGGCAAGTTTACCAAATCTATAGTGGTTCACATTTTACGGCTGGGGAATCCAAAGTTATAATTTCCCACTAGTATCACGAATAGATTTAATCTATAAAGAAATTCAGTATTTTTCATCTTTTATTATAACAACGACAAGTAAAAATGTGAAAGAAAAAACAGGCATTATAGAACAGTGTGGATTCTTATAAGTTTTGTATATGAACGGTTGCGTCTGTAATTTGAAGATCTCCATATTAGTTATGATTAGTTAAGTAGTCATAATCGTACCCCCGAATTATTGCTGCATATAACGGTAATCGATATTTAAAGTTTTGTTTTCTCTCTAAAGTGACCAAAAGAAAAACAGTAAATTTTTCAGTAATTCGAGACATGTAAAATTTAGCTTGAAATCGAAATCATGTCTATTTAAAATATCACAGAAATACTCTTAAATGTAGAGATACATTAATAAGTTCGTTGTCTCTTTATTCTAAAAGTTTGCATAAATTATTATCATTCATGTGTTTTTTTAGATTTAAAATTCGATTGTAATACCTTATAAATTAAGTTGAAAAACAGTTTCCGTCCATACAACAATTATTTCGAAAAATAAAGAAATTAAAGAAAAAAGATTAACTTTCTCGTGTTTGATAACAAGTATCAGCAAATCAATTAGTATGAAGTCAATTATTAGTTGGTGCTTCATTGCTTGCGTGCACGATAACGGAAGCATTGAGAAAAAATATTTCTCTTCTTTTTCCACGATCAAAATCGACAAAAAAAAAGTTGATAGGACATCGTCTAAAGAAACATGAGAAACTAAAACAAAGAAGTTCAAAATGTATCGCGAGGTCCCCATGCAAAGCAAGGGCACGTGCGTCTAATTTGCATCAAAGTTTGTGGAGACATTTTTACCTTTTAGTTTCCTTTTGGATATGCGCATTTTCCATTTAATTCCGTAAATTTTACAAATAAATGCAAATGCTCAAGTCAAAGTAGAAGAGGGAAGGATGTTTTTTGTCATCTATCTTTTTTCGGTCATTTATCAGTACCGTTTTTTCTTAGAGAAAACAAGACTAATCATATCATCGAGAAAATTACATGTCTTTGAAATAAAAGAAATATTTTAAAGGACACATAATTTACAAAGATATTTATGATACATAATTACATATTGTAATTGGTAAATCATACACTAACTCAGATATGTTTGTTTTCAAAATATAGATACAGATATATTGGTTAATGATGTTACATCAAAATTTTAGGTTCTACGAGTTAAATTGTGGTAGTTTAATGGTCAATTCTCTATTAGTCTAAATCATAAATTGATTGTCATTAGAAGCGCAAAATTTACATAGCCTATAACCATAACATAACACAATATTCACTCTATGTTCACAAAGAATGTTGTTCTAACACTTTCTTTTTGTTTAAAAAAAATGTTGTTTTAGAATTTTAATGTAAATTTTGATATAAAATATCATTTTTAACGTTAAAAATAAATTCAAAAAATTAGTTATAAATATAATTTCAAAAGTCATTTTCTGAAAATTAATAAGGGTATAGGAGATTTTTTATTTTATTTTTTAATTTGTATGAAAAATGTCGACACTCTTCGTGAAACGGAGAGAGTATATATATATGTATAATATGTATATCATAATGAGCATATAATATATATACAAAAATAAATCAAATAAAGTAAAGTATTTTTTACATCCCGCCACTTGGGAGACAGATCACTAGTTAGTTGAAATGGTGGCTTTCAAGTTTCGGATCCAACGCAAGTAATCTCTTCTCCTCTATCTTTCTCTCTCCTTGATTCTCTCTCTATCTCTGTTTTTTTCTCTCTCTCTCTGTTTCTCTCTCTCTAAAATTAGCCTAATGGCAGAGATCTGCTGCGTCAAGGAGATCCAAGAAGAAGACGTGGATACGATCCGATTGCCGACCCGACCGGAATTGGACCTCCCCGATCACGAGGACCCAACGGTCAGCGACGACGATGGATGCAAGACTCCAACATCGTCCGATCATAGGATTCCAGCGGCGAGGTACACGTTGTGCCCACCGGCTCCGAGAAAACCGGAACCAAACCGGTCTTCCGGGACGAAACGAAAATTGACGGCGGTTAATGCTGTTAACCGTATACCGATTGATCTGAGCCGTGAGATCGAGATGTTTTTCCAGGATTTGGACCGTAGGATCAAGAACTCACGGAAACAATAAGAAGAAGACCGGGATTGTTGGTCATTTCCTTTCTAATTTATGACTGTGTGTGGTGGTAATTGATCCTTTGAATTTTTCCTTAATTTCATTTTTTCGATCTTCATTTTCTGTATATTACTAGCTGATAACAATAAAACTATGATTACATAATGAATCCTTTCGTTCTGATTTATACAACTGAAACAAAGTCAAAGCCTTTCATTATAAATAATTTGTTTTCAACAGTGATTTAAATTTTCAATAATACAGTTTAATGTTTTCTTTTTCTGAATTTCATATCGTAAATATTTAGAGAGAAGATAGAAATTACTTTGAGTCGTTTTTTTATCCATGGTTAGCATAGATAGTCAAAAGACTCAAAACAAATCATACAATCCAACAATTGTTTTTTTTTGTAATTTCTTACACAATGACCCTTAAAAAAAAATCTTACCACATATTTTTGTATCTATGCTTTTTCCAGAGAAGTTTAATAAGAAAACATGAATCCAACAGAAGACATACTTGAAAAGGACATTTTCACAAAATATCATCGTACGGTATTTCTATTATTTTTTGGTAATTAGTTTTTTTTTTGAGAAAAGTTTTTTTTTTTCTTGCAAATTAGTTAACACAATAGTTTCAATACACCAAAAACCGTTCAAATACGACAGTGGGCTCGCCCAAAAACTTGATACAGTTTCAATCATGTAATTTTCTTATTGCTAGGTTTAAATAAGATTATTTTATAACATATTCAAATTTGTTTTCCTTTGACTACCATATGATTGTTTTAAGAAAAAACGGGATTTCAAGGTCCTTTTTATATATTAATTAACAAGGTTCACATTTTCTTCATATCACTAAAATATATACCATATTGAAGTAACTATGCATATTATTTACCTAATAAGCTTTAAAAATACCTCATACTGTATTTGAGAAGGAAAAAAAAAGATTTGCGGTGGAAGCAAACATCCTTCGTAATGGATCATGCTTCCTTCTTTGGGTACACCTTGTTATGATCGATGAATTGATCAATATTTTATACTCATATCTAGGTGTGTGCCATTATTGAGATGGATACCGGGTTAAAATGCACATCAACCAAGAAGAATATCGTCAAACTCCATAAATCTAAAATTAATTAGATACATATATTCTTCTACTTTCATGACTGCAAATATTAAACTGACCTGTAACACAGCTAACCGCAATAATATACTAACATTAATTTAACTACGTAAGTAATATAATGATCTGTTTTGCTCGCTCTTAAATGAAGGAAAAATGGCTAAAACATTCCAATACCGAAATAAAATTAACCCATAATAACCTGACCCTGTTGAGCTTTGGTCAAAGTAGGTAACCGGTATTAAAAGCGTTCTAATTTTTGTTAGGTTTTAAGAAAATTTGGTTTGATGTAGTTCAGAGCTATGTCTAAACTACTATATATGTTTGCATGTATCTCAGATGACCGCTGATATATTTATTATAACGCCATATATTAGCAAAAATGGTCAATAATGAGTCTAATTATTGGATGAATCTGAGCTGAATAAACTAGATTTTAGTGAAAAACTTTGTAGACAAGACAAGCTCTCTCGTACAAAAGATGTTTTCTTGGTCGGAAAAGTATTCCAATCAAGAGAATTTGATTAGTGATTAATATGTTATCAACTTTGATCTTTAACAGATGGGCCCTTTAACAGATATCTATCAACTTTCTTGGTTACAGACGGGTTTTTAACAATCCAATCATGGAAATGTTTATAAATGGGCCGCTACGGTCACGGGCTCTTGAATATGGGCTACTTCTCGAATCAGCATTTACTAGTACACGTGGCGAGTTGTAAATCGTCGGATCTATCAGATATCAGAAAGTAACACTTGATTTGTACGAATACGCCATTTATAATGGCAGGGATCCCTTGATTCTCTCTTTTCCACTCCTCTCCCTCCAAAACAATCACACGAGAACCAGAAGTTTGAAAGGAAGAAGAAGAAGAAGAAAAAAGAGCTCGAGAGAAATTTGAATTTTAGTGGAGAAAGATAAAGAAAGCCGAAAAAAAAAGATAAAGAAAATTTCGGAATTTTCTGAAACCCATGTATAGATATGGCGAATCGAGGCGGCGCAAACGGGAAATTGGAGCGGAGGAAGACGATGACGATGAATTGGGCGGGATTAGGCGAAGTTGAAGACGACGACGACCACTTTTTCGAGACCTCTAGTCGTCTATCCACCGTCGTGCCCGAGGATTTAGCATCATCTTCGGACGAGGAAGGTGAGTTCGATGATTGCCGAATCTCGTTTTCCTCTAATGTATCTTCCGTCCCTCGCGATGCTCCTACGCCGGATTATGATATCTGGATGGCGGCGCCGGGTTCAATTACGGAGCGTCGCCGTCGGCTTCTTAACGGAATGGGGCTTGAGTCGAAGAAGAGTATGCTCGGAGCTATCTCGATCCAGCGCGTGAGTAAACCTACGGCGGCGGATTGCGGAGGTGCTCGCATTGTGGATGGAGGCGTTGCGGAAGCGAAAGTCGAGGAGGGTAATCAGAATTCTCCGGTGGATGAACGGATTCATCAATCTCCACCGATGTCAGTTTTGCTTGTGCGGTCGAGATCTGATTCTGATATCGAAGCGTCTTCAGCTGAGAAAAAGAGGAAAGAGGTTATGTTAGGGAAAACGCCGAAATCGCGGCTCACTAGAACCGCGTCAGCGATTGGAGCTCCGTGTGCGCGAATTTGTCCCTACTTCACCCAAACGCAAACCTCGCCGCCGGACGCACCAAACGGCCAGCCTCAAGGGCAACGCAGCGGCGTTTTGCTCTCTTCGGTAGTTTCAAATACTCGGTTCAGTGCTTTTTTCCTGATAAAGAATCTCGACACCGGGAAAGAGTTCATCGTGAAGGAGTACGGCGAGAATGGAATGTGGAATCGACTCAGCGACCTGCAAACAGGTAAACAATTGACGATGGAAGAATTTGAGAAAAGCGTTGGATATTCATCTGTAGTTAAGGACCTTATGCGACGAGAAAACGCGAATTCCACGATTGATTTTAGGAAGTTCAATTCGTATGTGTCAAAGAGCTTGAGGGTAAGCAAGAAGAGAGGAGCTGCTTTGTTAAAGAACATAAAAGATGTTGCCCATTCTATGAGCTCCAAGGCTTCAGAGAAAGACAAGGATTCAAATGGTAGTGGTACCAGTAGTCCGAGAGCAGTGGACCAAAAGCAGGAGAAGAACAATGACCAAACGAATCAATGGGTGAAGGTGAGACATTCAGGGAAGTCTCATAAAGATCTAAGTGCTTTGCATTTGTGTCAAGAGATTCAAGCTCATCAAGGAGCTATTTGGACTATGAAATTCAGTCCAGACACACATTTATTAGCAAGTGCAGGGGAGGATTGTGCAATTCATGTGTGGGAGGTTCAAGAATGTGAAATCATGTCGATGAATGAAGGGAGCTTGACACCGATTCATCCTTCAATCACCGCTTCCTCGGATAAATCACCTGCGGAAGGTGATGATGTGGAAGTGCCACCTGAGAAGAAGAAGAAAGGGAAAGCTTCATCGACTAGAAAAGGAAATCATCAGATCCCAGATTATGTCCATGCGCCTGAGACTGTGTTCTCGTTATCAGATAAACCAATATGCTCTTTCACTGGCCACTTGGATGATGTTCTGGACTTATCCTGGTCTCGGTCACAGGTTGGTTTATGTTCCTTTCTTGCCAACACTGATGCAAGCAGCCATGGATTGCTATTTGATATACTTAACCGGTGCTTTCTCATGCAGCTACTGCTTTCATCTTCCAAGGACAAGACCGTGCGGTTATGGGATATCGAAACTCAAAGCTGTCTAAAACTGTTTGCCCACAATGACTATGGTAAGAATAGAAATGTCCTTTTAATACTCAGGATGCTAATTTTCATGTTGTTTTTGGAGACTCATGTCTGACTCTTTGGTTTTCAGTTACGTGCGTACAATTTAATCCACTGGATGAAGATTACTTCATAAGTGGCTCCCTTGATGCCAAGATCCGCATATGGAACATATCAAACCGTCAAGTAGTGGAGTGGAATGATCTAAAAGAAATGGTTACTGCGGTTTGTTACACTCCTGATGGTCAGGTAAATAATTCTATTGAATTTTCACAGGCATAAACTTGTAATTGACGATCTCGTATTGATATATATCTATATATGCTCTTTGGTGCGTAGGCTGCATTTGTTGGTTCACATAAAGGGAATTGTCGGCTTTACAGTGCAGAGGGTATTGGCTAAAGACTTATATTATTTTGTAATTATGTTTAATAATAATCCTTGCATTTGCCATAAATTAGTGAAGTTTTTTTCTAATTCGATTAATCAGATTGCAAGTTGGAACAAACAAACCATATTGATCTGCAAAACAAAAAGAAAGCTCAAGCTAAAAAGATCACAGCTTTCCAGGTTTTACTCTTTATTATATTTTTGCTAAGACGTTTTGATTGTTGGTTTTCATCAAGAGATTATTCTTATTTACCTTTGAGTTTGCATTGCAGTTTTCTCCGATTAATCCAACAGAAGTGCTTGTAACTTCTGCTGATTCACGCATCCGAATTCTCGACGGTACTGAACTTGTTCAAAAATTCAGAGGTATGTATGTAATTGAGACAATGTATTCGGTTCTTGGTCTGATTTCACAAAGTAAAATGTTTTTAACTACTGATCCATAAACCAGGTTTCAAAAACACATGCAGCCAAATGACAGCATCTTACACACTAGATGCAAAACACATTGTCTGCGCAAGCGAAGACTCACATGTTTACGTGTGGAAACACGAGGAGCCACGACTAGGAATCACCGGTAGAAAAACCATCGCCATGAGTACTTCTTACGAAACCTTCCCTTGCAAAGATGTTTCCGTGGCAATCCCCTGGCATGGCGTCGTTAAAGGCGAACCACCACCCACACAAACCGCCCAATCCAAAAAGCCCACTAAAAAACCCTCAGCTACTACACAAGAAAACGTAACCGCGGGTAAAAAAACCGGCCTCCCACCGTTGCCTAAGAAAAACAATGACAACACTGCAGATGGAGCAACAGAACAACATCAAGAAGATGAGCCCTCAAGACAGATTCCGCAAAATGAAACAGAGAACAATACCGGAGAGTCATTGAAGCCAGGGGATTCGCCTTCTATATCGATCTCATCTCGAATTTCTTCTTGGTCTTGGTTTGACAGTCATGGAACGCATTTGGTTCAACCAACGGCTTGGGGAATGGTGATCGTTACAGCCACCATTGGTGGCCAAATCCGTGCTTACCAGAATTTCGGATTGCCCCGCAGAGTTAGTCGCCAGAGCTCTCTCTTTTGACACAACCCCGCGCGCCATTCTTGTACATATATACAGTATATTTATACAGTGTACAGCTCATACGAAGTTCTTGTATAGTCTATTGTTGTATACCTGATTGTATAGTCACAGATCAAAGAAAGAAACTTGATATAAAAAGATTTACGAGTTCTGGCCCCAAATTCCTCTACATCGCATAGAGACTTTCACCAAAGTTTTGAATTTATAAGAAAAACTTACTTCACCGCCTGAAAGTAAATCCAAACACATTTTTTTCACAACAGTTTGTACACGACAGTTGAATAATTTTAGACATTTCTAGCATGAAATTATCTAGATAAAAAAAAAAATTGCTTAAGTTGTTGATATTTAAGGTTTAATTTTATTTTTCTTGATCTCTTGATAAACTTGTATGTTGAATAGGATTACTGTTTTTCTCTTTGTTATAGATTTTTATAGTATCGGTCAGATTAGAATGTAGTCATTGACCGTACGAGCTCGTGCTAGTATGGGCTTTGCTGCTGGCATTGCTAGTTTTAAATGGAACCTTAAACAAAGTATACCCGTTATACTACCTGAGTTCAGAATCAACTGATTCTTTTGAACATTTTGTTTTGAAATTCGATATATAACAACTGTTGAGCCCAGACAATATATATATTTAAAAGGACAAGAAAAGAAGAAAAAAAAAAAAGCTACGAAACAGAATGATGTGGTCCAAAAAGGATAAAGTGTTTTATGTCTCTCGAGGTACACAAAGACGAAGCATATGGCCATTGTCCATACCAAAGCAAAGATCATTTCTTTTCTCCTTTTCTCAATTTCGAGCTTCTAACGGTTCTCTATGTATTGTATATACTATTACTCTTTTACTGTACTCTCATATTCAAATCATTTTCTTCACAACTTTTATTTTTTGATTAAAACACTTTTTTTTTCTCCAAATTTAGATAGTTACCATAGCGAAAACCGAATCTAAACCTGAATCAAAATGCTAACCAGGATGCCAGATCACTAAACCCACACTTCAACTCTAAACAAAATCAGATTAAGTAACCCACAATATGATTTTTGTTTGTTTGATAACCCTTTTAAACTATATTATTTACAACTTGAAATCACATATTTATCTATGCAATCCTAGTTATTATAAACGTCTTTTTTCTTTTACTTTTATATAATTGTTATTCTGCAATGTAGGGACTGCAGTCGACACTATGTAATTTAAGATTGATATTAGATAGATTGTAATTACCTAACAAAACGGTTTCGTGGTGTAGTTGGTTATCACGTCAGTCTAACACACTGAAGGTCTCCGGTTCGAACCCGGGCGAAGCCAAAATGTCATTTTTTCGATTTTTAGGTTTTTTCCTAAATAATATTATATCAAAAAAAATCTCTCTCCAAAAAGTATATACACATCCTTATTCTTAATCTGCAACATCTTCTGTTCCATTATCATTAAACCAAATCTCTCTCCCTTTGCGTCTCAAAACTCCAATATGGCTCACCAGGTAATCTTATCGTCGTCTCTTTTCTCTCTCGCTCTCTTACCACAATTAGCATATATATGCAAACATACACAGATATATGTATATACATCCCTGTGTAATACTTTTAGGAGGAAGGATGGCCGCTTGGGTTGAGACCAATCAATGCAAGAATTGGAGGACTCACAAGAGAAACTCATCATCATCATCAACAAGTTTCTGCTGGTTCAATCTCCTTCAGCTCTCTTCTCTCTCCTTCTCCCTCCTCTCTCTCTTCCTCCGATCTTGATTCCCAGGTCAGACATATAATATACAGTATACACACGCTCCTCTACTTATACTACACATACACCACATTTCATACTAATTATACATAGGTCTTGACAGATTCTTGGTTTGAACCCTTACAAAGCCTGCAAATTTTCATTTCATTTTTTTTTTTTTTTTGATATCTGGAAAGATCAAGTAATTGCTTTGGTACTTTTCATAATATATATTTGTTTTACATTTGTTCTTCTTTTTCTTGCATATTATTAACTGATGAGCCGTTTGAATCTGCGTACGATTTTTTTTCTTCCTCATAGAAATTTATTAATGATTATACTTTGACTAGTATTTTGGATTTATTGAATTCACATCCTCTTTCAATTTGTTTTTACTTTTGTTCATTAAAATTAAAAATACTAAAATACTGGTATTGTTATTGGTTGAGACTTGAGAGTCGAGATGACCTCAGAGCGAACGTGAAACCAATTGTATGCTCTTTAAAAACATTTAAAAAAAAAAAAAACTGAATAAATGACATCGCTTGCTCCTTTAAAGCTGTGATGGTTTTGTCTGAAAAGGCCACGTTTGTCGGAAATTGTTAATTCTCAAATTACCATTATCATACTATACTATAGAAAAAAAACAAAATAATAATCAGAGAATTTCTCTAATATTGGCAGCTTTTGTCAAACTGTATTGGAAAGTGGAATAAGTGAATTTTTTGCCAATAATCCACTGGGCATAACTATGTGATTTCACATATTTGTTTTTGTCATTCATATACTTTCGAAAATTTGTGATTTACTAGGTTAAGTTTTATGTCAGTCATCCACTTTATAATAAATAATTTTCTTCCTTCATTATACTGTTTGACAAATAACTTGTATTTTGTTTAGCTCACCATGTATGTAATTAATTGATCATAACGTAAACAAAGAAAAAATTATAAAAATAACAAGGATACGTAATGATGAGTTTATTTTTTTTTAATACAAGCTATCAATTTTAAAAACAACACTTTTTCCATAATTGCTTACATTATATATTTTTTTGGTCACCATTCACCAACACAATATAAAGTCCTGACCTCTTCGATGAAAGTAAACATCGCAACCACATCAATTAAGATTTATGTTGCGTGTGGGTGTATCAATTCACACACACACACACTATCTATATAACATCTTACATTTTTATTTTTTTTCAGTCGATGGGATCATTTTTCCGTGACGGGAGCTACACACTAGGAAACCTAATCGGGATATCAAGCTTTCTAGAACTTTCAAGAAGATCAAACCGAACAACGATTGAACAATCGGCGTCTAGGAACCATCAACATCAGAAGAATAATCTCAAATCTTACAAGCCATGGATTTTCTCTATATGTTCCAAACTAAGCACAGATTCCACTATCGTTCCCCATTACAAGATTACTACAAACGAGGACAATCGTCGTACCGATGTGCAGTCTCTCGGACATTTCCTCATGGTGGAGAGACGAGCCATCGGATCAACCACACGGTCCACACCGACTATATGAAATGTCCGAGAATTAATAACCAAGCCCGCTCGTTGAAACTTGTGTTTGAATGAATCCATAATGAGGTTTGTGGTCTAATTAATGCAACAGAGTCTGATTTTATTCTTGTATTTGCTTGTTTCAAAATGTTTTGTGTTTGGGAATTTTGAAATCATTTTTTCTTGCATGAGTTGCATTGATAGATATATGCGATATGAATACTGGAGCAGGGAAGGCGATATTATATGTCTGTATAATTAACTCAAATAAAAAAAAGTTATAAATATGAATGTATATATATGGTAAATAATATTATTTTAGTAGTCTAGCAAATAACAAACACACGCAAAACACACATAAAATCACCCAAAAAAAGTCTTGGGAGTTTTAAGAGTATATGAAATCATTTTTCCTTGCATGAATTGCATATATATAAATGGCCCAATAAACTAGAAACTACAAATTAAGCCCATTTATATAGAGAGGTCCAAATATCAAAATGGCATGTCTCTGGATTGGTCAGAGAGCTCACAATGGCAAGGGTAGATATGGAAATATAAAAAAGCTCTTCAAAACAGCTAAACCCTAATCTATAAAAGCGCTTTCTTTCTCTCTCTTCCGATCTCCCTTTCGCGGCCTTATTCAAACTCAGGTGCTCTGAGATTTCACTTGTTTATTTCTGATATATGGGTTTTTTTATGTAAACAGAAAACAAGCAAGAGGACTGTCTTTATCAGGTGTCTCATCAGGGAAGTTGCAGGGTTTGCTCCCTATGAGAAGAGGATCGCTGAGCTTTTGAAGGTCGGTAAGGACAAGCGAGCTCTCAAAGTTGCCAAGAGAAAGTTGGGAACTCACAAGAGAGCCAAGAGGAAGAGAGAGGAGATGTCTGGTTTGAGAGAATAGATGATTACAGCAGATTAATAAGATGATTAAGAGATTAAGAGAGATTGTGTTGAGAGATTAGAGAAGAATCCGATAATGAAGAGAGAATAGAGAGAGGTTGGTGAGAAAGAGATGATTCTCATTTCTTAGAAAAGACCTTTACAGATGTATACAGCTATATAGAGTAAAAGGCAAAGAGAATATGCTCCTAAGATACCTAAGCTATAGTCCAAATAAGGCAAAAGCAAAAGCAAAAAGTAAAGCTACTTTTCCAACGGTCATGAGAGGATAAGATCCAGCTGTGGGGCGCCTTTCTCTCCTTCCTTAAACGGTGATACAAGATAATGCAAGAAGAGAAAGGCTTCTCTAGGTTACTTGATGAAGAAGCAACTCCAAATGGTGACCTTGTACGGATCTGTACGGACTTGTACGGACACCTCTGATGAGAGAGCTAAATATTGAATATAATGATCTCTCTTGATTAACACTCCCCCTCAAGCTAAGCCATAACTAATCAGGAGGCTTATACTAATCATCACACCATTAAATTATGCATCTTACTAGAGACTTTGCTCCTTAGTTATGAATGTAACATTGTTTCTCTACGTTCTGATTTGGTTTGGTTTTGGCCTTTTGGTGGTTTATGTGCAGGTCTGGTGGTGTATCCGAGAAGAAGAAGTAATACGATAACTCTGTTTCGACGCTCTGTTTTTTTTTTCCATGAAGTTTTTCACCTAATTGGTCATTGGATAATATTTCTGTAGTATTATAAGCCCCTTTTCTTCCGGTTAACCGGGTTTTTCAATACCCGGTCCATTTTGGTTTAGAAACAAACATCGTTGACCCAATTATATAGTCTTTCATAATTGGGTCTACTTCGAGATTTCAAATATTCGATACAATGATGGTTTTGCTTAATCGATGTTGATGTGCTTGAAAGTTGAAAGTGTTGTTGATCCTTATAAGCAGTGAGGTAAGCAAAAACGGTCCAAAACAAATAATTTTATATATAGTTGTTAATCATATTACAAATTAAGCCGCGTGTGTTTTCTTAAGGGCCAAGCAACTTTATATGGGCTGTCATCATCATCCGTCACAATCGTCTATTATCGGCCACTATATCCGATCTTCAATTTTTTTTTTTTTTTTAAAACAAATTTTCATTCGTGTTGGATATGACATAAGTCACATAACATGAATAAAAATAAAAATCTAACACTAGTTATTATTTTTAGTATTTGCAAAAAAATTTGTCACTATCAAAGAGTTCCATCACACTGAACAATGAACATTATTGTGAGAAATGACCATGTTAATAACTTACTATGACGATGTAATCGATATTCTTAACCCTACTGCTTAAAATCTAACTCATTGATCAATTAGTATTGTAAAAGATATGAATGAATGCTTCATACCCAACCCTTTCTAAAAAAAAATAGTAAGAATGCTTATGGATGTGTGTATGTGCATACATACGTGTGTTACATTTGGTTCATAGTTATTGGTCGAGTTAAAAAGGAAAGCAACTTGAGGTGCATGGCTTGTGTTATTAAAGGAAATCAAATTGTTGTACAAATTTGAAAATGATTGGTGCATGTACCAATCAAAGAACACACGTATATATATTAGTTCAGTATGACGTCAAAAATGTTAGAAATTGAGCGTAATAAAGTGGTGAATAACCCAAGGCCCGTCTTGATTGTGGGCAACGACAAGGACAAGTGAACAAAAGAAAACTTCTTTTTCCAGTAAACAGACAAAGATAATATATGTATATCTAAGGTAAGGGGAAAACAAATCGTAGATGTACTAACTGATTATTCATTTACATCCTAATTCCTAACTTTGAGACACACGATATTTCTTTAACTCAGAAACTCCGGGTCATCTTATCTTATCCGCAATCAATAAAACAGGTTTTAGTCAGCAAATTTTTACGCTGTCAAAACAATAGGTTTCGCAAACTTGATAATGTTTAAACGTGTGAATTGGCTTGAAAGCTATATTTTGGAAATAAATTAAATACATATTTTTTTCATAGTTTAATTGACCTTTATGAACAAACAAACAAAAAGACTTAAATTGACTAAGTCGAAGAACCCGTCTAATAGTTTAATTAGTATGTGAACACAAGAATGGTTATGTAAGTAATATATGTATATTAGTATTTGTTTAACCAGTTAATATACAATTAGGTAAATTAGAGGGAGAATGTCAATGCTAATGATAAGTGTAGGCGTAGGAGTTGCATAACGTTGTTGAGGAAATCGTCGACAATTTTACTTAGCCATGTCAAAAAGCTACCAGATCGGGGGACCCTCGTTGTTTGTTTTTTCTAGGTTGGCCAAATTTTATGATGAGGAAAAAAAAAAGATATTTGCTAGAGAGAGCACACTAAGATGGAATCTTCATTTAGTTAGAAAACTTGATAGCATCTTCATTCTTCAGTTTCGTTGATCAAATAGTACAAACAAAATATCTCAAGTCCAAGTACCACAAACTGACAACCACTAGACCCTCACACCATCAATGAGTAAATAAGATCAGTCAATCGAAGGAGCCTAGTCTCAGAAAAGTAAAAGCTGCGAAGGTACTGTGAAGAGAGAGTGATCTTCACAGAAAACTATACATGGAGGCATGTTCTACCATATTTTATCTATGTATGACCATATATATAAAGGGAATATATTTATTAGAAATATAGTATATCCCTGTACCGTAACCGTAAAACTCGCATATATGTGTGTTTCATCTTTTTCCACGTGACATTATCCAATATGCAATTTTTCTTAGTCGTCAACAAATATTTACCTATAAAATATCCTTATTTGGACTAACATTGTTCCAGATTCGCTGGTCCGGCGTCATGGACCGGTTTGTACCAAAATTTTACTACATTATGAGTCGTACGTAGTCGTGGTCATAGCTTATGACCGAATCTAAGACCTCAATCAGAGTACAACATTTATAATACAAATATATGACCATGAATATAAATACACCTGGAAATAATCCAAACTTTTGTGTTATTATCGTATGATTGAATGCATTAGGAACTTGTTGATCGAATTTAAATATATCTAGTTAAGATCATTAATATATTAATAAATCATAAAATTATGTATTCTATATAGATATTGTACAATAGCAATTTTTTAACAAATATGTAAAATGAAATAGTACAAACAAAATAAATTTGAAAGTTTGCCAAGGAAAAACGTTTATAACTATAAGTAAAACAAAAAACAGAGATATTTTGATGATGTGTAAAAACAGAGTGGTTGTCAGTCACATGTAAGGGAAAATCAGAAATTTTGGGATTTTGTAGCGTTGTTTCGTTTGGGCTCAAATTCTCACGCGTGCATCGAAGCGCGTGCAATTTCAAGGTCGAATCTCTCGGTCATCGCGCATGGGTCCCACCTCTCCTGACCGCACCGTTACTTTTGTCGCCTAGTGGTCCGTGCACATCACGAGCCTCTTGCTCTCTCCCAAGGCGCGTCGGTGTTTTCCTTTACTCGTTGTTCCGACATTGATTCGGTCGTCGTTACGACGTTAGATTTCAGTCTCTTTTACTATTTATCTGAAATTCTTTCTAGAAATAGTATATTTTATACAAGTACTATTTTTTTTTTTTCTGTTGGCAAAAGAGTTTTTAGCTTTAATCAATTAACTTCAACAATGTTTTTAAATCTTCTTCATAATTAAAAATTAAATTGAAGTAAAACAAGATTCAGTCGGGTATTCTGAGAAAATGAAAACATGCATGTTTTGTCATGTGACAGTTAGGAATAGGATATAGAATCATAGAAAATGAAATATTGTTGTCATGCTTTGATCCCTGATCCTTCTCAAGTGATATTGTAAAACAATCAAAGTCATGTTAATTACTCAATAGTACTACTATTTTGGAACTTTTATTTTCAGTCAATTCTTCGATACCTGATTATCTCAAGACATAATTAAATTTTCAATAAAATTACGGTCTATTATATATGAATTATTTTAGTTTTTTTTGAGTTCCTGAATTGTTTTTCCTGTCCTACATATATTCCACAAATATAGGCAGTAGTAGATAACTTGGTAATTTTCTCCAATGACGTTTGTTATTGAAACTCCAAGATTTGTATTCTAGTTGGTAAAGCACCATTAGTCTAAAATCACTATTGGCAACAAAATTAAAATTATTTGTGTAGATGTACATCTAGTATGTGTTAATCAATATTACTAATTTTCCTTAAAAAAATCAATGTAGTGCTAAACTATAAAAATCTTTAAATATTTTGCACCCCTTATAAATAATTGATCACTGTTATCCTCGCTATAAGACTATTTTTTGGAGTGGACTAATCTTCTTTTGTCGTTTTCGAAACCGATATGCATTATCGAAGATCATGCATGCATTCTAACAAATAAATCTAATGACATATTTGGCGGGTTGGTCTCCACTACACATATACGTATATCGATAAAATTTAACACTCGAAAATAAATAGTAGAATTACAAATATTTTATATTAGTCCTACTGTCCTAGACAAAACACTTCTCGAAAGTCACAGAGAACGTTCCTTTGCAGAGCATAACGAAATATTTGTCCCTCGATACTTCCAGACTTCCAGTCTTTCAGTCTTAATACTATATATCATTATATAATTAATCACCATGATTGATGGAATTAACTATAAGGTAACACAACTACACTCATTCTTATTTATTCACTTTACACTATTATCTATCTCTCTATACACATTTCCCTATACTTTTTTGCCGATCACAAATTCATTTTTTTTTAATATATAATCTTAGTAAATGATACGAAAAGCATCACATGTTGTTAAAACTATGTTATATATCATGAACATGAGTTTACTAATTGTTACAAAATCGTCTGGAAGTCATCATAGGCTGATTACGATATGTCGATATCGAAACCCAAAAAAAAAAAAACTCAACAATTAAATTTCGTTTTGACAAAAAAAAAAAAAACTGAATTTCATTATAATGCCGTAGTAATGCATGTTAGATTGCAAGTTTAGTTCAAAATACTTACGAACTCGAGTATACGTAGTTGAGTAAGATATTCAAATAGCTAGCTTGTAGATAAAGTCTCAAACAGATTCTTATTTGCTTTACATCAAAATCATCAAAAAGTCTAATTAAAGTATTCCGTAAAAGACTCTATAATTTTAAAAATGGAATAATCATAAAACTATGCGGAATTTGGACAGATTTCATATGCACATAAAGATAGAATAAATAGTCTTTTAATTTGTTCATAAGAAGTTAATTAGACCAAAAACGTCACCACAAGAACAGTTAGTAATGACATGGTAGTTCATATGGCTTAAAAGGAAACATGAATACTTACAATCACCAAAATGAATCGTTATTCTTTTTCATAAAATAATATTGTAAATTTACAATAGATAAATCTCGTGATGTAATTTTGGGATGAAAATACAGCAACTTAAAATTTCGACACAAGTTAGTTATAATTATAACAACCCTGTCATACTTTTTATGGTTATATATATACTTATAATTTTTTTGGCTCCATTCCAACAAAAAAGTGCATTATTGATATCTCGTAGCTAGTGATATAGATCGGAGTTATAGTCGAGGCCATAGACATACTTTTGATTTATGTGCTGGAATCTAAGTGTGTTAGAGATTTCGATAAAATATGAGTAACAAGACGATTGAACCTCAATCAATACTTCAAATTAGTGAAAATATATCAATAGAACATACGTAACTCTTACAAATATCGCACTACTCGCATGTATCATGGATGATCACATCCGCATACTTAAACTGTAAATAAAATTTGCAATAGAAAAACCCTAATTTAAAACCTGAAAAAACCAACAAAGAGAATCCAGATTAAAATCAAAACAAAACCCAAAACTAGTAGTTGTAATGTAATATATTAAGAAGAAAAAAAACGCCTACAAGATCGATCGAAGTACTAACTTCCAACTAAGTACATAAGATCATACCACACGTCCACACCCAATAAGAAATAAATAAAACTATCCTCATCACATAGATTCCTTAGAGTGATGATGAGTGATTATATATTGCTAGTAGAAGAAGAACTGAAATTATTAGAGACATCACTCCACGAACTAGTTGTCGCGGCTGCGGTTGATGCATTCCCATGAATATTCCAAAGCTGTTGTTCGTTCCCAAAAAGCTGTCTGGACATGTTGAGTTGATTGTTGCTATCTTCCATTTTCACTGAAGCTAATTGCGACGCCGTGGCTGTAACCATAGCTGATGAAGCAGTAGAAGAAGAAGAAGAGGAGGCCAAGTTATGAAAGATGTTCTTAGGTCGGTACTGACCCGAACCGGTGACTAATCCGTAACCCGGATTCTGCTGCTCCATGTCCGTTTGATTTTGATGATCAAACGGGTATAACCCGGAAGATGAAGAATTGTCTGAACCACCTAGCAAAGGAACTTGGTGATGTGTTGTCGGGAATCTCCACTGGTCAAAACCGGTCAAAAGAGCCGTGGCTCCTCCGTTTCCGCCGCTGCTTCCGCCCCCCATATGATAAGAAGGAGCTGAAACGGCACCGTATTGTAAGGTGAAGTTGTCGGTGAAGTCCAAAGGAGGCATGAGTTTGAGAGGAGGCAAAGCTGAACCAAGTCCAAGTATGTTGTTGTTATTGTTGTTATGATCATGTCCGGGGATTAACCCGGCGTTGTAAGAAGATAACAACGAGCTCAGAGAGGTTGACGAAGACGGTGGTCCCATCTGACTATTAGCCATGACTCGGTGGTGGTATTGGTCGTTGCTTGTGGCGCTGTCATGTGACTTACTGTTTCCGCTACTGCTGCTACCGCCGCCACCGCTGTTTTTGGTTCTTTTGTTTCTACGGCAACCACCACCAACAGGAACGGTCCTTAGAGCGCCGCCACGTGTCCAGTAACGGCGGCAGGATTTGCAGAAGTGGCGAGGTTGAGTGAGACTGTAGTTGTTGAAGTAACAGAATTTGGTGTTGGTTGAGTCACATCTTGGACATTTCAAGGCTGTTTCAGGCAGTGGTATGTTGGCTAGCCTTGCCCTTTCTGCCATCGAGCCTGGCCGGATTAATCCTCCGGGACCACCACCGCCTCCACCGTTACCGTTGTGGGGAAGTGGTGGAGGTGTTTGTTGCGGTTGCGGTGGGAGGGGATGGTGAGGGAGGAATTGCTGGCTGATGTTGTTGTTGTTGTTGTTGTTTCCCGTGAATCCAACGGTGGTCGTGATTGGTTGATGCTAAAGAGAGGAAGAAATGATTCAAAAACAACACAAAAAAAAAAGATAATAGAATTTGTGAAAATTAATAAAAGACGGAAGGAAAGATTTATTTTTATGAGTATATTCAAATTCAACCACAGATATACAAAGATTAAAAGTGACAAAAGGAACAAGAATATTATTATCCTCTTTTCTTGTTTGCTAATCCTCTCTTTATTATTATTTTTTAAATTGATTCTTGAGTACACACGTAAATTATAAAACCAAGAAACCCAATCAAGAACTTACTTGTTGTTGCCAGTTTGATGAATCATGAAAAGTAGGAAATGAAGAAAAAACCATCTTTGATATTTCTTCTTTGATGATATCTTCTCTCTTTAGTTTTTTTTTTTGTTTAGTTTTTATGAGCAAATAAAGGAATTAAAGTTGGAATTTTTTTTGGTGAAGGCTTACATGAAGAAGTGGAGAATTACATCAATAAAAACAAAGGGGAAACCTTTAGAGAGAGAAAAGAAGAGGAGAGGAGAGCTTAGAGAAAGATAGAGAGAGCAGGCAAAGGTAAAGGAAGAACCTTTATTCATATATATACATACCCACATATACATATGGAGTATGTTTGAATATTATATTAATTATATATTAGATGAATAAAAAAATATTTGAGTGTGTCCACAGTGTTATTGTAAGGATCTTTTGTTTTATATATTATATGCATATTGTTTAGGGTTTTTGGAAGGTGGAAGAGAGGGAGTGTGTTTAATTCCTTAACTCATAAGTTTCTTTCCGATTCTCTCTTTCTGGCAATACTGCTACTTCAGTACTGTGTGTGTATATTTTAGAAAAAGCAATAAGCTTGACTGGTTGTGTTTTTAAAGTTAGTAAAAATCATTCGTTGTATATTATTTTGTGTATTTAAAGGATACCAGCAATATATAACGAAATAATTGACAAAAAAAAAACTGAAAAGAAGAGATGGATTATAAGCCAAAATTCTTATTGTTTTCACAAAGTGAAGGAAATGCCATTCTCTTTTTTTTTCAAGTAAAAACTATATTATGACATGGATTATGCTTAAATATTCATTAAAAGATTTTTTAAAAGAAAATGTAGAGTAAGTTCTGAAGTGTTTTTTTTTCAACCAAGTTCTTATATATTACACATTTTTTGCCAAAGCTTCTATATTACACATGCAGAAGAGAAAATTTACTACATTTATTTTGTATAAAACTTTGGTATACCGTATACATACATCCCAGCCTTAATTAATGAATTAGACGTTAATCTTTATAGCTAAAGGGGGAAGAGGTTGGACTATACATGGGTCAGTACTAATTACTAAATAATATTAGAAATTTAGAAGGTATGAGTATGAATAGATTGAGTTAAAGAACATAATAAGATATATAAAAATTTAAAATTAATGAAAAACAGTCCAACATTCTTCTGAAGTGTCCCCAACCAAATTCGCTTTTCTTTCCCTCGAACCGCCGCGATGTTTTTTTTTTTCCTTTTCCAAAAAATACATTTTGTTTTTTTTTTTTTGTTTCCATGCATGGGAATTTTGAAATTTTAGTAGCTACGTGTAAATTACGCGCCATTCGAGCGCGTAACTGAAGCTAAACCAAATCGCCGTTTCTAATCGGGGTAATGCGGACCTAACCGTAGACTAATCTTTTTGGATTTTTATACATCGATCTAAGAGAAAAACAACGTACAAATTGATTTAATTCGGTTTGGGCAGGTTAAACTCAACAATCACAGATAATATTAAACCGAATCAGTTTTCTGGTAGAAAATTACATAAGGTTCTATTTGAAGGGGAAAATTGGATAAACAAACATTTGTTGGCCTAAGAATCGCAATTTTACAGTCTCTCTCAGTTGACACTAAACCAGATGTATAATTTATAGTATACCAATTAGATCACTTTCTTCTTCTCGAGTAATTTGGACTAGAATCTCGGTTTTCTCGGTCAGCGAGTATCAATGGATCCCGAGTTCCAGCAAACCGGGCCTGAGGTGCCAGAAGCTATGCAAGAGCTGGATGAAGAATGAGCAGAGGAATGTTGAGATTGATGATGCGTAGAAGAAGAAGAGATTATGTTCTGCTGTAGCTTCTGTTCTTGCATCAGTTTCAATATGTAAGCATCGTCATGGACCGAGAAAGGTGTGCTGCTCACAAAAAGTCAGAGGGGAAAGAAAATTTTGAATTCAAGAGATAAAAAATCGATTTTGATTTTGGGAACAACAATGTTGTTTAGTACCTATTGAAGTCGAGGTGTACAAGTTGCATATCTTCGGAAATCTCGATTTCAACTACTGCATGAGGATTTGTCTATAGAGAGATTTGAGATGGGGAAAAGACATGAAAGGAAACTTAAGGAAGAGAAGAGAAGAGATTTGAAGTTACCTCAAGTAGAATGAATGGTAAGGTAAATCCTTCTGCTGGGCCTTCAGTTTTCACAACCATCTCCTGATTTCTCGACATAAGACTCTCAAGACTTGAAACCTGACGACGACGACATTCGAGGAAACATATAAACAAAACGTAGAAAGACAGTTAACATTTCATCAAGACAACAGAAAATGATTCAAACACGCAGTTACTACTCAATGCTAGGTTCAAATTAGACGGATGCTTACAGATTCTAGAATACCTGTAAAATCAATAGCTCTTTGTTATCTCTTGAAATGCATAACAAGATCTTGAATTGTAAAAGTCTTGCATTTAGATTTGCGTCAACATAAGAAAAAAAAAACCAAAAGAACATAGATTTACCTTTTCTCTCAATTCCTTAAGAAAAGCAGCCTTCTTTTGCACACTATTCATAAGCTTATTTCGATCCATCTGCAAATACGAGCATCAGATACTACAAAGACTAGTAAAGAAGACGAAGAGGGAGAAATCAAACGGAAGGAAATCGAAAGGGCACTCTGAGAAGCAGCACCTTAACTTCTTCCACATCTTTTTTGCAGGTAATAGGAAGCCCTTTCCACCGGATTTCCTTTTTATCTCTAGCGATAATATCCAATGCCATGAACACATTCAGTGCATCATAAACTCTCCGCCTGATGTTCTTCTCATTATACTAATAGATCATAAGAGAATGTTGTTATATTTGCTCCCATAATTCAGAGAGATAATCTCAGCTTGACATCTTGCTATACCTCATTGTCATTCAAAGGCTTCTCTGAGTTTTGCTTAATTGTTGCAAAATCTGATATAATTTCATCCGCAACCTGTAATTCACAAGAACCAGAGCCTCAGAAAAATAGATTTCCACATTTTCTGATGCAAAGTTTTCAATGTATTACTACTCTTTATAAGGGCGAGACTCTTAATCAGAAGAAGTATTTGAGAGGGTGCTCAACAACTAACCTAGGCGATCAATTCTTAAGTGTGTACTTGTTAAAGGAAAGATCAAATTCTAATTCATTTTAAATTAAAAAAAATAAGATCACAACAAATCTTTGGCATAGATAAAGAACTCGTTGTTTAGAGTAGTACCTCCTTGTATGTAGTTATCTTCTTGGCTTCCAACTTCTGGCAAACTGAGAAAATCCAGAGGCATGTGAATGAAGTTAATCAAAACCAAAACAACAATACTTCAATAAAGTTCTTAAGGTGTTAGGAGAGATTCACTGACCCATAACGCTAAATTGGCGAAGCCCACCTCCAGCAGTTCTTGATTGCCCTTTCTTCTCTGATCTTTTTTTGTTTTTCACAAATTCAAATAAAGACATTTTAGCTCCAATTGAAACCCACAGACATGTGAGCACCAATAATCAAGAATATAGACTGACCCAATCTCGCTATCTTCATCAACTATCAACTTCCTTCTCACTGGAGTTTTCCCCAAGCTCACTGAAGGATTATGCCTTTGCTTCTCCGGAGTTACAAACAAATCCATCTCCATTCTCAAAACTCAAGAAGAAAAACGTTTCGGTCTGTAGACATTTTCACCATTAACAAAGTTAACTAAGAGAATCAGAGAAAAAAAAAAGGACAAATTATGTTAATTAGCAAAAATCTAGACAACCCTAGATTTTTCTATAACCTGTGCAGCTCCGACAAGTATTAACTATAGCTTCTAAATGATATTTCTCAGAGTTCAATTTCTATCACACCAAGTAATTAGGAAAATGGGTATCAAACAGTGGACGAGATCTAGCGATGTGAAGAAAAGCCCTACTCAGAGATATAAGGCCTGAGCAAAAACAAAGCTCGAACCCGTTTTAAAGACCGAATCGGGATCAAAGACGAACCAGTTATCCCCTCCAATGGCGGAAAAAAAAACGGAGATTTCTAGGGTTTTTTTGGTGTGTTGTTTACACAGATGCGAACAAAAGAATCCGAGAGTTTTGATGAAATTACTGACTTCGCGCTAAACAACTAACTGATCAATAGTAAACAAGAGAAACGCAGAAGCAACGATGCTTCTCCATAGCCCATAAAAAGCCATAAGGCTCAAACACGCACACTCTGTGTTTGGAACCCAAGCGTTACAGTCAACGGCGTCGTTTTAGGATCTCTTGGCGGGGATTTATATGGGCTTTCCTTTGTAACTTCAAGCCCAATGGCCCTAGATGCCTAAAACCAAATTTGTGTAATTTAATAGATGACATATCTTCCTTTGTTAAAGATTTTTTTATTTCCTTTTCTTTTGCTCCTTTATTGACAGTTGTGTGTGTGACTTCAACTTGTGTCTGTTTTCGATCCTATTGTATAAAAATAATAATATTAAGTTCACTGAATCTTGAAACGTTTGGTACGTTGGCATCGAATTATTGAAAACATTATTGCTTATAAAGTTATAATTCTTCGTCTTATAAGACATGGTCCGTATCATGGACTTGTAACAATTAAAAAAAAAAAGAACTCATAATTAATTTTTAATGTAGTTTTCTTCCTTTTGATGCATATGGTTTACACGTTAGTGCGGGAACGCGTGACAAGGTTGCGTTGCACTGAATCGAAAGTAAGTAGTTTCTCACGAGTAAATTGTCTAAGATTTATAAATCCTCGTAAAGTTTGCTTAAATTCGGATCTAAATTATGAATGTTACTTAAAGTATTTGTAATTTGTAGATTTTTTCCTTGTTTATTTGATTTTGGTTAGATTTTAATTTGATTTGTTCATTAATTAAAAGTTATATGTATTAGTATTACAAAGGGATATGTTATGAAAATTGCTACCACTTGGTACTGGTCACTTGTTCTCTATGATTAGCGGATGAGTTTGCATTTTTTTTTCTAGACAAATATTTGATTAAAACTAATTTTTTCTTAACTTGTTTGAGTTATTACTTTTGCTCTAAGTTTGAGTTGTTACTTAGAACCTATATGTTCTCTGGTAGGTGAAAAGTGATCAGACTTTTCCAACCCAATCTCTATAGAACCTACCTAAGTAGACCAAAAAGACCAAATCATTTTTATTTTTTTTTAATAAGTGACGTTTAACCGTAAATTAATTTGCAATACTACTGAACCAATCTGAATCTAAACTCTTCAAAATTAGGTGCAAAGACCACAAAACCAATAATCATTGAATTAGACCGCCTGGTCTGGCTTAATCAATACATCATAATGATCTCTACTCGGAACTATGTACTATCACAAGATTAAATTACTTAAATTTTGATTTGTTTAAATTGGTGTTATTGTGTGTTGTCAAGTACTCAGAAATACAAGTATATTTAAGTCAATATATTACTACTAGTAGTGAGCTTTATTGTAATATTTGTTTGCTGTTTGTTTATCTGTCGTTGTTTGGATATATGAGAGGTGGCAACTCCCAATATCTTTTTGGGGTCATCTTCAATGTCCTCTCAGATCTCAATTATTGAGTTTTCTAAAGTCATGTTTGATTCTTTCTTCTCTTTTTGGGTTCATTAATTATATTTTTAATTACTCTATTTATTTTGTTTTGACAACTTCCGTATCTAATGCAGTTAAAATTTTATTCTATACTATGTTTAGGTGCCCCTTCAGGAACCGAACATCCCATAAACACGTTATTACAGTAGAATATGATTAGGGACTTGGCGTATAAAAAGAGCGTTATGAGCGTTAGTATTAATTAATGCTTTACTTACAAAATAGTCTTAAGATTTAATCCTAAACTCTAACCTTAACCATAAATTAGTCAAAATAGACCCCCAAGCCTTGAAAACTAAACGGCCAGCTTTAAATCTATGACCCTACCTCCTAAAACCCAATCCTTATTCCTAGAGCCGAAACCTTAATTTTAGAATTGAAATGCATTTCTTACGGCGATACCATAATTTATCTTAAAGAAAATTGCACGTAATTATCCTCAAATCTTTTTAATTCCGTTGTTTTAGAAGTTATATAGTGCACTTAACTAGTCAACAAAGCTGGATTAGTTAATTAAATTCGTAAGCCGTTGGATATTAACACTGATGATGACGCACAAACCTATTTCAAAGGATAGATAAACAATTAGATATAAAATAGTAATTTGTTACAGTCGCTGGAGGCACAATAATGCAATTAGTCACTACAAATTGATTAAAATATTATTTTAAATTTAAAATCTTATCACTCGACTCAACTAATGACCAACCATGTCTCCGCATAGACTACATATAGCAAGAATAACAACAACCCCTAACACAGCCTATAGTTTTTTTTTTGGCATAGCAATTTCGAATTGTATAAGATGAATGGATTCTCCTAAGACCTAACCCAAAAAAAAATTGTAACACGAACCATAGAATAGAAAGGGGTTTTTTTTTACAATTCAGGTATTTTGCCGTTAATATCACACTTAAAAGATAGGAAATGAAGTGAAAAAAACATTGAATTTTTAATGAAGTTTTTTAATTCCTTTAAATCAAAGTCGTTGTTTTTGATAAGCACATGTAACACAACGATAAGCACTACTCATCAAAATTGTTAGAGAGAATAAGAAAACAGAAAGAAATAATATTTAAAAAACAACAAAAATTTTAAAAAGAGAGAGAGAGAGTGGGAATCAGGTGGTATCTAGTTCAGGCTTGTTCTCTTTGATAGCTAGCTCTTATTCACATCCACCCTCACCCACGAACCTTCGCTTCTTCTTCTTACATAAACTCATCTCATTCCCACCGTTTCCAAAAGAGACATTTTCCCAAAAATAAAAAGAAGAAATTTTGATGTAAAAAAGATTATTTTTTTTGTTGAATCTGTGGGGAAGAAAAGATTGGGTTCAACGGATTGATATCATCATAATTGTCAAAATGACGGAGGTTTCGTGTTGTCTATTGAATCCGTCAATCTCTTCTTCTCCATTCATTGTTGCTTATCTCAAAAGGTATTTTCTGGGCTCCATTTCTTCGGATTCTTAGGCTTCTTTCTCAAATCTGTTTTTTTTCTTCTTTGTTGTTTATTCTGATACTTGGATGTAACTGGAAAAAAAAAAGGAAAGGGAAGATTTTTTAATTCGATGTATATTTCTCGGATGGGTTTGAGTCGGAGTTTCCCGCCGCTTTTTGGGGGATTTCGGGAAATTCTAGGGTTAGGGTTGGATATTGTGTTTCTCTAGCGTCTTCGCTTATATATCTCTTCCTTCTTGGTCGAGATTGAAAAGAGAGGGCCTTTTTCTTTTCTGGAATAGGGAGGATATTGGATCTCGATTTGGTTTCATGGCTAATTGGGAGATCTGGGATTTGGGAGATTGACGACAGCTGAATTTAAGAGAAAGTATATAGATTTAAGCAGACTCAGAGATTCGATTCGTCGATCTTGCTTTCATTTGTGAGATGAAAGGCTCGATTCTCACGGTCTTGTCAATGGAGAATCACCATCCTTCAACGCTCTTATCCATGGATTCTAGTGGCTCCTCTCACGAAGAACTTGATCTGGAGATGAACAATGGTAATCGGCAAATCACGCTTTACAATCCACCAGACATCAATCTGCCTTTGTCCGTAGGACGAAGCTCTCCATCGTGGAACTTGGATTCTTGTGATAACATCTTGGATGTTGGTCTTAGCTCACTTGTCTACGAGACAGAGACGTTCCTCAACGTGGTCCCAAGTAAAGTCACTAGAAAATGCTTGAAACGAGGAGATAGCATGTGGGGAGCTTGGTTTTTCTTCAGCTTTTACTTCAGGCCGGCGCTCAACGATAAATCCAAGTCTAAGGTCATAAGGGAAACCAGTGGAGGAGGATGTTTTACAGGGTTTGATAAATCTGATCTCAAGCTCGATGTTTTTCTTGTTCAGCATGACATGGAGAACATGTATATGTGGGCTTTCAAGGATAAACCCGAGAATGCTCTCGGGAAAATGCAGCTCAGAAGCTATATGAACGGGCATTCTCGTCAAGGAGAGCGTCCGTTTCCGTTTAGCGCCGAGAAAGGGTTTGTTCGGTCTCACAGGATGCAGAGGAAGCATTACAGGGGACTCTCTAATCCTCAATGTCTTCACGGGATCGAGTTTGTGCCTTCTCCGAGTTTGTTGTGTGTCAGTGAAGAAGATAAGAAGAGATGGATGGAGCTAACGGGTCGAGATTTGAAGTTCACTATCCCTCCTGATGCTAGCGATTTCGGTTCTTGGAGAAATCTTCCCAACACAGATTTTGAGCTCGAGAGACCGCCTCATGTTGCAAAACCGGCGTCAAATAACGCCAAGAAGATCCTCAACGGCTCGGGATTGCATTTGACAAGCAACGCTTCTTTTAGTAGCAATGGGGACTCATCAGATCAATCTCCAGGAGGTGGTGGAGGCAACAACAACAACAACAATAAGAAGAGGAAAGAGTTTTTATCCCCTGGAAGCAGCGAAGAAGAATGTTGCTTGACTGTTAACAACATCGAGGCCAAGGACCCGCCCGGTTGGGTAAACGACTTCACTGGAGTGATGAAAAATGTTCACGGGCCAGCGACTGCAGCTAAAACTATCTACGAGGACGAAGAAGCTTACCTGGTCATAATAACTCTACCATTTGTGGATTTGAACACCGTGAAGGTTTCATGGAGGAACAATATCACGAATGGGATTGTCAAGGTCACGGGATCAAGCACGTCGCGGGCTCCGTTGGTAAAGAGACGGGACCGGACTTTCAAGCTGGTTGATCAGACGGCTGAGCATTGTCCTCCAGGGGAATTCATGAGGGAGATACAGTTGCCAAATCGGATTCCGGAAGAAGCAAACATTGAAGCTTACTTTGATGGGACGGGACCAGTTTTGGAAATTCTGGTGCCGAAATTGAGAGGAGGAGTAGAGGAAGAACACGAGGTTAGAGTTTGTCTACGGCCACACCACCTCGGAGGAGCCGGCGAGCTTACGTTGACGTGATGGAAGACAGGTTTTAATTATGAATTTGTTAGAAGCATTGTGTACAATGGGAAATAAGCAAAAGCAGAAGTGCAATTTTAAGTGTTAACTTTTTCACCATTTCTTTTCTTTCTTCTTTTGGTCTTAGTGTAACTTTTGCACTTTTTTTTTTTTGTCTTCGGTTGCAAATTATATATTTGCATTTTAACTCGGAAGTAGTATGAATAATTAGTGATTGTCAGTAGCATTATGTTTGTTTTTTTTCAACACAAGCATTATGTTTTCAAACTAGTAAAGGTTGCTTACTTTCTAATTTTTACTCGCAGTGCAAATTCAATTATATAAAGGCTTTTGTCCAATTCAATTATATACTATCTGCGTGTGGAAAAAATTGTAGAAGAATATCCAACGGCACACCTACTTGGCCCATTTTCATATTCGTATGTGAAACGGATATTTACTGTATACCATCTTTTTTTTTTTTTTTTTTTACTTGCTTTGTGTGCTTAGTTTGTCCCGTAACTAGTTCTTTAGCCCCATCATCAATTTTTCAGAAAAAAAAAAATTGATATACATTTAGGTCAAATCTGATTTCCAGAAGCAGTCGAAGAACTTAAAAGGTAGAAATCAAGATGAAAAAGCCAAATAAATTAACAAAATAAGGAGGAAGCGCTCAAAAGGTTTTACTTAACCGACATTATAGATGAAAAAGATCACCCTGAGTTTCAAAAAAGGTTCTAAAAATAATAAACGCAAAATGGGCCCAGTAAACGGCCCAACATAAAAAGTTCTTAGGATTCAAAATAAGGCAAATAGAGATAAAAGGATAGGAGAAAGAGAGAAGTCAACGATCGACAGATTAGTCGACCTCCTCAATCTTGGGACCAGCACCGCCTGAAGAAGGAGGGGCATCATCGTCCATTCCGGCGGCACCAGGACCTCCGGCTTCACCGCCAGCTCCTTGGTACATCTTGGCAATGATTGGGTTGCAGATGCTCTCCAATTCCTTCATCTTGTCTTCGAACTCATCAGCCTCAGCCAACTGGTTACCCTCGAGCCACTGGATCGCCTGCTCAATCGAGTCCTCGATCTTCTTCTTGTCTGCAGCCGGAAGCTTCTCACCAATCTTCTCGTCCTGGATGGTGTTCCTCATGTTGTAGGCGTAGTTCTCAAGAGCATTCTTGGCTTCAACCTTCTTCTTGTGCTCCTCATCCTCAGACTTGTACTTCTCAGCCTCCTGGACCATCTTCTCGATCTCATCCTTGGACAAGCGACCCTTGTCGTTGGTGATGGTAATCTTGTTCTTCTGGCCGGTGGTCTTGTCCTCGGCAGAGACGTTGAGGATACCGTTAGCATCGATGTCGAAGCAGACAGTGATCTGAGGGACACCACGTGGGGCCGGAGGGATTCCAGAGAGCTCGAACTTACCCAGAAGGTTGTTGTCCTTGGTTCTTGCCCTCTCTCCTTCGTACACTTGGATCAGCACACCGGGTTGGTTGTCTGAGTAGGTGGAGAAGACCTGCTCCTTCTTGGTTGGGATGGTGGTGTTTCTCGGGATAAGGGTGGTCATGACACCACCGGCGGTTTCAAGACCAAGTGAGAGAGGAGTGACATCGAGCAACAGAAGATCTTGGACCTTCTCATTTCCTTCACCACTGAGAATAGCGCCCTGGACGGCTGCACCGTAAGCAACGGCCTCATCGGGGTTGATAGATTTGCAAAGTTCCTTGCCATTGAAGAAGTCTTGGAGCAATTGCTGAACCTTGGGGATACGGGTGGAACCACCAACAAGAACAACATCGTGGACGGTGCTCTTGTCCATCTTAGCATCACGGAGACACTTTTCGACTGGCTCCATACACTTTCTGAAGAGGTCCATGTTGAGCTCCTCAAATCTAGCACGGGTGATAGTGGAGTAGAAGTCGATGCCCTCGTACAGAGAGTCAATCTCGATGGTTGTTTGAGCAGTGGAGGAAAGAGTCCTCTTCGCTCTCTCACAAGCAGTTCTCAATCTCCTAAGAGCTCTTGGATTACCAGTAATGTCCTTCTTGCTCTTCCTCTTGAATTCCTGAACAAAGTGGTTGACCATTCTGTTGTCGAAATCTTCTCCACCAAGATGGGTGTCTCCAGCTGTTGCCTTGACTTCGAAGATACCTTCCTCAATGGTAAGAAGGGAGACATCAAAAGTACCACCACCAAGATCGAAGATCAACACGTTCTTCTCTCCAACGCTGGTCGCCTTTTTGTCAAGACCGTAGGCAATAGCTGCAGCGGTCGGCTCGTTGATGATACGCATGACGTTCAAACCAGCAATAACTCCGGCGTCCTTAGTTGCCTGACGCTGAGAGTCGTTGAAGTAAGCTGGAACGGTGACAACGGCGTTCTTGATGGAAACACCAAGGTAAGCCTCGGCAATCTCTCGCATCTTGATAAGAACCATAGAGGAGATCTCTTCAGCAGCGAACTGCTTCTCTTCACCCTTGTAGTTGACGATGATCATTGGCTTGTCGGCAGGTCCTGGGATAATCTTGAATGGCCACAACTTCATGTCGCTTTGGACAGAGCTGTCACTGAATCGGCGACCGATCAACCTCTTAGCATCTGCCATAGCAAAAATAAACCATATTAAGTAATAATCATAAACAAACACAAGATTCGGAACATAATCATAAACAAGCACAAGATTCGAAACATAATCATTAAGCAAGCAATCAAGATTCGAAACATAATCATTAAGCAAGCAACCAAAATTTTCCAGTGACATCTCTAAATCATCGCGAGTTATGTTAACAGATTTCAAAAATCAATTGCACTAACAAGTAAAAGTTCGAAGTAACAAGTATTAATGGATCTAAACTACAAACGTTCCATGATGCAATCAAAAGCTATTATTAGCTCAATAGAAAGGAAACGAGAAAAACCAATTCAAATAACTAAACAAGAACTATGTGAAACAGGATCTATGTGAAAAAAATTCATAACCAGCCAGATCTAGTGATTGAAACCCTACACACAACTTACTTTATTGTTTTCAAAACCTAGGATCCAAATACAACGAACCTAAGATGAACGAGATCTAGATTCAAAAATTGAAAAACAAGGAAAACGAGATACGTACCGAAGACGGTGTTAATAGGGTTCATGGCGACCTGGTTCTTAGCTGCATCACCGATCAACCTCTCGGAGTCGGTGAAAGCGACGTAAGACGGCGTGGTCCTGTTTCCTTGATCATTAGCAATGATCTCAACACGGTCGTGTTGCCAAACTCCGACGCAAGAGTAAGTAGTACCGAGATCGATTCCGATCGCTGGACCTTCTCCTTTACCCGACATTTTTATCGGAAAGATTTAAACTACAAGAGATCAAAGAACAGAGACCGAATAAAAGAGAACGAAGAAAGAATAAACGGCGGCTAGGGTTGTTTTTCGTAAGCAACTATGTAGAAGAGATTTGTTTATATAGACTTGGGGCTTGAGGCTCGGGTTTGATCGGACGGTCTAAAACTGATTATTCAGAGCTCAGATCTAAGGCGCCAGGCTGTTTAAAAAGATCGAGAATGTTCGATGACTGTGAGGCAAAACCCTAATTTGTACACGTTGGCGTTTCATTGCGTTTTGATTGGATTGTGACGTACCTATAGCTTACAGTGTAGGAGCGTCTTTTCTCCATCTTCCACGTGCAAGTGGTGTTATACGATGATCTTCCTAAATATGCGGATCATAATTTTCCTTATTTGAAGATGGTAATTAGAAGATTTCGGTGAGATATTGTTTCCTTTTTTTCGTTAAGAAAAAAATGCATTTTTCGCATTTGTAAAAAGTATATTAAATACATTTTCAAGGTAAATTTCTTACATTTATATGACTATAATCAATTTCGGGTCAGAATATAAACTTAATCTAAACCACATAATATTATTGATTTTTTTCACTGGTCAAATAATTGGAGATTGAACCGGGCTTTGTGGTTAAGGATAGATTTACAAATACAAAACAGTAAAACACCTACATTAACGAACTATGGTTGCCGCGAATGGTCTTGTGCATTTAAATATTTCTTCAGCCATTAGCCATTACTACTTCTCTTTTCACTGTGTTGGGTCTCATTAATCCGGTGAGTATGAAGTTTCTAACTTATACGATAAGAAGCTAAAGAATAACTCACGCATTAAAATAGGTGGCAGACAAAATAAGAGTGCCACTTTGGACTCTAAGAATATGGAGATTTTGTAGGAATAGATGCCTCTGGCACACAAGATTTGCATCCATCAAATCTCTTTTCTTTTTACTGAACAATAGTCAAAGCAATAAAGAGGTTAATTACATAAGGCCGAGACAGAGCCTAGAATCTGGTTATCCCACACTTACAACCAGCTTTTAAGATTATTTTCTCAGACTTTGTCTCTATCTTTTGATGACTTCTTAAACCTATCGAAAGTTCTACTTACAACAAGCCACATGACATCATCACAACCGAATTCCAAGAAAAACTTCACTCTTTCAGTGAGTCTAAGCTATATTAAGGATACCATCTCAACCCTGCACTGATGCAAATTGATGCACTAGACAATAAGTATCACAAACAGAGGCAATTCAAACAGCCTAAATCTGGAGATTTACCAAAGCAAGAATGCGTATGCACAATAGCACATAACATCATGCAAAAAAGCTTTGAATGTACATAAGCTAATGTGAAAAACAAATAAATCGGTAAATAGAATAACTCTCCTTTATGAATTGTTAAAGCGACCAAGCCAGAGAGAAGACCTGCGGATAAAAGCTATATGCTATAAACACGTCACTTGCATGATGAAAGCACTACGAAAACAAGTCTTTATCTATTCAAAACGACATTGTCAAAATACATTACTGACGAAGCAACTCGACCTACGGATGCTAAAGACATCTTGATTCCGATACATGTAACTGTTTAGTAGAACTAACAAAGAAAAAAACTCGTTTTCATTCGAATTTTTGGTCTGCCACGACGAAATGGTAAGCAATCACCAGTATGAAGATGAAAATCCCAAGAAAATTGGCAAAGAAGCCGAGGTCTTGGTCGTCAAACATCTGTAACATCACAACAATTAACAATAAGAGAATGAAAGAAGCAAGAGATTAGACAAACCTTGTAAAAAAATCACCCACAAATCTACACTTTCACGACATTAGTAACATTATTTTCTATATCAATTGAAAATCAGAACTGACAATTTATACAAAATACTTCACAAAAATGAGGGTTATAAGTCAGGATGAATCCACAACTAGCTTATATAGCAAAACAGAGATAGAGAATTAAAACAGCGACGAAATAAAAACGGAATGCGGACTTTTCAGAAAACGGGATCGAGAGTACGAAATCCAGTTGGAATGAGTTGTGTAATAAAAAACATCAACCTGGGAATACAAACGATTTCATTGAATCTAATAGCAGTGAGGCTAAGAACGACTCTCGTTAGATCTCTACGTACGTACCCCAGGAAATAGAATGATGCCTAAGATCCACAAGTTCCTAACTATCTTTTTTTTTTTTTTTTTTTTTGACCTCAACAAGTTCCTAACTATCTAAAGAAGAAATATTTGAGGGAAAGACAAAAAATTTCAAATGTAAATGTCTGAGCCTATTTTTTACCTTCGAAAGCGTAAAGACAGACTTTCCTCTTTGATTATTCCCTCTCGAGTTCTACGAAGCAGATCGTAAAAAAAACAGAGAAAAAAATACTTCTGGTTAAAGAGAAGGTTGACACAAACCGCCGTCGTTTCACGAGTGAAAAGATCAAAATAGTTACGACGTCGTTCGATCGAAATACAAAAAGTAAAACAATTGTGGCTGCTGGGATTCGAGCCCAGGTCTCCACGGCCACAACGTGGAATTCTCACCACTAAACTACAGCCACTTTGATGATTTATTGGCAATTTAGCTTTATATTTAAAAATCGCTCTAGTTGTTTCGTCCTCTTAAGTAACCGGTCCCCTCGACCGGATCACATTTTCGGCGCAAAGGTTAGTAGCATCTCCCCGCCAAAGCATTTTCATTCCCGTATGATAGAAACAGTTAAACCCTAACTTTTCCGATTTCGGAAGTAAATCTCGGATAATCTCTCTATTGGGAAAGTTTTCTGCTCCATGGCTGACCATCGGGAACCTAATTCCGACGGCGATTCCTCGTCTTTCCAGAGAACGGTGAGTGCGAGTGGGCTTTTAATGCATTTCCTCAGTGTTCGATTCGATCAGTTTGCTTGACCTCGTTATTTCTTCTGGGTTTATGTGAAGGTTTTCCTGGGAGATTGGTGGTTGATAAAATGTTCAAAGGAATTTGAGGGGAAACGATTTGGTGTTGCTGGATACGAGATAGCAGCTTCCGTCGAGTAAGAGACATTGATGGACTTTTCGAGTTTTTCATTTTCCCGAGATTAGCTTTATATTTTCGATTTCGTTTAATGGTTTCCTTATTAGGACACGAGCAATGCGTGTGTTTACATCTTCCCCAATCATCAAAGCCTTTGACGTTTTCACACTCCAAGCATCTGATGGAACCTGCATCACCCTCCGAGGATTTCTTAACAAAGAACGCGTTGTAAAAAGTGGGTTTCTCCCTGAGGTAATCTTCTTCTTCGAGCTAATTAAGACTTAAAAAAAAAAAATGTATCAAAAGCCAATTAGTGACTTGATTTGATTGTTTGTTTCTCTTTTCGCGCTGTGGTCTTTTCTTGATAGTAGATTTCCCGTGAGTTCATCTTCGGGTTTCCTCCTTGCTGGGAACAAATTTGTAACAATTGCTTTGGAGGAGTGCATTTAGGTACTGATATCAATAATGCCTCTTCGCTAATTGATAAAGGTTAGGACTTAGGACTTGAAGCAACATCTTTTCTGTGTTTTTTTCTGATGCATCCTTGTTTATAATGACCGTTCTCTTATGATTTTACTTGTGCAGCTTGTTCTCCCGTTTTATCACCATGTAAGAACTCGAAAGGGAATCTAGAGGATAGTCGGGTGGAGACCAGAGCTAAAAGCACTGTGACTGAGAAGAACACTACAGTGATCAACGATAAAGATGGTCACAGTGACGGTTCTATAGCAAGATATACAAAATCTGCGAGGAAAAAGTCTCTTCGTCTGCAATCCAAACCTGGTGGAAAAAGTGCAGAGGAAGAAAGGGAACTTGAATTGAGTAAAATTCAGAATACTACTAATGATAGAGATCATGGTAGTGAAGGCTTGAATAAAGCTAAGAGCCGTGATGTAGAAAAAGATGAATTCGAAGCTACAGGTAATGAAGGCAGTGAAGCGAAACTCGATGAGAGTAAAGTCCAGAATCGTACTAATGATGGAGATCATCATGGTAGTGGAGGTTTAGATAAGGCTAAGAGCAGTGATGTAGAAAAATATGAAGGCGAGGTTATCAATAATGAAGTGATATCCTCAGCGGATGGATGTGGTAATAAGCATGCCTGTGCAGATAATGTTGATAAAGTAACAAGTATGAGTGCTACTGGAGAATCACTGACTTCAGAACAGGGAAACGGTGAACTTAAGGTAACAAGAGCATCCCCACAATCCCTGTTTGAGGACTTAGATAAAAGTAGGAAACCTGCAAAGAAAAGTCGCAAGACCCTCAAAAGTGACGGCAATGTAGTAGAGGATGTGAATCATTCTGGGACCAAAGTCAAAAGTGCAAAGAACAAAAGGAAATTGGATGTGAGTAAAGGCCAGCATCCTACTACTAGTAGTGAAGGTTTGAATAAGGCCAAGGGCAATGACGTAGAAAAAGATGAAGGCACGGCTATCAATAATGAAGTGGTATCACCAGTGGATGGATATGGTAGGCATTCTGGTACAGATAGCAAAAAATTAACAAGTGAGAATGCTACAAAAGAATCACTGACTTCAGAACAGCAAAAAGGTAAACTGAATGTGACAAAAACATCTCTACATTCCATGTCAAAAGACTTAAATAATAGTAGCAAGCCTGGAAAGAGAGGAAAATCAAAGAACCTTAAAGGTGACTGGAATGTAGTAGAGCCTATGAATCATACAGGGTCTAAGGTTAAAGAAGCTGAAGAAAACTTGTCAGGGGGAAAAACAAACAGGAAGATCGACTTTGATGAGGAGGTAACTACGTTTCCTTTGGTCATAATCTCACACTCTGGTTAATCATTATTCAAATATGAATCATTATGATCCCTTAAAACCAATAATCCTATGATATTCATGTTGTTGATTTATAAGTAGTTAATGCCTCCAATCTTATGTAATGTGAAGGTAACACCGGATAAAGAAGTGAAGAGGCAGAAGACCAATGCAGTGTCTGCTGATTCAGTTGGACAGAAACGGTCAAGATCAGGTTAATTGATAGAGAGTACAACTTCTTTAGTTTTAAAGGCTCTTCAGTTGAGAGCATTCATTAAAAAAATACGGGTTTTGTTAATTTTGCAGGAAGGGTGCTTGTGTCTTCGCTAGAGTATTGGCGCAACCAAATTCCTGTTTATGATATGGTTTGTGATTTGATTTTTGAATAACACTAACTTCACTAACTATGAGAAGACAGTCTCAACATTTTCTGTTCCCGGTTTGCAGGATCGAAATCTTATCCAAGTGAACGAAGGTCATGATGAGACCAGCTCCACTCCATCTAAAGGTTATTTCTTCTTTAAAGCTATTTTTCTTGAAGGGCCTCTAATACAATTTTTTTTTTGTCTTTCTTCTTGATGGCAGGAAAAGGATCGGATTCTCGAAGAAGTTGAAAATCACATTAAAAACTGACATCTACTTGGTAGATACTAATTCGGGTTTATGGTGGCCTCTGACCCTGTAATCATCTTAGGCTTATTAGCGGTGGCTCGTTCAATCTTTTGGCATTTGGAACTATGTAATATTTGTTTTGGTTGATATTTCGTTCCACCAATTTCTCAACTTGAAGAAAAAGTACATTATAAAGAGGGCCTGGCTTGCTTTTCTATTGATTAATTTCAATGAACCACCAAACTCGATAGGTTGGACCAACCACAACCACACATTACAGAATCTTAGATAAAATGTGTGGCAGAGAGAGAGATTCATCTTCATCACACTACTACATGGTTCCGACCCAAATCTCTGGAGAACTCACAGGTTTGCCCACAAATAAACCAATCCGCTTTTCTGCATCAAATTATTCTGAATTTCGTAATTAAATGGAAGAAATAATGGTTTCTTCTCTCTCATCCAATTATAGTTCATTCAGATGCACTTGCAAAAGACTCTTACTGAATATTTGAGGGATTGATTCTGGTGAAGTTCACCAACACAAGCAACTATCAAGTTTTATTTTCAACGTATAAACACTAGCAAGGCACAGTAGATGGAATTGTGTTTTGAAGAAACACTTTAGAAGAGTTTGAGTTCCACGGTACACACAATGCTTGTTTCTCTGAACTCAACTGTAAAAGCTAAAACGCTCACAAAGAGAGAAAAAAAAATAGCTAAACCTCGAATCGAAAATGTCAGACCCAATGACATTAATCAAAAGATCATACTCATACATAAGCATATCATGCACTAAAGGAAAACGTTGTAGCTCCTTTTTAACTTGTTTCCATTGCCTCTTTGTGATACTTGTCCAATTCAGCATCAAGATCCTCTGCAGATACCTTCTCATCACGTCCTCTTCCACTGCCACGACCACCACCTCCTCTAGCTCCCCTACCACCTCGGAAATTACCACCGCCAAAACCACCACGAGGCCGCCCCATAAAACCGCCTCTTCCTCTTCCTCTGTTGCATATCAAGTTTTACAAAAAATTTAATAGGACTAAAAGGGTTCAAGGTATCAACCTATCAAAATCTACTTAGCTGACTCCAGTCTAACTAAAAGTTATATCATTTACGAATTCATAACAGCACAAACCTGAAGTTTCCATTGAAGTTCCCATTGAAGTTGCCATTGTAGTTCTCATTAAAGTTACCAAGTATACCATTTGCAGGAAAAGGTATATGAGCTGGAGCAAGAAGCGGAGGAGTTGGAGCTGAAAGATTAGTTCCAACAATCTCTATCTTCATCAGCTTTCCATCCAATTGAACATTGTTGTAACGCTTGACAGCCGCCAAGGCATCCCCACGCCGCGAGAAAACAACCTCAGCAGTACCCTGTGAAAGCAGAGCATCGGTTTTTACGTTTGATCAGGACAAGTCGATTTCATAGCAAGTCTCTGAAGCAGTAGAAAGCAAGTACCTTCGATCTTCCACTCCTATCATAGTGAATCCCATATCGCTTAAGGTCACCAACCTCTGAGAAGAGCTCCTAAACACAAAACCAGCTCTAGATAAGAAAAATGGCTTCTCCTAACTAAGGCGCACGAATAATGAAATGAAATTTTGAGGCAAAACCTTGATGTCCTCGTTGGAGACACCATAATCTAAGTTGGAAATGTAGAGCTTCGTTCCAGTCTCGATCGACGAGCCGCCGATGCCTGCTGACTGATGCCCAAACGCCGCCGCCACACTCGCATCAGTAGCGAAAACGTCGTTCTGCCACATCGCGTCTTGAGCTTGTTGTTGAACCGGCTGTTTGTTCGTCAAAGAAAACAGATCTCTTAAGGAAAGGAATTCTCTGATCTGGAAGGAAGAAGTTAAGGAGATTAAGAAAATCAATCGCTGACCCTTGAATATGGCGCCGCTCTGTTTCCAACACGGTTAGCGAATCGGCGAGACGGACCGGAGCCGGGACCGGAACCGCCGAATCCGCGACCACCGCTACTTGAACCACCGACGCCTCGGCCACGAGATCCCGCAGGTCTTCGATTAGATTTGATGATATCATCAAGTGACATATCCAAGCCACCTGCCATCTTCGCCGGAGAATTCTCTGTTTCCGAGATTGAGGAGGAAGAAGAAAGCAGCTAGGGTTTCGTTGCGGTGACAAGGAAAACAACGTTCCGAGATAGAAAGAGATGCTGTTAAAATCTTCCCAGGGAGAATTACCATAAAAGCCTCGCACTTTCAGTACATATCAATTTGTTGCCCTAAACTCTTACTTTTGTCTAAAGAGAACCTTGGGTTTTGAATGGGCCTATTGGAATCATAAATATGGGCCACGTACACCACTCTTCCGGTTCTCTCTCGGTCAATGGTAATTGACTATGACTCTCACTTTACAAAGAAAACAATTATAAGAAGGAAAACAAAAATCAACAATGCCATTGTTACAATAGCAACAAAAATCATCAATTATTCCCAACTCGAAAAACTTATCGGCAATGTTGCTTAATAATTGCACAATCAATATATTATACTTGAAAATGAATTGAATACTAAATCATGAAATTGGCTTCTCCACATTCAACTATGGTTCATCATAACTTTAAAATCAATGAATTATCAAAACCCAACATGACGGCCTTAAACTTGTTTCGCCGCAGTAAAATATTCAGTAGACTATAGATTACACTTATGCTGATTATTTTCTCTTCCCGGATATTGTTTTTTTTTTTTAATTAATTCTACGTTTTAGACTTAATAAAATATCAGTTATTAATACCCAAAAAGACTATACTTAAGATTTTTTTATATATATTTTAGAGAATTGGCTAACGTAAATTGAAATTATGTGCTGCCACGCTTACTTCTGGCATTTGGGTAAAAGAAAGTAAGAGATCCTTTTGACTTCTTTTTCATGGGCTTGCTGGAGTCATAAATATTAATGGTTCATATACGGGACCCCTATCATCCGTTTAAATGTATCCAACGTATATACACTTGTTTAGGGATGTACCTTTTTTTCTCAGGCCATGCATTGTCGAAGTCAAAGTTGTACGTACAAGCCATGTAAACCACACGCACTACCTGTATGGGCATTGGGCACTGTATGTAATACAGTATCAGTTCAGGACATACATATACATATTAGTATTAATATGTTGGCAACAAACATTTTGTTCTCCCTTTTTGGCAAACCCATTTTTGCGTCGCTATTTTATGAAACGATCTTAATGTTAATTAATGATCAAATCAAAGATAGAATAATAATCATGATAAAAGTATGTAGATTGAAAACGAATAAGGACGTAACAGCTATATCAATACCGAACATGAACCTACATGTTTTGATTCGTTATAATATAATAATATCACTAGTTATCTTTTCCTTTTTGCTACAACTGTAAATATCATTTATACTGGAAGTTAGATTTTATAATAAGCATAATCTAAGATCTGTACTACCTAGGCAAAAAAGAATTAAAAAAACAAAGAAATATTACTTTTGGGTAAAATACAAGAGTGTTCATAATAACATTAAATTTTTTGAAATTGTCTTCTAGATATACCTCCTCGTCGTTATTTTGTTGCGGATTTCTCAGTCAATACTCTTGTAGATGGCAAGTGGAGAGCGAAACCGGGTTGTGCAGTACATTATTCCTCTGCTTCCATAGATGAAAGATTGTACCATGGACCGCAAGCTTACTAGTTATCTTGTTCAGTAGATAATGTTAATTAGTTGAAAATAAGGAACTATGTAAAGTAAATATTATTAGCGGTCTCACGTGGTCACATCACTTCCCTATGCCATGACCCATGAGCCGGACGTCATGTGCCAGTTGCCGCTGAAAACAATAAATGCCTTCACTATTCTATTCATATTCGACAATCTTAACAGGTTACAAGATCTAGCGATATACCAGCTACTGTATGTTCATTTTTTTTTATACGAAGCGGTAATAAATGTTGGTTGGTCCATTCGAGTCGTTAGCCATCAGGTTTGTTACGTTGCAGGACAAACAAAATAATTCTTTGTTGTTATCCGGTTCGTGAGGACTACAATTTGCATGCTTAGCGGTTGCCACTGCTAGCTGCGTTTTTCTTTTTCATAGCGAAAGTCGGTCAACTAAATAGAAACAAAATACCGTTTCAATCAAAATTCTGTTTGATATACATATATATATGCATTGTGTGTGAGTGTGAGAGACATAAAAAAAGCTCGAACAAGTTAAAATCTTAGGTTCACGACAAGTATCAAATATTGATTTAGTACACAAATATTCCTGAATAAATCAAACTTTCAGTAAATTCCCTGTTTTACATCATACTGATATACTGAAAAGAAAAGGAAAGAGCTATATTGCATTGAATAATAAATACAGTATGACACTAATCTCGATAGTGGTGTGTGCTCTTGTGTAAATCTACCACCCAACTGTCATTTTTTTGTTTTCGCCAATTGGGCCAAAGTAATTAATTCTACCTAACGATGTCATTATCAGGCTTTCAGCAATCAATTTTTGGGAAGGCAAGGAAAATAAATAAATGCAAATCTCATAGTTGGATTCGCTGAACTTGGAAACGGGATGTGTAAGGAACACCTATGAGCACGGAGCGGGCTACGAATTAAATAATACATTCTGTATGGTTAGCTACTTTTAGCTTCATAAATCTCTCTTTTTAACTGCCGGTCTTTCTTTTCTGTTGAACATCGAAAACTCTAATATAATTATTTTTTATTTTTCCTAAAAATTGTGCTTATATTTCGAACAGTTTGCTTTGTTTGAAAAGAGATTACTCACGTAATATGTGCATGGTCTTTATTTCGTTTAAAAATATCAAAGAAACAATTTTGAGACAGTTAGACATAAATGGTTTAAATCAATTTTACTCGATTTTTTTTTAACTTCTTTATGTATATTTTTTTTTTGATATAGTTCCAAACATCCTCGTTTGTGTCATTCTCTACACGAAGAAACCAGTCCAATTTAATTTGATTTTTTATTGGTTTAGAAGGTAAAATGAAGTCATCGGTTTAGTTGCATAACCTACCTATAATTGTAAGAATATAAAATAAAATTAATAAGATGGTAGCTAAAAAGAAATTCGTCTATATAATTAGGAGGGATTTGGGTAAGTGGTAACACACTCACTAGAAACATGTGAAGAAAGAAGGATGTCAAGTAGCTGAACGCTTGTATAGTAGCCAACGGCTTCTCACCAACCCTTCATTAATAATTTGGTCAACTCGATTTTGTTTCAACATTTAGTTATTCAATACCCGTTTAGTCACCTTAAAAAATGGGATTAATCATCAATTCCCAAATGTTACGTTTACTCTGTATTATGTTCAATTTGGGATACAAGAAATATATCAAAATTTGCTGTAGTTTTAGAAAAACGAAGGTCCACTACTACAGTAGTCACACTAATTTATACCAATACAACTCAAGGAAAATTACGAGATAGACATGCTTAATTCTATTTCGAACTATCGACCGCCAAAAATATCAATTTTAAAATAATATATCAAATATTGGTGTGGATGGGTTATGATATTATGGAGTATTTACTACTATTCATAGATCCATTCACGTAATAATGACGATGAAACTAGAAGGCACGAAAAAAAAAAAAGGCATTAATGAAAGTCTTTGCCACTTATAAATACGATTCTCTCATAGTACTACATTATTCTCTCAAAACATCTCTTCTTGTTCTTCTTTTTTTGTCTCTTTCTCTCTCTTTCATATTGGTTCTTGAGAGGCATATCAGTGAATATCATTAAAAAAGAAGAGGCCAATCTAGGAAAAATGGGACTATATTCACTGATCACAGGGAGAAGGGGACCAAGTGGGTTTGGTTCAGCTTCAACAGCTGAAGAGGTTACTCAAGGGATTGATGCAACTCATCTCACTGCAATCATCACAGGTACATACATGTATATATCAATGCCGTCGTATAATGGATATGTCATATTCAAAACATATAATGCAAAATTATATAACTGATTCTGAAATGATATGTGATTAGGAGGGACAGGAGGGATAGGGATGGAGACAGCGAGGGTGATGGCGAAGAGAGGAGCTCATGTGGTGATCGGTGCCCGAAACATTGGAGCTTCAGAAAACGCCAAAACTGAGATCCTCAGACAAAACCCAAACGCACGTGTCACCCTGCTCCACTTAGATCTCTCTTCTTTCAAATCCATCAAAGCCTTCGTTCGTGACTTTCATGCCCTCCACCTTCCTCTCAATCTCCTCATGTACACTCTCTCTCTCTCTCTCTCTGATCACCTTTTCAAAGCGTTTGGAACGCCATTTTTAGCGTTTGGATCATTGATTTCTCGACAGAATGGTATCCACGCTAACAGTTGTTTTTGTTACCATTCATCTGTTCTTATTGTCAGTTAAAAAAAAATGACTAACATTACATCACCCAACATTTTTTATAAGGTCAACTTCTATTTTTTTTTTATGTCTAAGGTTAGATATCCGTTAACATCAAAAAACGCTGAACATTTAACTGCTGTTAATGTTGCCATTGTTATTTCAGTGTGGTACCATTTAACTTCTACAGTATTAATATTTATTAATGTTGCTATTTCAATGAGGTAACATTAGGGGACCATTATTAATCATAAACCCAGAAAACACGAGGAGAACCCCCATAGACGCCCAGACCCCAGCAGACCAGTGTTAATAGATAGAATAGAATATTTTTTTTTTAACATTAGCTTGTGGATAATGTCTATATAAAGTAAATGTAAAGAGTCTATCGGTGGAAGAAAAAAAAAACTGGATAAAGTTCCTAAAACTCTACCAAGTTTTGTATCGATATAGATAATTAAATTGTACAAATAATGTTGTTTGTAGAAACAACGCAGGAGTAATGTTCTGTCCATACCAACTCTCTGAAGATGGAATCGAATTGCAGTTTGCTACAAATCACATTGGTAAAAAAGTCTTTTTCTTTTTATGTGTACATATAAAGTTAAAAAGCTTTAGTTTTGTGTGTATCAGTCAGAAAATAGACCTAAAATTGAAGTATTTTATCTGTCTGCTTCATAATTGAAATATTAATTGTTGAATTTAACACTACTGTATATAGGTCATTTTCTGTTGACAAACTTGCTCCTAGATACAATGAAGAGCACAGCTAAAACTAGTGGCGTTGAAGGAAGAATTTTGAATCTATCATCTATAGCTCATATCTATACTTACCCAGAGGGAATCCAATTCGACAGCATCAATGACATATGCAGGTAAATCCCATACTTATTTCAAAACTTAGAATAATCTACAACCGTTATAGATGAGCTAGCTTTACACATTGCATCTCACAATTCTTCTTTCAGTTACTCGGATAAAAGAGCTTATGGACAATCGAAACTAGCCAATATATTGCACGCGAATGAGCTCTCCCGTCAACTTCAGGTCGCCTTCACACACACACACACACACACACACACACACACACTCAAAAATTAACAAATTTATTAAAGTGTTAGTAATTATTAGATGTTGGAGATCACAGATGCATAACATACAAGATAAACTCAAAATCTTGTTGTGACAATGTTTTGTTTGGTAGGAAGAGGGAGTGAACATAACAGTGAATTCAGTTCACCCAGGTCTCATCCTCACCAATCTCTTCCAACACACTGCTGTTTTAATGAGTAAACTTTTTTTCTCTATTTTTTACTTCAGATGATTTCTTTCGTTTTTTTTCACTATTATATATAACTTAAACCCCCAATTTTCACAGGGTTCTTGAAGTTCTTCAGCTTCTACTTGTGGAAAAATATACCTCAGGTACTTATATAGTAGCAGAATCTCAAGACTTAGCCAATTCTGTGTTTTTATGAGTAAGAGAAAAAGATTGTGAAACTCAATGTTATGTTGTGAACAGGGAGCAGCTACAACATGTTATGTTGCTCTGCAACCAAGTCTGAAGGGAGTGACAGGAAAGTACTTTGCAGATTGCAATGAAGTCACTCCAAGCAAACTTGCACGAGATGAGACTCTCGCAGAAAAACTCTGGGATTTCAGCGTTAAGCTCATCAAATCGGTTTCTAAACAGAACTACCTGGGTTTCGAGGACACCAACTAAGATTTTCTTGTTGTTACTCTAAAGAGATGAAAAAAGCAAAGAATGTGTGAGATTACCTTGTTTCCAAGTCATTTTATCGAGTGAATATGTAACCGTGTTTATCTTCTTATAGTATTGAACAACAACAAAAAAATTGGTTGTTCATCACTTGATTATTCCATGATGACCACCATAAAAAGCTAAAAACAGAGAAAGAGAAGAGTGAAACATACATTACAAAGAAGAGCATGCATGACTATAAACGTTGCCTGAAAGCATTAACATATCATTCCTCAAGGCTCAAAGCCCATTAAACAGAGAAACCAAGGAGGCAACCATGGAGCAAACACGTTTAGTTTGTTCCAAAATCCTGATTAATCAAACAACTCGATATCATTATCAACACAAACGAAATTGAGTTTTATCCACTAAGCTTTGATAAGAAAATGCAATTCCCTTAAGAAAGCTTGTAGCTAATCAAACGAGACAACGTTTCAAATGGGCTCCGAAACAAATCTGACGAAATCTAATACCTCTCGACATTTATCAAACAGCGCAACAACGATCGATTACCTCGTCTCGTCGGAGACTCCTCCTTGTCTCGGTGATTCGTCCCAGCGAATCGTGAATTTTACAGTTGTACGGCTCCGGCGACCACCGATCACTATGAGGAAGAAGCTTTTGGTGAAATCAGATTGGGTAATTCGGTTTATGTTGTCTCGGTGCAATCTGGAGTTTGGTTTATTCCGGTTATAACGCAAATGATACGAACTACTAATTAAAGTTTCTGGTTGGGATTTAATTTTTTTTTGGGACCCATTTAGTTTTTTAAAAAATATATCATGTATTTTAACGACATCGTGTAACGGTATTTGTTGGGCCGGGCCCATTATAAAACGTGGCTCCTAGCAGAAGTTCATTCACCACGTGTCTACACGCTATATTATCTTTTGGAAATTATCGACAAATATTTTTGTTTGATAACTCAGGTGTCTTGGTCCCATTGAGGTGGGTCCAGACTAGTTACGTGGACAGCCAAATAGCACTCCACGTGTCGGCTCCTGAGATGCTGCAACCAATATGTGAATTCTGCAGTGATCGAGACTCGAACTCGTGATGGCGGGTACCTCAGCTAAAAATTTTTTACCACCAGAACTAGAAGCTTCGGTTATTGACAAATATTTTATTTCCTTTTTAAAAATTTTGGACAGACTTGACTTCTTTCCAAAGTTGTATAACCAATAAGATTTTTGTTGTAGACATTACTTTTTTGGAAAATTGAGACCGAAATTGACTGAGTTACAACATTTTTTTTGAAAAAAATGAAAAAAAACAATGGAGTCATTTGTTAAAGTTTGTTGTTTCTACTAAATAAACGATATGTAGCCATTATTTTCTATGTAAAAACAATGAAGAAGCCTTTTAACAAAAAAAATTGTTAACAACAAAAAGTTCTGTCGGTATTTGTTAACAAAAACTTTAATGGAGCCTTTAAATAAAAAAACATTAACGCTATGTCGCCATTATTTACTTTTGACATCAATCATCAAAATTTTTTGTAACACCCATAAGTTACATTAATTATCTAGGAAAAAGAAAAATTAACTCAACTTCTTACTGAGTTTGTGGCTTTGATGACTTGGTCTTTTCGCTTTTTCTTTGTTCTCTGACTTTCACCTTTATTCTCTCGTTGGAGATTTAAGAAGATAACTATTGCTGACCATAAAGTAAAGTTTATATTTTCAGTCATAACCATAAATCTTTTTAAATATTAAAACATTCATTGGAAACAGACAAAACGTCAGATCGATGGCAATAGTATTAATGTTAGAAAAAGATTATGTATAGTGTTGTTACTATGCCCCTCTTCCATCTTACAAATTTATTACTTCCTCACAATTTATTTGCTTAATTGTCGTCGGGAATACCGACGGAATCTTCTCCCATGCATTAGCTAGTCTTCTCCCGAGAAATTTGGATCTACTTTAATCATTTTATTTACTTTTCGGTCCTCTTTTTATTTTTTTGACCTAAATACCTAATAATTTGTTTTTGATTGAACTACTATTCTCCGTCTATTGGATTATATAAATAAAAACTGCATTTTATTCATTAATCTTCATTATCCGATATTTATTATTCGTAAACATCAATACTTTGATCGATCTTTAGGGCGACCAAAACCACTGGCCACATGAAAACTGATGGTTACGACAGCTCTGACCTCACTTATATACTGCATTCTGTAAAATATTTATTGACAACGCTATGTTTGCGTGACTGTATTATTGGAATATTTCTTTGCCATATTAAGTTTAACAACCATATTTTTATAATATATATAACTATATATCATGAAATATAGAAAAACTAAACGTAAAACCATTCTGCGCTTTGTGTGTAGATTTTTTTTATTTTCTTTTTTGAACCTTATGTGTAAAGTTTTTTGTAGAAACTAATTTTAAATTATGGCTTGCACTTTGCTTTGGGTCCCATACAGTTAAACTTTTATTAATTAATTTCTATACCATTCTCGTTTGGCATTTACTGTATATGGATGAATGTAACTACATGTAAGGTATCAGAAAGATGCGATTTCGGTCAACACATACCGAACTTATTGCGTAAGAAATAAAAAGAAATATCTGTGTGCGTGCTCAATGGAGACATCAATGAACATTTTGTCTTTTTTTCAACACATCATCTTTTTAAAATTTTTTTTTTTGTGCCCATATTCGAATAGTAATGTTAGTCGAAATATTATATCGTCAGCTTGGAAACCCAGATATATGTTGACTAATCTGGATAAGATAAATAAAAATGATAGAATATTTAAGTATAATGTTTTTAAAAATATTACATCTCAAGTCAGAAAGAAAGGAAAAAGAAGGAGATCATCTTTCTTTCTTTTATTTTTGACATCAAAGAAGAAGATCATCTATACATACGAAATAAGCAATTAACTATAGATTTGACTCTTCGAGTAATTTAAAATATTTCATAATATATAGTAAGTGATTACCAATATTATTGAATTTTGCGTCTATTGATATTTTAAAATTCTTGTTTTCGAACTTCAAAGCTTTTTCATCTTCCAAGTTAGAAGACCCATGAATCTCTCGGTCAATGTCAACCATCACATATAAGATTCTTATAAGTTTTTCAGTGTTCTACTAAATTTTTAAAATTTATACGAAAAAGGAGCTCTCAACTTCAGTTTTGGCTCATTATTATATTTTCGTAGCATTTAGTCCAGCATTTCTATAAACTAAAAATAAAAAAATTCCCCCTGTATTCGTTTACTCATCATCACCAGAAGTCCGAAACAATTAACATTTTTCAATACGCAGTTACGATTGGTCATTATCATACAAGATTAATTAACGAAAGACAAAATTTGTTATTAAGCGAGATTTAAAAAAAGACAGAAGAAGAACAAAAAAAAGGTTTACGCGTTGATTAAAAAGGTTGAAACTTTAATTAAAAACAAAGAGAAAAGCGAAATCAATTAGAAGAGGCATTCCCTTCCTTGCTAGCATTGTCATCATTAATGTTGCTACGGTTTGCCGGAGGAGCCGCCGGAGAAGGCGGAGGGATCTGATGGCGCGGCGGCTGAGAAGGGATGGAGGTGGGAGGATTTGCTGTGAGAGAGATGTCGGAGAGATCGTCGAGGGAGATTGGGAAAACGCTCTGAGACGGTCGTCTCTTGTGTCGGCTTGGTCTCTCCGACATGGTCAGTTACAGATTCAGACAAGAAGGATTAGAAGCAGAGAGAGAGAGAGAGAGAGAGAGAGAGAGAGAGAGTTTGTTGCTGAGTGATGAGATCGGGAGAGAGAGATGGAGGCAGAGTATATATAAAGAGGGTGAAAACAAATGGGTTAGGTAGACGGTGATTATCCGAATTGAGAACATGTATAGGTAAATTCTAGTGTACATATTAAAAATGATAAACGAAAAATTTTCATGAAAATAAAGTAGATTTTATATTTGATACGAATGAAATTATTTACTACAGTGAAATACACGACAATTGTTGGCATCTACTTTATTTTCATGAAAATTTTTCGTTTTTCGTTTTTGTTAATAACGTTTTTAGGAGAACTTATTTAATTAATGTTGTAAATGCCAACAATTATAGTGTATTGAGCGCGGAAAAATAACTTGTTTGGTACAGTAAAGTTATGTAACATAGATTCCGTGTCGTTTATGCTATTTAAATTATATTTCATTAGCCGGAGAAAAAATTTTCAATGTAAATAAAAACAATTAGTTCGCATATATGGTGTGCGTAATTGCGACAAAAAAAAATTGTTATATTGATAACTAAAATAATTTTGTTGAAAATTAAATATAGAGATAAGTTTTTGTACTTAGAACAGAAGAAAACATTTGGTTGACTATATAGTTTACCTTATATGAAAATAATAATAATAATTATAGTAATATACATTTCAATTATTGATTAAAACGATTAAATGTACAAATAATATTTATTTATTGTTTTTGAAAATTTAGTCATTTTAATGCAGCCAAATATTTTACTAGTTAAATTTATTACAATTTATATAATCAATTAAATAAAAAAATAGAAAATGAAAATGCTTCGATTTAAATTATACTCTGTATCATTCTTTTTCATACTCTCTCTGTTCATAATTATTTGATGTTTAAGGTTTTTGCATACAGTTTAAAGATTCATTTAATTTTTATTTTTCCTATACTAAAAATATTATTTATAATCCATTTAAATATCATTCAGCCAATAAAAAAACAATCTGCAGAATATAAAAGGTCAAAAACTATAAAAATTCATTAAATTTTGCATTGAAAAGTGAGAACATCAAATAATTCTGAACAAAAAAACATTCTAAAACATCAAATAATTCTTAACAGAGAGTAATTTTTTTTTCATTAAACAGAATTAAAAACCCTCTCATCAACTTTCTAAAAGGGGACTCCTTTCTAAAGCCAGTTACTACATCAGTCAATCTTTTAGCAATGTAAAATCTTTCTAAGGAGAACCAGTAGTTGTACTTTTTAGTAACTATCTCCAATATTTTCATAGTTTATATTTTTCTGTGCTTGGTCAAATATACAGATCTACGGTTATGAACTGTACATCAATAACACGTTAAAAATGTATATTTATACCAGTTACCTAAGTCTTCCTTTAGTTAGGCACATCTATAGCTAATACCTTAAAGTTGTACTCCTTATAATTTGTGTAGGTAAATAAGTTGTAACACGAGTCCACGTGGTGTTGGAGATACAGAAGCTAATAAACCAATAATTAATTGTCAGTTTGTAACTGAATGATCCCATAATCTTACTTATGCAGTCTCTTAACGTGGAATAAGCTAGGTAGTTACAATTACTTGTAAACTTTCTTTCAAACAAAACAAATTAATGGTAAACTTCTCCAATAACAAAGTTCAATGCATTTAGTGGAAACACAAAAGTTCATTGTTCATTGCATTTGATGGAATATGTATAATAAGGTCTGACAGATATTAAAAACTCCCGGTAAGCTTTTTGACATTAAATTAAAAAGACGCCACAATTATTTTATTATTGTATTAACTTTCCTTTTTCCCGTCCAGAGGGCAAACATTTCTCCCCCATGTGAGGAGATGTCAGTCTCATTGGAAGTAAATGTTGTCGTTATAAGTCCCATAGAGCCATACAGACACGTATGCGAACATGTAACTGTGTCTGAATTTGTTACTAGTTGATAAGATTGATTTAAATGAGACAATGCTTATTTAAAAACTGAAGTATTTTTTTCTTAAAAAGCCGAATTTTAAGAAGATATTCCTCTCGAATTTATTTAGTTGTCGTTTTAAGATTATGCACACAGATTAAGAAAATATTAGTTGTTTTAGTTTTTCAATATAAAAACATCATTAATTATCTATTTAAACACAATTCAATTAATAATAAAACAAATTGTATAATAAAAATAATTTTAAAAAATAAAAAATTAATAAAAAATGACAACTAATTTAAAACAAACAAAATTCTCTAAAACGAAAATTAATAAAAAACGGAGGAAATAATATATGAAGGGATAAAATTGTAACATATTCATTCACTAATCATTTTCTAAGCCCGTTTGAGGAAAACATATCGAATTGAAGAAAAAACCATTTCCAAGGTAGGCAAATCAGCAATTTAATTAAAGCCGTTGATTCATTTGTAATCTGAAGGCTAACATTCATCAACCGAAAAACCCACCAACCTTATTCACAAAAAAAAAAAAAAAGCGAAAGAACAATCTAAGGACAAAGCTATCTCCTCTGTTGCAGATTCCGGTAGATCATATCAGATCAGATCAAATACCTTATCTGATTAGGCAGCCATGGATTCTGGAACAAAAGTGAAAAAAGGAGCGTCTGGAAGAAGAAGTGGAGGTCCGAAGAAGAAACCGGTTTCCCGGTCGGTTAAAGCCGGTCTACAGTTTCCAGTCGGTAGGATCGGTCGGTATCTAAAGAAAGGTCGCTATTCGAAGCGTGTTGGAACCGGAGCTCCGGTGTATCTCGCCGCCGTGCTTGAGTATCTTGTAGCTGAGGTATCAAATTTCTGAGGTCCCTAGCTATCTATATCTATCGGAATCGTCGAGATTTCTTTGATTTTGACTCGAATTATTTTAGAATTTTTTTTTTTTTTTAATTATGTTATTCAGGTACTAATGTTTCGTTGTATATTATCATCCAGATTTTATCGTGAAGCAAATAGAATAAGAAACGATTCCTCAAATCCGGTTTCTTCCATTGATAATCATAGATAGCTATGATTATTATCCAGAGATGCAAAAAAACTAAAGTTACATGTCAATTACCTAAATAAATCATATGCCAGTAAAACAACATTGAGGTACCTTGAGAATCAAATAACACTTGTTCTGAGAATTGACTAATCTGATCATATATATTCCCTGTTATAAATTAGGTTCTTGAGCTTGCTGGTAACGCTGCAAGAGATAACAAGAAGAACCGTATCATACCACGACATGTTCTGTTAGCTGTGAGGAACGACGAGGAGCTAGGGAAGCTACTCAAAGGCGTAACCATCGCACACGGAGGAGTTTTACCAAACATAAACCCAATTCTACTCCCAAAGAAGTCTGAGAAAGCAGCTTCACCTGCAAAAGTGCCCAAGTCACCATCAAAGGCTGCCAAATCCCCTAAGAAGGCATAGTTCTCATTAGCATTCTCCTTCTTCCTCTTGCTTACTCTCCGTGTAACTTGTAATTACACACTCTCCCTCTCTCTGTATGTTGGTCTGTAAAGACAGAACTTCTCTTACCTGTATTCAACAGTCGTAAACAATGTGTAACGTCCAGAAAAGTCTGATCGTCACTGTGTGAATCGAGCCTATTGTTCAGTATGAAATAAAGGATTCTACGTTTCATATACATTTTGATCTTTGTCAATCATACGAGTCGTTTATTTGACTGAAATTTTTGATCAATCGGGAATACTAAAATCCGAATTACACCAAACCCATTAGGCCCGCCCGCCTTCCTTGTATTTTTGTCACAAAGCCCAATAAGAAAGTAGTTTGGGAATTAAGTTAATTGATTGGTAAAAAAACCTACATTATATAGAAAAATCTCTACTACGAATAACGTATTCAACTATTATTTTGCAATTATAATCGATTCTCCTCTTTTTTTTCTCATCCAACGTAATTGGTGAAAGTGGTACCAGCTAAAAGCTAATGGTTGAATTCTTAAGAATTATGAAACATATACGTTATACAAGAAAGTGATTTTATGAACTTTTGATGATGGTAACTTTGTACCAGCTATTGAGTTTCATTGAAGGATTTCTTCGACAAATACCGTTACCAAACTTGGTGGTCCCCCAAAAGGTTCGAGAATCAAACAAATTAAAAACCCTCCTCCCAACATGTGGGGAAACAACTTACTCCTAAGTACACCCAACTCATTCCCTATACTTTACCTAGTACATCAAATTTCTGTGGAACACATATTCGTGGTGTAATGATAGAATGGAATGATTGGTCAGGGAAATAGATTTGTTTCTGCAACACTCTTTTTTCTTTCACAAATTTTTTCAGGAGACTGCATTTTGGATTACTAAATGCAATCAAACAACTATTAGATTATAAATAGTTCAGTCACGGTTTCGCTATTTTGCGTATTGTATTGATGAGCTATTTGGAATGCAAAACATGAACCATGAAGTCTTTCGTTTAGGTTGAATGCTACTTCTGATTATAAACCTAATACTAAAATGGTCTTTTTTCTCCTACAATACAGTTTTTTGTTTATCACTATCAACCAATACAAAGCTAAATAATTTGTGTGCTAGTGTAAAAGGACCTCTTGTCTAATCAAAAACCAGGTCATGAAAATCATTTTGTTAGGTGACTCCAAACCAAATCAAGGGTTTCACCAAAAGGATGGATGGATATAAAAAGCATGCACTTGATGCGAGAGTATATGGATACTACAAACACAATTTTCTCTCTTTTTTTTTACTTAAATTAGATTTATTTCGTAAATAATACTGTTACTATTACAGGTAATTGTAAAAATTACGAAAAAGTCGATTGTTGGTAAGAACAAAATCATGTAATGATGTAAATTATCGACAAATGTCCATCTCGGTTTAGTAACGGTGGGAGTAGATTGTAATTACTGCAGGGAAAAGCTAATAACAGTAAAGATGCTAAACGGGTCATATTATTACTATAGATTTTAACTGTAGGTGGGTCCAATTTCACGTGGGAAATGAGCCGATAGCCACGTAAGCTTACGAGTTATGCATTCCCGTTTAGTAAAATCTCTTGTTATCTCCTCTCAGCCAATCATAAGCAAATGCCCATGTGGGAATATGGGCCCCACCACCAGACCAACGTTACAAGTCAGTAGCTAAAATACTAGCAGAAGCACGCCGTTTAGATTAAGGATAACATATTTTAACAATTAAAAAATTTATACATATGATCTACTGTATTATTTCTTCTAATAATGCTCTTTCAGTTAAGTTTTTTACGTTTTCCTCTTCTTCTATTATCAATAAACACACAATTAGGCGATTCCATGAATACATAAGAATGAAACATGTCACTTTTATTAACAAAAAAGAAAGAGTAACAATCATAAATTGATTTGATTTATTGAATATTATGTAATCGTTTAATTTACGCACCTAAAACAAACCCAGTACATTTTGGTCACTCCGTGACTATTTAGTAAAATTATCATTTTCTCCATTTTTATGATATAAAGGTTTTGTCTTTTTTTTTTAATGAAAGAAAAGGTTTTGTCTTTTTTTTTTCTTCTAGATATTTTTTGACTTATAAATATTTTAATGTCCACCTTCCTCTTTTCTGTTCTTGTAGTGTAATATCCCTACTTTCACCTGCCTCTCTTGCCTTCCTTCATCATCTCTCTAATTTCTCTCTGTATAACAATCTACTCTTTAGATCATATATGGATGATCATAATAGCTCACAAGCATCTTACATCCATTTGGTACCGTCTTAATTATTACTCTTTTTTTTCTCTCCTTGTTATTTCAATCTCTGATCTTGATATATATTATCTCTCAACTGATGCTGATCATATGATACATATATATATATATATATATATAGACGATCGCCATAATACAGTATAAACGTGTATTTATGGGATGCAGGTGCATCATTTGATAGAAGAGTGTATAGTATTCAACATGGGCAAAGAAGAGTGTATGGATGCTCTGTTCAAGCATGCTAATATCAAGCCTATCATCACTTCCACAGGTACATATATACATACACACATCTATAAAATATGGTAGATATATATATATATATATATATATATGTGAATAATGAATTAATAAGATAAGCTGGTAAGGAATGGGAGTGGAGATATAATTGACTAATTTTGCAGTGTGGAAGGAGCTAGAGAAAGAAAACAAAGAGTTCTTCGAGGCATACGAGAGAAGAAGAGAAGAAATACCAACCGAGAAAGAGACAGCTCGAAGAATCCGAGATTTGCTTTCACGAACTACAATCTAAAATTTCGACACCTACTTACTTACATACATATATGCATGTGTATATGTATGTATGAATGAACCCATTCTATGAATACTTTTAGAAATACGTATTATGATTGTCAGTGGCGAATGAATAATTTCATCAATTGGAAAATTCTCTTTTTTCACCTTACTTTAATGGGTTTTTGCACCCTCCCCTCTCTTCTTTACGATAAAACTTTAGAAGCATTTTTGGTTCGTGAACATTTTTCAGGTAAAAAAAATTGATTACTCAACTATATATTCATAATTGAATTGTATGAAATTGATATTTTTTATTTAATTTTATATGCGGAATTTACATGTAAGCTAAAAATAATAACATTATACGTGTACGTATACGACTATTTCATCTCCAAATCTAGTTATAGTTTACCGAAATGAAAACACAACTAATTTCAGTATTGGTTCTATCTCTGACCGATAGAATCTCAAACACTTCAAACCTATGATGTGATTTACTCATCTACAGTCAACAGTCATTTGACCACCATCAATAAGATTTAAGATAAACAATCTAATTTCTTAGACCTCGACATTAATTAGTTTGAGTCGTGTTTAATTAGAAAAACCCAATGATGGAAGAAAAGTGTAGGACAGACATCGAATGGTGGAGATGCCACGTGGAAGGAACGTGGAGGCACGTGCGAATGTTCGTCATTACATAGGATTGCGTGTTAGGATTTGGTGATGACTATGAAAACTCTGATGGCATTTTCTGTTTTGTTGTTTCAAAAAAAAAAAAAAAAAAATTGGTCAATGTTCAGAAGCTAAGTTTGGTGAAAAGTAGTAGTAGTACGACTCTCGTCTTTATTTAGTTTTTCAATTTTTTTTTTATTTCTTTCAAAAAACTAGTTTGTTTTTGTTTCCCAAATACAATCTCCGTTTTTTTCGGTTTATTGATTGGACCGACTCCGACTGGACCATTCTAAATTTTTGTCTAAGATATAGTTTTCTTTAGTAGCTAGAGATGAATAATACCAGTGGATCCAATTAATGAGGCCAATGAACACAAGTAAGTAACCAGTACCAGAGATGGCCAATCTATTTTTAGATCGATTTTATACCTTTCTCACTTATCTTATTATTAAAAAGAATAAACGCATCTTAAAATGTAACATATAGTTCCATACTTCCATTTGATTCAGTATGAGCTTTTTAATGTGTGTTTTTGGGCGGGGTTTGCTTTATATTACACAAGGGATTGGAATAAAGGATTGCAGGATTGGAAATTTTCCTTTACACCGCTTGCTATATTTAATAGGACAAACAAGTACTTAAATGTGAAAGTCAATCAATCTTGTTTCTTCAAAATAGATTCGAATTTGGTACCTTCTTTTGCAAAACGGAAAATTTTATATATTTTAAATAGAAAACACGAAAGTAGGCACAACACAAATGAAAAAAAGAGCAAACAAGAAAACGAAATGCTTAAAACGACACCGTACTTTGGAAATACCAATGAAAACGTAATGTCATGTAGTTCCAAGCTCTTTGGCATGCAGTTTCAATTGTTTTAAATTTCTTCATTGTTAATAAAAATAAAAGTTTCGGACGGTCCAGTTTATTTGCGTAACCTTCGCATACACTTCTTGTAACGTTAACATCTCATTTTGGTCAATCGAAGAGTATTCATTAATCTGGAGGAATCAAATTTTTTGTAACCACAAGTTCACGAGTATACGACGAAGAAGAGTTGCAATGAACAAATCAACAAATGATGGGATTTTGTTTTATTGTTTATTCAGTCATGACTTTTGTTTTGTATTCAGGTTATGCTGATATTATATATTACCGGTAACATATAAAGAGGAATAACTTTTAGACGTCACGACAGTTTTGGCGTTATTAGAATCGAAACTAATTGGTTGTAACTAATCAAAGCATTGACAAAAAAAAAAAAACAATGAAATTTTGTTTTCTTTGTGCGTATTGGTATTAATGGACTGACGATTATATTCTTTCGTGATCTAGGGATAATTACCCACACTCTATAACTAAATATTTCAAAAGGTTAAAAAAAAACCAAATTAATTAATCATCAGAAGCTCCTTGAGATTTTGAATCTTTAATAGTTTAATTCCAGTCTCGACAAAAACTTCGTTTCATAATCCATAGAAGCCCATTAATAACGTAAGAGCATATGTAGCTAACGAAAGCCCAAACAATAAAAGGATAGTTTTCCTCATCGTTGTCATCTATGGGATATATACGGTCTCGTGTAGACAGTATTCTATGGGATCTGTAACGCTTTTGATTGCAGAAATTAGGGTTGAAATTTATCAAGTAATCATTGGTGAAATATATAAAACGGAAATTTGAGCAGTTTCATAGTTGGATTTATATGTGGACATTGTTACTAACCTCAAGTAATCATAGAATTGGAAGATTACACTTTTTCTGTGTGATTCATAGTTTTTGTAACGGTTTACTGGTTGATGAATATCGATCATAGATCAGATCAAACTTTAAAAAGGTTACGAATAGGGAACTGACTTAGTCATATAGAAAAGCTCATAGTTTTATTAAAGGCAACTATTACATCATATCTATTTTTTATCTGAAAATTTGCAATAACAAAGATTCAGAACAAAGTTTTGGTTTTGCCTGCAGTGTTTGGTGGCTTCACAGACTGCACATGGTTAGTGGTTTTGCCTGCAGTGTTTGGCGGCTTCACAGGTTGCACATGGTAAGTGTTTTTGACTGCACTGTTTGGTGGCTTCACAGATTGCACATGGTAAGTTGTTTTGCTCGCAGTTTTTGGTGGCAGCACAGGTGCAGACAAAGGCAAACGGTCAGTGGTTTGTGCTGGAGGAGCTCCAGGTGGATTATCTGAACTCCCTGGAGAAGGTCCTGACCGGTGCAGAGCCTTGGTTTGGTCTGGAGTGGTTGCATCAAGGACACTAGCGAAGAAGAGACTATAAGATATCACAAGAACTAAAGCGAGTTTTGCCATTGCTAACTAGTTTGAAAACTACTGTGAGATTTTTTTGATCTGGGTTTAGGGTTTATATATTGTAGAAAATCACATCCTCTGTTCAACTTGGAATAGTAGTTGGAAGAGAAAAGAAGATCATAGGCATACCTTCTCTTCAAACTCAAACACAGACCAAATCTTTTAAAACTTGTGGATAAGCATAATGCTATCGTCATTATCACTAATTAACTTTGTTTAATTTGTTTGCCTACTTTTGTTTTACACTGGCTAGTGGTTACCATAACACTCCACCAAATTATCTTTATTAGTTAATCCATTGTTTTTGTGTTTTGTTAATTCTTTTTTTTGTGCAAATCTTGATCTTAAGGTTATCCATTTGCCCAACTAAACTTTAAAACATTTCACGTTTATGTGTGTAAATGCCTTGTAAAAATAAAACTTTATGCCTAAATCTCATATAAATCAGAGTATACATGACTGTATAACGCATTGTTTAAAGTGCATAACAAGTAATACAAATCCTCAATGGCTCTCTGATTCTGTTAATTTAAATTTAACTATTCAGCCCATTATGCCTGCAAATCTCCAATTAATCTGGTTATAAAAAGCCCAAAATGAAGTGACGTCGTTTTGATATTGTTAACAACATTTTTGCTTTGGTATCTTCTTCGGCTTCTATCATCTTAATCTCGTCGCCGTCGTTTAGGGTTTTTTGATCCAAGGAGCCAACTATGGCGTCTCTGGCCAAGTTTCACTATTGTGACCAAATACCCCTCCTCAGTCTCAGCGGTCACAGTAGATTTCAACCTAAACCTAACTCATACCAAATCCTACAGAAGCCTCCTCGGTCTCGCGTCATTAGAGCTTCGTCTTCTTCATCAGGCCCTAAACCCTCATTGCTCAAAACAACCTGTGTAACTCTCACCACAGCCGCCGCTTTGTTCTCTGCTTCCCTACACCTCGCCGCCAGACCCGCCACCGCAACTCCAATCGCGCCTCCTCCTCCACCGTCATCCACGGCGGCAAATCTCGCTGCCGAAATACCCGGAGAAACGGACCAAATCTCGTTGCAACAAGAGGAAGAAGCAGCTCTCGAGAAGCATCTCGCTAGCCATCCAAACGACGTTGAAGCTCTTCAGTCACTGATGAAAATCAAACTCCAGTCGAAGAATATCGAGCACGCGTTGGAGATTCTAAACCGTCTGATCGAAATCGATCCGGAAGAACAAGAATGGCAAATTCTAAAGGCTCAGATGCAAACCTACGGCGGCGATTTTGACTCGGCGACGAAAGGATTCGAGGAGATTCTGATGAAAGATCCGTTTCGCGTGGAAGCTTATCACGGATTGGTAATGGCTTACTCGGACTCGGAATTAAAATTATCAGAGCTCGAGAGTAGAATCAGCGAAGCTATGGAGAAATGCAAGAAGGAAGATAGGAAGAAGGATTTTCGAGATTTCATGCTGTTGATTGCGCAGATCAGGGTAATACAAGGGAATCCAATAGAAGCACTTAGGGTTTATCAGGAATTGGTGAAAGATGAGCCTAGAGATTTTAGGCCATATCTATGTCAAGGTCTGATTTATACGTTGATGAAGAAGAAAGACGAAGCAGAGAAGCATTTCGAGCAGTTTCGAAGATTGGTTCCTGAGAATCATCCGTATAAAGAGTATTTTGATGCCAATGTGCTCAACACTAACAAGCTTTTCGCAAATATTCGGTAAACAAAACAAAATAAAATCTGAGCTTTGACTCCAAAGTTTTGTGTTTTGTTGAATGCTTAGAGTTGTTAACGGGTTTGTATTTGGGGCATAATCTTTTTAATATACACGCAAATGTGACAAATGCTATGAATAATAGTGAATCTAATCCGTTTTTAGCTTATTTGATATTATAGCATTCTCTTATGCAAATAGTGGTGTTTGGCACAACTTTAATAATATAGAAAAGTTACAGAAATACTTTTAATAAGTTCTGTTTGGCAACAAAAATACTTATGCTTAGATAGTATATAGATATTGAATGTCAAAAATAAAATACATGATAATATTTTTTTTCAACTCCCCCAATTCTATTTTCAGATTTTTTTGTAAATTTTCATGCCATTACCAATTCCACACACAAATAAACGGCCAAAAGCGAGTAACATTTTCACAAATTTTGTTTTCCAACATGAACATAACAACATAGAAAAATAAACAGAGGAAAAAAGAAATTACTTCTGAATAATCTCAGGCCAAAACTGTGCGTTTTTAACTTTGGAAATACTCGCCAACACAGTTAACGGCGTTACGTCTCCCGTCACGGTAACTTTCTTTGCAGCGAAGTCTATGTTAAACGACGTCACTCCTACACAAACGATCACAAGCACCAAAACAGAGTCTTTAAATTTTTTCTTTTTCTAACTTAAGAATTGAATCATTAATACTTACAATCAATCCATCAAAAACAAAATACTTTCAAAAGAAGTACATTGATTGTTTATTACCTTTCAATTTCGAAAGATGTTTCTTGACTTTCCCTGCACAGCCTTTGCAGTGAAGTGACACTCTCAAAACAACAACCTTTAGAAGAAATTTTGTTTTAAGTTTGATATAAGATATAACTTCATGATTATAAAAAAGGGTTTTGTTTGATGATTTACTTGATCGGAAGATGAGTTCTTCTCCGGTGGCGGCGGCGATGGTGGTGGAGGAGGTGGTGGGGGTTGTGGAGGAGAGAATTTGAAATCGGGAGACGAAACATCTTTATCTTCAAGAGAGCTCTGAGATGCTGTCGGAGAAGCCTTTGTGGATTCAGAGAAAGGATTATCCGGAGACATAACCGGATCACAATCCAAGAATCCATCGAAGAAATCGGGTTGCTTCTTCTCCAAGAATGAAGAAGAAGAAGGAGAAGAAGAGAGAAACTTAGAGGCGTTTATTATCAATCTATCTTCGTGAGTTTTATCCAAATTATCAGCTATGGTTATCTCCCGTTCAATAGGTAATGGAATCGGGTCGGAGTCAACAAACCCGTCAAAGAAAACCGGATTGCTCAATAAGTACCTTGAAGAACCTTGAGGAGTGTCACTGCTAAAACAACCAACCGGTGACTTACCAACGCCACAGTCACTTTTCTTGCTCTTCCTCTTCGCAACACGTTTTTGCTCAGTACTTTCTAGGCCCAATCTAGTCTTAAGAGGAGTATGGTATGTAGAAGAAGAAGAAGAAGAGGAATTATTGTTTGGAGAAGGTGGAGGAGTGAGTCTCCGACCGTCACGTATGATTGGGTTATGACGGTCAATGGCTCGACCACCGAGCCGGACTGTGGCTGGAGATGAAGGTTGTGAGGTTTGGTTCATGGTTGAGCAAATGTTTGTTGTTGATGCTTTAGAGGCACATAACATTTCTGATATCTTTTTTTTTTTCTTTCTTCTTGTGATGCCAAAGAGTTTTAAAAGAAAGTCTGTAGTTGTTGTATACAAACGAAACGAGGAGAGGTTTCTGTAGTGACATATAAATTAAATTAAAAGAAATGTAACTAAATTTTAGGTTCCTGTTAAAGATATTTCTTTTTTTTTTTGCTGATGGAATCGACTTTAGAAAAAGATATTTTTATTCGGATTCTTATCAAACCAATGTGTGAGATTGTTAGGTATTAGAAACCGTGTGGAAATTTTTGATTCGGATGACTTGATGGTTTTGTTTGAACATAAAAACGAAGATGATCATTTACAGAAAAAAAAAAACAGAGAAAAAATATCGTAAACAAATCGATAAAGTCCCACTCTTTTCTGGCCATGCCTTATTGATAATTTCGAATCTAATTCTCACAGTCACATAACTCGAAAAATCAGAATCTGATGCTATGCGGTTGATTAACGAATTTATTCCCAATGCTCTCACAATTCCCACTTTTTTCATCGTTTCGCCTTTACGACCCAATAAGTAGCTTTAGTAGAGCCCAATAATATATGAATATAAATATTGGGCTTCGAACGGCCCACTAGAATCCTTCAGACGAGTTTTCGAGGGTTTTGTAACTCAGTTGGATTCACAAAAGGCATCGTATAAATTGCCTTCTTCCTCCAAATTAGGCTTGCGAGCCAGAAACGAGGAAGTAGCGGCGCAGCAAGTTCAACACCAGCAAGCTCACGATGGGTATGACGACGCACAGATCCTTGAACGTTCCTTAATTATAAATTACGCAGTTCTGATTGGGTTTTTATTGTTGCTTAGCGAGGATTAAGGTTCACGAGCTTAGAGAGAAATCGAAGACCGATCTTCAGAACCAGTTGAAAGATTTCAAGAATGAGCTCGCCCTCCTCCGTGTCGCTAAAGTCACCGGAGGTGCCCCTAACAAGCTCTCCAAAATGTACGTATTTGCCATACATAGGCGTATTTGTGTGTGTATATATCCACATTTTGTTTGGATTTAGTCTAATTCGTGATTAGGAGATTTGCCATTTCGATTTTAGATTAAGAAACTGTTGCATTGACGTTATTGATATTTAATTTGAGGATTTTGTCGGAAAGTTAGCAATATGTTTATCTGTTTCGAAATTGCATTTGTAGCATTTAAAGGAAATGTTCATATCTTCCTCTGTTTCGGATTTGCATTTGTATGCTGTATTTACAATTATGCAATTAACTTACATCCCAAAGATTATGGTTCGCAATCGTATCGTAAATCAAATGAAAATGGGTCCTCGAATAAGTTGTTTATCACACTTTTTGATTTTGTGTGTTTTGATTCGATAACTCAATTGACTGAATTTTGTCTTTTGATCCTCAGCAAGGTTGTGAGGAAATCCATTGCTCAGGTGTTGACAGTGATCTCACAGAAGCAGAAATTTGCTCTAAGAGAAGCATACAAGAACAAGAAGTTGTTGCCTCTTGATCTCCGCCCCAAGAAAACACGTGCTATCCGCAGACGTCTTACCAAGCATCAGGTATTAACTTTCATTACCATTTTCAAACTAATAATATATTTAGACGCATCTAGCTTGGTTCTTCTTATGAAAATTGTTAATTTGTTATCCCATCTTTGCTAGCTTACTCAGTACCATCTGGACATGTGCCTGAGTTTTCGTAAATGGGTTATTTTGTGTTGCAGGCTTCGTTAAAGACAGAGCGTGAGAAGAAGAAGGAGATGTATTTCCCAGTGCGAAAGTACGCTATCAAAGTCTAGTTTCATTCTCCAGATTAGCTCCTAGAAATGATTCAGCTTTTTGATTACTCCTTTATGTATTCTCTTCCGTTTTGTCCACCTTTTATTTCTATTTGTACTCAAGTTTTGTTATAGAACTGCCAAATCTCCCTCTCTCGCGAACCTTTTTTTCTTCATAAATATTGAACCAAGTCTCGCTTTTGTGGTTTCTTCGTATCAAATTCGACAAATTCGTATACGCAGATGTGTTTCATTAAAATGATTTTTGGCTTTAGAACTTCAATGTGAAAAAAAAAGAGGGTTAATAACGACGACCACAGTGGGAGTCGAACCCACGACCTTTTGATCCGAAGTCAAACGCGCTAATCCACTGCGCTATGCGGTCACGTTGCTAAGTTGTCTCTTAAATTAGTAATTATTATCTAGTTTCTTATAATATGAGTTTTGCCATAACAGAGTGTCACTCGCGTTTGGGTCGCGTGAAAAGCGTGGCACCATATTTGTCCATGGAAATAGGCCAATAGCGATGGCTCGCGGCCTTATTGAACTTTTTGTCACAAGTGTAGCGCGTGTAACCTATTAATAATTCACTTTGGAACCATTATTTCGCTAGTGGAACTAATCCGTCCATGGAAATACGATTTCGGAGTTTCAACCCAACTTTCAACAAAAATAAAGTATTTTCCAACGTTTCAACCGAAATTTAGGATTTTCTTCATCAAATGCTTATAATGTTTTGCCGTTATTTTTCCACGTTCATACAGATACAACCTATAATGGTGGCTCCATTTATAAATATCTTCATATGTCATTTTTCAGTGACAATCATTTTTATTTATCTATTTTATTCAGTGGCACAGAGAGCTTTTTTTTTGCGTTTCAATTCTTTGTTTTCTATCAGCTATTTATTTAGGGAAAGCGATTCTGTTGGTTCTGATAACAGGCTTTGTTCTCGGCAGTTCATGATATTCAGTAGTGTTTACTATTAAATTGACTGTAACTAAATAAGAAGTAAATGTAGAAAAGTATTCGTCCTTCTTACTATATATTTTTGCTTTGGAATCTTCCTTGTTCTTGTTTATAAACTATAGCATAGAATCATTTTCTGAGAGTAAACAATCTATATCTGAAAAAGGTTCTCCTTCCTTTTAGTGTCGTACAGTGGATAAGCTTTTGACTTATATATCAAACGTTTGGTAAAACTCTTGGTAAAATTGTATAGAATGGAAAAATTAGCTAAGAAAATCATAGTAATTAAAGATAAAACCAAATTTATTGTAGATGATTGTTAAATTTCAGAGCAAATACGATATGTTAAGTTTCGGATTTCTTTAAAAAAAAAATGACAAGCAATAATGTATTGTTGCAGGTCGACACTAAGTTTGATCATGTTACTGTAATAAGATAATTAAGATATGATATACAACACAAGAGGCCAAAATCACGAGCAGAGGTCATAACATTTTCTGTTTCTTCTCCAGTATTCATGTGAGTCTTGTCGAATTTGATCCTCCCTCTTCTTCCTCAAATCTCCATGTACAGTTCATAATTCGATCTGGTTTCTTCTTTCTTGGCCAAATTTCAAATCCCAAAAGACTCAACAAGAATCATCATCATGAAAGGGCATAAAAAGACGATGACTAAGCAGACAACGGCGAGACGTGACGACACGCCGTTACTCACGGCGGTTAGAGAAGGCAACACGGAGCTTATTTTGCAGATGATCGGTGAATACGACGGCGTAGAGCTGAAAGAGTTGCTGGCGGAACAAAACCAGTCAGGAGAAACGGCTTTATACGTGGCGGCGGAGTCCGGTCACACCGACATGGTTAAGATTCTGATGAAACACTCCGACTCTGTCTTAGCCGGAACCAAGGCCAAAAACGGCTTCGACGCCTTTCACATCGCCGCCAAAAACGGAAATCTAAGTGAGTTGACCCAAAAATCTTTCTTATTTAATGATCACAAAGCAATTTTCCACAGATATGGTGTAAGATGATATCTACTCAAGAAGCTAATTATGTGCTAATGGTACTTGTGTATTTATTGGGTATCTTGTGAATTTTTTCTATCTTAGTCAATGAGTTCACAAGTTATGTGAAGAAGAGATCTAGTTTATAAGCCAACTATATGCAATTTGCTAACTGAGAAAGTTTCACATGAATCGTTATTAGACTTTAGGGACTAAAGGCTGAAAATTTCCTTTTTAACAAAAGAAGAAAGAAATGTCGTTGATGCGGATTTGAATTTTTGGTATTTGTTGTAGAGATTCTTGATGTGTTAATGGAAGCAAACCCAGAGCTTTCATTTACATTTGATTCATCCAAAACGACAGCGCTTCACACGGCCGCTTCTCAGGGCCATGGAGAGATCGTTTGTTTCCTGCTGGATAAAGGTGTGGACTTGGCCGCTATTGCAAGAAGCAACGGTAAAACCGCTTTGCACTCTGCGGCTAGGAACGGGCACACAGAGATTGTCAAGGAGCTGCTTGGAAAGAAGGCTGGAATGGTTACAAGAGTCGACAAGAAAGGTCAAACCGCGCTTCATATGGCGGTCAAAGGACAGAACGCTGAGATCGTTGATGCGTTGATGAAAGCAAATTCTTCGTTGATCAATGCAGCCGATAATAAAGGCAACACTCCTTTGCATATCGCAGTCCGTAAAAACAGAGCAGAGGTAATTAATTGTTTCAAAGTTGGAACCTTTCATGAATCTTTCATATTTCAAAGTTGGAATCTTTCTTCTTTTTCTTGGCAGATTGTTCAGACGGTTTTAAAGTATGATGAGATCAGTAGAGTGGGGGTTAATAAATCAGGGGAAACAGCTCTTGATATCGCTGAGAAAACAGGACTGCACGAGATTGTAGCGCTTCTGCAGAAGATCGGTATGCAGAACGCGAGATCCATCAAGCCAGCTGCAACGACGGAAACATCAGGCGGCTCATCTAGGAAACTGAAAGAAACGGTTAGCGAAATAGGCCACGAGGTGCACACACAGCTTGAACATACAGGTAGAACGAGAAGAGAGATCCAAGGAATCGCTAAACGAGTCAACAAAATGCACACGGAAGGACTCAACAACGCGATAAACTCCACAACCGTAGTCGCCATTCTCATAGCAACCGTGGCTTTCGCAGCTATCTTCAACGTTCCAGGCCAGTTCACGGATGATCCGAATAATGTTCCGCCAGGGTACACAGTTGGAGAAGCGAGAGCAGCTTCAAGACCCGAGTTTTTGATATTTGTTGTGTTTGATTCTTTCGCGCTCTTCATCTCTTTGGCCGTGGTTGTTGTTCAGACATCAGTGGTGGTTATAGAGAGGAAGGCGAAGAAGCAAATGATGGCGATAATCAACAAGCTCATGTGGATGGCTTGCATAATGATCTCTGTCGCCTTCTTATCGCTGTCTTTTGTTGTTGTCGGAGATAAAGAGAAGCCTTTGGCGATTGGTGTAACCGCCATTGGAGCTTTGATCATGGTTTCAACACTTGGGACTATGTGTTATTGGGTGGTTGCGAATCGGATTGAAGGTTCTAAGTCGTCTCCAGCTTCAATGATGTCAGATCCTGAGTTAGTTGATCACAAGCATAACCGGAAACTTTATGCGGTTTGATTAGAGTGAAAGGGGCAGTATAATTCATTGAAGAACACAGAGATTTTGTATCTACAAATAAAAGAGATCTCTCTGTACTAAATACGAGAAGCAAGAAGTTCTCAGAAGTGTGTTACAACATAAACTAGAAAAAACGTACATCTTTCTGTACTCTACTTTGCCTCTTCAAAGTCTAAACCGACTTAGATGTTACAGAAACAAAATAAATGACAAAATTCATCACAAAAAATTGAGGAATTATTTTCACTTTGTATATACTAACTCTTCTAGGATGGTTTAGGATTTGGAGTATGAGGAAATTTATGTAATGATCATCATGATATAAATTGTAAGCAAATAACAAATTTACGAGGAAGAAATGGGTTGAATCATAAATAAGTAGACAAATTGTCTTGTTGGTGAGCCTTGGAGTTTAAACGTCAGAATTAAAGCATGCCGTGTTTGTTGTATGGCAATTTTAATTGTTGTTTTCAATCTTTCATAGTTTTATATCCAAGAATTGTTTTTCGTTTTCTCCCATAACTAAATCAAAAAATTGTTACGCTAGCTTCATCCGACATTTAATCCGGAAATTATCAATTGGGAGTTTGAAACTTTCTGACATTAGTGTACAAATGAAGCGACCTACTTGTTCACGTCTACAATATAAGAAACTAAATGAAAAAAAAAAATCATTCATTTTCCGAGATTTAGGAGATAAATTATTATTTTTTTTTTGGTCGAAGATTTAGGAGATAAATTCAGGTTTGGATATCTTATAGAAACTAATTCATGACTTGATTGATATTTTAATTTATTTTGTGGTCGTGATTACGTGTGTCGTGTGGTTCTCAAAGTCCCTGCTAATTATAGCAGGCGTGACATGAAATTTGGTAAGTCCTTGATTATTAAATCCTAATGCTGTTCCACTAAAGTATATGGATTCATCATGCACTGAAAACCTTCATATAAGTGTGATTAACATAATAGCAATAGCATGCGACCATATTTATATATCATTACAATTTGCAGATTGTGTAATCTTGTAATTAATGCGGTTTGTAAAAACGACGGGCGTTGAGTTATTGTCTCCTCCAATTCTAGACACGACGATGCCAACTATAGTGGGAAAACAAAGTTTAGTTGAAAGAAAACTTTACCTCATTATCCTCAGAGTCGATTAAAAAAAGGAGTTTTTTGATGTTCATAGTAATATTCGATATTGGAGAGAAAAAGAAAGTATTCTATATTATAAACACGAAAACTGATCCAAAATGGTTTTACTGAGTTTTCCTCTTTCTACGTTAAATTTTGGAAATTCTTTTTCATAATTAATGTTAAATTTACAAGTGCTAAGTAGTTCTTGAATCGAGATCACGTACTTACTCATCTATGAGCTATGTAGTAATGTGCAATATTTATAAGAAATTGAAATTAAGATCTGTTTTAGCTTTGATTCTTCTTTTACAAGCTAAGTGTTGAACAACTTTGTTTTACACCTTTAGTAAATCCATGGGCATCCGATGCTGGAACCCCCCGCCTAAGAGTTTCAACTAAACAGGTTTTTTTCCTCCATAATGTTTTTTTCTGCATATGATTATTAACCTGTAACTTTTTGCAATTCTAAGTTTCTAATCATATCAAAGGGACAAGGAACCGCAATTAATGTCACAAGTAAGTATAGTTTACTTTCCGTGGTGTTTTTATCGTCAAAAACATCGTAAACAATATTACTTTAGTTTCCATAACATGGAAAATACTCAATATATATATATATAAAATTTAAACATTAAACATAAATCATAACAAGTGAATTTTTGTTTCTTTTCCAAAATCCTGAAGTATTTCGGAAAAAATTACTATGCATGAAAGATAATCTAAACTACAACTCCTTATACAAAAATTACAAAAACCATGAAAATTCTATATATATATATACTACAAGTATAAATACAAACCGAAATAAAAAGAACAGAAAATAATTAATTAATACTCTTAAAACAAAGGAGAAAAACCCAAATTGAACATAAAAAAGCTTAGTTTGGATCAACAACATCTACGGTAGCAGCACAAGACAGAAGTAACTTTCGAAAAAACCTGAACATAACAGAACAAGCCTGTTCTCTCTTCTTCCTTCCAACTCTCCTCTTCTCACGACGACGACGCAGTTTGGACTTGTCAACGATGACGTCATTTTCCTCCTTATTCCCCCTCCGGAACGACGACGCAGCCGTTTCCTTAACCCTCCCTAGACACGACGCCTGTCTCGCTGACGTCACTTTCTCGGATTTGCTCTTGTCGTCATCTTCCCGTGAGAACGTGTAGCTCCGGAGATACATCTGCCGGCAAGAGATGCTATCCACGACACGCGCCGTCGGTACGCCACCTCCACGGCCGACAGAGCGGACGAACTCGGCGTCGGACTCAGGCCACTTATAGAGATTCACGTACGTGGTACGAACCGGCACGCGCGTGTCACGTGCATCGTTGATGCAGCTAGAGATGCACACTGAGTTCATGTTCTCTCTAGTTTCTTCTTCTTTTTCCTTTCTCCGGTGATTCTGTATCAAGTATATCTAATATATATGGGTTTTAAGGTTTTATTTTATTTTTTATTAAGGTTTAGAAACGTGGAGGAATGAGTGAAGCTTAAATTTGAAGAAAAGATAAGTGGAAGTTAAATTAGAAAAATAGATATGTTGAGAGCGAATGATTAAGGAAGGGAGGGGAGATTATTTGACATTCCTAAAAGAAAAGGAGAACATTAAGAATACATATGACAATCGATGGTGGGGGTGGCAATGACTGTTCTTTTGTCTTTAAATCAAAAGCAATATTAGTAATTGATGAGAGTGGGTTGTTATGATTTGGTGTGATTAAAATGTTCAGTGGCTGTTTTTTTTTTTTTTCTGTTAAAATTATACATAAAATGGTAGAATACGATAATGATTATTCGTTAAGCTCTATCCTTACCTCAGTTTATAACCCAAAAAACTTAAATATAAACATAGACAATTTTTGTCATTTATATTCATTTTGTTGTCCATATTTATAGTTACCAATTAAGTTAGACCATCTCCATTAGTGTAACTCATGTTGAAGTTTTAAAGATTATTTTATTAATTTTTTTTGGGAGATATGAATAGTTTAGAGACACTTGTGTTATTCAGCTTCATTAGTGAACCCATATAAGGTTCATATCCATACCGAGTCCGACTCAGTGAACTAAGAACTAGTGGCCGATCAAATCTCAGTCGTCCTTGATCGCTGTGATGTTCCCTTTTAAGAGATGCCTCTCAGCCGTATCGGAGACGTTTTCGCGGCGAAGACTATTTCTTCCGCTGGTGTAAATGAATCAACCAAATCCCTTGCACGAGGCGCTTTGTCGTCGGAACTCCGAGATTACAGAGACGATTCTCCGGCACCACCGTTGATCTGCGTGGTGCAAATGGAGAGGGAGACTGCCTCACCTGATCGCCATCCTCCGCCGCATGAGAGATTTCTACATGGAGATCTCTTTTCATTTCGATGGGTTCAAATTCTGCAGCCGCAGAAGAAGAAATGAGTTTTAGAAAAAAAACAATTAAAACATTAAAAAAGAGAACCACTCACCTTCCTCCACGTGGCGTAAGAGACTGTCTCCTGCACCCCTTCAGTAAGGATTGATCCGCCGAATTTTTTGGATTTTAAATTTAATTTAAATCGATTTTGCATATGAAACTGTGCCGTTTTTGGGTTAGGAGACCCTGATGGAGGTGGTCTTAGTTGGTCGTTGGTGCAATACACGTATGACGTAAGCTTTATCTTTTGTCCTTAAAAGGGGACTATATAAATGATGTAATCTGTGCCGTTGCGTTGGATTAAACGAATCCCGACCGTTGGTTATTTCCTTTCTTTAATGGTAAAGGTCAGATTTCATAGACCCGGCCGAGAGGAGCTGGGAATTAGCTCAGATTTGAGACAGAAAGGTAAAGGTCAAAGCGCGGTGACTTATCGGATCTGAGAAGGTATGATTTCGACTCCATAGAATTTTGAGGATTGGTTAGAGTTCTCTTGGATTCAATTGTTTATCTATAGGAGGTGTTTCTTTTCGAGAATGGATTTTTAGTGATCTACGATTACCGCACAAAATTGACGTTGTTACGATGTGATTTTTCTGGGTTTTGTCTTCTCGCCTCAGTGAAATGTTGATTCAATTGGTCTTTCAGTTTTTCGATTGATTGAAAAAGGTTATAACTTTGATGGCTAATTTCTTCTGTTGAGTGAGAGAGAATTGCTAATTTTCATTTGGCGAAGACGAACAATTCAGAGTTCATATAGAACCTGTTACTATGGTATCAATTAAGAAGATTGGTGTCCTAATACTATGGATTAGGTCCTAAAAGAGCCCCTTGATCAACTCAAAGATTGTGTTTTTGTTATATCAGGTTAAAGATGCCTCGTTATGACGATCGTCACGGAAGCACACGACTCTATGTTGGCCACCTTTCCTCTCGAACACGGACGCGTGATGTTGAACGGCTCTTTAGCAAATATGGAAGGTAATCTATATGTTTTCACTTAGCTTGAAACATTTTTTCCGATCTGGATTTTATTGGATGTTTATGTTCTCTCTCGAGACTATGTTTGAAGCTACTGGTATTTGAAGTATATCCAATCAATATGATTTTGTTTTCTAGCTTTTTCGAGTGCACATGGTAAACTAAAGCTAGCTTTTTGTTGGGACACAAATTCTTTACTTTCTGAATTAAAATCTTCAATTCAACCTTCTCGCTCGTGACAACCTTCCAAAATCATATATAGGTGGCCAAAACTGTAGCATAATTTTTGACCTGAGTAATGTTGTTGAAGGTTTTCTTGGCTATTGCCTGACCTGGAGGTGTTTATGGTGAGAGAATCGGTCTCCTTGGTGGAAATTCTCTGATGGTGTAAAAAAGGGCTTTTGGCGGTTCTCTGTTTGTTGTGTGTTGTTGCGTATTTTATTGGTGAAACTGGCTACAAAATCTCAAAAAATCTGGTGTTTTGTTCGACTGTGATGGTGAAGTAGCACTACTTAGAAAAGTAATGATGATGATGGCCTTACTGTTTCTGCCAAACAATTTCCGCAGAGTACGAGATGTGGATATGAAGCGTGACTTTGCCTTTGTCGTAAGCAATTCCGTTTCTTAACCTCTTCTTTTCTTTTTGTCCAAAGCCTATTAGTATGTAACCTTAACCTCCCATGGATATCTCTTTCCTTGGTCGTCTCTGTTTTTTCACCTTTTGATAACAGGATTTTAGCGATCCCCGAGATGCTGATGATGCAAGGTACCGCTTAGATGGAAGGGACTTTGACGGAAGCCGTATAGTTGTGGAGTTTGCAAAAGGGGTAATGCTAATTAATACATGTTTTGGTTACATCAATTATGAACAAGTTTAAAAAATGTTTTTTTTTCCTTCCATGTAGACACCTCGTGGTTCTGGTTCTGGTTCCCGAGAAATATCTTCAAGCAGAGGGCCTCCTCCAGGAAGTGGGCGTTGCTTCAACTGCGGTCTCGATGGACACTGGGCTAGAGATTGCACTGCTGGTGACTGGAAGAACAAATGCTATCGATGTGGTGATAGAGGTCACATAGAGAGGAATTGCAAGAACAGTCCTAAGAAGCAAAAGTACTCACTTTTCTGCCCTTGTAGCATTCTTCTTATTCTTTTTTTTTTTGGTCTTCTGATCGTCTTCTTATTATTCAGGCGGGACCAAAGCTACTCTAGGTCACCAGTTAGATCTCGATCTCGATCTCCTCCTCGTCGTAGGAGAAACCGTAGCAGAAGCAGAAGCAGAAGCAGAAGCAGAAGCAGAAGCAGAAGCTACAGGTATTCCAACACATTAACAGCAATATTATTTTCCAACGACGCAACAGTTGTTTACTTTGTATCTATTTTTTCTGAATCTGGTTCCCTAGTCGCTCAAGATCCCCAGTGAGGACTGAAAAGGAACGGACTTCTGAACCAGCTGTGAGGAGCATAAGCCCTGACTCTCCTCCACTCAAAGATAGAAATCATAGCCTAACTCCCAATGGAAACAGCCCGATGCCTGAGAACAACGGTCTAAGCCCGAAAGGTCAAGATAACGGCGATGCAACCAATGGACATGACCACAGTCCCAGAGACGAACGCAGTCCCTGAGAAGATTCACAAAGAGTGAAGAAACTCTTCGAACAATTTAATGAACTTGCGTTTTTGTAAGACTTGTAATGGTTTCCTTGCAGACCTGTGTGGAATTTTTGTGTGTGTTTGAAGACTTCCCCTGTTTTTTAATAATAATTAATATGTAGCAAAAATACACACATCAGTTTGCTTCTATTTCCGACAACAAATAATTGTATTTTCAAAAAGCTTCTCGTTTTGAACATCTTCACAAATTGGGATCTTATCTTGAGGAAACTTTCTGTTTAATTTTGCGACAAAAAAATGCTTCCTTCTCTTGCTTTATCCACGGCACCAATGACCTTGACGATTATCTCTGCCACGAGAAGGTCCCAAGTTTCGCAACTTAAAGCAAAGAAAACCAAACCGGAGAACAAGCGGCCAACGCCGACGTCGACGAGCGGTTTCTCAGGCAAAACAGCAAAGGAATTGACGTGGCAGTGCGTAGAAGGTTGTGGAGCTTGCTGTAAGCTTGCCAAGGACTTCGCTTTCGCCACCCCTGACGAAATCTTCGACAACCCTGACGATGTTGAGGTTTGTTTGTTTTCACCCACCACCTGCTCGACGAAATTCCTCTGTCGGTTTATGTTTTTTTTATTCCTTTTCATCTTTTATGCATAATCTAGCTGTATCGGAGCATGGTCGGAAATGATGGATGGTGCATGAACTACAACAAAGCTACACGCAAATGCTCGATTTATGCTGGTAAATTTGTTAGCATATTCTTCTCTCTGTTACATTTCAACTGCTGAACATTTTCTACTTAAACACTCCTTGTGAATCGATCAGATTTTGTTATGTTTTGAATTTGAACGTCTTCTTCTTTTACTGACTTCAGATCGTCCATATTTCTGCCGGGTTGAGCCAGAGGTTTTCCACACTCTCTACGGGATCGAAGAAAAGAAATTCAACAAGGAAGCTTGCAGGTAACATCAATCTTTCTCTCTGGGTTTTATCATTTTCACCTACAAGAGCCTATTATTCCCCTTTCACAAGCTCTCACCATGAGAGTGCTGAAACCAAATCAAATACATATCCGAATCTTATAAGAATCTTTTAAATTTAGCTGTATAAACTTGTTAACATAGAATGTGAGAAGAAACTGATTGTTCTCTTAATACGTTTCCAGCTGCTGCATTGATACCATTAAGACGATATATGGTTCGGATTCCAAAGAACTAGATGATTTCAACCGTGCAATCAGAAGTAGTCCGAGCTCGAGTAAATAGCCAGACGAACTCGAAGACAGGTATTAATTCAGTTCTTTTCTTGCTAGTAAATACCTTAAAAGTTCCCTCAATGCACTTGTGGAATACAATGTGTTGTACAAATAGCCTTAGTAGTAGTGAAACATTTTTGTATTATTTTGACTGATTTCTAAATTATGGGGAAGAGAAACAAATACCAGAAAAAAAAAAAACAGATGGCAAAAGTACTGAGATTTCCTACTGTCAATCTTCTTCCCTAACAAAGCTGCAAAATTTATGAAACACCAAAATCTCTGTGCAAAAAAACGTGGACAAAACCATGTCATATCACAGGTTCCAGTCCAAGTTCATCTTCAGTTTCATCACTTTCCTCAAACAGCTTCATAAACCGAGCTTGATCTCGTTGCAGCTTCATCCTCTTAGAGTGTCTAAACACAAAAACGCCTCCAACCACAACAAGAGCTGCGCACAAGACGCCTGCCACAATCGCTATCGCAACTGTTGACCCATTATCTCCTTCCTCTTTTGAACTAGAACTCGTCTTTGCTTCGGCGGATACTACATTTTGGATTCATTCTATTTTAATTCTGATCATCACGTCGTTTCTTTTGACAGGAAACACAAATGCAGGAATTAGTTTTTACTCACCTGATTCGAGCTTGGCACAACCGTGGCAGACAAAAGTAGCATTCATCTCCTTTTCCTTAAAGTGCATATAGATTTGGCTAGCAGAGAAATCAGAAGGACAAAGCTCCCATTCATCAAACTCTTTGGCTGATACGAGGCTGCCTTGCTCATAGATTCCGCATCTCTTACACTTTTCGCCACTGATTTCAGTCATCGGCTGTAATAAACAAGTAGAGAGAAGAAAACATCTAAGTTCTTACAATCTTGATTTATTAATAGATGGGTAGTAAATACTAATAAGCAGATGTAAAAGAGAACAGGGACGAGCCTGCCATGATTCTTGGCCGCGGAAAGTGTACAAGATACCAGATTTGGTAACATCGGGAAGAACAGTTTTGTTCTCTCCTTTGCATTGAAAGTAGACTGTGTGTTTGAGTTTGAACCAGTCATGCTTCGTGAATATCTCAATGGAGTCTAGTGTGATGAATTGTGCTCTCACAATTCCTGCAATTTTGCAGGCACAATCAAAAGTTTAGTATGATTGGTTTTGACCATATTCTTAAAGTCGATATGTCCGAGTGGTTAAGGAGATAGACTCGAAATCTGTTGGGCTTTGCCTGCGCAGGTTCGAATTCTGCTGTCGACGTTATTGTTACATTACTGAAAATTTTCGATCAAATTGAATTGAAATTTTTATAGATTCTTTGAAATCCTTTTTATGTGTGTACGTATTTTTCCTCATGGAAATCTATTCTGCACAAATCGATCTATGGAAACAAAGAAATAATGAAGACATACGATTCTTGAGCGGATAAAAATTTGGTAAACGAAAGAAGCTGTTTTGTTTCCCGGGAAAATTAGCTGTGTACGTTACCTGGAATCAAGATGTGAGTGATTGACCAGAAAAGAAGATTCCTCCAGATCAACGAATTTCGATCCGACATTTTTATTAACTGTTTTTTTTTTCTGTATTAATTTTCGATTGATTCTCCCTTTTATTTTCTGCGAATGAAGCAGAGGAGGAAGACGAAAGTTTGAGAGAAAAAGAGGGAGAGAGATCCACAGTGACACGTGTGTCTCACGCATAATACCCTCTGATCACACTCCCTCTTGAATTGCACATTCAATACACACCAATTTGTAACGTTCGTATGAAAAATCGACAGAGCCAAATAAATATGATCTTTTACATTTCACAAGTCAAAACAACTGAATTACACATATATTACTACTGAATATTATTAGCTTTGTTAGAGTTGTAAGTTTTTATCGAATTTTGTTAAGTTAAAAATTTGAACAAAATCAGCTTACATATGTTCTGTATGGCCGTTTTCTTTTCAACAAAATTAAGAAAAACAAGGAAAAAAAAAACTGAAAACGAACAGATGAGACAATCTGTCAAAGCTTGTCAGAAAATGGCAAATCACTAACCGAATAATGAATGTCTCAAAAGTAAAAAAGAAAGACCTGAGAAACAGAGAGGTGGAGAATGAGAGACACGAAGACGACAAAGAGAGATGTCGTCTTCGTTATATCATCCCTGTTTTCTCTTCATCTCCTCTCTCCTCTTCCTAGTCCTTATATTCTCCGGCGATGTTCCCTCCGCCGCCGGAACTTTATCGCCGGGCGCACCCAAATCCTCCGCTCGTGCGATGAACAGAGTTAGAAGGAATATGAAATCGACGGAGTTCTTAAACGAGCACAACACAGCGCGTGCAGCTGCGGGCGCGCCGAATCTAAAATGGGATCAAGGCCTGGCCCGTTTCGCTTCTAATTGGGCCAAGCAACGTAAATCAGATTGTAAAATGACCCATTCTGGTGGGCCTTACGGAGAGAATATTTTCTGGTACCGGAGGAGTGAGAATTGGTCGCCAAAGAGAGTGGTTGCGAAATGGGTGGCGGAAAGTTTGAACTACGATCGGAATACTAACACGTGTGCGTCTGGCCAGATGTGCGGTCATTATACGCAGATCGTTTGGCGTACAACCACAGCCGTTGGATGCGCACGTGCGAAGTGCAACAACAACCGTGGATTCCTAGTGGTCTGCGAGTATTCTCCTGGTGGAAATTACGAAGGCGAAAGTCCTTTTGATTTGCCTAAATAATAATCCAAATTATACAAGATTCACGTTGTTTTTTTTTCTCTAATTGTTCCTCCAATTCAAGTGAAACGTTAAGTTTTGTTTTTCTTTTTTGTTCTCAATAAGGAAAATTTGAGTCTTATTATGTGTTGAAGTACTGTTTTTTTTTTCGTTAATTTTCTGCGAATGTACGTAACGTGGATCGTATTTTTGTTTAGATAATAGACTTGGGCCTAGATCTCAGTCTGAAAATAATTAATTATCATACGGGCTTTTCTTTTTATTTTTCAACTAAATTAAAACGCCGTCGTTTAATAATTAAATGTGGCTAATGTTCGAATCTTCGTGTTCGTCACTGAGACTCTGTAGAGAAAAACCCTAACATTTTCCGGTGAGAGATGAGTATCATCCTTAGGGCAATCAGATCGAGTTTGAGTCTCCGGCCATTGGATCAGGTCAGTCGTAAATCTCTTCCATTTATTCAGGAGTCTAGGAAATGTCTATCTACCGTCACAGAGCAGCCTCCTTTCTCTCCGTTACCACCGTCTCCGGGAGCTTCTCCGATCGACGGATTAAACAGGCCGTCGGAAGAAGGTTGTGTTATTAGTCTTCGCGATCATTTCTTCAGTTTGTGGGGCAAAAATCTTAGATCACAGCTGCAGAGTTTTATATGTTACTGAAACTAATGATATGGCAAAAATGAAAATATTGGTTTTGAGTTTACTCGCGCAGGATTTTGTGTAAAAATGGAATTTTTTTTATGGTTTAGAGTGTCGAAGGATTCTGGATTTTTATGGTTTTTGGACTCGAGCTCATTTTGAAGATGAATCAATGATTGTCTTGTCTTCTTTATTTTTTGGAACGCGAATAAGAAAGGATTTATTTTTTTTGGTCCTTGATTGTAAATTTTGTTCTTTCAGGGAGGTTGTATGGGAAATTTTCAGGCGTCTCAAAACATACGCTTAAGACTGATGTTATGAACATACTTGAGGGATGCAATGTGACACCAGATGATCTCAAATTCAGCTATATGCGTGGTGGAAACTTAAATCCTGCAGCAGTGTGAGTATTAGTTTAATCATTGTTACAATTTATGTGAATATTAGCTTAATTATTGTTACAATTTGTGTTTTCGGAAGCATGAATTTCGATTCCAAACTAACACATTTCAATCCTACGTTGGTAATTTCAGTTATGTGCAATTCCCTTCCCGTTCCTCATATGATAGCGCAATGGGGACAATCGCGAAGAAGGGAAGGCTATATAGATTAGAAAGGGTAATCCATTTACAAACTATAGAGTCCATATTTATGTGCACCTGACTAATTTATCCTGAGTTGATTCCTTGTCAATGGATTAGGCTACTCGTTCTCAGTGGGATCCCATTGTTCCTTACGACGGGAAAGTGGTAAGCTATATATTCTGCGTCTCCTTATTGTGTTATCAAGGTTCTTTATTCAGACGATTGGTCTGAGCTAAACTAATGAGATTTGATATTGTTTAGATTGCACTACATGGGCTTCCGCGGAATGTTGTAATAGATGACATAGACAGGTTCTTATCCGGCTGTCTCTATTATCCTGGATCCATCCAGTTCCTCACAATGTGAGTAATTTTCGGTTTACTAACTTTTATCTTTCTTACCGTCTTTGGCTTTTGCTCGATCGTTTAGTTAGCTATTAGTACTACATGTGACTTGTTTTCATCTTGTTTTGATTCATCATAACTAGGCAACTCTGTGCTCTATTGTGTTGTGAAGTCATTTATGGATTACTGATAAAATAAGGACATGAAAACTATTTTAATGCCTTCTTTGACCATGCAGCCAAGGACTCGGAAGGCCTAAGAGGGTGGCATTGGTGCGTTTCACATCACAGACACAGGCAATGAACGCATACATTACAAAGAACCGTAACTTCCTTCTCAACAACCGAATCACGTTGCAAGTTCTGCAGTAATTTCTTAGTTCCCTCTCCATTCTCGTGGTGTACTCCAACGGCAAGAAACTGGAAGCACGTTGTTTTGTGTCATTCCTGTTGCTATGTTCTAGTTCAATTTGATTTTCTAAATTTCTATCTGCAAATTCGATGATGCTGAAATTACTGTTGTTGTCTCTGTTTTTTCTGGTTCAGTCTGATGTTCACAAATAACAAATTCAGGTGTCTTAAGTATAAGAGCAGATTTCAACTGTGATTTTTTTTCCTTTCTTTCTTGTATTTTGACTAAAGCTGTTAACTTTGGATGCCCATGTGATGAAGTGATCTATCTTGCTTTTAGAAAGTGAATGACTTTGTACTACAAGGGCAGCTTGGTGGGGCACGCTTTTCACCAGGGCCATAGAAATCGACCAGAGTAGAATCATATTATAATATTTCTTATTTCTTCACTTGCTTTTTCTAGTGGGTCATCTACTCATCTTTACTTGTAATTGAAGCATCTTGTTATCATATATTCTCACGGTATTCGATCTTCCTTAATAAGTTCCATCGGTTGTGTAGAAAATCTGATAGTTCTAATGCGCTGTTAAATTTGTACACTTTATGGCTTAAGAGGGAAAGCGCAAGTCCTTTTGATATGGCACATGATCGGTAAAGTTCACGATTGTTGGTTAAGCAAGATTCAGTAAACTCAATGGCCAAGCCCCTATAGTAGGATCATCATTGAGCATTTTGTTAGATTGGTAAGTTGTATATGGAGTGAGGGGTAAACTTGTAATCAAAATAGTCTTTGAAGACTTTTGTGATGTCCACCGAAATCTTGTTTAGGGATTTGAGAGACATGAGAGTTTGTGAAAGTATGGACAACACACCGGGACAAATGCATAGAGACTAGAGTTATAGAATGGTGTGGTCATGTGAATTATTAATCTCTCAACACTGTATCTTGAATACAACAGTTAAAAAGTAGAAGAAACCATGAATTTAGCCAAACATTTTGTTCTTGCTATCTTAAATAGTTTGACTATTGACAATGTTTCTCTTGTTGTGTTGCTTTTGTTTTGTCATAAACACTAACAGAAAGATCTCTTTGTCCTAAACAGCAAAGCATGAGTTTGGTAAATAATCTTATCGGATCATTTGGTATGAATGATGGATTATTAGGTTTGTGCTTTTGTGTGATTTTGTGTTGTGAAAGTAGACAAATTCCATAAGGACAAGTAGAACTATATAAACAAGCCTATCCAAGTTCTTACTCTACTCCATACACACTTGTCTGGTCCCATTCCACATGATCAAAACTTTCATGAATCTTATAGTAATAACGTAATTAACAATAATTAAGTCACATTAACAAAAGATGTAGCTCCTTTAGTTTCTAATCTAAATCTATTTCCAAGATATATTTTAAGTAGAACAAACACTTTTTATAGCATAAAGTCTGCAAGCTAATTATATCTGTCACCAACAATTTGCTAAAGTGTTAAGCTTTTGCCAACTCTTCTCCCTTCATAGCTTCTTCACCTTTATTCTCCAATTCCATTTTGACATCTATCAAATAAATCAGAGCCCAAACAAGCAAAGCCGACAACAATCTCTTTTGTAACATAACCTTTTGTTTCTTCCCTAATAAAAAAAGCACACAATATTTTTATTATTAGTTCCACCAAATTCTCAATTTGACTCAATACAAGTATATAAGCAAAGATACATCGAAAAAGTGAGTGTGTCAACAGAAGTGAGAAAACGAAGCACACAAGATATATCCAACATGGAAGAAGAAAACACAACAATCATCATGACGTCACTTGCAACTCTCTCTCCTTCACATCTAACAAATCTCACTCACTCCATTCTTTCTCTCTCCCACCACCATCGCCGTCGTCTCGCCGCCGTCCTCTCTTCTCCGACGCTTTTCTCACTCACCCTCCGCCACCTCCTCTCTCTCTCCCTCCCTCAAAAAACCCTCCTCATCGCCAACCACCTCCTCTCTCTTCTCCATCCTCTTCTCCTCCACCGTAACCACCACTCTCTCTCCTCGTCCGCCTCCGCCATGAAGCTCCGAGACCTAGACGCGGTGGTCCTCCTCCTTTTTCTATGCGAAACACACCAGCTTGATCCAGACGTTCTAGAAGCTTCCGCTGATAATTGGCGCGAAATGCTCGGTAAAATGTGCTCTGATCTCATGTTAAATAATATATCCGGTCTCTGGACTTGCGACGCCGGAATCTTGATGCCGTACATAGAAACCCTAGTTAGATGCAAAAGATTCGTCGACATAATGGGAGGCTACAACCATCTTCGTCGAGGAGGAGAGAAAGAAGGCTGTGAAATTCCGGCGGCTAGAGCGGCTGTGGTAGCGTTACGGGCGGTTCAAGTGTTAAATTCCGCCGCTTCAAACGCCGGAGAAGTAGAATGCGTGATATGCAAGGAAGACATGAGCGAAGGAAGGGATGTTTGTGAAATGCCATGTCAGCATCTGTTTCATTGGAAGTGTATATTGCCATGGCTTAGCAAGAAGAACACGTGTCCTTCTTGTAGGTTTCAACTTCCCACCGACGATGTCTTCTCCGAGATCCAACGGCTTTGGGAGATCCTCGTCAAGACCACCGGGTTACACGTGGCGTGATCTCAGCTCTCGGTGATGTAATACATGTGTAAGAAGCCTGTACATCGTTATCTCTATACTATAACAGATATAGAAATGTTTGGACCGTTTTGATCTTTAATTGAATTTATGTTTTTTCTTTTGATAAAGACACGTGTGTTATAGACTCATAACGACTTTCTTGGTAATCAAATTTGGTAGTCCGATGAATTTCGTAAAATTTATTGTACCATATAGAACGTGAAATTAAATTGATTTTTTTTCCCTGTACTATCGTTCGTTTTGTATCGATCGAGTTCATATGTTGTTTCCATAATCCATCAATGAAGAAGTAAAATAAAATAAAATGTGGACAGAAGTTAGTACTCGATAAAGCAAATTTCCCGTCATGAATTTTTCTTCAGTTTCTTTTTGTCTTAACAATTTTTTTTTGGTCTGCCTTAACAATTTTTCTCATGTAGAATGTACAAATAATTCCATGATTCGTTTTTAATTTTTTTTTTTTAAAGGTCAAGCTCGTCAAGTCAAACTATGGGTCTATATATAATTATGGGCTTTTCTATAGTTGGGCCTTTAGCGACGTGCGAATTAGATGGTTTTTCAATTTGGAAAGTATTTTGCTGTATTTTATTCCTGGGCGTTTAATGGGCCTGTGAATTATTACAGGCTGTGCTTATTAATTTATTAGAGTTACAACGGCTTCAAACTACGTTAATTTAATTCTAATTATAACTAGAAGAATAACACACTGAGAGAAGTTTAACTAACATTATAAGCAAATGGCAAACCGGATACCAAGCTAAAATATCTTTTTTAAGTAATCAATTGTTTAGATTTTTATCTGAATTATTCCAAGATAAAGCTTTAATCAAAGTAATTTAAAAATAATATGCGTAGACTATAGTATATATATTAATATAAAATAATATAAATATCTGCCACTTGGTAAATAAATATATAGCCGTCAATAAATTTTAGTTTGATAAACCAATTGGGTTGAGTAATCATAGTCATGTGCATCTATTCCATCTTGAAAAATGACGAATTGTTTCTCTATATAGTTTGAAGATGTTTTGAAGTTTTATTCTAACCACACAAACCTAATTACTTTTAAATGATACTACGTGTAGCTTCTAAAAAAGATTCTATTAAATTTGTGGAGCTAGTAGCGTAGCTTCAAAATTGACGTGGTTCAAAACGCAAATGCACAAATTTTATGCCGGTACTCCGTAGAAACCATTGTTCTGACATTACGTTTATATTAAAAGATTATATATATATGTATGTTAATAGGGTTATTTTTTATATTTTATAATCCGAGTTTTTAGGGTTAAAGATATAAAGATTCTAATGCGAAAAGTAAATCTATCTACAATATAAATTATTAAAATTGCAGAAAACGATGATCATGATTCATGATGGATAGCTAGTAGCAAGATGAGATGAGAAATCTAATCTCATAAAAAGTACAAATAAAAGTGATAATAGTACGTCCAGATACAATTGCAAAGAAGTGAGCTAGATAACAAAACAAAAATCTAGTATAATATAAATTTAGTTTGATTGTAATATGAGTAAATAATAAAGTACTACGACAATACGAAGAACACTAGTTAGTAGATAGATGGTGTTGTGATAAAATGTCGAGGTTTGGTTCGACCAGACAATATGGGACCTTCACGATGTCTGTCTCATGTTTCCTGCATGCCATGCATTCTATTTACTCTTTCTTTCTCTACGTGCCCACGTCTCCAAATTTTATTTATTTTCTAATTTTTGTGATGAATCAAAATAGGCTAAATTGGATCTGTTGTCTTATATATATTGGTAGTTTGGTACAATAGTCACAACTAATTAGCGTTTAAGATTCTTTCTTGAAAAGGTAGTAGGTTCAAATTCAATTAATTAGCTAATACTAGTAGTAAGCTAGGTTTCTCGAAAGATGGGATATACTTAAATGCTCGCATATAGTTTAAATTAAATAGATAACATCAGAAAGGTTTTCAAAAATTGGAGACATAGTGTCGCTATTTTTTGTTGTCTGTGCTTTTAAATAGAGGATCGAATAATTCTTATTTGGTAGACATCCAACGGGCCATGGTTATGAATTTCTTTTTGTTAGGGTACTGTCTAATTTGAATCGATGCATGCGATATAAATTTTGTAGAAACAATTCGTGCCATAGATATCACGTAACTCTTAATCAATCACTTGAGCTATATGGTTAAACGTCCTACGTACTATGTAATAGGTTAAACGTTGGTCCTTCAGTCTTCAGGTCAAACTAGGTTTGTGGATATATAGTTGATCTTTTAATTTATTGAGTCTAAATAAATTTACTTGAGAGGTTTAGAAAAGAAATTTACAAAACAGTTTATAGAGAAACCGAAGAAGTTTGTCTTAATGCACCAAACGTAATAAGTAAAACGTTGTTGCCTTGTTGGTCCTTCAAGCTAGGTTTGTGAAGTATATATATAGTTTCATTTCGTACTATACTAAATTCAAAGTAATTAAACTGGAATAAGTTTAATCAATGTTGCATAAAACTAATGTTAAACCCCAAAAGAAAAAAACAATGTGAAGTGAGAAGCTGAAGAGATAGACTGACATGCATGCTCCCTCAACCAAAAGACAAAACACACAGTGCAGTATCAATGGCCCAGCTGTCACCACAACTCTTTGTTTTATTTTTATAGGAACTTGTTTTACTTTTCTATTTTGATAATTTATAAATATTCTTCTTATCTTGTTTAATCAAAACGAGACTGATCGTTTGATTAGTTTTGTAATAAGATAGGAATTTAATTAAAGGATGGAGAGCACATGCATGATAATGCACTGTACTGTAATGGTGCATTCAAGGACTCTTGAATACGTTCCAAGGCCACATGTTCAGTACTTAATAGGTCCATATATATGAAAGTTAATTTGATAAGCTAAGAGAAAATGTACCTGGACCTTTCTTTCTATTTTGTAATAGATTATCTACACGTGATTTTCTTACTTTTGATTTGACTTTAGATCTACATGCATAAAACTTTTAACCATATTATGCGTCAAGTCACACGATCTAGCCGACACCAATTGATGAGATAACCAACTAGTGGAACCGTCATATGCAATATCAAATACCAGCAATGAATGAAATATGAGCCCTATATATCAACAAATTGATATTCGTTCGTTCCCAAAACAAGAAAAACCAAATATTTCATAATATTGGAAGAAGTCGATATGAATTTAATAATATCCGATTCAGTTAAACCTCACAGTCTTCTTGGGAGGATGTATTCATGTATATCAAGTCCTAAATTCGAACCCGTCTTATTATTTACCTGTTTTGGTTCCAAAAAATAATTTCAACAAGTGGAAGAGAAAGTTATGTAACCCACTTGTTGAATTCCTGATTAGGAAGCACAACAAAAAGGCATAGAGGAAGAAAAACGAAAGCTCAAGCTATAGCTTGATCATATTTTGTTAGATGATATAACAATGATAACTACTCATCAATGTAATTCATCGATCAACGCACGACAGTGTTTCTCTCTAAGGTAACATCGATGTGTGGATCCTTATGAACACAAAACGAGGAGAAACAGACAGAGAAGGCCAATGAGGGCCATGGAAGAAGGAGAAGAAGAAGAAGGCCAATGCAAGTTGGAACTTAGGAAAAAGACCAAAAAGATCCATTCTTTGGAAAATTCATTTCAACCCCATAATCCATGAAATAAATTTCGATCTAAATCTCACTGGCAAAAAGAGAGCCTATATTATTTTTTTTTAATAACCTTTTGAGTGTTAAAAAAAAAAATACAGAAAAGGGCAAAAAAACTGTAGGGGTTAAGACAGCTAAGAGTGTTCCTCAGTCGCCCCACAAAGGACTTCTCTCCTCTCTCTTCAGTCTTTCTCAACTCTCAAAATCTTAAATGGTTCCAAGTTCAATGCTCCAATCCACACCCACGCCCTCTTCGATCCCTCACACATGCATCCTATGACCTTTCCTTTTCTATCCATTTTCTTCCCACAATACTACCAAACTGCAAAACCAAAAAGCAAAAACAAATTTTGCAATATGAGAAATAAAGTCTGCCACATAATCACTGTGAAAACAGTCATTACATAATACTACTCCTCATAACTCAATATCACATCATTTCTTCATGTAAACTCTGATCCCAATCTAAATGTTTTCATTTAGTCTCCCATTGTCATGTGAAGGTTTTAGCATCACTGGTTCAACCACAAGGTTACTGAGATTCGAACTAGAGATAATCAAATGACTATTTTGGCTATGAACATTTTTGCCTCCTAAGTTTGCAAGGTTAACTTCTAAGGAAAGAAAGATAATTTCAGAGGGAAAAACATGGTCATGAATTAAATATATCAGAAAGTAGAATATGACAGCTTTTTTACTTAACCCTACTAAGACAGAGAATCAACATCGAACAGTAAAGAGGAGAATCTCTGAATATCCACTTTAAACTACTGCCCTCTTGTCTTAACTCTCAGAATCATTTAATTTTTCTTATTCAGTTAATTTGACCCATATCCTTTTGGCCTCTTTCCCTGGTTTCCAACACCTTCTACTTACTCTAGGGCTTCCACGGCTATATATATATATGGTCCCTTCCTTGAACTTGAAACTCATAATTCACAACTAGCACAGCTACTACTTGTTATCACTCCCCCATCAATTCAATCTATAGTCTTATCTGTGTATATATTACGATATTGCTCGAAGATTACATACCTGGGAAAATGGTCAAACCCTGCTGGAGAATAGGTGCCGGTATGGAGAGAAGTAAGATCAATCCCACAAAGAACGATGGCTTGACATGGTATAACGATCTTGGTCTTCACGCCTTTGGAGAGTTCTCGCTGGCCATGATCCAAGCCAACAGTGAGATGGAGGACCAGTGCCAGATCGAATCAGGGCCATTGACATTCAACAACCCAACAGTTCAAGGCACGTTTGTTGGAGTGTATGATGGTCATGGAGGTCCAGAGGCTTCCAGATTCATTGCAGACAACATCTTCCCCAAGTTAAAGAGTAAGACACCGCCTTCTCATTCTGTACTTGCTCATTCTTAAAACTGTCAGGCAGGCACACTAACACTCAGGTTTCACACATCAACAGAGTTCGCCTCCGAGGGTAGAGAGATTTCAGAGCAGGTGATCAAGAAAGCATTTTCAGAGACAGACCAAGACTTTCTCAACGGAGTGAAGAAACAATGGCGCAAGAACCCACATATGGCATCAGTGGGGTCATGTTGCTTGGCAGGAGTGATATGCAACGGATTGGTGTATATTGCAAACGCAGGAGATTCCAGGGCTGTATTAGGCAGATCTGAGAGAGGTGGAGTGAGAGCTGTTCAGTTATCAGTAGAGCACAATGCCAATGTAGAGTCTGCTAGGCAAGAGCTATGGTCAATGCATCCTAATGACCCCAACATTCTTGTGATGAAGCACCGGATGTGGCGTGTGAAAGGCATCATCCAGGTAAACCATTACATGATGCTAACACTTGTATATCGAAGCCATACCTTGCATCAGGATGTAAAACTCACACGCAAATGTGTTATTACCTTAAATCAGGTCACAAAATCCATAGGAGATGCATACCTCAAAAGAGCAGAGTTCAACAGAGAGCCGTTGCTGCCCAAATTCAGACTACCAGAACATTTCACCAAACCAATACTTAGCGCTGATCCATCAGTCACGGTTACTCGGCTTAAACCAGAAGACGAGTTTATGATTCTTGCTTCAGATGGGCTTTGGGAGCATCTTAGCAACCAGGAAGCTGTTGATATTGTACATAGTTCCCCGCGCCAAGTAAGTTCGACGCCTAACTCATATCCAGTGGGGTACCTGTCTGCTATACAAAAATTTGCACACAAGAATTATTTTGTTATTAATACCTTTACATTCATAGGGAATAGCAAGGAGACTACTCAAAGCTGCACTGAAGGAAGCAGCAAAGAAAAGAGAGATGAGATACTCAGACCTGAAAGAGATCAATCCTGGTGTGAGAAGGCATTTCCATGACGATATATCTGTTATTGTGGTCTATCTCAAGCCCCAGATGGTCAAAACCAATGGTTGGGCTTCTCCACTGTCAGTAAGAGGTGGCTACCCTATGCATTCAACATCATGAACAGATACCACAGCATCGACTCTTCGTTTCTCTCAGTGTAATGCCTAAAGGCAACGAAATTTGGAACCAGGAGCAAGAACCACTAGTAGTATAGGTAGATCAATATTAAATTTGCGAGATCTTTGATATGTTCTTTTTAAGAAAACATAAATTCAAGTGAACCCCTGTATTCAAAAATGATACACGAGGGTACTTTCATGCAATATCGTCATTGTCCACGTTGGTAAAATTTCAAAAGCATATACATTAGCCTTTCGGCACAAAACGCAACATAACCAATAGGTGTGAATAAGCACAAGCACAACAAATGAAAATAAGAAGCAAAAAAACTGAACATTACATTCCCTTAGTAACAGTTTTCTGGCGCTTGATTCAAAATTCTCAGAAAGAAAAGTATCAACAAAGTATATCAATAATCTATTACAGAAAGATAAGACATTGTGTAGCATCAGAATGCCAGAAAAGTCACAGCCCCCGCGAACAGAGATTCAGCATCTGAGGTTCTCTTCCTTTCAACTGCCATAGAGAGACCAGAGAAATGGAAACCAACAAGTATCTCTATAGTTCTAATGATGTCTTAACTAAGGAATTCTGAAGTAGCGGCTTGAGAGGTCATGTCAATAAGAAAACCAAATTACGACAAATGGTTATGGGTTCCATTTTGATGCAATATTCGCAATCAAGCACAGGACGACAGTAAACCAGCTTATTTTAGGAACGAGATAAAGATGACAAAACACTTACTTTGATAGATAAGCTAGCAAAATAGGCTGATTTTCAAGGAAACGCATCGGCACAGCTCAAAAGCAATCAACACTACTACTTTCTTACTAGCTTAGGAACAAAATCTTCAAATCAGTGAAAAAAAACTGTCTTTCCTTTGATAACCGAAAATAGTTTGCTACATGCAGTACAAACTCTCTATTATTGTTGTTTGTACTTGATACGAACATGCAACGTTAAAAGGACCATCCACATTCACATATAGTTAAATGAAATAAAGGCATTACTAGCTATACTTACCACTTCAAGCACCTGCAACATGGAAAACATCAACACCAGCCACTTCAGAATTCCTAGGTCCTAACACATTGATAATTGCTTTTTTTTTAAGACACTCAGAGCTATAGGTTACTTATTGGTTTCTCAAGATCTCATCTGATGACACCTTAGCTTCTGTCCATCTGAGAGAATCATTGCATAACTGCACAACCTTGCTCCGCGACCAGACTTCAACCGTAATAAAGATACTACACACGAGGACTTCTACTTCGGAAATAAATAGAGAATCAAGCGGCCAGAGAGGGAATCATAAAACGCTACACTACCTGCCAAAACCAAAGATTGTGGAGTCAGATACGAGAAAATAAGCCAGACACTACTAAATTTTGCCATGCAATCAGAAGTATCAAAAGAAACTCACCTAACTGCAAAGATAGAAGAACTTTATTCAGGAACCTTAGGCAGCGTTTCCAGATACAGCTGCCTCCTGATGAAGCAAAGAGTTGAACAATATAAACCGTTAGCTTTTCTATTTATGTTCTAGTTCTAACAGAAGAGAGAAAATACATAAGTTAAAGACGGTCTACCTTGCCAATAATTTGCTTCGCAGGTAAATCTGAAGATGAATCGGAAGACGGCTTTGAAAACCTAATGATGGGCAATTCACAAACCACATTATTGAAAAAATAATCGCACAGCACATCAAACCTCAGGCACTAGCTTATTTCAGGTTGCATGAAAATGTACCTTAGTGCCCTAGCTTTGCGTTTATCTTCTTCGGCCGAATCAACTTTGATATCAACTTTACCATCTTTCCCGAAACGGGCGAGCCTAGCTTTCTTCTTTGCCTCTTCCTCCGTGTTATCAGTGGTAGGAGATGATGCAGGAACCCCAAATCTGTGTGTGAAATTAAGCGAATGTGAAACTCTAAACATGGAAGCAATACACTAGTAAGCACAAAGAAAGCATGGTGAAAAACCTGTCAGCTCTAGCCTTTCGCTTCAATTCCTCTGCTTTCTTCGTTCCCGCAGAGTCATTCACCGCTGTTACAGTACCAAACCTGTATCGAGAGTGAAATACGTTTCAATCTCGCAAACTTATAAGTATGACAGTATGTGAACATTAAGAATCCTCCGTTGCGTTCTTAAGGTTCAGTGAGTTGATAAATTCCGAACAGATGAAAGAAAATCGCTTCGTAAGAAGGCCGAAACCCTAGTTTTGAAATCCCTAAAAACGACAGGAATCAACGAATAAACTTAGCCATAAGGGGAAGAAGTTACCTCTCAGCACGCGAATTGCGCTTCTCCTCTTCGGTTAACTTGACAGAAACCCCAAACCTCTCAGCACGTCGAATCTTCTTCTGAATATCATCGACCGGAGATACATCCCCAGAATCAGCCGATCCAATAGCCTTAGAGTCGGCTTCGTCCTTCTTCACACCAGAAACATCAACGGATTCCTTGACTTCTCCGTTGAGTATGTCATCCGTACGATCTGGCTCCACAGTGTTGAGGTCTACGATTTTCTTAGGGTTTTCACCAGTAGAAAGTCCTCCGCCATTCTCCATCGTCGCCGTGACCTTAACTCCGTTGCTCGCCATAGAATCGAAGCTCCGTTCAAAATACGCGCCTAGAGAGAGCGAGAGCGAGAGAGATTCCTAAGATTTCGCGATTTAGCCACAGTTAGGGTTCGGGGGTCCGGTCTCGGTGCTTTTTAAAGCCTCAATATAAAGGCTAAAATCGTCTAATCAAATTTGATTTCGTATGGACCGGATCGTATGTATTTAGATGTATACCACTTGCCTAAATAGTAAAGACTGTCCAAATTTGGGTTTTTAGAATAATATTTCCAGACTTATGAAGAAAATACTGTACTACCTGCCTAAAAACTTATTGAAGCAACTGATTAATTAGACTGAGTATTACAAAAAAAATTATTATATAATTGCAATTTATCATATCACTCTAAAGAATCACATAAAAAAAATAACTAAAACAAGACCCACTCATCACCAATGTGTGACAATAACAGAATGCAAAAAGAAATGGGATAAGTGTCTCCCCTTCTATTACTACTGGCTCATATGAAAATTTGAATCTGCTAGACTGTTTTTCATTGGGTTTGGTTTGCAATGGTGACTCCGGTTGATCGATCCTCATGAGCCAAAACATGGCCAAGAAGAGATGGTAAAAACATGTACTTTTGTATCATTACTATTGGTACAACCACCAAAGAGTAAAGAAGTAAAGAGGTGGAATTCTAGATATCTTATAGGGTTATTACAAAGCAGTGTGTGTTTTTACATTGCATATAATTTATCAATGGTTTCAAGTTCTTATATTACTAACCTGAGAAAAAAATGATACCGTTATGGAAAGTTATTTAATTAGTCAATTATGCATTAACTAAGTGAGCTATATGATAAATCGTAATAAATCACTTTGTTCGTCAGATGCGGATACTATAAATTGTTTGGATTATCAAGATTCAGACTAAATAAATTAAGAATGATGCAAAAAAAATTTCGCGTCATCGTTTGAGCTCAATAGAGACATGATAGTTGTGAGAAAGTGTTCCAACCATCTGAAGCAGCTCTTCAAACCATTGTTCATCATTAAAGTACTTATCTCCCAACCATATAACCATCTTCTTTAGTGTCATTGCGTTTCTCAGCACCAATTCCATGAACGAAGCCAAAAGTTTCGACGTTGCATCGTTACAACCCAACATCGAATAGATTTCTTTCCAGGTAGGAAACACCTCACATTTTGATGCCCAACATGTAACTGAATTCAAGCCTTGTGAGCCCAAATAGCGGTCCAAATACTTATCCTGTAGAGCATAAAAAGTGTTACTCGTAAGCATATATGTACTAGCACAGGTGATTTATACAAAATATATATCAATCCTAGATACTGTTCAGCCCAACAAGGAGAGTTAAAAAAAGACATGGTTCGTGCCTTTGTGAAATGTTCCAAGAGAATGAAAGAGGTTTCTGGTGAAAATACCATTATTGTATCGCGCGAGTATCTTGTGTCTACAGTAAGCTTCTTTAAACCAGGTGAATTTTGTAGTAACCTTGCTATACCAGGAATAACGCATTTTTCAAACATGGTTCGAAGAGTCAAAGTCTGGACCTTGAGCGTTGGGAAAGGAACACCACGGAGCTCAGCGAGAGATAGAATCTAGCAAAAACAATGAAATGGTTAGGCTAATTGATATAAATCTGTGCAGAGAAGAAAAAAACACTAACAAGATCCTGTGAGTTGATATTACAAGTTTTGTATATATATATATATATATGTATATGCATATTGGCGATTGGGCTTGAGACGTTCTTAAACAATGAAGCCTTGATTAATTTTCAAACAAACACAGTGAATGTTATAGCCTTTAACTAGAGAGAATGAAAGAAACATACTTGAAGAAGAGTTCCTCCAGAACCAAAAGTAAGCCTCTCTGCGTTTTGTAGTTGTGCTAGCATCTTAAGCACCATGGTCTGAAGAAAACCAGCCTCTTGAACAAAACCAGCTTTAGAAATGTGGTAGTTTTTTATGCAAATGCCAAGGTAAGCTTCGGCCAAAGAAGAGGAGACATCGATTAAAGTACATGGTTCCTCAGAGCCTATCAATTTCAAATAATGGATGTGCGGCGCTACAATCTCCATTGGCCCTGAACTCAGGTAGGTGCGATATATTTCCAATGTTCTCAGACTCGGTGATTTACTCAGATCAAGACGCTTAAGTAAACCAGCAAAGTGATGCAATTTCAAGCTTGCGAGCTTCGGACAGCCAGAGAGAATATTAGAAATGCAATCATCATAGAGATTACAACATGTCAATGTCAATATCCTCAGGGAACTCCAAGAAACTGTGCATCTTGGAATCATATAAAAATCATCCACTCTGAGTTTCGTTAAGGAGGAACTAAGATAGAACAAATCCGGAAAACGATAAGTGGCGCGACCATAGCGAGTACCGCGGATCAGAGTCAGCTTCTCCACATTGCGGGACACAGCGAACTCGACCCAGCTATCAATATCGGGTGCATCGGCATCATGGGTCATACGAAGACGGAAGCTCGTGATTTTCAGAGCCCTGTAGGAACTTAGGGTTCGGTCTATCCCTGGACCCGTCTTTTCAAAGTCGAGACAAGGTAATTCGGACCACGCATGCCTCCATCGTCTGGACAAGACACAAGTTCTGATGGCGAGATCGGTGGGAATAAAGGAGAGAATATGCTGGAGGACCTCATCAGGCATAGAGCTGATGAAATCTGCACCGTCGATGATTCGGTTAATTTTGCGGTGGCTGTTTATACGGCGTTGTCGACGGCGCCGTCTCCCTCGCCTTTTCGCCATGATAACTCTGATTTGCTGCAGATGTTTTAGCTAGGTTTTTTTTTTTTTATATATATATCACAAATTCACACGAACCAGTCTACTAATTATATATATATATATATCGACCTGTCCTTCTATTTGTACATATTTTTATTTTACAACATCTTATATGATCGCAAGAATCGCGACACGTCTTCAATCTATATAGATTAAATTTCCCCTAATTTGATACCTGTAATTTTTTTCCCACTTATATATAGACAAAAATATTGAGATAAATACAAAAATTTATAATGTTAACATAAAATATAGATAATTCCAATTTAAACAAAAACATACAATACTTACATTTTTCTTTTATAAAGACGGTAAAATAAGAAATTCTTTCATTCTCCAATTAATTAAAAATATATAAATCAATTTATTATCTTTTAAATAAAATAATAGTAAAAGGAAATTCATCCATTTTTATGTCAATTCAGAAAAAATAAAAAGCTAAAGATGATTCAAAATAGTAATCTAATTCATACAGAAAAATAAAATTCAATTCGTCGAAGTTTCACGTGTCAATTTCGATTATACGTAGTTACGTACGTGTAATTTTCTTCTTCTTCTTCTAATTAGATAACTAATATTTATTACAACAATTTAGAATACAAAACCTACATTCTCTCATCATAGACAATATCGAGTTCCCAATTTTTTTTTTTTTTGTGTATGTGTAATGTGTAGACGTAGGATGTGAATTCCCTAATAGCTAGGATCATGGAAAATGATGACAATCATTTAACAAAGATACGAACAACGTGCAATCCCAAAACGCTTTTTACATTTGAGAACAGCGAAAAAATGCTTGAAGATCCGTCCCATTAAAATTCTCGGTTTCCCAACTTTGTGCGTAGAATTTAGAATTTGATAAAATAATTAAGAAAAATTCTCATGTGTTTACCATTGGATCAGTACGTACATGAATCAATTTTTGGCTTTGGGTTATACGAATTTTGTTTTTCTTCTTAGTTCTTTTGATCTTGCGAGACAGTGTTGTAGAGGATCGTCCAATTTCATTCGATGCTGGAGCAGATCCACTTGCTCTGTTCGATGGAACCACCAGGTTAAAATTGTTTGTAACTGTTTTACTGCAGTTATGCTAATTATACTGATATAAAATTGCCTTTTTCTGATTATAAAATTGCATGGCTATTAAAAAATATATAATGATTTTTATTTTCAAAAACAATAATTCAAAAAATTTCAAATAGTATAAATCATGAATTTAATAATTTTTTTTTGTCGCAAACATGATATAAATAAAACAAGAATAATGAATGTTCAAAAAATAAAAATGTGAAATAATATTTTCTATTTTTTCACTAAGGAAATAGAAAATTAATGTAAGAGTCGGAAAAAAAAAGAAAATTAATGTAAGATTCAGGTTTGAATGGGCCTCATTTTTTCCCAACACACAAAGAGCAGATTCATGTTAGAATGGGCCTTTTCGCAAGCCCACAAAGAGCAGATTCATGTTCGAATGAGCCTTATCGGAAAGTCCACAAAGCCATCTTCTTAAATGCGTTCAGAGTCATCATCTTCTCTATTTGCGCGACTCTGTTTTCTGGTTTTTTTCTCAAAAACAGAGCAAGACGAAATGACTTTATATGAACAAGTTCTGGACTTATATAGTCAAGGAGAATTGTTAAGATCACTGGAGATGATACAAGAATCTCAGAGCTCTGTAAAAGATGAAGATTTCAATATTGATTTCTTGGAAGGTGACATTTTCTTGAGTATTGGGAACAATAGCGAAAGTCTCAAGAAGAAGGTGTTATTTCTGATTTCTTCAATGGAGTGCTTTCTTAGAATCGACATCTATCAATCTGCATATCCAATGGTTAAGTTGGCAGAAATTTTGGGGTCAGTCTCCTTCTACAAGAAAGCAATGAAGATTGCATCAGCAGGATTACAGAAAATTTCTTTGATTTCTGAAGGATTGGAGGAGAATGGGTTTCATTATGAGGAGCGTAAGAAACTGGAACTGTTGATCCAAGAGTCAAGGACCATCGTTGATTCCAAGACTCGCCTTCCTTGTCCTGTAAGCAATTGTGAAGAAGAAGTAGGAGTAATCAGGACAAGATTTTATGATCTCCTTGAATCACTGAAGGAGTCTTGGAAGGAGTCGAACGCAGACATCAAAAGGAGTTTCATGAGAGTAAGCACTCAAGAATTTAGAGTTTATGTGAAGATCCGATTTGGTGAAGAAGGAGAAGATGCTTTGGAGCAAGTTCTTACTCACGCAAAGAAAAACGAAAGGTGGAAGTTCTGGCTATGTAGAAGTTGTCCGAAGAAGTTCTCTACTTCCGAAGAATGTTCGAGTCATCTTGTTCAAGAACATGGTGCAGAATTTAAACCGTCTTCGAGAAATGATTTGGCCCAGAGGGTAAGTGACATCTGGGCTGGCAAGGTATCGGTTGGAGTTTGGAAACCAGTGGATGCAGAAGCTGCGGTTCAAATGATCAAGACAGATGCGAAAGTGTTCAAATACCAAGATGGATGGTGCAAAGAGTGGCCTTTAGCTGAAGATGAAGAGCGCAGTAGAGTACTCAATGGAATCCGATCGCTCCTTGTTTCGTTTTGTGACCAGAAAATCCTCTCAGAACGCATACGAGACAGGATGATGCATGCTGTGGCCAAGAGACTCGATGATCTTGACGTTTCCAAACAAACTCTTACCGATTGTCGCCTTTTGGAAACACCTAACAGTATCTGTTTTCTGAAATGTGATGAACTCAGTCAAATCTTCGACTTGCTAAGTGGCGTCAAGTGTAAGAGGCACGATGGCATAGATTTAGTCTGCAGCGCGGTGGACAGTTTCTGTGGAGGTACACGAGTGAGAGAAAAGATTGATTTTGACTTGAAGTTTTCATATATGCTTCTGGATAAAAGGCTTTTACAAGGGAATCTTGATGGGCGTTCCAATGATGAAGGGAAAATCAGTTTTACTTCTGATCCCAGTGTTCACTGTGCCAAAGCTCGTCCTGGTGGAGATGCTTTCTTGTCCTGGTTAGCCGATAACTCTTCAGGAGGAGATGAGAGATTTCAGTTTCCCAGAAATATCAAGGCACACAATCTGGATATTTGGAAGGCTGCTCTGAGAGCCATTCAGTTCACGTGTAGAACTTTGGGAACCAAATATGCAAAGAAAATGCAGTTACTTGGTTATGGTGCAGCCCTTAATGACGCCAAGGAGTTGTGTATTAGAAGCAATCTTCAGGAAGGTGAACAGAAATCTCTCCTACGCCGTAGATGTGAAGAGAGTGACGCTGGAAATTTGTTCTTGTGTGCAGTAGAAGATGTTCTCAGAGGAGCAAAGCGTCCTACATTTGATTTAGCAAAGCGTTCTACCACACATGATGATAGTGACAAGTCAGTGATGAACTCCATACAACTTCTGGAATCAGAGGTCAACAAGAAGGTCTTGTTTCTGATCTTAGTTTTGAATTAACAACAGGCTAAACATAAGAAAAAAGTGTTAATGTGTCTATTGATTTGCAGGTTACTCAAATGGATTCAAAGATTTTGGTGATTGAGAAGTCAAGGATTGATTTGCTCAAGGACCTCACCAGACTTTGTGTTTTTGACTACAGATGGTTTATACATCCACCACTTAAAGAATATGTGCTTGGTCAGATGGCAAATAGGTTTATTAGACATCCATAATAGTTTGTGAATCAAAGAAGGTTTGTTTTTGATTGATGTTTAAAAACAGTGATATGTTCTAGTTTGTGAATCAAATTGTGTGAATACCACCAGATTGTGAACTTGATCGTTATTGTATATACGCATGTTCTTGTATCCTCAATGACATATAATCAGATGTTGTTACATTCCATAGCAAGTGTTACATAAGATTACATGTGAAGGCCATCACCTATAACAACCTTATAAACCGGCCTCTATATGAATCTCTCTCTTCTTACACGTATCTACAGGCAGATCTTAAGCAATACTTTCATACTTAAGTCTGAAACCAATCCCAATAAAAAATAAAAAGACAGCTCGGGATCGGTCTATGATAGATAACTCACACGCCAATGCCGTTCTCGAGATTGTTTTCAGACCCTCTTTGATCTAGGTGGAGTCCCAGGGGCGAAAAGGGAGGCCTGGACTGGCTGAGCCATAGGATCAAATTTTTGGGAGGCGAGGTAAGTGAGTGCAGTGACAACATCAGCAATAAGAGGTCTTAGATTTGGCTGCTCTTGCACGCACATTGCTGCTACAGCGAGTGCTTGGTACAATCCTCGTGGAGGGTATTGACCTTGAATCATTGGATCAGCCATTTGAGAGAATTTCCTCCTGTCTTTAAACAGAGGCCTTGCCTGAAAACAGACCATTTCTTAGAAGGCAATTAGAAAACAGAAAACAAAGTTTGTTCAATTCTTTTTCTTACCCAAGCGACGAGATTCTGTTCTCCAGTAGATCTTGAATTGTCTATGGCTTTCCTACCGGTTATAATCTCCAAAAGAACCACCCCGAAGCTATAAACGTCTGATTTGAGTGTTAACTGGCCTGTCATTGCATATTCTGGGGCGCAGTATCCGTATGTTCCCATAACCCGAGTCGACACATGAGACTTGTCTCCCACTGGGCCAAGTTTAGCCAAGCCGAAGTCAGACAGCTTCGGATAGTAGTCATCGCCGAGCAAAATATTGGAGCACTTCAAATCTCGGTAAATCACTGGAGGCATGGTTTTGTCATGCAGATACTCCAGCCCTTTTGCAGCACCTGCAGCTATTTTCATTCTGGTGTTCCAATCAAGTGGCTGCTTGCCAGGTGAAATGTCTGGAAAAAGGTTGAAATTTAAAGGCTTTTATAGATCGTCCAAAAATGTATTCATAGGCATGTGATCTTAGAATGTTTATCATACCGTGCAAATGATCTTCCAGTGACCCTAGAGGCATGTACTCATACACCAGAAGCCTTTGATCTCCATCAGCACAATATCCAATTAGATTAACAAGATTCGGGTGGTGAAGAAGACTCAACATCAGAACCTCAACGAGGAATTCTCTGTTTCCTTGTAAACCATTATGATCAAGTTGCTTGATAGCCGCTGTCTGCAAAAGAAGAGCTTTCACTACTAATATATTTCAAAAGGTTAAAACAGGGATACCTAGAAAGAAAAATACGAACCTGGCTAGTGCTTGTTAAGTATCCTTTGTAAACTCTACCAAATCCTCCTTCCCCTATAAGGCATTCTTTTCTGAAGTTTCTAGTGGCGATAGCTAGCTCAGAGAATGTAAACGTTTGTGCCACAATGTTTTCAGACCCTTTGCTTTTTGATTCACTCTTGTCACTCACAGACGATTTGGCCTTGGATTTCTCTACCAAAGGTATAGCGAGATGAAGAAATGAATTAATCAGCACAAGCTAAGCACAACTGTCTCAAGAACAATGCTTTAACATCACAGGATCAACAAACCAAACAAATCAAAGTATCAGAATGTCATAAGAAACTAAGGATTATAATCTTCTAGAGTCAAGAATCAAACCATAATCCTTGAAGCCAAACAATCCCGTTCAGGCATTTACACTTAAACTACCGCATGACACAACCAAAATTGAGCTCAAGAAAAAGCAAATACCGAATGTGACTACGAAATTAGTAAAACAATCAGAAAATCAGCTTTATTTCGATTAAAAGTCAAGAAAATAGCTCACAATTTTAACAAGACTATTCCTCTGTAACAGTAAACCGGACATAAACATGCAAAAACGCATCATTTAGAGTAACGATTAACACAAGTGAAACAGAGCAAAAGTCGAAGCAGTCTGAAGCTACTGAAATCGAAGGGACAAAAATCTTTATTAAAAAAAAGTCAAAAACCCTAATCAGCATTAGCAAACGGTGGCTCAACGGAATCAGACAGCGCTAGTTGTGATAAAAGCTTACAACTTTCAGAAATTTTGGTAGATAAGGCTTGAGTTCATGGGAATCAAGGATGTAACTGAGCATCGGTCTATAGTGCATACCTGAAGTAGACAGAGAGCAATTCCTGTTGAGCTTCTCGTCACCGTTCCTCCTTGTCTTAGTCCTCCCGCTCGATTTCCCAGAACACGGGATCCAACCCATTAGCTTTCCGATCTTCTTCTTCTTCCAATGATTCTTCGTTTTGATTTGCGTTCGATGATCTCGAAAGCGAGAAAGCAAGAGAGAGACAAGCCCAGAACTTTGAAATGTAAATGAGCACGCCAATCGCTGGATTTTCGATTTTTTTAATTTCCGAGTTGGTTAAATATTATTATTTTCTTTCTAACTTGGTTTTAAATTTTTGTGAAACAAATTAATGTTTAACGGGTTTGACTTTGACAAATGAAAATTAATTTCTAGCAAGTATCAACTACTCATGAAATTTCAACACAAAAATGAAGAATAAAAGTTAACTATAGTCAGATACTCAGTTTTATTTTATTGAATAATTTTCATGAGTTATAAATAAAATATAACCTTTTGTAAATCGCAGTCATCATAATACATTTTTCGATTATCTGAATCTGAATAATAGAGAGAATGTTTGAAGAGATGAGCTAATCTCATACTAGAGAAATAATGGTGATACACAAATACGACACCGTATCATACTATGGCCCAAAAGCAAGCTTATACAAAAATATACAACAGTGGTTACTGTTTTACAAGTTTACAACATCTACAACTACATCCTCGAACTCATGAACCAAACCCTTCGTCCTAAATCCACAAACCAGACCATACAACGACGACAATAACAAACAATCAAATGTCGTCGTGTCATTGTTTCGTGGAATAATAGTATCAAAGAATCAGACTTTGAGGGTAAATAAAAATTGTTAAAACAGGTGATTGATAGATAGATTGATTGTTCCCAACAAAGACGATGAGAACGTTACTAATTTTTTTTGGGGAGGGGCTGAGAAGAGCCCGTTAGCTATCTTCGGCGTTTTTTATGTCGTTATCGTCTGTTGCAGCGGCTGTTTTACGGACAAATTGGCCACGGACACGAGGGCGTTGTTCTGCTAGTTTTTTCCGGCTTTGGTATCGTACCTGAGAAAATCAATCCTTTTTTTTGTGAATAAAGAAAAAACCAAAGCATCATTAAACGTGAAGGAAACTATCGGTTACACAGATCGTGGATTTATTTCGGTTACAGAGTTATAATCGTTGTGGAGGCCATCAATCTAAACCACATCTTTATGCATGCATATAAGCTGATTAAGCTCTTAACTGATTTTATTTTGTGAATCTTATGTGTTGAACAAAAAATATAAAACAGTCAAAAGCCTTAGGTTGATCCAGATAATACCTTCTTTCTGAAGCATCTCTCTTTTCTCTTCTGACGGAACTTTGTCAAAGCAGCTTCCCTTTGAGAGATCTTATTTTCGTCTGTCATATTACCGCTTCCACTTCCGCTTCCGCTACCATCGCCACTTCCACTTTTCCCAGCACCATTATCACTTCCCATATTCATCCCTCCAGCATTCACACCATTGCTGCTTCCATATGGGCCATTGCTTCCATGACCACTACCTGATACACTTCCATTCAGACTGTAATTCACTGTGTTGTTGTTACCTTCAATCGCCTCATTGTACACATTCGAGGATCCACTTTGTGGCGGTAACTTCCGCTCAGGGATGTGAACAAGATTATAGGACGATTGGTGATGATCACAAGGTAGAGGCTGAAACGATGAATGCTTGGCTGATGAAGATCCTGCTGAGCTTACTTTTGGAGCTCCTGGCGTTGTGAAAGCGTTGTTCTCAGTTGTGGAACTCATTTCAAAGTTATTACTACCGACACGTGAGTGATGATTATTGGGCAGACTATCGTTCATGTTTGAGTGACAATCACATGCCGCTTCAGTCTTTTTTATAAGATCTTGGCTATTATTATCATGAAGAGAATTGCTTCCCAAGTTCCCGCCAGAAAGCTTATGTGCATTTGAGGCTGGATTATACCTGTACAAGTCCAACAATCGATCTCATCCTTCTTCAAATACAACAATCTAATGGTTATATAACAAAAAGCAAACATAAATTTTGGCATTTGTTAATGGTTTTAAAAAAGTACCTTGAGAAAGCTGAACCCTCTGAACGTCTTAGCACATTCCGATCATCCCTAACTACTGTCCCATCATCTTTAAGTCCTCTATGCCTCTTTGAACTATGTTCCACTTGCATTGTCACTTCAGAAATTTTGACAGCAGCTTCACTTGTATCTAATATGTCGCAGTGTGTGTTAGGCGCCTTGGGTTCTCTGTTATCTTGAAGGTGGCTAGACATAGCGTTGAACCCCGAGCCTCCATCTTCATGCATTTGTTTACTTGAAGGGCTTTCGCTACTGAGGTCCAATGGTCCTTTTCCAACTTTCATTTTCCATTTACTAGAGCTTTTTTCAAATGAATTCTCCTGTCTCATAATGCCAGTAGTTTTAGTTAGGGGTTCATCTTTTGGCTCCAGTGCCAGATCCTGATTTCTACGAATACTAATCTCCAAATCTCTACCCATTGTGACATCTTCTGCAGAAATAAATGGGAAGTAACATTCAATATCATGTCTTTAAAGATAAGAATGGAAGAAACTGGGAGATCGCAGCTTCCTTTTCTTTACCAAATTTTTCATCCTGTTCTTGATTCTTCTTCTCAGCAAGTGCTGCAACCAAGTGATTACTGGGAACCTCGGGGTTGGAATGTACCACTTGTGCGCAGGTGCTATCAACTCGATCCCATGGAGATACTGTTCGTGGACTGTCATCAACCTCCACAGCTTTTTTCGTCCAAGAGCTCTGCAGAAAATATATATCAAAATAATTCTAAGTTCTGCAAAATAAAGCTTCTGTTTGCAAAATAAAACTTCGGAATGAACTAGCAATTTTCACCCAGATTATCACTGAAAAGTACTAAGTCAAACATCACTGAGTTCTAACATTGATTAGTTAAGCGCTTCCACCATTATTTAGAATCTGAGTGCACATGTGAAGTTCGATCATCCAACCCTACCATTTATGGGGAAGAAATTTCAAGAGGGCAATTTATCAAATAAAAATATTAGATTCTTAATCTTGCACACTTTTCTTACCTGCGTCCCACTCCCATCACTACTTCCATCACTAGCATTCAGGCCAATGCTCCCATTTTCATTCTCACCACTACTTCCTGAATCGTTGTCAGATTTTCTAATACTCTTTGATTTCACAGACTTTTGAGTTTGATGTGTTCCACTTTCACTCCCACTGCCGCTAGACTGTGAACAGGAAACAATCAAAGAGTAAATACTATGACTTTATCACCAGTTGTACATCAAATAGATCAAACAAATGCCAACCGTTTATCAGATATGAGTAAGCGACTTACACTTTGACATCTTCTCCAAACATGTTGCCAAAGGATTTTAAGCTCGTTTTTTCTTATCGGCTTAACGAGAAAGTCAACTGCTCCTTTTGATAAGCACTTAAAGACGAGCCCCATTGAGTCATGAGATGACATCACTGCAACAATAAGCTCACACGGGAATGTAGTTAAAAGCATCTACTTCCAACAGAAAGGAAGCTAGAGAAGAATCAACAAAGAGTGTAACTACTTAAAAAAAGTGCTTGATGTACAACGACAAGAGACAGAGAACTCACTGATGACAGGGATGTTCCGACGAGATTTGTGATTCAAAATCTTGCATAAGAGGCTGATACCAGATAAGTAAGGCATAACTACCTCCGTTAGCACAATATCAATATGATTGTTTAGATCTTCTAACACCTTCCAAGCTTGTACACCATTTGCAACCTCAACAACTGCCATGACAGAGATGATAATCAATCAGAAAACCAAGGAAGAAAAAGTTGCTTCTCATTATCCATTCGTGGTCCTAACCAACCACGAAAAAGTTGCAAAAATATTCATGCTAGCCAACCAACACTTGTTACTTAAGAACCATGTGTACAACAACGAAGACTGAAATTGCTATAGAATATAGATCAGCCTGAGGTCCTAGGCTTTGAAACTGACCTTCATAGCTACAATTACGAAGAAGCGCAGTAACGATATAACGAGTGCAGTCATCATTTTCAACTAGCAGAACTCTTATGGTTCTCACATGAAGAAACCTTTCCCAACAAACAGTAGCCGCTGTTTGTTGCGACTGTGGAATTTGCAGTCCAGCAGAGCCTTGCCCAGCCCCTGCACTCCCGTTCTTCACATCCAAAGTGTTTCCATTGGCTTTATCTTCTCCACTATGCCTCTCTGTCCGACTCTCAATCCTCTCGAAATTCGTTTCTCCAGTTTTTGGATCAGTGATTGGGTAACGCGAACCCTCACCGTCCTCATTAACATTCATCACACCAACTCTACTTCGCTGAGTTCAGATGATCAAAGTATTAATACACTTAAATGCTTCTCTTCAAGTAGAATGGTCTCGGGGAAAACAACTCCAAGAAGACAACAGTAAGGACCTAAATAATCCAATAGGGCCATTGTTAAATTCAAAACACAGGCAGAAACCCTAATTTTTGTAAATGCCAAAGCTAGAATTGTTATACTCGACCAATAACTCAGATTAACAGAACAACGAGTTGAAGACCACGAAATTTGAAACCACCAAGCTAATCAAGTAAGTTCGTTGCAGAATCATCAAATCGAAAAACCTAATCTCGACTAATCACAACAAATCAAAGACCAAACAAAACAATCTGAATTCCAAACGGGAACTAATCATACAATAAGAAAATCCTACAAAGAAGAATCGAGCTCCTAAAGTAGCATCAATCACCTCTTCAACCAGAATAAAATGGATCCAGCAGAAAGCAGCTAACGGTTGGGAAAGAGAAACATAGACTCAAAACGACATCATAATCAAGAAAAGGCAAGCAAATACACAAGAATCGAAGCTTCTCAGCTTCAGAGAGAACAAATATAAAGGAGAGTGAACAATTTGATTATGAGGTTTTTCTGTCTCCCAGAGAGTGGAAATCGGAGACGACCATAAGCCACCGATTTTTTTTTTTCCGGAGATAGATAGATATTAGAAAGATTGTCGCGGAAAAAAAAAAGAAATATTAAAAATACAAAATCTGACGTGTACAAAATTAGAGGTCCCGAACGTTTGATAAGACCCACGTCAGATCGGATATTTCCACATCACGTTATTGGCAAGGATTGCTGACGTGGACGATATCAAAAACAGTCGTTCCGAAGGCTACTGGCAGATCTGAGATTTTACAGAGTTGACACGTGGAATTGAGGGAAGGAAACGCCAAATTTTAGCTCATCCGGACCGTCGATTAGATTTTGGCGGAAGAGATGGGCGTTAAAAGATTTTATAGATTTTGGGCTCATGATTTGGGCCGTAAAATAGAATTATTTTTAAGTAGAAAGCCTTTCTATGCCGAATAAAATAAATTTTAAAAAGACAGAAACGTCGACAGCAGGGTTCGAACCTGCGCGGGCGAAGCCCAATAGATTTCAAGTCTATCTCCTTAACCACTCGGACATATCGACATTTTGTCATAATTACAATATCTTATACTAATAAAAGTTGAAGCTAAATACATTTTAAGGTGTCCACATAAGATTTAAAAAGGCAATTTTATTCGTCCACATCAACATTCAAGATTAAAGAAAGTTTACAAATTCTAATATTATTGTTGAATAAGTAAATTAAGAAAGTTTACAAATTCTAATATTATTGTTGAGTAAAAAAATTATGTATAAATTTTTTATTGGTCCAGATCAACACTGAAAATTAAAAAATTTCCAAATTCTATTATTATTTTTAAAAATTATTAAAAATAAATAAATTATACATAAAATTCATATTAATAATAAAAAACTAAAATTTTAAATTTTAAATTTAAATTAAACATATACACACATATTTAGAGACTCTTACATTAGCATTTTCATATAACTATGTAATTTTTAAGTTTTATTTTTCTGTGTGTGCAACCATGTCAAATAAACAAAAAAAAAATATATATAGTTAGGTTTTACTAAAAAAATGAATCATTACAACATAAATGAACTAACTTGACTAAATTATATGTTTTACTATTAGCTAAATTACAAAGAATATAATAAAAGGAGATATAAACAAAGTCACTACAAACCGTTTTAATATTGAAAAAAAACCGTAAAATCTCCAAAGCTTGGCCAAAGAATTTGAGAAGAATGATAAATTTCAAGCAATCCGAGAAACATGTCAAGTGATTAATACTCGACACTTTTGAAAAAGAAGCACTGAAAATAGAGAAAGAGGTCCCGTCATTAAGTCGAAAGAGACTGAGTATTCGAGCTAGATTTTTGAAATAACATAGCATCTGATAAGGTTTTAACAACCTAAACTTAACCACAAAGATAACAATTAGCTGACCAAACACCATCCGAATACATTTGGTAAGCCTCAAAACAATGAGGAGATACCAAAATCACTTGCAGCAACGGCCTCGTGTGGAATCTTCCAGCTTTGATTTCTAAATCTATTATTGATAAAAGTTAAAGCTATATGTCTCTAAGAATGTCCACATATGATTTCAAATTTAATTTATTGGTCCACATCAATATTTAAAATTAAGACAATTTTCAAATTTTAAAATTATATTATTAACAAAAAAATATATTTATTGAAAAAAATTAAAGCTATATGCCTCTAAAGACATTCTCAAAAGATTTAAAAGATCAATTTTATTAGTCCACATCAATAACTAAAATTAAAAAAAATCTAAATAATAAAATTATATTGTTAATACAAAAATATAGGAAAAATTGTTAATTAAAATTATTCTATTATTAATAACAGTTAAAGCTATATTATTTTCAAAGTATCCACATCAGCATTTAAAATTTTAATTTTATTCGTATATATCAAAATTTTAAATTATAAAAAGTTTTCTAATTCTAATATTATGGTTAAGAAAATAAACTAAAAAATAAGTTAAATCTCTAGAAATAACAAAAATCAACATGATATTAAAATCTCAATTATCACTGTTTAAGTTACAAATTTAATTTATTATCTATCAAAAAATATATGCTACTTATACAAGTTTAAGATATTTGATTTTAAGAATTTTCACGTAAAATTTTAAATAACTAATAATTATTATTTATATTCATCTAAATTTTTTTCACATATGCAAAACATATTTCCAAATAATTTCATGTAAAATATTATGGGAAAATGATCAAAAAATTACATTTTGTATATTCGACTTGGAATTGCAGTAGATTAATGTAGAAGATCTTAGTTTTGAGTTGCTCAATTGGTTATTTCATTGTTATAAATTTGTATGGATTAAATTGTATAATTAGAAAAAACTGAGAATGAATATGATGAAACTGAATATAATCATATAAAAATTATTTAAATAAATAAATATGATAAAAACAGATATAACAAGAATAAAAATGAACATGAAGAAAAGAGATGAAATATTAATTTTTATTGTTTTATTGTTTTAATTATTTTTAAAGAACACATATATAATTGGAATAAAAGTGAAAATGATAAAAACAATTATCTTCTTGATTTTAACAAAAAGTGAATGTATAACATTTTATCATCATGTCAATACTATGTTTAAAAAGTAACATTAGATTAATTTATAAAAAAAAAATTAGTTGGTTTGGTTATATTAACTTATAAGTTTTTAACTAAATAATATGTTTTTGAAATATACATATTGTATATAGATTTAAGAAAGAAAAAAAACTCGTTAAAACCTCACTATTTACATAAATATTATTAAATTAACATCATAATATTATTAATATATTATTAAAATACTAACATATAAAATTTATATCTTAATAAATATAATTGATTGCATATAATTTTTATCAACCTAATACGCGTGGATTGCAAAATCTAGTATTAATTATACAACCTCTTATTATTAATATATCTCTCACTCAATCTGCCCTAGAAATGGACCTTCACGAGATACGTTGACCTAAGGAGTAAATTTTCCCGCCATCGTTAGTACCAGTACTCTCTCGGCCGCCGCGTCTCCCTCGCCGTCGCCGTCTAGAAATGGCGGATAAGAAGAAGCGCAAGCGATCTAAAGATGACCAAGCTGAGGATCTTCCTTTCAAAAACATTCTGGAATCAGATGACGTTATTCTGCAGCTTCTCAAATCCTATATTTCTTCTTCTTTATCAGCCGCCGCCGCCGGAGGTAGCGGTGCCTCCTCGTCGTCCTCATCGAAACCATTAACCCTAGCCGACCTCTCTCTCTCATCTTCCTGCCGTGAAGTCGCAGATCTCTCCCTCTCCTCCGTGCAGACAGCTATAGAGACAGTCATCGTTCAAATTACCCGTTCCATCCTCGCCGGCGATGGATTCTCCTTCAGCGTGCCCTCACGCGCCGCCTCGAACCAGCTCTATGTCCCTGAGCTCGACCGCATAGTGCTAAAAGACAAATCTACCCTCCGTCCCTTTGCCTCCGTTTCTTCTGTCAGGAAAACCACCATCACCACTCGCATCCTCGCCCTTATCCACCAACTATGCCTCAGAAACATACACGTCACCAAGCGTGATCTCTTCTACACCGACGTTAAGCTTTTCCAGGTAAGTTCCTTTGTTTTCAGTTTTCACATTGAGATTTGATACTTTGTTCCCATAAGAAAGATATTCACTTTTCGATCCAGTTCTTGTTGGATCTTCGAATCGACAGAAGTTTCAATTCGGAACCTTGATGAATTTCAGGACCAGACACAGAGTGATGCGGTGTTGGATGATGTCTCGTGTATGCTCGGCTGCACAAGGTCAAGCCTCAATGTAATTGCAGCAGAGAAAGGTGTGGTGGTGGGAAGGCTCATATTCAGTGACAATGGGGACATGATAGATTGCACAAAGATGGGAATGGGTGGGAAAGCCATTCCACCAAACATCGATCGGGTCGGAGATATGCAGAGCGATGCTATGTTCATACTCCTAGTTGAAAAAGATGCTGCTTATATAAGGTTAGCTGAAGACAGATTCTATAACCGGTTCCCCTGTATCATCGTCACTGCAAAAGGCCAGCCTGATGTAGCCACAAGGTTATTCTTGAGGAAAATGAAAATGGAGCTTAAGCTTCCCGTGCTTGCCTTGGTGGATAGTGACCCTTATGGGTTGAAGATCTTGTCTGTCTATGGATGCGGGTCGAAGAACATGTCTTACGATAGTGCAAACTTGACTACACCTGATATTAAATGGCTTGGAATCAGGCCAAGTGATTTGGATAAGTATAAGATACCTGAACAGTGTAGGTTGCCAATGACTGAGCAGGATATTAAGACCGGAAAGGATATGCTCGAAGAGGATTTCGTGAAGAAGAATCCCGGGTGGGTCGAGGAACTCAACCTGATGGTGAAAACAAAGCAGAAGGCTGAGATTCAGGCGTTGAGTTCTTTTGGTTTCCAGTATTTATCAGAAGTTTACTTGCCCCTGAAACTGCAGCAGCAGGATTGGCTCTGATCATCATGTTGCTGTCTTACTGTTCAACTAGAGACCAACAAGTGTATGCTACAAAATTACGATCATGTAATTGCCTGTTCACTAGAATTTGAGTTATTTTGCAGTTATCGATTTTTGGTTTTATTTATGTGTTGAACTGGGAAAATATCTGTAAGCTGATTTACCTTAAGATACAGAGGAAATAAAAGAAAACTCTTTGTTTATTTTAAAAGGAACACAATATGTGCATCTGAGGTGTTGTGCAATCTTTCACCACTATTGTCTTCTATTTAGTTTGAAACTTGCATAGAATACACAGATGATTAGTTATGTACCAGTCAGGATCGGCTACTTTTTGCGCTGCAGCCACTGGTGCAAAGACGCCTTTGTAACCATCAACCTCTCAAGAATTGCAGGTCTCCTCGTTGAGGATATACCAACAATCGACTTGGTGTTCTCTGAGGTAAGCTCTATACCTTGGTCTGCATCATCCACACATCGTGCATCCAGTGTTATATCTAGCACATGTCTATGTCCAGCAGGAAGTACCACAAGAGACAATTCATCTTTAAGGAGCTGTACTAGCACATCTTTTACAGCAATCTCTTGCTTTCCTGGATCGATATTTGCTTCACCGGTTCCTAGGATGATCAACAAATCATCTGTTACAACATCACCTGCAAGAGGGAGATTCCGTTATTTACAAGTGTGCCTTTTAGTCTGTGTTGGTATATAAGTCAAAAACACGTGATTTCGTCAGACTTTTTGCCTGTGAAATGGAAACCGAGTCAAAACAGCAAATGCAAGAGAGAGGGTGTATTGGTGTACGTGTGTATTAATCTTACCTCGGATATAGTCTTCCTTGATCATCCGCAAAACTGCTAGAACAACAAGTCGAGCCTCAACCTATAATTGGATGCAGATGTTTGACACGAGCATATGCTTCAGGAGTTGGACTGATAGGATTATAAGCGCCTAACATATTTAATTTCTCATCATCATTAGCTTACCTTGGTAAGTCCTTGAAGGTCAATTGCAAGGTTTCCAGCTGTTCTTTCTTGCAAGTGTGTAGCTACTTTTTCAATGAGTAGACTTACAGGTCTCCCTAAGTTAGTACCTTCCTGGTCGCTTGTTTTAATTTGGCTTTGACTGTTTTCTTGTATGACTCCTTCGCACCACTCCTCAATAAGTTCTTTGAGAAAGTGATCGTTAGGTTTATACCTGCAGTATTGTGGCTATGCTTGTGAGCAAATATATTTCCACTTATCTGAGGATGCAGAACCACCAAGACGAGAAACATATATAGACCATCAAACTTGATTGCACTTACCCTGCTTTTCGCATGTCCTGATATATAGCTAAGCATTGCCGCACTTCAAGTAAAGAACCATATTTGCTTCGTGCTTTAAGAAGCGTATTATAGGTCACCTGAGAAACAACATTCTGGGCTGAGAAATGCTGAAATCAATCGAGAAACTGCTTTCCTTTCCTAGCTAAATGAGGTCCGTACTAATAGCTTCAGGACTTTATATGCACAATTTTGTTACACACTCTTAATTTCACTCTGCTGATTCTCCCTACGGTTGAGTGGTCGAATCATTTTATTGAGGGTAAAAGTATACAGCATTTAACAGAACTTTATATCTGGAAGAAGCTAGTAGATGAAAGGGACAAAATGCAATAAAGCCATTCGACCATGAGCATTACCCAGTTTGGCTTTATCTGATATCTCCTCATCTCCTCGAACAAAGAAAATGCCAACTTTAAACTTTTATTTTCTGCGCAAATCTGAAAGATAGCATGCTGAATCTTCACACCTCTGAGTTGAGAAATAACTAAGAACGAAGCAGAAACGTCAGCACCACTAAGAGAGAGATTAATACCTTGATAGCTGTTGTATAGGCAACAACATCAGGTCTGGTTCCAGCGGAATGCATAGTTCTCAAAATCTGTGCTGGAAGAAGAATGTCTATCAGGGAACTTATCAAATATCTGCATAAATCCCATAAATGATACTTTGAACGGATCCGAAAGCTTATAAACTGAAGCAGGAGATGTATGATCACCTTACTGTCATTTCTATGTATTAGGAAAGATATCTGAAGGAATTATTTCAAAAAAATCAAGAGAAAAGTTGACTCACCCCTACAGCACCTTCTACATCGCCTGAACCTCCACATATATCGATCAAAGTCGACCATGTTATTTGATTAGGTGCAAGACCTAGGCTCCTCATTTCGTCCATCAATTCTTTTCCTCGATAGTAATCGGTACCACAGGCTTTTAGGAGTATATTATATGTCGCTGTTGTTGGCTTGAAGAAAAATCTATTTGAAGCTTGGATATAAGGTGAAGAATTGGTATTCACCAAAGACCCGTTACCATGATTTTTCAGTTTATTTGGGCTGAAAATGCTACCTTTACCAGTTATATCATCTGCATATAAGGCTTCCTTATCTGAGCTTCCCTTCCAAGATTGAAAAAGACGAAAAGCTCGGTCAAACTGGCAAGCTTCAACGCAAGCATGCAGTAGGATGTTGAAACATTGAGAATTAGGCTCACAACCAGATGCAAGCATTTCTTCAAATAGGTGATTTGCCTGCTCTACTAGACCTGCGTTGGCACATGCGCTGATTAACGATGACCATGTATGAGTATTAGGGGTTACACCAACAGATTGCATATCCTCTTTGACTTTTAGAGCCATTTTCCACATCTTTGCGTCTGCGAAAACCTGATCTCGAAGCATTATTTAGAGACTCAAAGAGATACAAAAGCAAAATATTGGTAGCCTTAGTTTCCCAAACATGCCAGTTTTGTACCTTTATAATAGTACAATATGTAAAGGCGTCCAACTTCAACAGTCCAGAAGATTCCATTCGCTTTGCTTCTTTGTATATGTCCTGGGCGAGATCAACCCGTCCAGCCAGGCAACATGTTTTCAGCAGTATATTGTAGGATGTCATGTCAGCTGTAACATCAAGTTTCTGCCCATGACATGTAGAGTTTGAAGGTCAGTCAATACGCACTCCTAAATCTGAAAGTTTTAGGGTAGACTAAACCAACATCAACATAGCACTTAACAATTCGATAAATTATCCAGAACAGTTCACCTACTCATATCTTTTCTCTTAATACATATAGTGTTATCAAGAGATAGATGAAAGAACATACCTGCATATTCTTGTATACTTTTAGTGTGTACCCAAGATCATGGGAATTAACATTCATTAGACTGTTCATAACATAAATGTTTGGCTTAATGTTTTCTTTGAGAAGATCCTGCCACAAGATTTTGAGTTAACGACAAATCTCAAATGCAGGATGGCAGACAAAAGTGAACTTATTGGTTTACTCAAAAGATACTTATGCAAAGCATGTAGTATAATCAGGGTATTACCTCATATATATACCTCGATTTAACGTAATCCCCACATAAGCCACAAACATCTATCATAGTGCGGTATATATACATGTTAGGATTGTCTAAAATCTGTTTGCAGGCTTCATATGCTGTCAATACAGAGACCATATCTCCTTTCTTTCCGAAACCATGGATAATTCTACAAAGCAATAACTCTGTATGGGGCAAAAGACATGCATATCTGCATTGTATATTTATCAAATCGTCATGGCTCAAAATGCTTTGCGAACAAACAGAAGTACAGTTACATTCTGCATTCAGGACAGTAAGGGAGAGCAACAAGCCTTACCTAATAGCTAATTGCGGATTGGAAATGTCAACACAAATCTTTACGACATCAAACGGGTCCACAAGCTCTTTGATTTTGAATCTGAAACCTGGAGTAAGCACCAGCCGCTCGAGTCAGAAGTCAAAAATCTGGCCTAAAAACAGTGTAAGAGCAAGATTTATTACCCGCGAGTATCTCCATAAGGTCAATAGCTTTCTCCACTTGCACAGAGTTAGCCATTGCGCGAAAGTGTTTCCTCATAAGTTTCACAGACGATTCATCGACGAGGTCCAGTGGAGCAATCCCTACCTTCTCAATCCTTTGCAAGGTGTAAACCACGCTCTCAATCTTTCCTTGTCGAAGATTCAACGATATTCCTTTCGATAAGAGATCAGAATCAACCATCGAAGCGAAACGTGCCACATTAGCTCCGGACTCTGCAGCCAAGGTCTCGGCGATGAGGGCCACGTCTTGAATTCGGCCGTCCTCGGCGAGCTTCGAGGCGAAATCAGCGTAATACTCTACAGAGCCGTCTGGAATCCATCTCACGGCGTCAGAGAAGTGGCTTGAGAGAGCATTCGCCGAGGAAACTGAAGCAGGAGAAGATGTGTGTTGCTGTGGCAGCGACGGCAGTTGCTTGGTGAGAGAAGAAGTGGATTTAAGTTTTCGGTTGAGCTCCGGTGCGGTGGCGTAACAGCGACGGTGGTGAGGATTGGTTATGACGGAGGAGGAGCCAAAGACGATGACAAGGTCCCTCATTCCTCGCCCACGGTTGGGATCATCATCATCATTGTGACTCACTCTTTCTCGGTTTTTATTTTTATTTTTTCAATTATTTTCCAATGTAAAAAAATCCGGGACTTGTGAATGGATTGGATTTGAAAGGCTATTCTTACAACTTCCGTACCGGACCGGATTTGTGGTAATACAATGCACCGGTTAGACTAACCCGATTTGGTACGGTGATGACACAAATGTTTATTTGGATCGGTAAAAGTTAGGCCAAACATTTTGTGACTGGTGTCAAATGTTTATGAGCGTGACTGGTGTCAAATGTTTATGAGCGTGACTGGTGTCAAATGTTTATGAGCAAACGTAATACTCTAACATACAAAAACCTTCAAACGTAAAAGTTAGGCCAAACATTTTGTGCAGGAACTATCAAAAAAAGAATGTTGGTATCAAATTCATGCAACTACAGGAATACTAGATATTAAATAATAATTGACTTTTAACATTGGTACACTACTAGAATTTGCGGTTGTTTTAATATTTAGAGGAAAAAAAATGAAAACCACATGCTCTCAATTGTTTCCTTCAAGAAATAAGTTTTCCAAGGGATTAATTCGGTTTTATATAGAAGACTTGGTCATATATTCTTCTTCTTTCTTGTTCCTTTCAAGTTTTTTTCTTTTTGCATCCTAATTTGAGGAAAGAATCGGAATAAACATCGACACATGAACTGTATAGCACGTGATTAGTTTGAAGCTCACATCGAAAGGACAAAAAAAAAAAAGAAGAAGACTGATTTTAAAAATTGATGAATGAATATAAAAAGAAAAGGGAAAAAAAATGGATGGCCTCAAATTCGAAGCGAACCGTCACCACATATTTACACCAACTTCCTGCCCGCCATGTGGATATTGTCATTTCTCCCTCTCTCTCTATCTCTCTATCTCTCTATCTCTCTATCTCTCTATCTCTCTCTCTGTTGTGCTATCTCTCTGAACGATCGCTATCTTCAAAATACACTGATGACCTCGTCGCCGTCAAACAATCCGGTGGTCGCTGAAGATAAACCGACGGAAACGTCCACAGTTCTTACAGAGACTACAACGACGGTGGCTTCTTCATCGATGGAAGCTGCAGAAGCTCCGGAGAAGAAGGTGAGGAAAGCTTACACGATCACCAAGTCCAGAGAGAGTTGGACAGAAGGAGAGCACGATAAGTTTCTGGAAGCTCTTCAATTGTAAAACTACTGGCTCTATTTCTCACTTTTTTTCTTCTTCGAGATGGGATTTGATTTACCGATTTTGTGTGTTTAGAACTCCCGTCGTAGCTGAATTTGCGTAATTTTGCTTCATTTCTGATTTTCTGCTTAACACACTTATCAGAGAAGGACTTTGTATGTTAGGTACTTGCGTACAAAGTTCTGACCTTTACGGTTTGTTAATCTGGCCTTTTGGGATAAAATATCATGTGAGGATAATATAGTGAAATAGAGTTTCATCAGATCAAGGTTTGGTTATATATTAGATCATCTGGAGTTTTGCCTAAGGTTCAGATGAATGTTAAATGGAATTTTTGCAGAAGCTACAGTGGGCTCTTTTGATTGTAGATCAGATAGACCAGAGTTTCAGGTAATATCTGATGAAAGTTTTCTCTTTCATAAAACCAACCTATAGGTTATCTTCTTAGGTTGCCCGTTGCCCAAAATGTTTCGATAGAGAACTTAGCAACTGGTTTTGCATTATAAATGGGCTTTTGCAAAAGCCAGTGTCTTTATTCAGACACTTTGTTGCTGATACTACTGGCCTCTGGCAATTTTCTTACGTCCTTAGGTTTGATCGTGACTGGAAAAAAATTGAAGATTTTGTTGGTTCAAAGACAGTAATTCAGGTTTGAAATCAGCTGCTTTTCCATTTTGGTTAATACATTGGCATGTTTCCCCACCCAATTTATCCTCTGCCTACTTGATTTACTACAGATCAGGAGCCATGCTCAGAAATACTTTTTAAAGGTCCAGAAAAACGGGACTTTAGCACACGTACCACCCCCTAGGCCTAAGCGCAAAGCTGCTCATCCTTATCCTCAAAAGGCATCCAAGAATGGTTAGATCTATTACAAATACAAAAGTACTTTGTTTGGAGAGAGGACGTATCACATGTATTCAATCTGAATTCTGAACTCAAACTCAATTTTGCAGCTCAAATGTCGCTTCACGTTTCCATGGCTTTTCCTACTCAAATGAATAATGTGCCAGGATATGCATCATGGGATGATGACACCTCTGCATTGCTAAACATAGCCGTTAGCGGGGTGATTCTACCAGAAGATGAAGTTGGTACTCTTTGTGGAGGAGAAGGCATGATTCTCATATGCACTCGATCTATTTTGTATTTTGCTTGCTCCATCTGATGAAGGTTCATATGCTAAATGCAGCTTACAATGTTATTGTTTCAGTTGCTATTGAATCGAATGGCACAACAAGTGCGAGTAGTCCTTCAGCATCTGGTATAGGAAGCTCAAGCAGGACACAATCAGATTGCAAGGATTTAAGACCGGCGAATCAAGCTCCCTCAATGCACGGTGGTTATCCTAACAATTGCGGGACTGTCTCTGAGTTTCCAGTTTATGGTGGACACTGTTCTTATGGTTTTTCTTGCAGGTCTTCCTGATTTTGCTGAAGTTTATAACTTCATTGGGAGTGTCTTTGATCCTGACAGCAAAGGCCGCATGAAAAAGCTCAAGGAAATGGATCCTATAAATTTCGAAACTGTAAGTTAGAGCTTGCTTGCTTGCCTTTAGGTTATAATTTATGTGTGTGTGTGTGTGTGTTAGTGGTATATCTATCATTTCATCATTAGGCGTCTACTAGAACTACGCAACCATAATCTGGCGTTGTGGTGTTTTCCCTTCCATTAATCTAACTTGTACAAGTACTGGTTTTATCCTCTTAAACAGCTGAATCTAATAAAGGTTGCATCTATAGATTTTGTTTCAAAGTTTGATTGGTACCATGATTCTATGGAGATGTTCGCCAAATAATGGGGCTTTATAACCTCGGCTCATTTTTTCTAAGTGTCCTGGTACCTATTCGTAGCTGTCAGTGATTGTTCTATTTACAGTACCTTTCACTAATCGCAGTATGTCTCGCAGGTTCTGCTATTGATGAGAAACCTCACAGTGAACTTGTCAAACCCTGACTTCGAACCTGCTGTAAGTATTAAGTTTATCATAATATCCATGCTGGCTGGGCTATGAGACATCTTTTCGTGTTAGTACATAGAGTGAATCTCGCCCACGTAACGTAACACATTTGTTGACTATGTTCCTTCAAGTTTAAACTTGGGCTAAACTGTTAGAAAATAGTCTATTCTGCTTTAAACTATCCAAATGATTAAATGATGATTGTTGTGCTTTGTGGGATATATATAGAAACATCAACTGCGGACTTGTGGATCGATTCCTTGCAACAGATGTAATCTAATCTTGAAATAGTCTGAATACTTTGATGCTGCAGAGGAAGGTCCTGAACACTTGAGCTCGTAGCTGTTAGTGCGGGATCCCTGGTCAAGAACCAAACAAGTGATATATCTTCTCAGGAGGACTACTTGCTCACAACAACTGTCTATCAGTTATCAAGTAAGTGTTGTTTTGTATCTCATTCTTCCGACATTAATATAACTAGATCTAATCTCAGCTCAGCTGCTATAATCCTGATCACAGTTCTCTTAAGGTTTCGGGTAAGAGTTTATCTGATCTCTCTACATTTGGTGGATTGTATCAGATGCTGTTAACGGTTGTTGTCTGAGGAGAACATAACTGAACAAGAGGGGAATATGGCAGTTTCGGTCAGAACCAGTTCGGTGAATGGTTATATATATTTTGTCAATGTGTGTGTATGTAGTAGAAAAATGGTTACCAATTGGGTTTTCTTTTTGATACCTATTTGTTCATGCGTTTTGTAATTTGTAGTCTCTTTCGCACTTTCTGCGATTGGATTTTTTTTGTGGGTCATCTACTGAAACCAAAGGCAATGTAACAAGTAGCAGTTACCACTAAACCCACAAGTGAAGTGAGGTACATAGTTCTGTTGTATTGTATTTCAGTAAGTGTATTCTGTATCAACCATCAACTTCCATATTTCTCGAGCATTTCTATCTAATGTATTCCAACATCCGGTTAACAATAATCGGGAAGAATTTCATTAAGCCGGTCTTTAGAACCTTTTGGCCTGCACAGAAGACTTGTAAAAAGTTCGGCTTTTTTCTTTTTTGGCCCACTGATCCACCGTCGATCTATAACTGTAAGGAGAAAAAGGCTTCGCGTTGTCTTCTTTCTTCATTGAGCTCTCTTGGATTGTTCTCTTCTATTTTCCGCGAGATACTCTCTAAATGCATACTTAACCCTTCAAATCACCTTCGGTTACCCTTTCTTTCGAGGAATAATTCGCCGGCGGCGAGGATGCTACAGCATCAGATCGTTCAATCTCCGGCGAGATTAGGGTTAACAGGTCCTGGTTCTCCCTCCGTACAAAATCCAACGCCTCCTCGTCATGGCCATCCAACCTCTTCTTCGTCCTCCCAATCTCAGCACCAACAGATCCAACAACCTTCTAATCTACAACCTTCATCCTCCGCAGCCGCAGCCGCAGCCTCAGCGTCGGCGACTATTTCGTCGTCAGCTCTGCTTTCACTCCTTCCGCCATTGCCGAGAGCTCAGGCTCTTCTCCAGCAGATGGCGGTTTTAACGTCTAAGCTATTCGATGTGTCTCCCAATCGCGCTCTCTGGCTCTCGGCTTTCCGTGGCTCTCTCCCTTCGTTCCTCTCCTCGCACTCGTTACCGCCTCCTCCGCCGCTTGAAAACCCTAATCCTTTATCCACGAAGGAGATCCTCTCTCAGTTCAATTCCCTCCAGACGCAGCTCTTCGAAGCCGTGACGGAGCTTCAAGAGATCCTCGACCTGCAGGACGCGAAACAGAAGGTCGCGCGTGAGATCAAATCCAAAGATTCCTCTCTTCTCGCGTTCGCCAACAAGCTCAAAGAAGCAGAGCGTGTTCTCGATATGCTCGTTGACGACTACTCCGATTATCGCAAGCCAAAGAGAGGCAAAACCGTAACTGAAGAAGAAGAAGAAGAAGGTAATGACAATGGGTCTTCTTCTACTTCTTCATCCTCTGTTACAACCACGGTTTCTTCTCAGCTCAAGCTAAAGGACATATTAGCTTACGCTCACAAGATTAGCTACACCACATTTGCTCCGCCGGAATTCGGTGCAGGGCAAGCACCTCTCCGTGGAGCATTGCCACCAGCTCCTCAAGACGAGCAAATGAGAGCTTCTCAGCTCTACGCCTTCGCTGATCTCGATATCGGTCTACCTAAAACCGTAGAAACCATGGAGAAGAAGGTTGAAGCGCTCATGGAGCCACCATTACCACCACCAGAAACTGTGAATCTTTCTGCAATTCAAAACCTTCTTCCGCCTGATATCGCAGTTCCCTCTGGATGGAAACCAGGAATGCCAGTGGAATTGCCTAAAGATTTGCCATTGCCACCTCCCGGATGGAAACCAGGAGACCCTGTTGTGTTACCGCCATTGGAGTCAATTCTTGCACCTAGAGCCCAGGAGCAGCAACAAATGCGGCCTCCTCCTCCTGGACTTCACAGGCCTCCTGACGTCATACAGGTCCGACCTGTTCAGCTCGACATCATGGAGAGTGATAGTAGCAGTGATTACAGCAGCGATGATGGTAGCTCAGATGACGAGGACTAATCAACAACATTATGATTGATGATGATTCTCGATATAAGGTCTATGTTACTGCTAATTCTTGGACAAGTTTTGAATTTGACTAATGTGAAATTTTCTACTTAGTTGCATTTCGTTTGACATTTCTTTGTGGAAATATTTTTAGTATATGCCTCGCCGTTTCCAGTATCTTTGATATATCAAAATTGTTTCTTCCGGCATAAAGCTGTGTTGGCAGTTGCTAAATCTCTAATTCAGTTGACAGAATTATTGCATATCTTTTTTCTACATTCAGTCTTTAGACTTTAGCTTCAGTATTTCTTCTCGTAAGTTCCAACTTTCAAGAAAGCAGTTGATGCCTTTGGCTACAAAAATTGGATTGTTATAGATCTTGTTTCAACAACCTGGTAGAGTTAATGCAACAACTTGACATTTGAATCTATTACTTACACAGGTAAAAAAACTGCATACATGCGACATCAGAGTACATACCCAAAACCCCCTATCATAATACATACTCAAACCTACCTTTCGTATATCAATTGCAAGAAATATTTTGAACAAAATGAAGTTATATTATCATCTGAAAATTTATCGAATTCTCACATTTCAAATTTTATTCAGACTAATGTCACCCATTTTCCTCTTGAATATAGCAACCGTTCTAAACCGTAAACCGTAAACGCATTTTTTTCAGTTAAAAAGATAGGTTATAAGTTGTTTTCTATTTTATTTGGGCCTCTGAGCATTTCAGGCCCGCATATACTTCTTCCATTTTACTATATAGCTCGCCAGAAACCCTAACTACATTTGATGTGCTTTGTACCCTAGCGCACAGCCTCAAAATCCGAAACTTTGTCCTAGCCAAAACAATGGCAGCCGCCGCCGCACGCCCTCTTGTCACCGTTCAAGGAATCGACGGTGACATGAGCACCGACCAATCCAACACCGTGTGTTTACCAGACGTCATGACTGCACCAGTGAGGCCAGACATCGTCAATTTCGTGCACGCCCAAATCTCCAACAACAGCCGTCAGCCTTATGCAGTCTCCAAAAAGGCCGGTCACCAGACTTCCGCCGAGTCTTGGGGAACCGGACGTGCCGTGTCGCGTATCCCTCGTGTTCCCGGCGGTGGAACTCACCGCGCCGGTCAAGCGGCGTTCGGAAACATGTGTCGTGGTGGTCGGATGTTTGCTCCGACTAAGATCTGGAGACGCTGGCACCGTCGTGTCAATGTCAACATGAAGAGACACGCGATTGTTTCGGCGATTGCCGCTACTGCTGTTCCGTCTCTTGTGATGGCTCGTGGTCACAAGATCGAGAATGTTCCTGAGATGCCGCTTGTTGTTAGTGATTCAGCTGAAGCTGTGGAGAAGACTTCCGCTGCGATTAAGGTTTTGAAGCAGATCGGTGCGTATGACGATGCGGAGAAGGCCAAGGACAGCATCGGAATCCGTCCTGGTAAGGGTAAAGCGAGGAATCGCCGTTACATTTCTCGGAAAGGTCCTCTTGTTGTTTACGGAACCGAAGGTGCTAAGATTGTTAAGGCATTCAGGAATCTTCCTGGTGTTGAGCTCTGTCATGTAGAGAGGCTTAACTTGTTGAAGCTAGCTCCTGGTGGTCACCTTGGTCGGTTTGTGATCTGGACTAAGTCTGCTTTTGAGAAGCTTGAGTCCATCTATGGCTCGTTCGAGAAGCCATCTGAGAAGAAGAAGGGTTACGTCTTGCCTCGTGCGAAGATGGTGAACGCCGATCTTGCTAGGATTATCAACTCCGATGAGGTTCAGAGCGTGGTGAAGCCGATTAAGAAGGATGCAAAGAGAGCTGTTCTCAAGAAGAACCCATTGAAGAACCTTAATGTGATGCTTAAGTTGAATCCGTATGCTAAGACCGCAAAGAGGATGTCTTTGTTGGCTGAAGCTCAAAGGGTTAAGTCCAAGAAGGAGAAGCTCGAGAAGAAGAGGAAAATCGTCACTAAGGTAACAAAACTCCACACTTTTTTTTTTCTATTCTCGGCTCTATTGGATGATTATTTCTGAATTTTGAAGATTCTGATTTTGTTCTGTCTAGCTCGAGAGTCCTTTGCATCTGATGATATAGCGTATACAAATTCTTAATCTTTTGACGTCGCTAAGTTTTGTCAGTACATGACAATGCACGATAGAAAGTGGGTTGATTTCGTTTTTGCTAAGCAGTCTACACTGTATTTATCGAGTCGTTATCTCTTGTTAAGTCATTGATGCGATTAGGTGTACAGAGAGAGATTCTATCTTGAACATTTCATAGGGTCTTGTATTCAGGATCAAAAGTTGCTTGCTCTTATATTTTCTGTCTTGACATAAATGTATTCATGTTTAATTGAAACTGCCTGTCCATCTCAGTTGTGTTGATTGTTTGTTGTGTTTTAGAATCACAAAGTTGTCTCACTTCTCTAACTCTCTTGTTACCTTCTTTACTATAGGAGGAGGCACAAGCTATCAAAGCAGCAGGCAAGGCTTGGTACCAGACTATGATCTCCGACAGTGATTACACCGAGTTTGATAACTTCACCAAGTGGCTCGGTGCCAGCCAGTAATAATGCTTTCATTCATGGCAAATTCTCTCATATTTAGGCGAAGATTTTGGTTATCTGTTTTTTGGTCTTTATTTGTGTTGGATCTATCTGGGATTTTTACTCTCTCGAGTTGTGATGTTGTTGAGATCGTAAGAGGATTAAGAAGTATGCATGTTTTTCAACTCTTATCAATCATTAGTGCTTTTACTTTTTTTTTTCCCAAAAATTCCTCCACTGCAAAAATTTGATGAAGCAATATCTGTTATCATCAAAACCTCTTTGATGCAACGGATTTGATCCTCATCATCATAACAAATAGTTGCCGTGAGTCTATTACTAAGGATGCTAGGTTTATTCATGAAAATCTGTTAGTACTAATGTCAATGCGAGGGATCACTGCGATGGTAAATCTCATAACCTGGAATATAACAAAGTGACTTAGAATATCTTTTCTTGCGCTTCAAGTTTCCCAAATTTTCAGGGGGGAATAAGAAAAAAGCAAACTATAAGTAAAGGTCTCTTTTGTCAACAAAGGAAGATATTGTTTTCCGCTAATTGGAAATGTTTACTAGACTCTTTTTGTGTCGAATATTAATAGACTGTTAACTCCGAAAAAAAAGAAGTATAATCACAACTTTCCGAATGATTATAGTTTTTTTCAGATAACGTTTCGCCACTTTCCTTGTAGGTTTGAACAGAATCAGTCAGAATTTTATGGAAGATTTTGTATGCATATATGGAATAATCAATTGCGGAGAGAATTCTCAGATTCTCGATCAATAATAGTCTGCTCGATAGACATTTTTTTTTAACTTCTGAATAAGATAAATTACTTTTTTTGTATACTATTGATTTTCTGGGGTTTTTTTTTAAATGGATGATATACTATGATTGATTTGATATACTATTATTGATTTGATATACTATTGAACTTATGTAGTATTTTCCGATGGCATAATATATTTGATCTCATGAGTTGACGTGTCTTTATTAGACATTCCTATACGAAACCCTTAAGTAACGACTTAATAAGTGCATTAATAATGTTACATTGATATAATTAGAATTCAATTTAAGTGGCCGTGTAAAAGCAAAACAAAAAACTAATTAATTAGGCTATTAAATATCAAATGCATTAAAGACGAAATTAATTTGTCAAGAAGGAAAGCAAGCTTTAATGTACGGTTTACAACTGCTAATGACGACACGTGGCACAGCAACCACATGAGGCGGTGCTAATCCCATAATCGGAAAAGAGACGGCATACAAAAATTCACGTCCCTTGGATCTCCTTTCCACAAATTTAAAACCGTCCGATCTAAGCAATCGATTCCTGTGTGCACGTCCGCAGAGGATAACTTCTTGAAACATTAGAGGTCTGTCTAAATTAACAACCAGCGTCTTAGCAAATAAGCAAGGAAAGTATTTACATAGATATTATTGTTGTAGTATCTGTGTGATTTTTTCTTTCTGGAGATTAATTTCCGAGGATAAAACCCTAGATTTCTCCTCTTTTTATTCAATCTCTGAGAGAATATTTTAGGTATCCGATACCAATCAAAAGCCTCTTGATTTCTTCTTAGAGATTGGGTCAATCTGGTGAGACTTGAAAGGGTGTGTGATTACCAGAGTTTTCTTTTTCTTTTTCGTTTTTTGATTTTCTTTTGCGATCATGATCTTCTTTCTTCTATTTTTTTCCTTCTTAGTTGATCGTAATTTGCTGTTTTCATATCTATTATCGATTATTAGTTAATAGATTTCCTGTTTCTTTTTGTTCTTGCCAGTGAAGCGTCTGTGTGTGCTTGTTTTGATTTTTCTTGTGAAACTGATCGTCTGTGTCTGTTTTGATTCTTGGAGAATTTGAGGACCAGTGGTTTTAATTAGAATTCCCGGAAAAAACCCTAAATTTCGTTTTGATTTCTCTTTTCTCATCTTCTTTCTCTCTCTTTTTTTTTTCTGTTGAGTTTTTCTTGTAGTTGTATGGCATCTTCGTATATAAAGACTTGAAATTTTGGATCATTTGGTTGATAGGTTGAAAGTATACACTTTGACTGGAAGATAAAAGTGATGGAGAACAGAGGCCAGAAACGAATGGAGGTTGTGGAAGAGCTACCTGCTGATAAGAGAGCTTGTAACTCACAAGATTTCAGGCCAAGCACATCTGGATCATCTGTCCAAGCTCAAGCTAATGGCACGAGTTCAGGACATGAAAACGCTGACGCTGACATGGATACTTCTTCATCTGCTTCCCATTCGAGTCGATCAGATGAGGAACAAGACAAGGATTCCGACTATGGATCTTGCGATTCTGATGATGCTGATCCGAGGCAGAGGGTGCTTCAGGAATACCAGAGAGGGAGATCATCTGATGATCAAGGGAAATTGAATTCACTCTTGTCGAGTTTGACTGCAGAAACCGATCCTTCTTTGCAGTTAACTGGTCTTACAGAGCTATGTGAAGTGCTGTCTTTTTGTACTGAAGATTCACTGTCCAGCGGAATGGCCGACAGTCTCTCGCCCATGCTTGTTAAGTTAGCTAAGCACGAGAGCAATGCAGACATCATGCTGCTCGCCATCAGAGCAATTACTTACCTGTGTGATGTTTACCCACGGTCAGTAGCATTTCTTGTAAGACATGAGACTATTCCTGCTCTCTGCCAAAGACTATTGACTATTGAGTACTTGGACGTTGCTGAGCAGGTACTAATATACTTTTCGCCAGAGTGAGATTCTTTTCTTTCTTTTGTTAATGCCGAAAGAGAGCTACTTTTGTAATACTAACTTTTGACTTGGCCAGTGTTTGCAAGCACTTGAGAAAATATCCCGAGATCAGCCAGTAGCATGCTTGAATGCTGGAGCAATTATGGCAGTGCTTTCTTTTATTGATTTCTTCTCAACAAGCATACAGGTTAGCCATCTCAAGATTGACCTTGCTATGTCAGATTTGCCTGTTATCTGTGACTTTGTTTAAACTCGAATGTGTGACTTTTCGAGACTTATCGAATTTGAACACCGCTTTTGCATCAGAGAATCGCAATTTCTACTGTGGTGAATATATGTAGGAAGCTTCCATCTGAGTCTCCCTCCCCTTTCATGGATGCTGTTCCAATATTATGCAATCTTCTTCAGTATGAAGATCGACAGGTCAGAATGATCCTCAGTGCCTTTATATTATTTTATTTTTCACTAAAATAGATATTCTTGTGCGAAATAGTGATATCATATATGTTTCTGTTTGCAGTTGGTCGAGAATGTGGCTATATGCTTAACAAAAATAGCAGATCAAGTTAGCCAGTCACCTGCATTGTTGGATCAACTGTGTAGGCATGGACTAATTCATCAGTCCACACATCTTTTAAACTTGAATAGCCGCACTACCCTATCTCAACCTGTTTACAACGTACGTGAGATCTCTTCTCCTTTTCGATGACCGTCCTTAATGCTGATTGCATAAAGATAACATCATGCACTTTGGCTTTGTTAGCAGGGCGTGATTGGGTTGCTAAGAAAACTATCTTCTGGTTCAACTTTAGCTTTTAGATCGTTATATGAGCTTAACATTGGCTACAGACTAAAAGAAATTATGTCCACGTATGACATTTCACATTCAGTGTCTTCTACACATCCCATCAATGCATGTTCCAACCAGGTTTGAGTTTTTTCTTAAATCACTCAAATAATCTCTAGTACTCCATCAGATTTTTCTTCATCAAAATAGTCATTTATCAAAGTAGCTGTTGGGGAAGGAGTGCAATGATGATGATTTTAATTTTTGTGGTGGAAACCAACCTCACCACTCAGGTGCATGAAGTATTGAAGTTGGTAATAGAGCTTCTTCCAGCTTCACCTGTAGAGGGTAATCAGCTTGCCTTGGAAAAGGAAAGTTTCCTTGTCAATCAGCCTGATCTCTTGCAACAATTTGAAGCCGACATGCTTCCTGCTATGATTAAGGTTATTTCTGACATACAATTTTATGCTCTGTACGTATGGGTTTTCTGGTTAATTCTGTCTTAAGAGTTTGTATCTTGTGAATTCGTTGTAGGTGCTAAATTCTGGAGCTAACGTATATGTTTCTTATGGTTGCCTATCAGCAATTCACAAGCTGACATGTTTGAGTAAGTCAGACGATCTTGTCGAGTTACTGAAGAATGCTAACATTTCAAGGTACTTTGTTTTTAAATCTTCTACTGCAGAGCTTTAAGCTGACTTAACCCTGTTGTTTTCTAGCTAATGACATTGCATTCCATGATGCTGCAGTGTTTTGGCGGGCATTTTGGCAAGGAAAGATCATCATGTGGTCGTTGTAGCACTACAGATTGCTGAAGTGCTTCTTGAGAAATACAGAGATGCTTTTTCGAATTCCTTTATAAAGGAGGGTGTTTTTTTTGCAATGGAAGCACTCTTAAGTTCTGATAGGGGGCAGCAGAATCCAGTATCTGGGTTCATTCAAGGATCAGCTGACTTTTCACAAAAGCCTGTTGTGAAAGAGAATGGGAAATGCTTGTGCCAGTCTTTTGAAAAATCACTTTCCTCTTCTTCACAAACTTGTAAGATTGAAACTGATTCTGTCTACATTCTCGCAACACGTATCAAGAAGAGTTTCTTTGGACCTGGGGTATTCGACTCTGAGAAAGGCTTGACAGATGTTCTCCAAAACCTCAAGAACTTGTCGGTAGCACTTGGCGATTTGATGACTGTACCTAATGATTCACATGTCTTGCATGATGAGAAGTTCTTGTCAATATGGAATCAAATCATGGAAAGGCTGAATGGACGGGAATCTGTGTCCACTTTTGAATTTACAGAGAGTGGAATTGTAAAGGCGCTGGCAAATTACCTGTCTAATGGACTCTATCAAAGGAAAATTATCAAAGGCGATCCTGAATGTGATAGTTTACCATTTGTTGGTAAGAGATTTGAAGTGTTCACAAGATTACTTTGGTCTGATGGCGAGGCAACTTCATCCGTGTTAATACAGAAGCTCCAAAGTTCCCTATCTTCTTTAGAAAACTTTCCAATTGTTCTAAGCCAATCTTTGAAGCAAAGGAACTCATTCGCGGCTGTTCCGAATGGACGTTGCACAAGTTATCCATGCTTAAGAGTTCGTTTTGTTAAAGCAGAGGGAGAGACTTGTTTGCGTGATTACTCCCAAGACTTTGTCACCGTTGACCCACTTTGCTACGTGGATGATGTCGATCAATACATGTGGCCTAAAGTGAATTTGGAACCTTTACATTCCGTCGGAGCAGAGGATGAAGCTATAGAATGTCAGTCTTCTCAATTGCAGTCAACTTCGATATCTTGTCAAGGTGAAAGCTCAAGTCATATGGATATTGACAGTTCTGATGCAACACAGTTACAGGTAAATTCTAAAATGCCTCTAATCTTTAGCCTCACAGAAGTAGCATGTGCAGTCTTTCTTTTATCTTCAGGTTTTGCTTTGATTAGGAGGGATTCAAACGTTTCCAATATGAGTGTAAGGGAAGCAATTATGTATTGGAACAGATTTTTCTTCTTTCCTCCATAAATTCCAAATGGTGAAGTTTTCAAGATGGTATAAAAGTATTGGCTGTGATTTTAACTATTAGCTGCGCCACCATTAGCTCTCACTTTTGCATCATAAACGTTATTTACACTTTCATGACTTCCCCGAGTAGCAGCCTTCTGAATTCAAGATGAGCATTAGGTAGTGTTTTGGCTGTTGGTTTACTTGAGAAAAAGTTGACTTCCTTGGCATCTTTCCTTTTCTCCAAGCTTCATTTTTTGTTGTTGCAGTAAATTTACCTTTTGCGTGTTTGGAATTTTTTCTGTGTGAAGGGATCTCAAGAGGAAGAACAGGAGCAGCTTCGAGGGCTATGTAATGGTTCAGGAGAAGAGAATATTTCCTCATCTGAGAAGGAGGATCCGCTACCTAGACTTTTGTTTCGTCTGGAAGGGCTTGAACTAGACCGCTCTTTGACTGTATACCAGGCAATTCTCTTGCACAAACTAAAATCTGAAAATGAAACTACCAACGGTTCAAAGCTGAGTGGACCGCACGACATCACTTATGAAAGGGCTCCACAACTTGCAGATTCTCATGAAAATGTGTTTCCTCTCGAATCTATGGACAATGATGAGTATCACCCGCTTCTATCCTACTTGTTTGCTCATAGACTTGCTTTGCGCCTCAAAGGGACAAGTCCTCTTGCGTATGACATATTGTTTCTGCTTAAGAGTCTGGAGGGCATGAACAGATTTCTCTTTCACCTGATTTGTCATGAAAGGGTTAATGCTTTTGGTGAAGGTAGGCTGGACGATTTGGATGATCTGAGGGTGCAGGTTCGTCCTGTGCCATATGCTGAATTTGTTAGTAGTAAGCTTACAGAGAAGTTAGAGCAGCAGCTGCGTGATTCGTTTGCGGTGTCAACCTGCGGTCTGCCACCATGGTTTAATGATCTAATGGATTCATGCCCGTTTCTGTTTAGTTTTGAAGTCAAATCTAAATACTTCCGACTTGCAGCCTTCGGTTCACAGCAAGTCCATCATCATCCACAACACCTTAGCAGTTCAAATGTTCATGGCGAAGGGCGTCCAGCGTCTGGCAGTTTACCTCGAAAAAAGTTCTTAGCTTGCCGGGAAAACATTCTAGAGTCTGCTGCAAAAATGATGGAGTTATACGGCAAACAGAAGGTGGTCGTTGAGGTGGAATACAATGAAGAAGTCGGAACTGGTCTTGGCCCAACACTGGAGTTCTATACACTTGTCAGTAGAGCATTTCAAAATCCTGATCTCGGTATGTGGAGGAGTACTCGATCCTTTGTTGGAAAATCAAGCGAAGACCCGGGAGCTTTGGGGTATGCTTCAGGACTCTTTCCACGCCCTTGGTCAGGTACATCAGCAGCTTTTCCAGGTGTGTTGCAGAAATTTGTTCTTTTGGGGACAGTGGTAGCAAAGGCTCTACAAGATGGACGAGTCTTAGATCTTCCTTTCTCCAAAGCTTTCTATAAACTTATTCTCGGGCAGGTAAATTGGGTTCTTCAAGCATCTCATTTTACATATGTATGTCTCTTTCCGACATTTGGAAAATCTTACGGAACCATTTATCCTGTAGGAGTTGAGTTCATTTGACATCCACTTCGTTGACCCTGAACTTTGTAAAACACTGGTGGAATTGCAAGCTCTGGCACGTAGGAGAAAGGTTATCGCAGAAGCACAAAGTGATTCCCGAGCAGCCATGTATGATTTAAGTTTCCGTGGAACGAAGATTGAGGACCTTTGTCTTGAATTTGCGCTGCCTGGCTACACAGACTACGTCCTCGATCTCCACTATGCTAATGACATGGTACCATAATATTTCAGTATCGTGAACAAATCGCTTTTAAGTTCCCTGTGCATGTGGATTAATATCTACTCTTCTTCTCGTTCTAGGTAAATTTGGATAACCTTGAGGAATATATCAAGGCTATTGTCAATGCCACAGTATGTAACGGGATCCGAAAACAAGTGGAAGCATTCCGGTCGGGATTTAACCAAGTACGTAGCGTTCTTCTATTTGGTTCCAATTGTCTATAGATTAAAGTTTCCGTAAATCATTCCTTTTGCTATACACGCTTCCAGGTTTTCCCCATTGAACATCTTCTGATATTCAATGAAGAAGAACTGGAAACTATGTTGTGTGGAGAACGCGATCTCTTTAATGTAAGTTAACCTTCAGGTGCTACGGTTTTGTTTACCGGTCTTTCGTCAGCTGAAAAACGAAATACTTCCTTTGCAGATGAATGAAGTCTTGGATCACATCAAGTTTGATCATGGATATACTTCTAGCAGTCCACCAGTTGAACATGTTGGTTTTTTTTTTTTTTTCTAACTCAAGTCAACTACTTTTCTTTCTTCATTTTTTTTTTGTTTTCGCGGTTCAAACTAAAGGTTTAATTGTTATGTATTCCAGTTGCTGGAGATTCTGCATGAGTTTGACAAGGAGCAACAGCGAGCTTTTCTGCAATTTGTAACCGGATGTCCTCGGTTACCTCCTGGCGGTTTGGCGTCTCTCAATCCCAAACTTACAATTGTCCGCAAGGTCCACTGTTACTGAAAACTTCTCTGGTTTTCGCACATTATATGTATGTTATAATCTTTCTCGTTTCTCATCAGTCTTGTATTGCTCTGTTTCATTTCAACAGCACGGTAGCGATTCTTCAGAAACCGACCTGCCTAGTGTGATGACATGCGCCAATTATCTGAAGCTTCCACCTTACTCTTCCAAAGTGACATCTCCCTTCTTCATCTTTGTTAACCACTCTCTTACTCCGGTTTTTCTCTGGACAAAACCCGGTCTCAGGATCGATCTCACTTGTGTTTTGTTTTTACTTGTCTGTGTTTTGCAGGAAAAGATGAAGGAGAAGTTGATTTATGCCATAACTGAAGGTCAAGGTTCCTTTCATCTCTCTTAAATTAGTTTATTGTAAAAAGTAGCAGAAGCGGTAGGTGATGTGAAGGGACAAGTGTGGATTTGTCAGAAGAAACAAGAGGAAGCTCTTCTTCTCATGGCTTTAAAGTTTTCTTCTTTTAGGATTTATGTACAAAAAGATTAGTAATCAGTAGAAGTAGGAAGAAAAGAAAAAAAAAAGAAACTCTCTTTTGGACTTGATGGGAAAACTTTGTATATCTATATAAATAAATAAATCAGCTTAAAGTTATAATATTATTGTATATTAATTTGACAAATTGGATTACAAAATCCGAAATGTGTGAAATTGAAGCATTTTCCGTAGCTGGTATGGTCAGGACGTATCAGGTGAAATCGGCTTGACTAATTTAATTCCATAAACTAATAATAGACTTGTGATACCACTAACCACCGATCATTTTAGAATTTGGGATTTTCGAGATCTATAAAACAGACTAAGAAAAATCCCAAAGTAAGAATAAGGAAAGCGATCGATGGTTCACATGTTCATGCTATCTATGTATAGACTTGTCCCTATCTCATTATGAGATTGCATGTTTTTTTTGTGTGTGTGCAAACTCATGGTTGAGCCATCTTCGTATATGTATTCATTAGTAGTTGCAATGTCAATTCGGTTTAATGCGACTTTCCTTATCTTCTTCTCTTTTGTTTTCGTCGATCTAACTTTCGATATCAATGCGATTTTTTTTTTTTCTTGCCAACATGTTACGTCGATATTTTAAACTTTAAACCAAAATAATAAGGATTATATTTTTCTTTTGTATAATTAGTAGAAACTTCAGATCCATTAACTGGATGTTATTATAAAGTTTTCCTACATATAAAGTTTTATTGGACACACTAAAAATGGTTTCTATTATCGTCTATTTGTCTTTTAAACAATTAAAAGATAGTTATGATTCTAAAAGACTATTACGATCGACATATTTTCCATCGAAACACATTCAGTTATATAAATCGAGTTCAGTACTCTAGATAGCACTTTTTAACTTTAATTACAAAAATAGCACTTTTTGACTTTTTATTACAAATTGTATGTAATAATATCATCACAGGATACCAACAGTGTACATGATACCAAAATCAATATCTCAAAAACTATTATAATACGTAGTTGCTTCTTCGATTTACATAAACATTGACAACACTTATTATTCAACTATCGAAACATACAATTAAATAGTTATCTCATTGATATTGATGAGTTACTTTTTTGGCAATGCGACAACGAATTTGGCAACCGACTTTGTATCTCCAAAAGTAGATGGGACGACAAGCACAAGTCCTTTTGAGACAGACCCAACCCAACATGAACTGCCTTCCAATTTGTCCTGAAACGCTAAACTCACATTAACTACTCCAACGACTGTCTCCTCCAAAACGCCACCACAATCGCAATCGCTAATCGCTTCATCTGATCTCGAATGTATCTCTACCTTCATACCATCGCCTTGTTCCTTGACGAACAAGAATACATCCGAACTCGCTCTTTCGCGGACAGTGTCTTTCACGGTGGCTAGTGACATCTCCGAGCATGTTTTGGCCCGGAAAACAAGGGGTTCTCCACGGTCGAGAACCGAGGGTGACCTAGAAAAGTCAACGAGGAAATGACCAAGGTCTTTGTCTTTCTTGCGTGATGGGAGGTGGAAGATTGGTTTGAGTGTGGTTTTGGAATGAGCTAAAGAGCTTTGGATTTGAGCCCATTTGGTCAAGAAGTCTGTCTCAAGGAGGATATCAGCTATCAATAGACTGCAGCTTATCCCAATCGCGTATCCACCTTTCTCAAAATTAGTCACCTATTTATTTTGACATACATAAAAGGAAAAAATCAATCTCATTATCATGGCTTGTCTGATTTTGCTGAAACATTGCAAGTCCAAGAATCTTTAACAAAGTTTAATAACTCTTTTTTTTTATATATTAATTAAATGAAAAAAAATTTCTAAGCCAAAAAAAAGAAAGAAAAATTCCGAATCCAATAACCATGAAAATAAAACTGAAAAAAGGAAAACTGAAATATAGAGAGTTATACCTGTTAATTAAAAGATAACCCCTGATTCAAACACTAAATAATTTATGATATTTGTTTTTTTGCTAATGAAGAATTTGATTTTGATAAAAATGTAAATATATGATTAATCGTTAGATAACCTGAAGATAGAACAATGGAGAGAATTGAGGATTATCTTCATCAATGTCTCTCCAGAATACAGTCTCTGCCTCAGCTCTGCTTTTGTCTCTCTTCACCATCTCAATAAACTCCGGCAAACTCGCCGGAAACCTAGCCTCCACCAGCCTAACGCCACTGTCGTTAGCAACCACCTCTAGCTCTAGACCATCCTCCTCCGTCGATGTTCTTCTCCGCCGCAGCCTACCGGAAATCATCGGCTGCTCCGTCAAGGCTCTCCCTAACGACTCCTTGATCCAACCGGCGACTAGCCACCCTCTCTCACCACTATCACCTGCTTCTGCTTGCTTGTAGTACGTAACCATGTTTAGTGTTCGCCGGAATATTCCTACTCCGACTGGATCTTCGACGGTTATGGAACGGACTTTACGATGTTGCGTCACTTCAACCGGCATGACGCTCTGTACTCCGGCGATCATCGATTTGGGGATTTTAGTTTCCATTTTGGCTATAATCTGTGAATTTGGCTTAAGATGGTCCTCTGCTACTTATAGGAACATAAAGTTATTTACTACTCCTTACTATAAAAAAAACTAGATTTCCTTAATTTGTGATAAAAGCTAGTAGTATAAGAAATGTGCTTTAATTGATTTCATCATGGAAAAACCAACGGTAATACAGCTCCAATTTGTGCCGACTTGCATTAACTATTCTCAATTTGCGTAAAAGTAAAGATGGAGTTTTTAATGATCGTTGACTGCTGAGACCTGATCAGTCAAGATTTGTAGTTGACTAGTATTTATATTACTACCTGGTGCAGAAAAAGTAGAGTAATATTTCATTTTAGAAAACCGTAATGTGTGTAAACTTGCATTTAATGATTCGACCTCCGTTAGTAGCAGTCTAGCATATGCGGATACTCAATACGACGACGTTGCAACCTACAACATATTTGCCTATCGTCGTTATTAACGTTATTAATTCATCGGTTGCAAAACTAATTACTCCAAAACTACTATCTGCATTTGTCCTCTCAAGAACCATTTGTCTTCTCACTTCTCAAGAAGATTCTACACAATAATATGATAGAACATCTATCTTCCTATAAAATAGAATAGTTGTGGGGTTTATTGGGCTTGGTTATGGGCCTCCTATGGCAATCAGATTTATCGTTAATTAAAGCCATTAAAACACGGAAAGAAAGAGAAGTATACTAGGAAATCAGGAATTATATATCGCTTTGAGAAAATTTAGAAAATGAGTCAGAATATAATAATACAGCCACAAAAAGGGGAAGAGATATTTTGAGAATCGATGGCCATGGCTGAAAATTACCGGCAGCAAGAAGGCGCCACCACTGCCGCCGTTGAAACCTCTAGCCATCTCTCCGATAACCCTCACCAGAACGGAATGATAGGCGATTCAAACGACGGTTTCGATTTCGTCAGCTCTCTGCCGGACGCGATTCTCCACCTTATCCTTTCTTCTATTCCGACAAAGTCCGCGATCAGAACCTCTGTCTTGTCCAAGCGATGGAGGCATGTATGGTGCGAGACTCCTTCTCTCTCCATTGATAGCCATAGAGTGGTCACCCGATCGATAAACAAAACCTTAGCTAGCTTCTCGGCTCCCAAAATCACGAGCTTCCATCTTCGAACCAGCTTAGTCAATCGGATTCAGCCTGTCGATAGCTGGATCGAGTTCGCCATTTCTCACGACGCCGAGAAGCTGTCTCTCGAGTTTCGTGATCCTCGTGTCAGGGATTACAATTTTCCTGATTCCTTCTACACCAATTCCACTGTGAAGCAACTCTTGGTCGACTCTGGATCTGTGGTGATGATACCCAGATGCACAGTGTCTTGGACATCTCTAAAGAACTTGTCTTTGAGTTACTGTAAGCTTTCCGATGAATCCCTTCTTAAGATTCTTTCTGGTTGTCCGCTGCTTGAAAGCTTGGAATTGCTGTTCTGTGATGAGTTTCGGTGTCTTGATCTGAGTCAATCACCGTGTCTAAGAAGATTGGAGATGGACCGAAGCGATTGGTTTCTCGGTCCAACGGAGATTGTGGCACCGCATATCCATTGTTTGAGATTGAGACACTCTCGATTACCATGTAGATTAGTGGATGTCTCTTCTTTAACCGAAGCTAACCTGAACATCTACTTTTGCGATCTTGGAACTCTTACGCCTGATTTTCTTCAAGGCAATGTGATAAAGATGCTAGCAAAGTTGCAGAATGTGGAGAAGCTAACTGTTGGTGCTACCTTTCTTCAGGGTATGTTTCCGCAATTGTCTAAGGCCTCTTGTAGAATGATGAGGTCTGTGTTCTGTTATTAACGATATTTACATGTCTTTCAGATGTTATCTCTTGCGGCTCTCTGTGGTGTACGTTTTCCGACGCTCAAGGTCGAATCTTTGACACTTGAAACAATGATTGTTCGGTCTGTTATTCCTGGTATAACAAAGCTTCTACAGAACTCACCTGGATTAAGAAAGCTAACAATACACACCGTGAAATGCAGCATCATATCGGTATCTTTACCATGAAACCTCTTTTATCCGCTTTTATATATCTGTTGTTTCATACTGTTAAAATCTGAGATACTTGCTTGATGAAATAGTTTTGTTTTCTGTTCTACAGGAAGTGCATCTCAACAATTACTTGCGTTCACATAGCTTGAATCAGCGTCAATGCTGGAGATCAAAGGACATGTTGTTCCCGGGCTCTATTGAGACCATTTCGATGTTGGTGGGTAAATATGCAGAGTCCAATCTTGTGGCTTCGTTCATGGAACTTTTACTGAGATATACAACAAGTCTAGAAGCAATGGTTGTGCTCTTGGTAGGTTACCTTGACGCATCAGGTTTTGAAGAGCTTCTTGCAATGGCAGCAACACTTTCGCACAAAACAAATGTCTTCATTTTGATCAAGCAAAGCCATGTTAAAAATGTATCCAACACTTTCTCATAATGATGATGTATCAATTTGATCAAAGCAAAACCCTTTGTTAAATATGTATCGTAAGGCTTTAGGTTTGAATCTCACAATAACAATTATACTGAATCTCAAATTCAGATTATTTGTATTTTGATTTTTTTCAGTAGAATTGTTCAGTTGACCACTTTCTACACTTTTAGTTATCTGTCATCAGAGACTCAACTCAATAGTGGGTTTTTTTATGTTGGCAAAAAGTGTATGTTATGTCGGGACATGTTATGTCTCGGTTTTATGTTGTTTCGGGCCTTAAAATCGACAAAAAATGTTGTTTCGGGCTCTTGGCCCAATAGGTTAAACATTTTTTGGTTTCAGCCCATTAATTGAATATCTAGCCGCCGCTTAAACAGAAGAACGGAAACGAATCGACGGTGTGATGCCAATGGCGAACGTTCTCCGAGAGGGAGACGGCGCCATAGCCGCCGTAAAATCAAACGAGCGAGAGATTCAATTGAAGGTGTGGATTTCATCAGCTCTTTACCCGACGTGATCCTCCAACATATCTTGTCCTTAATTCCGACTAAGTACGCAATCAGAACCTCGGTTTTGTCCAAGCGATGGAGGCATGTATGGTCCAAGACCCCTTCTCTCTCCATCGATTGCTCTAGATCGGCGGAACCTGATTCGATCAAAGAAACCCTAGCTAGCTACTCGGCTCCCAAAATCATGAGTTTCCATCTCTGCATCAGGCGCAACGCTCCCCAGAGATTGACAGCTTGATCGAGTTTGCCATGTCTCGCAACACGGAGAAGCTGTCTCTGGAGTTGCATTATGCTTATTCTGGGCATTACAGTTTTCCTGATTTCTTCTACACCAGTTCCTCTCTAAAGCAACTCGTGGTCGAAGGTGGAATTATGGATACGATTCCTACAGGCACCACTGTGTCTTGGACATCTCTGTTGATTCCTGTGCTGATATCCTGTCTGGTTCGCCACTGCTTGAGAGCTTGTCATTGTGTGCTGAACTCGAGCTTCTTGATCTGAGCAAATCTCTGCAGTTAAAGAGATTGGATATACAAGGTTTGGTACCAACGCAGATCGTGGCACCACATGTCCAATTTTTGAGATTGTCACACAGTGATGAGTCACAATGTGGTAGTGGATGTCTCTTCTTTAACCGAAGCTTACGTGAACATCTACTGTTCAAGGCGTCCTCTTTTCTTGCATGAAGACTTTTCTGATCCTGAAACCGGTTTAGCTGATTCGCTTCAAGTGATGGTCTTAAAGACGCTAGAAAAGTTGCAGAATGTGGAGAAGCTTACTTTGTGTGGGGCTTTCTTTCTTCAGGTAAGTAAGCTGTCCTTTCTTTCTTCAGCTGAAATGTTTTAAGTGAAGCACATTTGTCAAAATATGATTCTGCTCTCAGAACATCAAATCCTTATAATACAGTATGTGTTTCTTTTAAAATTGGTAGATGTTATCTCTTGCCGAGGTCTGAGGTGTTTCAATTCCGACCCTCAAGGTCGAAGCTTTGACTTTTGAAACGCTCCTCGATCAATCAATTATTCCTGGTATAGCAAAGATGCTACAAAACTCACCAAGATTAAAGAAACTAAAACTACAGATAGATGACGACTGCAGCACCATAGAGGTAGATTCAGTTTTCTTTGTTTTTAGTATATATATATATATATATATATATATATATATATATATATTGAGAGGGTTTATATTCAGTTTTCTTACAATTTGCATGATGATGAAACATTTTCTTTATATTCTACGTACAGGAGTGTTCTCTTACCAACTACTTGCATTGGAAAAGCTTGTGTACGCGTCAATGTTGGAAACCGAAAGATGTGGCCTTGGAGACTTGGTCTGAGCCGAAACTCATGACTTCGTTCATGAAATTTCTGCTGAGAAACACTGGAGACAATTGTTATACGACTGGGAGTTACACTTTCTCAGAAAACAACAATGGTGAGATATCTTTTGTCATAGACTCAACTCAAGAGTCTTTTTTTTTATCGTTGGACCTCATAGAACATTTTGTTATTCTTTTATTTAGAGGCTCTCTTTCCAATGAAGTTATTTGTGTTTGGAATTTTTTTTTATCAACCAAACGATTAATGCAAAACTATAGAAAGTCTTTGCTGACATCGTTTTTCTGTTAAGATACCGCTACGATTACAATCAATCAGCCATTTAAATTTGACAAGTCGATGGATATTCAATTATTCTTATTTTCTTACGGTCAAACACACATCTTAAGAATCATCGACTAAAAAAGAAAAAGCAATTGCGGAAGTAAAAGTCGACTAGAAAATAAAAATATACAAAAGGAAAGGAAAAGCAAACCTATGTTTTGAATTTTGAACCTTACAATGTAGGTTTAAGGGGGACGTTAGAGACATCGGACATGCAGATGGTGATGATGAGTCGCGACAAAACAAGCACTGTACCACGTGGCCTATCCCTTGACGTACACGTACGCTCTGTCCTAAACCCCCATAAAAACGCGACTCTCATTTCTCCGGAGGTCTTCATTTATTTTCCCAAAAATTGAGCTCCCGTCGACGGAGAACTATCGCCGTCCCGGTCACTAGAGGTCTGCTGGCTCTTATCTTTTTCGCTCTGTCTCCATTCTTCGGTTAGTTTCGTTCTCTCTTGTATGAGGGACTCTTTTCTTCTCTTTTTCTTTAATGGAAGTGTACTGAAGCAAATTTCTTCTCCATTTTCTAGGTTTATTTTGGGTACTCGTTATGTCTAGGGAACCGGGAGGAGTTGAATCGGACTCGGACGTTGTTTTTGGCGGCAATGCGCTGAGGTCTGAGAGTGGAGTGGCTCAGTCATTTGAAACCCTAGCTGATGGCTCCTTACTAGTGAAGCTAGCTGGGGTTGAGCGAAAATGCTGCGTCTTTGCAGGTAATGATGGGATTGAAAAAAGAAATGGAGTTTGGGAAAAGGATTCTGTAAGTAAAGAGTCTGATTTTGGAACTGTGACCCAAGATTTAGATGTAGAGACTAACGGAAGTGAGACTGAGAACGATTCTGATGCAGAATCTGAGGGTTTTTGCGAGAACGGAGTTCTTGATGGCCCAAGAAAGCAGAAACCAAAACATGAGAATCTGAAGCTCTCTGGCTCAGATTTGGTTTGGGCTAAAGTAAGGAGCTATCCATGGTGGCCTGGACAAGTGTTTGATGCATCTGCTGCATCGGTAAAAGCGATGAAGCACTTCAAGAAAGGAAAACTCTTTGTTGCATATTTTGGGGATTACAGCTTTGCTTGGAATGATGCATCCGTGATAAAGCCTTTTCATCAGCATTTCTCACAGATGGAGAAGCAGAGTAACTCACCAGTGTTTCAAGATGCTATTGATTGTGCTTTGGAAGAGGTTTCAAGGAGAGTAGAGTTTGGTTTATCTTGCCCTTGTATCTCAGAGGAAGCCTATAACAAACTCAAGACTCAGAGTATAATCAATCCTGGAATTCGAGAGGACTCAAGCGTGAGATACGGTGGAGACGAGTTATCGAGTGCCATCTTTTTCGAACCTGCAAAATTTGTGGATTATATGAAGCAGTTAGCTTGCTTTCCGAGTTATGGTGAGACTGATAAGTTGCAGTTTGTGAATATCCGAGCTTAGTTATCGGCTTTTCAAAAATGGCAAAGCAATCTTAACTTTCCCAAGTACGAAACAATTCTAAGGTCGGTCAGGACTTGATGAAAAGACAAAAGAGAAGACTTTGTCCGATATTGTCGCAAACAAAACCTTAGGGAGCACACCAGTTGAGGAATTGGATGGGAAGTCGCATTCTGAAAAGAAGCGGAATGTTGAGTCTTCAAATTCCGGTAAGCCTGAGAAAAAGAGAAAGAACAACCGGCAAAAAGAGGCTTCAGCATCTAATAATTCTGATGAGGAAATTAATTGGTCAGTGGGTAGGAAACTGCAAAAGGTGGCTACCCCATGTTTTGCAACTGAGGCTATCTCTTTGAGAGTGGAACGCGAGTTGATTTCTTTAGTTCCTACACCAAACGTTTGCAGTTATTCTAATTCTACTTCAAAAGTGGAAGTTGAGAGCAAGAAGAGGGAGAAGCCTGAACTTGAAGAGCTTGCCCAAAAAATGATTTCTTCAAAAGATCAGATCGTACCTGATGAGATGCTCTCGAGCTTTCACGAAGACAAAACCGCAAAGGGGATACCTGAATCAATCAGCATAGACCCCTCGAATTATGAAGGTTTTGAAAAGGTCATTGAGGAAATATCTTGCGATAAACTCAATGATGACTCTAAGAAGGCGAGTATCACTGAGACATCAGTATCTAGGGATGTGAAACTCTCTTCAGAAAAGAAGATCCTACCTGCGAATAAAGAATCAGCTGGTTCAGGCTCGAAAGAGCAAACAGACTGTTGTGCAGATTCATCAGCACCCTATGCATTGATCCTCAAGTTTGCGGATTCAGGAAAGATTCCATCCGAAGAAAAGCTGAACAGCATATTTAACCGTTACGGTCCCCTTAGAGAATCGGAGACTCAGATCATGAAGAAAGGCAAGAGAGCCAAAGTGGTGTTTGAAAGTGGCGAAGACGCAAAGACTGCCTTCAGCAGCTCCGGGAAATACAGCATCTTTGGGCCTTCTCTTCTAAGTTACAGCCTCAAGTTTGTTTGCCCAAAAGCCAAACAGAGCAACACCATAACCACTTGAAAACGAATTTGTAGACGTCTGATTAATTTCAAAGTGTAGATTTTGACATGATTAGAAGAGCTAATTGTTGTGATGAGACCAAATCGCAATATTTGTAAAGAGCAAAAGATTCTTACTGATTCAAGGCAAAGATTTTGGATGTTTAAGATTAGGCAGAAAAAGGCAGAAAAACCACTGATCATAAGATAGAAACTATTTCAAAAGTATATAAGATCGGGACTAAACTCAAAATTCATAAAAAAACGGTAACACAGCAAGTTTTGAATCTTAAAGTAGAATAGAACAGAACACAAAGAGTTCTTTTTGATTGAACTACCAAAAGGTGCTTATAACATCAAAATAAGTTTCAAAAGTCTGACGCCTTGTTTAAGATCTTGGCTTCTCCTTCTTTTCCTTGAAGAGGGCCAAGAGTGAAACTCCAGACACCTTCACGACCTTGAACCTAACTCCGGGAATATCTCCGACGGCATGACCCTTACGACCGAATCCAGCAATCAAGACCTCGTCCTGCAACGACATTAACAAACAACGATTCAACATTTGACAGAAACTGATTCAACATTTGACAGAAACTAATTCACGTTTGATAATTAGGTTAAAAAAAGGCATGTCAATTCGACTTACGTTTTCCTCGATGTAGTTCAAACAACCATCGTTGGGGACAAAAGCAGCAATCTTCTTTCCGTTCTTGATGAGCTGAACTCTGGCACACTTACGGATAGCAGAGTTAGGCTGCTTAGCCTCAATACCGCTGCATAATCAAACACAAAGTCAGATCTGCTACAATGTCGAAACTCAAAAAAGCAGATAAATGAAGCCTGTTTTTTTTTATAGAAAAAAGGCCTTACATTTTCTCGAGTACGATTCCTTTGGCGTGAGATGATCCAGCGAAAGGCTTCTTCCATTCATTTCCAAGGTGAGACTTCTTGTACTGCTTGTCTGCCCACCTCTGGTTAATCCGAAGTCTCTTGAGCTTGCGCCCAGCTCCCATACCCCTTGTCTTACTGTTACATTACCCCACAATATACAACATTCAGCTTCGAGATCATAGGATAGGAAAAATATAAACTTTAATAACTAGAGCGTAGAGAAAATCAAACAACCAGTCATCTACCACATGGGTTCTATTATACTCTTTATCTCAAGATTAGCTCGTATCTATTGGGTTAAGCACTTAGCAAAATTATATATAGTCTATTGCGGATCCATAAGGAAAAGAAAAGAAAATGGGTAAAATACATATCGAGAAAAGAACACACATTGCCACAATATTCCGATAGAAGTCATTGATTGTCAGATGCCACAATAAAAATTCGAGTCATAACACCATTTCCAACGACAAAAAATTAGAGCAGATTCGACTAAATCACTCATAATTCACGAAAACAATGGGAAAAAACAGATTGCTAAAACGCTAAAAGAGCAAATAGAGAAACAAGACAAAGGATCTAAGAGAGGAGAAACGTACCCCATGTTTGTAGATGGAGGAGAAGATCAACAGCAAAGAGGTATTCGCAGCAAGCAAGAGGAGATAGCTTTAAAGCGGCTGTGAAAACCCTAATCCCAGTGAAGGCAGTGACTCCTAATATATGTGAAGCTGGTGGCTATACCTCAGGCGATTTATTAAAACTCGATCCATTAATACAAAGGCCCATCACATATTGGGCTTTTTAAATTGCCTAAATCATTTTCTTTAAAAGCTCATATTCTTCTTAAACGTTGGATCTAACAGACGGTCCAGATGACGTATACGTATATGTCTGTTCTCTATAATCTATACGGCCATACAGGGAATAAATACCTCCTTCATCTTAAAGCATACGCTGGACACGAGTCACGTGGACCTACCCCACCATAACCTACAACTACCACCACGTCAGCATAACCCAGTAATCCTTACGAAACCGGCTGTAACAGGTAAAAGGGACACACACAGAGTAAACCGCCCACACGACACTCGCTGGCTCAGCCGGTCCCCACCACTTAACCGTCGATGCCACGGCAGACCGACGTGTACAAACGAGAAGCGTTTATTTAAAAAAGGGAATTTTGATCCAGTGGTCCATAATTTATTAATGCTCCAGCTAAAAAAAAATAAAGATGAAATTAAGAAGAGAGAGAGAGTGAGAGCTCGAGACTCTCGTCAATGGCGGACTGAGACTTTTTTACCTAAACCAGTCAAATCAAGGAGGCGACGGAGAATATTGAAAAGGAAGAAGAACATGAGGTAAAAGTTTGGCTGAAGAATAAAGTGGCGATTCGAATCAGACCATAGTATTGTTGTTGTGTCTAGCTGTTTCTACTTCATTAGGTAAGATAAACTTTTGTCTCCTTTCGCTTTCTTTAGTAAAAAGAGAGATATGATTCGTTGTTGAAATTCTTTTTCCGAATTATTTAATAAAATGGAGAGCTTGAAACTCACGCTTACTAGTAGCAAAGGTGTCATTGGCAGCTTATTCTCGCGCATCTTCTCTCTGTCGCTTTTTGTTTCTTTAAATGTTCGTCTGTCTTATCATAAAACTGAATGTTCCTGTTGGTTCGGGTTTAGGTTCAGATTAGGGATTTTTAGGTTGGAGCGGAGTTTGAATGCTGCTGAAAAAATCGAGAGATTGAGAAGATGGAGGAGATTAGAGGAGTGCCTACGTGGCAGGAAGAGCTGGCGAGTCTCGTTGACGCCGGATTGCGATACGACGGAGCGCCGATCGATTTCACGGCGGCTACTGAATCCGGGTCAAAGCGATCGGGTTTTATGTCGGTGGATGGATCCGGATCCGAAGCAAAGGAGACGTTGAAAGATCAAGTGACGGGGTTTATGACATCGTGGGGAGAGATGCTTGTTGACCTCTCGAGAGGATGCAAGGACATTGTTCAGCAGACGGTGGTGACCGATGACTCGTTCGTCGTGCGGAAGCTTGGGAAACCGGCGGCTAAAGTTTCGAAGAAGCTTAGCTTTATGAACGACTTCTTGCCTGAGGATCGTGATCCGATTCACGCATGGCCTGTGATTTTCTTCGTCTTCCTCTTAGCACTCGCAGGTAAATCAGTTTCATCTGTTTGCGAAATTGGCTTAGTATTTTTGTCTACTACTCAGAATCTTATTCACAATAGTAACCTGTATTTATGTCAACTCTCTGCATGCAGTTAAATTGCAATGCCATGCTCTTAACAGTTATAGAAATGTTTAGAAGAAAGCTACTAGATATTGGGATACATCTTTGAGGAATTTTTGGGATTAGAGATGTTTAGCTTATCGCTGCATATATAAAGCTAAATAGCAGTATTGTAAGAGACTCTTTTAGTGCAATGGTTTGATTCCTTGCATTGACATATTCAACTTTGAAGTGCAGCATTAAGCTTTAGTCCGGAGCAGGATAGACCAGTGCCAGTGATAACAAAACTGCGAATACATCCTACCGGTGCAACCCGTGTACAGCTTCCAGATGGTAGATATGTCGCTTACCAGGAGCTGGGTGTTTCAGCTGAAAGAGCAAGATACTCTTTAGTTACGCCTCATTCTTTTCTTTCCTCTCGACTTGCAGGTATCCAAGTAGTTTTCCATCTGTTTCAGTTACTTCCCATTACGTTTAGCTTTTGTCATCTAATGATTGAAATTACCTATGATGTTCCAGGCATCCCTGGAGTGAAGAAATCATTGCTTGAAGAGTATGGTGTCCGTTTAGTGTCATATGATCTTCCAGGGTTCGGAGAGAGTGACCCTCATCGAGGTCGAAACCTTAGCTCATCTGCCTCGGATATGATTAACCTTGCAGCTGCTATCGGAATCGTAGATAAATTCTGGTTACTCGGCTACTCTACCGGTAGTATGCATACATGGTCTGCGATGAAATACTTCCCGGATAAAATTGCAGGTATAAACAATGTTCCTTTACTGCTTTATACGTTTCATATCATTAGAATATTATTCATGATTTTGACACTGTGATGGTTTGCAACCAATAGACCGTTTCTCATTTGTGTTTGGTTTTGTGAAACTACAGGAGCTGCAATGGTGTCTCCGGTGATCAATCCATATGAGCCAAGCATGGCCAAGGAAGAGATGGTGAAAACATGGGAACAATGGTTAACAAAGAGGAAATTCATGTACTTTATAGCACGCCGGTTTCCAATTCTTCTTCCTTTCTTCTACCGTAGATCTTTTCTCTCTGGTAAACTTGATCATCTCGATCAGTGGATGTCACTATCATTAGGAGAAAAGGTATAAATTTCATCCATAGTTTGATCACAGAGCGATCAAATGTGCTTGAAAATGCTCTTGGAGAAAGAGGGTATCATATTTGCTAACTCTGTTCTTCTTTCTTTCAGGATAAACTTCTACTCAAAGATCCTACTTTCCAAGAATTTTACCAAAGGAACGTGGAGGAATCCGTTCGTCAAGGAATCACAAAACCATTTGTAGAAGAATCCGTGCTTCAAGTATCGAGCTGGGGTTTTACTCTTTCCGAATTCCGCACACAGAAGAAATGTACAACTAATGGTGTCCTCTCTTGGCTCATGTCAATGTACAGTGAAGCCGAATGTGAACTAATTGGATTTCGAAAACCCATTCACATATGGCAGGTAATAATACAATGTACATAAATTTAATCTGTAAAATTGATGTTTTAAATAAACCGTCTTGCGTGTGTCTTAAAGGGAATGGATGATCGGGTTGCTCCACCATCAATGAGTGACTACATCAGCAGGATGATTCCGGAAGCTACTGTACATAAGATTCCAGAGGAAGGTCATCTCTCCTTCTACTTTTTCTGTGATGATTGCCATAGACAGATTTTCTATGCTTTATTCGGAGAACCCAAAGGGCAGCTTGAGAAAGCAAAAGAAACTCTAGTCGAGACGGAGGCACATAAGGACACAACTAGTTCTACTACAACCACCAAAGAGTAAAGAAGTAAAAGCGGTTGAAAACTATAGAAATCAAAGCTACATATTTTTTTTCACATTTTTAGGGTTATACACCAAGCAGGATTTTATTTTGGATCACATTTTACATTCTAAAGACTTAAAAAGAGTTTAGTGAAAGGGAATTTGTCAACGGTTTTCTTGACATAGGAAGTGTTATATTCAGCCATTAAACAAGTACATGTGATAATCGAAATAAATAATGGGTTATTAACAAGATTTGCAGCAACTCTTTTACGGCACTTGCGTTCAGTCATTGACCGCATCACTAGTGAAAAGATCACAAAAATATTTAAAAAATCAAAAAAATTATTTAAGGTAGCTGCTCTTTGTAATGGGTGCCATTAAACATTTACATGCAGAAAAGTTATCTGCTTGGCAAAAATAGAGAAGAAAGAGTTGTTTGATCAATGTTTCTTTGGAATCGTAATGATATACATCATGAAATGGTGGCAACATTCAAGACAAATTCAAATAAAAAATACAGAGTTCCGTTGGGTTACGTTTATCAAGCTCATCATGACAATCAAAATGCAGAACCGGAGTTATTAGATTTGCCAAGCATCATATCTTTGGCTTCATTGATCTTAGACGCAAGATAGTGGCTGCCTCCAGCGTCCGGGTGGTTTGCAACCATCACCCTCCGGTGAGCTTCCTTCACCTTCTCTGCCACAACACTCTCCCTGTTTTTTGTAAAACACACCACACACACACAAAACTCAGTCAAGACCACCAAAGAAGAATTGGAAGAAGAAAAAAAAGGATTCAAAGACATGAACTACAAGTTTGGGTGGATATCATGGGCATCGAAATCTACTACTTTGACATAGAAAAACTTGCAGAACACCACAGCAACCAGATTCTCAAACCCAACAATACCTAAAAGGTCAAATGTGTGATCTTTGACACCTATTGCATTTGTCGGATTTATTAAACTACACATCACAAACTCAAGGTTATTCACCTAACTTTAGCTGGTATCAAGCTTTATGAATCGCAACTCCATTTCAATTGAGGAGCAAAAGAAAAAAAGACGAAGATAAGTTTAAGAAGGTGTGACACACCTGACTCCAAGAATGAGAGCAGCTTCTCGCCGTGTCATTGAACCTTGGAAACCACCTTCATAAAACTTGCGCATTCTAGGCATGCGTGGTCTTGCCTTGAAGGCTTGCCAAGCCAATATACCATATCTACCAGCTATAGCAGCTGCCGCTACAGCAGCACCTGCAACCATTGGTGTAGCCTGTGTACCCAGAAAGACAAGTAACGTCAGATACCCAAGAAAAAGAAAAAGGAACACACTTCCCATTGAGATCAAGGAGAACAAGTAAAAAATCAATAGCTATCACAGAAACACAGATAGATCGTCTCAGTATCCATTTATTGTGACAACTCAACATATAACGAAGACTGATTAACACCACCAAAACTACCTAAAAAATCGAGATTCTTAAGCGTTTGGGCAACAAGCATATCATGTCGACGCCGTCTAGGCAGTAAAATTTCTGATTGTTCAACAAATATCGACACTCCTCACTAAAATATCCAGATTTTCCGCAATTAGTCAAAGAGAGAGAGAGAGAGATTAATCAAACACGGCGATGAAACAAATGCGAACAAAAAGGGAAAATTTAAAAAACGCTGGTGGAAGGAAATAAAAATGGATTTCATAAACTCTGGTCTAATCACGCTTCACTATCACCAAAATAATCTCCCACGAGCGTCCAGCGATAATGATGAAGAACGGAAAAAAAATCCAGACTTTACGGAAACAAGAATATACCCACAAACTTACCATTGTTCACGTAGATTTGCGAGAAATAATTTTTGCGCAGAGAAATTTCAATCGGATCAAACAAATGTTATTTTCTTCAATTATCGAATTGGGGATGCGGATGGGTTTAGGGTTCTTGAAGAGGAAATAAAGGGTGATTAAAAACTCTGCGTCTTTTTATTTTTATATTTTGCGTGGGCAAGTGGTCGGTTATGTGAATAATTTTTGATTTTTTTCTTATAAGGTCGGTTAGGTGAGTCAAAGTCAATACCTTCTTCTCCCTCAGAGGGTCATCGTTTATGACATGCTTACGGTTCCATATAATTTCTCGCCAATTGCAGTATTCATATAATCTCCTTATACAGGAAATCAAACCGATTTTGCACTTATAGGAAAATGCATAAGTACAATGCATTATTGCAACCTTAACAAACAATCCAAAAAAGGAACTTCAGACAAGAGTAGTAAGAAGAGAATTTTGGATTTGATTCATGATTTTTTTACAAATTAATAAAACAATAAAAGGTATCGATTGAGATTTTGAGGATAAACGCATACAAATTACAACCCTAGCTTTCTGCTATAAATAAATACAAACGGGGTTGTTCCAATATAAATAAATCTCTTCAATATTCAAATAAACAAAAAAAAAAAAAGGCAAAGCTTATCGTCGGATAATATAATTTATTATAGTAAAAAATAAATGACAGGCGCTTACACTGCACAAATGAATTACGAACAGAAGGGAACACATAACAGACAGAGCAATCTCGGACACACATCCATAAAGTGGAAATATATTAAGAAAAAGACAATAAATAAATACCTCAGCTGCCTCCCCCGTTGGTCACGGCGACGCCGCCACTCTCCACCTTAGGCGGAGCTGAGAACCGCCGTGGTTTAGGCAATGCAGGTGAACTCGGATAAGAGAGGCGTTTCTTAGCCGATGCCTTGTCTGCAAAGCCATCGTTTTCCTGTGTCGTACCACTTAATGGACTCTGCGGCTTGAGCCTGGCTCTGGCTGATTTAGTTGGAACCATGTAGCTCGGTAGAGCCGGTGAGCCAGCGAGGCTCTCGTCATCTCTGACTGATGAACCAGCGATGCTGTGTCTACGGTTCCTCTCCGACAGGACCGAGATTGTGCTTTTGGCGTCGTCGTCGTTAGATTTTCTGGAGGATTGGTTTAGCCTTGAGGGAGTTGGAGGAGAGAAGAAACTGTTTTTGTTTCTTGGGGTGCCTCTTGCGGATGATGGTGTGTTTGGTTGAGTTGAGTTATTGCGGAGTATAGATTTTGTGGCTTCGTTACGGTTTATAAAGCTCTTAACGGAGGCGGCATTGTCGTTGTTTTGTTCTTTCTCGGAACTCTCTAATGGCCGACCAGCCATCCATCTCTCTAGCCAGCTCCAACCCCATGTCGGATTGCTCGGGTCCATGAACATCGGGTTTGCAGATTTAGAATTGTTCTTCCAGTTTTGCTGCAGGTGAACATATGATAATGAGCCACAAATTCAACTTTATGGATGTGTTAATTGTATCTCTCCACAGATGCAGCTTTAGGTTACATTGATTGGATTACCTGATGAGAGTATGCATAGGCCAATGCCCTTTCCCTTCTCATTGTTGCCTCGTACTTGCTCAGCAAATTCGCTTCAACTTTTTCCTTCGATTGAATGCTATCATCCCAGTTATCCCCGTTCTGAGAGAAATAGAATCTATTAGCATAAGTCAAGAAGACTCAAAGATTTCCATTTTTAGGTAGAAAACAATGAACAATTGAGTAAGTAGGTAGCCTATGAAGACACAACAGTTTTTAGTATACGAATAATAATGCCCATGAAACTGAGACGATTGTTAAGTAAAAACCGGTAACCATCCTACACAGATACCAACTAAATGCTTAGCAGTGATTATCACCTCTCACCCAGAATAAAGGAAGAAACATTGAGTAAAAAGAAGAAAATGGAAAGAGAGAGAGAGCAAGAGACCTTCAAGCCAGCTAGCTCTTTGGCATGCTTCTGAAGGAGTTGTTTCTGCCGAGCCTGATTCTCCTCTGACATCCTGATTCTCCTAGCTCGGATTTGTGACTGTACACGAGAGAGAGTCTGCATGCATTTCAAAGTATTTGCAGCTTGCCGTTTAACAACAGATCCTTCCATCAATAACTTTAGCCTGACCAAACCCCTCATTGCCCGCAGTGCTCTTCTTGCCTGTATCAAACAAGATAAGGTTATTACTCGACAAAGCAACTCAACAGCAAAACAACAAGGAACCCAGAAAAGTTTTTATTTTCAGTTAAGCAGTGTCAAACAAAATCAAGCGACTTGGTCACCATCGCATATGAAATTCAAAGGAAGCAAGTTTCTGCAGAAAATTAATCCAATTCAAGAGTCGAATTATATAAGCAAAACATACCAAATAGCCTCTAAATATCGTCTGAATCAAGATTGCAGCCGCTTCTTCGTTTGACTTTCCAGCAAACCGAGGAGCCGTAGCACGACGAACGACCTCAGGAGCAGATGAAGATGGAACTACAGGAATATCGGTTGTTGTAGCATTCACAACATCTGTGGAAGGAGGGGAGGGATTCCTGTTCCGTTCAACAATCACTTCAGCTACTCTCACCTCAAGTGGAGGAGGAGGAGCATGGGGAGGAGAAGAAGATTGTCTGCCGTTATCAGCCAGCGGAGGGTTAGAAATCACACCATTTGGGCTCTCGGGCGATTTGTGTTTCGATTTCTGAGAAAACATCAAGCATCATGATGTCAAGCGACACGAGAATATCATGAATTCGCATTATTAATTGATATTCACAAAAATCTCATACCTTTGAATCTGGGCTGAAAGCTTTCTTAACGCTAGAAAACCATTTTGCTTTTTTGCCCATCTCTTCACCGTTCTCTGTGCTATTTCGTCACACAGAACCAAAAAAGTGTAAAAATCAAATTTATCTCAAAGGAAACTAAATCTAGTAGTGATCTCTAATACACTCCTCCTGAGCAAACACGTAAGACACATTAAGTAAAAAAAAAATTCAACATTCACCAAACGCCACTTAAGAAAATCACACGATTATTGGCAGATCTCGATATCTAGGAGCTAAATTTTGCAATTAACTCAGCAATTGACACTGAAACGACCTCGAATCAGGAACACACAGGACAGGAGTCCTACCTGCGATAGACAGTGACACCAGATCTGGTAGAAGAAGAGCTTCAAAAAGCTTCAAGAGAACAAACGCGCTTCTATGTGAGCTTATCGGAGAAGAAGACGAAAAGGCTTAAGAACCGGTGGGTTTGGATCTTTGCTGAGGTGCGAAGATATCTTCTCTTCTTCACATTATCATTATTGATTATTGCCAAGAGAGAGAGAGAGAGAGAGAGAGAGAGAAGACAGATGGATTCAAAGCTGTGTGTAGAGTATTTGTGACGGTGTGTGTTTGTGCGTGAAGCCACTAATTGGGCCGCTTTTGCGGGGCCCACTTGCCTCTCTTTTTTTACCAGCTTTGTCATCAGTCATCACCATTACTTTTATTCATTTACCTTTTTCTATAAACTTGTTGTGATAATTGGTTAGTTTATGCCTTTATGGGAAAAAAAGCAATGATAAGTTTGATTCTTTAAGCATCTAATTACTTTTTAAATATACCATTTAAACGGATATTTTTAACATTTTATGCAATGTGAACAGTATTTCAAATTAATCATCATTATGTATTTGGTCCACGATTATAAATTTTACTGAAATGGTATATTTGGAATTTTTTACTTTGGCTAACATGTATGAAAATTCTGAAATGTCAATGATGTGTATACTGAAAGCTGTATTGGTCCTATTGGATTTTTATTTACCTTTCCTGAAAAATATTTAATGAGCTTTAACCCCAAGAAACGATATTTAATGAACTAAAACGGGAAAATCGCATTTTAAACTTCGAGGGATCAAAAAGGTAACACTTTAAACCTCGAGAGATTTTCACTAGCACAATAAACTTCTAACCTAATTTCACTAGCACAATAAACCTCCAAACTTAAAGATTTTTTCGCGCCGCCAAAAAACCTGACGGAAAAGTAACGGACCGTGATGGAACAGTAACTCCGGTAACTTATTTTAAAGTGTGCGTAATTTTAATTAGTTTTTAATCAAATTTTAAATTCATAAATTAAATTAAATATATAAAAATGAAAAAAAAAGTCACAGAAGTCATCAAATTCATGAATTAAATTAAATGAATATTAAAAAGAAGTCGCATAATTAAATTAGACATGAGTAATCATCTAACTCGCAGAAGAAGGAAGAAACATGAAATGAAACCCAGATTTTGAATATCAAACCCAAAAACCAAACATAAACATCGAAATTTATAAATCCCAAATCCAGAATCGAAACCATCAGACATAGGCGAAATCGTTACCCCATCTTACCCCATTTTGACTTGATTACATCTGATTCTTCCTTCGATTTTCTTCTACTTCTCTCTTTCAGTTTTCTGGGTTTTACAATGTTTGAACCCTAATTTTGGAATGAGGGTTTTGACTTTAACAATCAATTTAGGGGTTTTGACTTCATTTTTGTCGAAAATTTATTTTTATTCGATAATTCATTTTTTTTTAATTATTGATTAAAAAACTAATTAAAATTACGCACGTTTTAAAATAAGTTATCGGAGTTACTGTTCCGTCACGGTCTATTACTATTCCGTCAGGTTTTTTGGCGGCGCGAAAAAATCTTTAAGTTTGGAGGTTTATTGTGCTAGTGAAATTAGGTTAGAGGTTTATTGTAATAGTGAAAATCCTTCGAGGTTTAAAGTGCTACCTTTTTGATCCCTCCAAGTTTAAAATGCAATTTTCCCGAACTAAAACGTATCTATAGAAAATATCGGATCGGTAACACTATTACCGTAACAGTGACCATCTAATTTTAATATTAATAAATACCTTTATCCAGTAAGATAATCGTTTAATAAAAGTTTTTATTCGTCTTTAGTGGGGTAATAGTTAATATCAAATATAACATCGTTTAACTACTTAATTCATCTGCATAATTCGTATACACGCTTACATTACTAGAACCGCGCTTACATTACTAGAACCGACAAAACATGTGAACAAAATTTTTAACCAGTGAGACAGCCTTTAATCATTTTAAATATGCTCTAATAAGCCACACCATAATGCATACTTTACTAATATTTTCTGGATTGACAAGACAAATCATGAAAATTAGAGAGATTATCATTGTTAGTTGTTCAACATATCATAATAAATGCTCAGCATCACCACGCTTCTAAGTAAATTTTCCAATGAGTGAATGAAAAAAATAAAGTAGTTGACATATATAGCCTAAATTCAATTATAAATTACCCCAAACAAACGTGAAAAACAAACGTACGGTTAACGAGTAACTACGAATTTAATTGTTTGGTTGAAGTAATAATATTTATGCAACAACATACACTGACTAGGATAACGATTACGAAACTGTGATCTTTTATTGATATAAACGTACACATCCGTCAGAAAAGCAATTTAACAGTTAAAATCTAGTAGTTTTATTATATCGCGAAAAGATGATTTTGACATACAATGAACAAAGATGATGGAAATAGTATTTAAGTGTGTCCAACGGATTAAGTATTAGCTGCCTAAATCATTGACTTTTTGGAGAGAAACCCCAACAGGTTTCCTTATCAGTGGCCAGCTTGTACCAGTTTTGTTATGATTTTTCGCTATTAAAAAACGAAAAATGCATTTTAAATTTTCCCATCACTCCATGTGGCGTCTTCCTCTAGTTAACAGGAAGTCTTTTTCTTAATATAATAAAGCTGTTTTCATCCTATATGAATATAAATAAGTGAGAACTAGCCGTTGGAATTTAATAATTTCAACTAATCATATGATTTCATTGTCGTCCAACATACCGTAGCGTGTGTATAATATGTATATCTGCTTCTGATAATTTATAGTAATATTAATAGGTAGTTGATTTGGGATATGGACATTTCACCTAATGAATAATTCTAATATCGTCCTTACGAAAGGGAAAAAAAAAAGTTTTAATTTTATCCGTTATGAAACCTTCTCTCGCCGTCGGTCCACTATGTTTTTGGTCTTTGCATTCTTAGCAAGTGAAATATATGTATGTGAACAAACCATATTATTTATTTTTGTAGTTAATGACGGTAAATTCTTTTGATCTATGAAATATTTTGAGAAAAACATTTTTATTATAACTGTTATGTATTTTGTTTTTCTAGATCTATTTTTACAGTTTAGACCTAAGAGAACTTTTAGAATTTGGAAAAGCAAAAGCAAGTAGAACAAAAAAATGAACCGAAAATCACTTTGGCATATATGTAATGTCAGTGGGTCATGAAAATAGCCAGGGCCGTTAGCGGTAAATAGATAAGCCAGAGAGTTTGGTAACGACCCGACATTTATGTCTTGTCGTTTGTACCACAACGCAACGGTAGAAGATTTCTCTATATTGGTATACTATCACCTACCTCGCTCTCATATATATAACCCATACTTTTTCTCCCAGTGAATTTAATGTAAATTAATAGTAATATATAATTGGTCCGAACATATCCCTGGTGAATTTCATTAGATATTTTCAGTTTTTTTTACTGACAATACTTTATTGGGTTGTTGTTTAGTTGTTTATATTTTAGAAGAAAAAAAAAACATTTCTGCAAGGGTTAACTGGAGCTAACTACGTAACGTATATATATATATATATATAACCAACGTAACGTACATATTATGTAGGTACTACGCTAAAGCAGAATCCGAAAACCTTCCAATAGCGGAACCAAATGTCACCGCTTCAGATTTCTTCTTCGTCGGGAATCTCATGGTGTTTATTTAGTTTTAATTTTTAAATAGAAGGATTTTCTAGAAAATCCTAATTATTGGTTTTTATTTGAAGAGGATTATAGAACATTTGTCTCTCTTTTCCCTTGTGAAATGAAGGTCATTGAGTTCTTTCCTCTAATTCTTTTTCGTTGAATGATTAAGAAAAAAGTCCGTTTTCCTTTTCTTAATATCTCTGACTACTTTAACCATCATAAATTTTATGACTATGTTTCAGGAAAAACTTCTTTTTTATGGGTTTCGCATTTTCTTTTATGTGTTCCACTCAAAATCTACTAAAAGATTAAACGCAACACAATTCTGGCTTTAACTGATCAGACCCACGATAGGATTATACTATACATCCTTCAAGACATCATAGAGTTTTAAAATTGTCCAAATCTAAATTCCCCAACCAACCATATATATATATATATATGGGCTTCTTACACCACTGGGAAGAAGATAATCTGTTCTTAGAAATGGCTTACCTCAAGGCTCAATGCTAGGATTCTGAATCAGAAAGCGAGCGTTGTGTAACAGGGAAGTAGTCTCCTCGTTTGATGCATCAAGCAGACGCAATTCCTTGATCTCCTCCTGCCATTTCTCAACATGTTCCTTGTGTATCCTGTTCATATGTGAAATGATTTATTCATTTGAGCGTACAAACATCTCAACCATGTTACATACATAAACATTTATAGGGTCTCTTCAATCTCACATGATCAAGCGTTCTTCGAATTCGTTACTGAGTTCCTTGAACATTGTCTTCCCTGATTCTAGCAAGTTAGAAACCTACACAAGAAGCACCATTGAGCTTGATAACCATATCAAATTCTTCCTAAACTTAAGCAAATGCGTTTATCGCAGGGAAATTATCAACACAGCGTACAGTCTGCGTGAAGCTCTCAATCTTGTCGAGAATTTGAGCAATGTTAAGTTCCATCTCATCAGAAGCAACAAGTTTCGTCTCAGTTTCTTCATTCTCGATTGTATCCAGGCTCATTCCATCTCTCGAATCTCCTTTTTCCTCTTCACCCTATCAAATTTCCAGGCAAATACTAAAGATCTGATCCACCGAGATTAAACGACAAATTCAAAACAGTAAGAAACATACAGATGGTTTCATGCGTTTCCGAAATCCTCCGTTTCCTGCTTCTTCTTCCATTTCCACTGATTATCTAAACTGCAGTAGTTGGAACGGTTCTCATGAACTTCGAATTCCGAGGTTTATGAATGCAAAAATGCACGATTACATCCCAAACAGATATCGATTACGTTTTTTTCTACTCGATTTAAATGGAATCCGATAACAAAACCATCGTAACAGATTTCGATTCCCAATCTAAAACTCGCGAACAATCTAGCTGAAGATTCTACAGTAGAACGGCAGTAACTAGATCGAGATCGACAAAAACAAAATATAAAAAAGAACCAATAGAGAGAACTTACGCTTCGAAACGAAATCCACGCGATGAAGATCGAAGAAATTGCTCGGAAAGGAGTTTGAGAGAAGATGAAGGAGTTTTTAGCGAGAGCGAGTGTGGAGACTGGCTGACTGGGAAGCAGCGAGCGACGAAGAAACAATTTGTTATTTCGAAAAACCCATTTAAATAAAGAGCATATACAGTATATGATCTATTTTAGTGGATGATTATGCGATTCAAAGACTAAACCGAGCCGATTTTTCTTATTATTATTACTCGAGAGAAAAAAATGTATGTCTTGAGCTTACAATGATTTTCATGTGCATATTCTGTTGGTGAGAAAAAAAAGAACTACGAAGAAGATTGTAATTATACAATACTATTGTGGGAGAGTGACTCAGGCAAGAATCAAAGCAATACTATAAAGAACTCCAATTGCTAATGGAATTGGAAGCTATTTGATGATATCAAGCAGAATATTCCAAACATTTACGGCTTAAGTAGTACTTATAAACAGACATACAAAAAACAAATTAACTTAACTGAGTCAGAGATAATTGTCTACTCTACTAGCCTCTAGCTCCACCAGACCGTTAATAACTCCGGAACAAAACCAAAAAAAAAAATTATACACCGGAGACTGATAAGATATATGCGCCTTAGCTTAGCTTAACAAAAGACTGAGCAACTGTGTTCTCTGCATCCGAAAGATTCAACAAGACTTTTTATAATCATCCCACGACCTTTTCTTCTTGGGAACCCGAACCAAAACATATTTATCTGATGATGATGATGATGATGACGACGCTGATGATGACCAATGCTTCTTTACTTTAGATACTGGCTGATTTACTTGTAATGAGTTTGCTCCACTGCTCCATTGTTCTTCTTGTTTTATACCAACAGCCAATTGAGGGATTATCTTGCTCTCTCTTGGGGGCTTCTCATGCTCAGCTTCACTCTCGTCGTCACTGATCACCACGATCGCATCTGCACACACAAAGAAAAAGAGAGATTCAAACAAACTTTCTTGGAGAAGAGATTTCGCAGAGATTAATCAAAACATAAACAGACATACCTGTCACAGTATTGTTAGTATTACGATACTCATCCACCAGAATCACCTCGTCGTTGTCTAAAGCCATAGTGTTCTCTCCTTGGTCGATGAGTTTCTTAGCATCATCGTAGAGTGATTTAAAATGTGAACACTCCTTTTCCACCTCGTCGTTGTCTAAAGCCATAGTGCTCCCTCCTTGGTCGATGAGTTTCTTAGCATCATCGTAGAGTGATTTAAAATGTGCACACTCCTTTTCCACCTCGTTAAACCTCGCTGCTAATTCATCATACCTACTCTCCATCTTCTTATGCTCCTCTTCTTCTTTCTCTATCGCAATCAAGAGCTCATCGTTCTTGTTCCTCAAATCATCGATCATGGCTTTACTCTCAATCTCCTTTCTCTTCATCTCCTCAACCATCTTCTTATACTTGTCCTTCTCGCTTCTCTCGCTCTCAAGATCCTTCTTACTCCCACCCTCCATTCTCTTCATCTCCTCAATCGTCTTCTTATACTTGTCCTTCTCGCTTCTCTCGCTCTCAAGATCCTTTTGCAGGCGTAGATTTGTCGCCTCGAGTTCCTTGGTTTGGTTTGGGTTATGAAGACGCGAACTCATCTTCTCATTCATGTCTTGTACAAGCTTAAATCTTTTCTTAAGACTTGCGTAATCGTCTTTCAGGCTATCATGGTTCTCCTTCAGGATTTCGTATCTTGTCTTCAATAACTCGTCTGGAGCAAACGCAATGCTTCTTCCCGAAGTAGCCACTGACAAGATTTCGTTCTTCACCGATTTGTCCCGAGGAGCTGATGATTTTCCAGACATGACTTTGAAGCCTTAAACCTGTAACAACACAAACAGCGTCTCAAGCTTTTGCTACAGCTTACTTGCCAATTTTTAACAAAATTTCACAGATTCTGAAGAAAGCCTAAAACCCAGATTCGTACTAAGCTCCACCGAAAGAAGAAGAACAAAAAATAGTCTCGGATTTTCTCCACAAAACCAAAATGCACAACGAAAGAGAAAATAGAGAAAGGAACACAAAACTTACCACTAAAAACCCTAAAGCTCAAACCTTTCTAAGTTTTACCGGGAGAAGAAGAACAGAAAATATTTTCTAGTCTCGGATTACAGCAATTTCTCCACAATCATAACCAATGTGTGCAGTGAAAGCTAAGAGAGAACAAAAAAAAAAAAAAAACCTTACCCAGAAGCTCTTGATCTTCTTCTTCAAATCTCTCGAGCAAACAGCAACAAGGCCAGAAAAGAGAGAGAGAGAGAGAGCTATTGCAAAATGAAAGAAGCCAGAGGAGGAAGAAGAAAAGAAAAGCCCTAAAAGCAGACGAAATGAAGCGGGAATGCGAAAGGACACGCATCCATGGACGATAGTTAAACAAGATTATGTTGCATTTAACAAATATATTAATTCAAGTTAGATTGTTGTGCTTCCCAATCTCATGAAACTCAAACAAATTACAATTACACTTATTTAATTAAGTTATCTCTGTCCAACCCTTTCTTTTACCCGAAATGAAGATCTAAATTTTCTCACTATGCAAATCTGATTAGATAAACGTTCCAAAAAACTACTAATTGATTGGTGAGGGATGATGACCTTCTGAACCAATAGGAAGGTTAAGCATTTATGATTCTCGCTCTTTTTCAAAAGGCATTTACTCCCCCTTACAAAAGTCATAGGCCTGCTTGTAACGCTAATGCAAAAACCCCAAAGGGTGAGAGACAAAACTGTATTACAAGTTACAACAACAACCACCCAAAGTGAAACCAAACCCTTGAGATGAGATGTCTACTCTCTCTCTCTCTCTCTCTCTCTCTCTCTCTCTCTCTCTCTCTCTCATTTTCCTTCGTTAAAAGCAAAAGGTCGAATGACTGGTTTCCTTTGATTCCATCATCCGACTTTCTTTGTATTTCCACAGGATTTACCCTTAAAACCGGGGCGATCTCATTCATCGATTCCATAATTTTCACCAAAGTATTTATCCACTAGACTGTTCGCCATGACTCTTAGCTCTTCGTTTTCATGGAACTGGAATCTTTCCATTGCATCTATGCCGTCTTCTCCTTCCACAAGCTTTGGACCTTCTCCGTTTGGCATTCCTCTTAGAACCTACCACCCAGAAATCAAAACCCATCACGATCATTCTGGATCCATAAATGACTATATGTACAAAATCAGCATAGAAACAAGCTCCGGTCTCGTTGAGCTTTTCAGGCCATTTAGTTAAATTGCTTACCAGCTCAATAAACTGAAGACCCAGCCTAGCAGCTTCCATGTCAGGAGATCTGACCAGCTCAATAAAACCCCGGAGGCAACCGCCACTGACAATGGAGACTAAATGCTCTTGAATTATCCTTGCTTTTGTGTCCCCTTCTGCAGATTCTACACAGAGATTTCCCAAGACGTAGGCAACTTCTTTCCTTATATCAAAGGGTGACGTGGAAAGAAGCCGTAGCAACAATGGCATTGCTTCAGTCGAATGTATTAGTTTCTTGTGTTCAATAGATCCCGCAGCTATATTAGATAATACCCACGCAGCTTCCTACATTATTTAGTTTAGTGATGAAGACAAGGAAAGCTTCCAGTATAAAAAAAAACAAAAAAAAAACAAAGTAGGTATGTGATACTGACCTTCTTTAAAACACGGTGTTCGCTTCTTAAGCACTTTGCAAGCACACAAATAACACTTTCTGGAATTTGATTCAGAATATCAGAACAAAAGAAATGATTAAGCTAATGGTGTTTCAACAGGAGAAGTTAATAGATACTAGCCTTCAGTATTATGTCCACGGATAAGGATGGTTAATATTGCTTTGGGATCAACAGCGACAAAGTTGCCTAAACTTCGTAGAACCTGAATTCAAACTTTAGTTATACATAGAATCCAAAATGCGGCATTTGAAAAAAACATTAGCATGTAATTAGTATTCTGTTTCTAATCAATCATGCTAATTATAAGAATAACTGAAATCAATGTGGCCAGAACAGCATAATCCGTGGTAATAAATGAACTAAATACTAACTAGAATCCTGTTTCTTTTGCACAATAACGTCTGTTCGAAATTTACCGGGATGAGAAGTTGCAGGCTATTTGAGTTTGCTAATCTTTCAATAAGTAGTTGAAGAATGTCTCCCTTCAAAAGCATACTCGTCGCAATATCTGAGAGGGCAGAAAGGTAAACAACAATCCATGCAATTTCCGTGGCAATTTCTTCATCCCTAAATCCAACAATCAATAATATCTTGATCAAATTATCCAGCAAACAATATAGCGTAGACGGATACAAAAGACCCGTATGAAGCTCAACAATCAGTAAGAAGCAAGACATCACAACAAGTTTAACAGTTGCTGCAATTAAAAGAGATGAAACTTTGCTTACGTTTTCTTCAAGTGTCGGAGAATTGCATCAAGTATCCCATCGACTCTGACAAGTTGTGCTGCTGCCTTTGGTTCAGGTCCCTATGTAAATGCATGGCCAAATTACTTCTATAACAAAGTTTTTTTATCATAAACAAATGTGATAAAATGCACACCAGAACTGTTCACACCTTAATCAAATTTGACAATGCCCAAGCAGCTGTTCTTACTGTTGAACCCTTGTCAGGAAAAATCATACGTGCTAGAGGTGGCAAAGCCCCTTGAGACAAAAGTACATTTCTCAAATCTTCTCCTTCACCCGCAACATTACCAACTGCCCAAGCACACTGCTCAGCAACCGGCGCAGAGCTCTTTTCTGAATATTAACTTGTAAGCATAAGAAATCTAATCCAAAAAACAGAGAAACGAGTAATAACAGACTTCGTAGGCCAGTACAAACCTCCAAGGTGAGCAATGAGCAGAGGCAGTGCAGGCAATAGAGCTTTTGTTTCTTCAGGTTTTCCAGCAGCGATGTTTGTAAGACACCAAGCTGACTCAAGTAACTGTAATTAGACAGAAGTGAGATCAAAAGATTACAAGCCTACTTAATTTGTCTTATTTCAATACATTAATTACTTGAAATAATCTCTAACTAAATATAATCTCTACAAATAGGCCTATAATATTCAAGATATATAAGCAAATAAATGCAATAACAAAGGTGATAACAGTAAACCATATATAAGGCCAATGTAAGAAACCTGTTCGTCGGGAGAGCCAAATGAAAGACACTGCACAAGTAAAGGTATTGCACCAGCGCTGAGCGCAGCTTCAATGGGAGGGAACTCGGATTTTGACAGTAGACGCCTGAGTTCCCGAAGAGCGGTCACCCTCTTTTGGATTGCACCTTTTCCTCTGAGAATTGAACAGGAAGATGATAAGTAGATATCCGACAGAAGCCATGCCAACAGATTCCATAAAATGGTTTCAGGTATCACTATTCACTAACACTACCCAAAACAGTGAAGAAAACAAAAAGAATGATCAATTCCTAGGCTTTCTGGTTTTTCCAAGGTGACAGATTCACTTACTGATATTGAACAGCAGACTTGAGCTCTTCCACGGCTTTACTGGTTTGAGCCTCCAATATTGGCTGCTCTTCATCAATCATCATCTCATTCTCAACGAGAGCATCCTCATCATCGCCATTAGTACCCACCCTACAAAGCCGCTTTGCCCTAACCAGTAATTCTCTTCTTTCCTTCGCCACCGTAACAGCTTGTTGCCGCCTTCTTTGTCCCGCAACATTTCCAACTACACAGCGTCATATCCAGAAATACAATCACAATCCATGTCACCTACTGATAAAGTCCAATCGTTCTACAAGTTTATATAAATTTGTAAAATTGCTATGGCCCAAAACCCATCAATATACATGAAAACCAATACTTAAGAAAGCTGAATTTGTGATGCATTCCCTAACTCTCAAAATTGCAACAAGAAAGGAACAGCTCCATCAACAAGATTGAAGTTTCAAACGGAAATAGTCATCTTAACATAACACTCTTTGAACCCTTATTTTCTCCAAATACAAATCCACCACTTTAAAGAACTCGATTTCTTCTTCCACTAATCACCACCTAACCTAATTTTCTTGAGAAGCAAACAAGAACACACTCTCCATTAGTAACACTAACACCCTTAGAAAAGTACTCAGGTGCCCAATCAAACTCTGAGGGTTTACAGCAAACCCCAGAACCAAAATACCTTACTTCTCCTCTAAATTTCGAATCACAGAAACTAGGCAACGCCAAAACCAAAAGGGGATGCAAATAAAAATCACCTGAAGACTTTATCGGGTCTCTTCGATTAGACGCGGAGCCATCATCTGCCATTGGAGAAGCTGGAGCACACCTAGTTTCTGCGTGAGTAGGGTTTGATTCAGTAACACACCTGACAAATTTTTCTTTTACGAAACAACAAAAAGGATTACGAATTTCGGACCAAAAAAAGGAATTTTCAAGTTGGATAATTTGGGATCCATTCGCTCGCGCCTGCCGCCCAGGAAAAGGAAAATAAAAGCACGAAAATTTCGCTAACTCGTATAGAATTTCAAATTAGTCCCTAAAATTTACAAGTATACATAAAATGGCCATTTAACTTAAACAATATCTGGCTGAGTCTCGAAGGGTGTCAAAAGCAATTAATTAACTATCTGTCGTGAGTTCCACGAAGTATTCTTGCATTTGCCGATGTGGCAAACTGTATACATAACGTGGCGACTTCTAATTTGTAATTTGCGTACACCGTAATCTAATGTGACGCATGTGAATATAACTCTTGCACGATTATACGTACACGTGTCTCAACCATCCAAAATGTTGTCTTCCCGGAACCTCTTAACTTCACAGTTCACACCTCCTTCCTTGTCTGATCCAATTTCCCGTCACTTTCTCAGAAGTTTTCTCGAGGAAACAAAAAGGAGAAGACGAAAGCCAAATTCTCTCGGTTTAACACGAATTTTCTTTGGATCTATCCCTTGGCTGCATCAAATGGAGCTATCTCAGCAGTTCAAGGCCGTAACCCTCACACACGTCCGGTACCGTCGCGGAGATCAGCTCGGGCACTTCCTCGCATGGATCTCTCTCGTTCCGGTCTTCATCAGCCTCGGCGGATTCGTCTCTCATTTCCTCTTCCGCCGTGAGCTTCAGGGGATCTTCTTCGGTATAGGTCTCGTGATCTCGCAATTCATCAACGAGTTTATCAAAACGTCCGTAGAACAGGCTCGTCCAGAGACCTGCACGTTGCTCGAAGCTTGCGATTCACACGGATGGCCTTCCAGCCACTCGCAGTTCATGTTCTTCTTCGCGACCTATTTCAGCATGATGGCTTGTAAAGGAATCGGGTTCTGGTTCGGGTTAAGGAGCAGATGGGTTCTCAATCTCCTCCATTGGTCTCTAGCTGTTGTTACCATGTATTCTAGGGTTTACTTAGGCTACCACACGGTGGCGCAGGTTTTCGCCGGCGCTGCGTTAGGGGCGATTGTCGGGGCTAGCTGGTTCTGGGTGGTTAATTCTGTGCTGTATCCATATTTTCCGGTGATTGAGGAGAGTGCATTGGGGAGGATGCTCTGTGTCAAGGATACTTCGCATATTCCTGATGTGCTCAAGTTTGAATATGACAATGCAAGGGCTGCTAGGAAGAACATGGGCACGAAGTCCGATTAATTTGCCTGATTTGATCTTTGGTAAGTCGAAATTTTCATCACTGTTTCATTGATATGGATCCGATTTGGTCTTTAGGAATAAGCTTACTTTGGAATCAAGATTTGGCTTTTGATAATCTTCTTTTTTAGCTCGAGAATGTAGTGATTCTTGATACTCCCTTATCTATATTCTAAAGCTAATAGAGAGAAGTTGGTCTGATACTTCATTTATTCCCAAACTGATTTTAGATAGATGTAATGCAAATTGCGTAATGTTCTTGGTGTATGATGAAACTAAGGTAGTAACAGTTATGGATCCTTGTAAAGCACAGGAAGAACAATGTGTGTCAATGAAATGCATTTATCCTGAAGTTTCAGAAAATTTGTTTGTTTTGTCTTCTCAATTTCTTAGCTTTGACGTACCTCTAGATTTGAACTAAGTAGTATCTAGTCCTTCTAGTTTTTGATCCTTTTTTTTTGCTTGCCACACTTTTGACCTATGTATTTGTCAATCGACTAGGAGTAGGCCATATTTGCAGTTAAGCATTTCCCGACTATAAATACTTGCTGCATGCTGATTATAAGCTTTTAACATATAAATCAAAAGGTTTTGATAGTTTTATTGAAGCAGTCTGATTGATTCATTGAAACACTGTCAGAAACATGAAAATAATTTGTTTTCTACATCTCTGTTGTTCAATATTAGAATTGGCAATGAACTTGGTTGGGGTGGTTTTGTTTTACTGTAGTGTATTTCACATCTAGTTTGCAAAATCTTATCTTATCTCAGCCTAAAACTCAGTATATTAGCTTAACCAAAACGTCTTAAACCAGTTCAAAGTCATTCTTCTTGGAGCTCATTAGCTGTTCCCCCTCGTCTTTCATAATGCCGCCAACAATTTTTTCCGTACTGTTTTTCGCAAAAGCCATCTTATTTGCTTTCATCTATTGCAGGTCAAGAACTCTGGAAAGCTTTGTTTAGCCAGTGTTTGAAGACTTTATGACATTGGTGATATTATCTGCTCATCTGAACACGATACTGACGAGAGGAACATTCTTCACACTTATTAAGTCATCTTTGCTTCCTTTTGTCTTTGTACTCACCTATCTATTAAAAGAGACATTGGTTCATAAATTAAAGAGAAAAGTTGAAGAAAAATGAGCACTTATTATGAAAAATGAGCACTTATTAGGGAAAAACAAAAATGAGCACTTATTATGACATATGTATTTTCACTTACTTAATCACAGCTAAAAAAAAAAATTGTTTAGCAGTCTTGTTCGAAGACTTGATGACATCGGTGAGATTAGCTTTCATTATTTACTTTTTGGGTCACGAGATTAGCTACTCATCTGAAACCATGATGATGACTGATGGATAGCTTATGGAAACATTCTACTGTGTTAATTGTTGCATGCATTAATAAGTCGAGTGGCATAGTATTTGAGTAGTTCAAAGCAAATATGATGGGAGAGAAAAACGATACAAGCCACACAATTGATTATCTACCACCTAATGAACTAAACATTTAAAAATGACTAATAATGCAAATGTTTAGATTTATCTTAACATGCCATAAACAATGGATTGCGGATAGACAATAATTTTTTAGAGCCAAACACAAAATGCCAACCCTAGGAAAATTGTTTGCGAAAATCAGCATAAACATGCTTTATCTTCTTTTCATTCCTCTTTTTTCCGAAGATAGCATTATAGCAATGTTTTTTGTTAGATAGCAATGTAGGATATACAAATTCGTGATTAATTAAAATTTGTGTGAGTAATATTTAAGGTAAACATCATAATTCAGGCAAACCATCAGTTTTGGATTTAATAAGCTGTGAACATATATTGTCATCAGCATAATCCCAAACGTGCTGTGTTTTGAGAAATCGTACAAACAAAAAGTTTAAGAAAGGAAAATACAGTTTTAATGGTTGAATTTTCCGTGTTTCTTATGTTTTTGCTTAAGTTTGATTTATTTGACTTGGTGTGGTTTTTGGATTATTCAATTTGAAGATTTCGATTTAAATTGTTTAGGTTTGTGAAATACATGAAAAAACAATCAATAAATGTGTTTTGGGTTGATATTTTATTTATGGGTTATTGAGGGAACTGATAGTGGGAGACAAGAGTTGATATGTAGAGTTGAGTGATGTTTTTGCTTGTCCAAAACGATTTCAACTTTATGTTTTAGTCATCTTCAAATCATAACATCAAAAGCGAGGTCAAATTCACACTTCATATGTCCTAAAATGTTAGGATTCTTCGTTTAGAGTAGACCATCAACTTCTAGTGTTCTCATATTGTATTATTGGCCAATATATTGCAATCTTTTTGGACTTGGGCCCATTTCTTCCTCCTTTTTCCTTTTCGTTCATGATATATATGTAAATTTCTTATGTAAGAAATTAGAGTCTATTGTTTTATTTTATTTTAGAAAAGGTTATTGCTTAGAATAATGAACCAAAAACGATCCATAGCGTGTGTAATGAATGTATTACCGTTGGTTTGTTCTAAACATAGTAAAATATATTTTTGGTTTTAGTGGAAACAAACAAGAAAAAGTTGAATTCTAAATTTGTGAAATATGAAAAAATTGAACTAAACTCTTAATTTAATGGATACTAACCTCCCTTCAAAAACAAAGTCTAGTGTTGTGTAGGATGTTAAAAAAAAAAAAATAAGTATAAATGACCCGATAACGTCGTACATGACCCAAAAAGAAAGATGAAAATCTTACGTTATCAATCATTTGAAAAAAAAATATTTGTGATTCCAATAAGTGACCTAATATGTTTTCTTTTTTACGACCGTAAGTAATCGGATTTAAGAAGCAAAAAGGGCTTTTTTTTTCATACCCAACAAAAACGACACCTAACAATCCCAATTTAGATTTAAATTTTCTAAAGATTCCTTCCAAAGCAGTCAAAGTCGCAGAAGAATAATTAAATATTTGAACAGAGTAAGTTTCTTCGTTGGAATCTTGAATGTTAAGTTCTTGGGTTTACTCTGTGCATGTACTTAATAATCTCTACTAGTTAGGGAACCACAAAATGTTTAAAAACAAAAGTAAATTAAGAAAAAAATCCCCAGAATAAGTAGGTAATAACAAATTAAGTCACAAATAAAACTTAAAAATACATTGAACTAATAATAAACTGATCCTATAAAGACCCTAAACCGATTAGTCCGTTGCGGACAACGTAAATAAAAGCAGATGTTTTATTTTAAAAAAAACAATTAAGTGCTGAAAAATAAAACGGAAAAAAAAAAACCAAGTGCAGACAAAACGAAACCGGAACACAGTGGAGAAAAAAGAGGAGAGAGAGAGAGAGGGAGTAAGGAAGAAGAAGAAGAAGATGATGATTTCCCGGAGACCCGTTTCGAGTCCGGGTCGGGTCGAAAAATACCCACCGCCTTTGATGGGTTTCTTGAGGAGCAAAAGTAACGGCGGAAGCATAAGCAGAAGTAGAAGCCGAAGCAAAGGAAGGTCACGCGCGAGTCCTCTCTTCGTCCGCCGGAATAAATCTGCGGGGACGGTGACTCAAGAACCGTCGTCTCCGAAGGTTACTTGCATGGGTCAAGTCCGAGTCAAGCGATCGAAGCCGAAAATTAAACCAGAATCTCGCGAAAACCCGACCCGAAGACGATGTGAGTGGATCCGAAACGCGTCGTTTTTTAATGGATTCGCCGGGAAAATCAAATCGTCGTCGTTTTGGCCCAAATGGGGATTGTTTTCGTTTCCGTGTTCTCGGGGGAAATCGAAGAGCGAGGAAGATAAAAAATCTCCGGGAATCCAATTAGATCACCCGGCACCGGAATTAGCTGGAGAAATTGGAGAGGAATACGAAGAAGAAGTGGAAAATTTCGCAATTCCTAAATTATGTGTGTCTCCGAATTCTACGCCGCCGGTAAACGCCCTTTTGTTAACAAGAAGCAGATCTGCACCGTACGGATCCTCGTCGTTGGCTTATAGATTCTGGGAAGAAAATAACCAACGGGAAGAAGAATCACGAAACAGAAGAGAGGAAAACGGAGATCATAATGTTCAATCAGAAAAAACTGAACCGGAAGGCCCCGAGAAAATCAATGGGGTTTACGAGTCGGCGAGGTCTCTCGGAGCTAACAATGACAGAAAGGAAGTTGAATTAACAGAATTAGGGTTTGAACGGCGGCCGGAGTTGACAAGGAGCAAATCGGAGCCGGCGAGAATCGGCGATGAGCTGGGGTTGCTTCCCGATGAAGAAGCAGGTTAGGCAGGGTTTAGGTCTCTCACGTGATTAGTCAATTTGACTAATTATCTCTTTAAATTAATCGTAGTTTTTTATTGATTATTAGGATAAAAATTGATTTGACTGTGTCAGTGTAAGTTATTTAGTTTTCGATTTATGTATAGAGGAAACAAATTGTATAGTAGATTTGTGTCCACACATATAGCGTAAGTTGTAGGTATGTGTGGCGTAAAAATGTTTAACAATACATTTTACAAATCCTTTTCTAGATTTACGTTATCTGTTTTATATTCACTTGATTCATACTCTATTTAATTTCGGCAATCAAACAAAACATAACTTTTCCGAGTTAAATGAAACAAAAAAAAAACATTACAATTACAAACTCCTTTTCATTTATTTTATTTCATATTTACATAAAATTAAAAATATTTAGTAGCCAGAGCGTTTTTTTTTTCCCAAAACAAAAGATAGCATTTTCCGTTAATCTAAAAATTTGTTAAATAATTTAATCTCGACAAAAGAAAATCAAGCTACTTAATTCTGGCTGAACAATTTCTGGCCCAACTTATAGATGGGCTTACAAATTGTATTGCTTTACTTAAAATTCTGGGACCAATAAAAGACCCAATATGTAAACATAAATAATTCAAAGATTTTTAAAATTCATACTAGTACTAGGTGACAAAAAATAAACACTTCGAGGTATATAAACTTTATTAACAAATTATATATACACACGATATGTAATTGATTATCATATATACATGCAAATATGCAATGTAGAATTATGAAAGGGGAAAAAATGAATTAAAAAGCTGGGTGAGTGTGATAATGAAAGGAGACGCCTAAGAAAACACAGCCATGAAATAGCTGTAGAGATAGAAATATGGCCCATTACAATTTATGATTTTTGAAGAAGAATCACAGAAGATTTTAGACAAAATCATTTATGGAGTTCTCTCACACATACACATATATGTAATACAAAATATTTCAATTTACATCCCCAAGACTGAGACATCTCTCATTTATGGAGTTCTCATCTTCTTCTTTTTCGTTTCTCTTTTTGAAAAGTCTGACTTGTTATTTCTGTTTAGTATTTCATCTGATGAAACCAAACTGAACTGAAAACGGGTGTGATTTCCTTTTCCGATTTAACTGTTCAGATTTGGATAAGTTTTTTTTTTCCTTCTTTTAACTCTAATATATAGTATGAACTAAATCTAGCTAGTTCTTTTCGTATTTCAGAACGGTGAAAAGCAACACATTATGAACAACAAAAACAAAATTAAACTTTCGTTACGAAGTCAAAGGTTTTCTTTTTAAATTATGAAACTTTCCAAAGGTCAAGCAGCGTATACATTGGAATGTACGGATGTACTTGGGTTATATAACTTACAATATTTCAATATAGTATAAAATTTTCAAAAGCTGTATATGCATGTTTGATGGTTTTTGGAGTCAACTTTCTTAAGCATGAGTATAGTTATTGGTCCATTTTGTACGCATCCACATTCTACAGAATTGGATATATCTAACACAATTATTAGTTTGCATTTTTTTGCGTGAATATATGTTCTATATATATATATATATATATATGTGTGTGTGTTTAAAATACTCTAGCTAATTTAAGAAAATTATTTGAAATATGTATACACGAATATAGAAGAAAAAAAATCATTTCATTTGTGTCTACTACTAACAATATATACAGTAAAACAAAACTTATTATGTTTTTGTAAAATTTACATTAACTTGGTATGTAAACGTGAATCCGTGAAACATAGGGAAACAAATATCAGATGTATGATAAGTCTTCCTTTCTCAAATTCTAGATTATACTCACTCTTCTTGCATATTTTATAGATAATTTATTTTGCATGCCGTTGATATCTCATTATATGCACGTATATGTTTATATAAAATAGTGAACTGAATGAAATATATTTGGGGTGCACGATCCATCCGTCGACCGACTTGAAATAAATGGAAAGGTAGAGAGTACAGAGATGTACAGTTGTAAGAAATGAGTGGGGATATAGATGAAGCATATAACATTAACATCTTCTCATTCAATTTTTTCATTAAACTCGAATAATGTATACCAACTTCATACCAGCGATTTCTCCAATCAATAATGTTTGCGTACGTAGGCGATTTATAGTATATACATTTTTATATCACCGCCAAAATAATAATAAAAATATGTTTACTGTGCATGGCGTCAATATGTTTACCCATAAATGGACTGTGTATGAATGAACGCACCTGATTTTTATCAGAAATTTATAAAACGGAATCGAATCCATTCAAAATTTTATTCTCTACCGGATTTTAGTAAAATTATCAATGGACAAAACATAGTTCTAGCAACGATGCATGAAACAATTACCTGATGCAACTACCGTAAAAAAAAAAAAAAAATTAGAAAGAAATGGATGGTACTATTGTTCAATAAATACGTTTTGATGCAACCAAAAATGAATACATTGGAACACGAATTCAGCTTGGAAGCCATGAGATTTGAAAGCTAATGTTATCCCTCACACATGAACTTGTCTTTTCTTATTTTCATTTTCATATTCATTTTCTAAGTTCTTCTCCCTATTCAACTACATACATTCTTATAATATATGGTCGTGAAAAAATATTAACACCGTTCCGTTTTTTCTACCGTCCACAATCTCTTGGCATTTATACGGACACTATAGTCAGGACAGGAGCACCTACACTGTTTAAGCGTCTGACTAAGTTGAGAGTAATTTATTCACATAAATATACTGCTCCATTTTTTTTTTTTGCTGTAATTTGAGTAGCATAATTCGGTAACAAGAAAGAGATAAATTTAATCCAGATGAGTATATAGAATCTAATAGTTGGAGGAAAATCAGTTTACAATGTAGGTGACGTCTTCTTGCGTATAATTCTAATATATTGCATTTTGCTATATATGAGCACAAACTCAATATTATTGTCGAACAGATCTAACCATTTCACAATAGACAATATAACTACTTCAGTTCTTAATCAAAAAATCTAATTTAGTTTACGAAAAAACTTATTTTAAAGCAGAATATTTTGGGGTGGGGGTGGGGGGAATAATGAAACAATACAAATAAAGTTAGACATATTTACTTCTACTTTTTTTTATGTTGTTAAAAATTACATATTTTTTTCGAACTAAATATAAAATGAGAAACATTACACGTGTTTTTTTCAGTCCATGCTATTATAAATAAGGCCATCATGTATCATTCAAAACAAGAACATAGATTGGATTTTGTTTGAAAAGTGTGAAGATCTGAGAAAAAAAAACACGCAAAAGTTTATAACTGTTTATAAATAATAAAAATGAAGTCGACCGTCGTGATTCTCCTCACGTACCTTCTCCTTGCCGTGCCTTGCTTCGCTATAGGTATGTTTGTTCTTTGGTTTCTATACACAATCATTATCTGTTAGTATGATTACTAATTAACTCGTTTTACATTAATTAAAACATAATTAAGGATCAGAGAACACGGATTCAGAGGTGTACGAGATCGATTACAGAGGACCAGAGACTCATAACTCTAGACCTCCGCCGGAAACTTTACACGGCAAGCCACCGTACATCCACCATAAAACCTCCGCTGCTGGATCCGCCGGCGCTCATGTTGGAGGACAGAGTAAGATCGATGCTCTCCAATTAATTGAATATTACTCTTCTTTTTTTAGCTACTCAATATATAATATGGCATTTAGGTTAATAACATTCGTTAAATAATATGTATTTATATATATATATATATATATATATATATATTATAACATTTTTTCTTAAAAAAATGGTTAACTAAGTATCATCCAAATTAAAGGAAGTATTTTGTATTTGTTTTATTAATGCTGACTGAAGATATAAAAATTTCATGATACTGTATATTAATAACAAGGTTGAACGCAATCTGATATTTGATAAAATATGATGCATTTCAGTGTTTTAAATTAACTCCCTACATTTATCAGATTAGAGAGGGAATTTTTTTCCAAGGAGGGGATATATAGAAACTCAGAAGCTTCAAGTTGAAGAGGAAGCATATGAGAATGTTATATGATTAATGATGTGGGCACAGAATTATTTATACACTAATACATATATATATATATATATGTCGATGTGAGATTGGTACAGTTTGTCACTACTCTTCTCATGTCATGTCCGGTGGTATTTCTTTTCCTCTTTTTCTTCATGCACCGTTCAATATTCTTATTTTTTTCGGTCTGAATCTCTTGGAAGAATTTTTCAAATTAATTCCTTGTAATGTGTCATCAAATGAATATCAGTGTCATTTTCAGATATTTGAACCCTTGTCTATTCGATCGGGGCTGATCATGGGCAGAAAATACGAATAAATATGAGAAAACGATGTAATGTATATATATTAGTTTTCTTATATGTTACAAATAAAGATAGTCATAATCAATGATGACATTTTACAGTACTAGCTTATTGGACTTAGTTGTTTGTAGAAAAAGGAAGAAGAAAAAAAATGGATCCTCCAACTCCAAGCATTCATTCATTAGTGACGAGTGACTACTGTTTTTGTTGTCTTCTATTGTTATGGTTGAAAAATAGATGAAAGTTAAATTTCACAAGATTGTTAGTATATGATATTAAAATTAAAATTTAAAACATGACATCATATCGAGTAATCTAAGACACTGGATCCGTGGGTCCACTTTATCAGAAGTGGACCATTCAATCACGACCTCCATCATTTCTTCTCGAATTGGTCCATATGTATTACTTTATCACAAGATTCATAGCTAAAACCGTGTCTCTCATATTAAAGAAAACTTTAGGAGTTGTAATGTATATTATGTCTATTGATTGGAATTATTTAGATCTATCAATGTTGAAATATTTTGCTGTAAACACGGCTTTTTAATGTTCAAGAAGACACACTAGGATCGACGCGAGAAAAAAAAAAAGAGAGAGAGGAAGATGTTGATCTAGCGATTGACCTCTACGTACACTGATTAGTTGATATTTATTTTTCTCTTTATATTTGGAGAAAATTTCAAACAAAAAATTGGTGAATTTTTCTTTTCTTTTTTAGAAAGAAATTGGTGTATTTTGCTACTGGCAAATATCTGAACAATCCATGTTTAGAATATAGTCCGTGGCTTTCAGCTTTCTTGAAAACAAGCAGGAAAACAACTATCTCCGACTTTCCATTCACGATTTTTGGTTGTTTTTATAAAGTTGAGCCAACTTCTTTCCAAATTGTAGCAACTTGTTTAGCTTTTTATTATATACTTTGGTATTCCCTTCAAACTTTAAAGCTTACATGCAAGTTCCAATGATTGAGGAAACCTCTGTTTTTTTCCTTAAATTAGGTTTGCCATAGGCCTTCAAATATTCGGCCCAATTATCTGACTTTAATCACTTCAGACTTGGGTCGAGTCTTAAAATCCAAATAGCGTCCAAGTTCTGAACGTTCTGATAGTTTTCAATTGTAACAAACGTTATAGAACTCCAGACTTAAACTCTTCTTACTATGTGACACAAGAAAGAAAAATATCGTTATTATTAAATTTTTAATGCCTTCAAAAACTGTTTCTAACCATAATTTTGGCTTCTCTAAATTCTAATAGGACAATTTTAATATTATCCAAGAAGTAGTTACATGAATTAGTTGACTTAGATCCCCCCGACTATTCAACTTTCAACGCACTTACGCACATATAAAATAGTCACGCGGCTGCTTAACTCGTGTAAGGACCAATGCTTTACCACTAACAAAAAAGTATTAATTAACTTTATCATTATATATGTCTTGTGTACATTGATTGATAAGAAATTAGTAAGATTCCCATTTATTTAGTAGTGTATGCCATTTTTTATGATTACGACCAACCACCATTTTACGAACATATTTTATTTACTTATGTATTTGTTTAAGACCTTGCCATGCTTCTACTCAATCTCTTATTCCTTTTTGCATTATAATTTTTTTTTTCTATATCGTGAGCACTATTGCAAACAAACATTCAGAGCCGATCCTAATATAAATGAGGCTGCCAGCTTATAATAAACTTACAAATAAAATAAAAAAAAGTTGTAGTAACCAAGTGTTAAACCCTGAATCTATAACAATGCTGATGGAAGACTAATACCACTTGACTATTTGATTTTTTTTTATAATATACATATATATATACCGCTAAAACAAATAAAAAAAATTCAGGGCTGGAAGCACATATTTTTCCAGCTTTTATCCAAAATTCGCCACTAACAACATTTTGAGCTAATTTGTAAGATTTTGTTTAATCTAGCCGTTAACTTGGATTTGAACTACAAGTAATTCATTTTCAATTATGAATCCCAGTGTTTTATATTATGCAAAGCCTTTTATGAATAACGCAAGGATTTGCAAGGTAAGTATATTATAATGCAAGAACAACAATTTTTTTGTCGACGCATAGAAGTCTATATGTAATATGATGATATCTTGATCTGATAACCGAAGAACTACATGTTATACAATTGTTATACAATTTTTTCTATTCCCACTTCTAGCTATAGACCAAACTCCAAATCTTTTCTTGGACAGTAGAAACTCTCATCAAATATAAGTAAAGACAGCGACACTCACCAAACTTAACCATTCAAGTTGAACTAGCTAGAGATCACTAAGTAACTAACATTTCTCTTATGATTTGAAATATAATAAATTTATATACATTGTTACAAATTACAGGCTTGAGGTACCAAAACTAAGAATTATAAAATCAAATTAGTACAAATCTAACATTGTAAAAATTAGCATTTCACAGGTGGAAGTTTAGATTTTTCTTTATTTCAATTTTACGTACAAAATTGTGCTATTTATAATTATGCGTAACTATAATTTGAATAAATATCAAACCGATCGATCCTTGCCTACAATGAAGATGTCATGTTCCGACGAGGAACAAGAAGTCGTCGAGATCGGAGCCAAAGCTTCATTACAGTCTGATACACTATCTTGCAACGTCAGCAATAACTCCGACGTGCTAAAGCTCATCGACGATGATGGCTTCGCCGTCGGAACCTCCGGCACATCAGCTTCACCAACCAGGATCTGGACCACAGTTCTCATACTGGGCCGGGAAACAGGGTCAGGTTGCGAACAAGCAAGGCCCACCATCAAAACCCGGTTAATCTCCTCCGGGTTAAGCTCTCCATCGCTTAACCGCTCGTCTACCGCCGTCAAAAGCTTCCCTTCCCTATACAAACCCCAAACCCAATCAACCAAACTCGACCCGGTTTTGAAACTGGGTCTCAAACCGGGTTTGGACTCGGGCCGATTTATGGGTCTTCTACCAGTGGATACTTCTAGAACAACGGCACCGTAGCTGAAAACGTCGGTTTTCTCCGTCGCTCGACCGGTAAGCAAATACTCCGGCGCTAAATACCCCATAGTTCCGGCGGCGGCGGTTGCGTCCGGCGATTTATCGTGCTCCGTTTGCCTAGCGAGCCCGAAATCCCCTAATTTGGGATTGAAACTCGCGTCGAGCATAATGTTGCTTGTTTTGACATCACGGTGAATGATCTGATTCTCGCACTCTTGATGTAGATAAGCTAAGGCGGAGGCGACTCCGAGGAGGATTTTTCTCCGGTGAGGCCACGGTAAAGTCGTCGGAGATTCGTATAATGCTTTGTCGAGAGATCCATTAGGCATTAGATCGTAGATTAATAGAATTTCGCCTTTTTCTCTGCAGTAGCCTTGAAGACGGAGAAGGTTTCTATGACGGAGAGTTCCGATTAAGGATAATTCGGATAAGAATTCGGTGTTTCCTTGAGAGACGTGGCTGCATCTTTTGATTGCGATGATTTCGCCTGAATCTGGTAAGACTCCTTTGTAGACGGTGCCGAATGCGCCGTTTCCGATGACTCTCGATGTGCTGAAACAGTCGGTGGCTAATTTCAGCTCCTTGTAAGTGAATTCTCTCGGCGATTTCATGATTTCCGATGCGAAAGATTCAGACTTTCGAGTGTATTTGATCTTTTTGGAGTAGACCCAGATTATTGCTCCGGCGAATAGTGCTAAGAAAAATGCGCCGGCGGTTACTACTCCGGCGACGGCGGCAGGGGATTTTTTACAGAGTTTGTTACGGCAAGAAGAAGATGGATCGGCGGGTTTTCTCCGGACGGTGGATACGGAGGGTGCGAGTGAAGACGGCGACGACGACGGTGGAGGTGAATCAGACATCGGCGGGGGAGATTCCGATGATTCGAAAGAGGAAGCGAAACTCCACCAATCGATGCTGTGAATCTCTGTGCTTCCTTGAGTTGATCCTGAGAATCCGACGAACATCGAATCGCTGACGTAGCGATCGAGATCGAGAGGGACCGACAAAATCGGCGATTTGGGTTTCACGTTGGAGTATGAGACGTAAACCGTTAAAACCCGACCCGACCCGTCATAAGTGATCCACGAGTTCACGGCGTTTCCGCTCTTGAGATCGATGTGGACGTTTCCCAGATCGGAGACTGCGGCTGAAACGACGGCGTTTAGATCCAATCCCACGTGGTTCCCGTTTACATCTTTGAATTGCACATCCATAAGCGTGTCGAATTCAATCGCTACAAAATCCGACCCGGATCCGGATTCGCCGGTGAGGCCGAGAAATCCGCCGGCGGATCCGATGTATTCGCCATTAGGGGAGATTACGAAAGCTAATCCACCACCGATTGAGGAAGGGTTAAGGTTCGTCACTGAGAACGAGAAATAGGTGGAGAAACTCGCCGGCGATTGTGTTTCCGGGTGCCGGAATTTAACCGGTTTTCCGTAGAGAGCTTTACCGGCGGTGGAAGTGGGAACGGAGAGTTCGCGAGTGAGCTTTATGGTTCCGTTGTTGAGGTGAGCGTCGCCGAGAAGCTTGAGGCTTGAGAGAGTTAACGTTCCGAAATCGAATCTTGTCGCCGGAAAATCGCCTCTGACGTCGGAGGAGCAGAGGAAAGAAGCAATAATGTGGATGAGAGTTGAGTAGACAGAGAGGAATCTCGGCGGGATTATCAACATTTGTGGATATTTTACATCGGATTCCTTCCTAATCTGAGGAAGTGAAGATTTTGTGGTTGTTGGATTCACTGATACAAGCATACAGAGAAGACGAAGACAATTTTACTGAATCAGACAGAAGAAGACGGAAGACGACAGAAGAGAGTGGGAAATAAAAGACACAAGTGAAGAAGACAGGTGGTTCTGGCTGAGTGACACGTGGCACTTCCAAACTGTTAATTAAAAATTAAAAAATATATATATACTCGTAAAATTCCAGCGACGGAGAAGCTCCTCACGTGCAGGCGC